CTACCCCCGGCCAATCAGAATCAGGAACCAAGTTCAAAGCAAAGATAGATTAATAGAGATAAAGAATAGGGCCACATTTTCACTGCTTGATTTGCTCTCTATGTGGCACGACTCCGTCACGCTAAGGAACTTGTTAAATCCACCCACATGTTCTAAGAAGGGGTACACTTTGCCTTCCCCTCGAAGACAGTCGCGTGGCAAGCTTCAATTGCTAAGAGAACCCCAGGATATATTTGGCCTGTAAGTTCGTCTGGAGATCCGATTCTTGATTATGCTTGGCTAGAGCATATCGACCGAGGGGCCGAAAGGCCGAGAGTCCAGGTACTGAAGGGCCAACGTCTATCGACTGATGACCGAGGTCCATTGATGAAGGACCAAGATCGACCTTTAGAGACAGAGGCCGAAGGTCCACCGACCGAAGGGCCCAGGTTTACCTTTATGAAACACCGAGGTCTACCAATGATAGACCAGGGTCTACTTTGAAAGACCGGGCCCACCTCGAGGAACCGCGGTCCATCGGGCTTACCGCGGTCAACTCCTCTGAATGGCGGCTAACTAGCACGCTTTGACCGTACACTCTACTCATCCAACGGTCATTCTCCGTCCCTTTTTAGCGCCCCGTCTCGCTGTTGCTTACCCAACGGTCGCTCTTCCTTGGCGGGTTCCTTTCTCTTTGACACACCGGTCCTCTGACCTACCAGTTCTTGAAACGCTTCACCACATGACCACTAATTAGTTTTTTGCTTGTATCCAAGCTTGACTGGACGCCCGTAGATTCTCATTTTCCTGGGCTTCCACTCGCTGGCTGTGGTAGGCTGGAATGAGCCATCGACCTTTGCGCCCCCTGTATTCCTCGGGTTGCCTTTTTACCAAGGTGTGGTTGTGTAACTTGGCACTCTTGCACGAATTTTGCCATCGCCGCGTCGAAGTATGCCTGCAGATTGCCTACCGGGTTAGAAGGTGCGCCTCTCCCGGCAGCTTCGTCACGTGGCGGAATCTAGCTCGGTAATATTCCTGGTTCATTTCTGACTGGATGAACACAAACACATCGGGAGACCGATTTTCCATTGGCTGTACACTCGTTGCCGTTTCGTGAGCTTGCTGTTTTCTTACGCCTCCCTCGCTTGGGCATGAAGCAGTAGCATGCCAGTCACCCTAGTGCATCCTGCTCACATGACTAGTAGCAGACAACCCTTGTAACGACTGCCTCGCCGTGACCTGGTACAAAAAAACCTTGAGGCAAGGTGTTATGTGGTAGACCTTGTATCGACCGTGGGTCCTCGGTCGCTTGTTGCGCTTGAGGGTGGACTTCGATGTCGTGGACCGTTATCTGTCCGTCTCTAGACGGTGTCTGTGCTGTGGTAACATGATGTAAGGCAAACATTTACCGAGATTATGCCAACAAGGATCCCCAAAACGTTTGTGAAGAGTCTGTTGTCTTGAAACTGTCGAGACTTAAGAAAACAAGTCTTCTGGTTCGATCTTCCCCGTGACCATGCCCGCCTCTCGAAAGATGGTGACTAGCACGGTGATCGCGTCGATCATTGTTCGCTGCTAAGTATCGACGGTGGTCCACCGAGCTGCCCAAGCAATAGGATCTCGAGGGTCTTCAAGATGAAGTTGCTCTTTAAAATTGCATCGAGCTTTTGTCGATGGTAAGCCATGATCACTTCAGCGTCCGAACAGGTCGACGGTCTTAACATCGCGGGACCTACTGACTTGGTGTCAGCTGGCGCCTTCATCCTAAAATTGCTCGGCTTCGATATAGAGATTTTTTTGTAGTTTTTGTAGTATTTTTTTCGGGGACCATAGCCTATCGGCTCTTATCTTTGACTGATGATCCTCTAGGGCGATTGATGTCGTGACCCAAGGTGTCCCCTACGAGGAAATAGGGAGGGCATTTCGGTTTCTCTTTACTAAATTCTACCTTGAACATGCTGACCGGGCTCCTCCTGAGGTCTGGTCGGTCCTTTGATTTGTTTGTTGTTTCCTTCTGTAGTCACTGGAGATCGGTCTTTCAGTGACTCTACGTTATTTTGTGTAATCTTTACATGAATATCTTCATCTTCTTGGGACTCGCTGTGATATCCCACGTCTTCCAAAAATCCATGCACGCGCACTATTGTGGTGGAGCAGGCTCATAAAACGGCGTGATAAGGCCCCAAGCCACTCACTATGTCGGACTGCCGACTGTCGGAGTGGCTACCCCTATACCGCGTATGGATCTTCTCTTACCTTGTGTACCCGTCGGCTGGCGGGCTGCACTTTTCAAAATACTTGGTAAAGATGCCTCAAGTGGACATGCTTTACTCAGTAGACTATTTATGGGCCACTTGGTCGACTGGTAGAGAGTGGACTTATAATAAATTATTCAGGGAAGCTACATGACCCTGGCTTTTTTTAAATTATCTCAGGGCCTGATCTTTACTTGCTCCCGAACCACTAGGGTAAGGAGACCACTTCCGATAGCGGGTCGATCTGGGGTCAGGTGCTACTGGGGTAAAGATTGAGTAAAGGAGTTAAAGATAGGGCTATATTAATTACTACTCAATTTACGATCTACATAGCACGCCTCCGTCGTGCTTCCAAGAACTTGACTAAGTCTACCCACCAGTTCCGAGAAGATATGTGTTTTGCCCCCCCCCGTCGAAGACAGTTGTGTGGTAAATGGCCCCTACGCAAGGCTTCATTCCTATGTTGCCTTCTATATATGTGTACCACAAGCTCGTACCCCCCGTTTCTTGAACTAAAAAGGAAGGTAATAGAGAATCTGCAGTATTGGCTGAAAAAAATACGTGTCTTCCGTCATCTTCATTTGCATCAATCCAAGGTTGACAAGTATAACTGTCGCCACCGTCCTATTCATTAGCGTGATTCACCTTCAAGTGGTGCTTCCAAAGCAAATTAGATTTGTTGCAAAATGATAACGTCTCAATTTGGTAGCGGCTTTAACGCAATCAAAACATTTGCAAAATACTAACGTTCACGATTGAGTAGCCGCTTCTTAAGATGATGCACTAGAGTGAAAGCCGAATCCTGTTTGCGAAACATCGATTATAGATTATAATCTCGTGGGGTATTGGATCAACTGAATAGTAAAGACTGCACATACGACAGTGCATTATTGATTTTGCACCAGTCAAGAGTGAAAGCAGCATTATTATTAAAGCTAATTCAGACTCAAGGTATTGTCATAGAAAATAAGGTTTTTGACAGATTTATTACTTCTTTTTTCAGTGATGTGCTACAAAGGTGTGTTGTGGGATTTGTTAACAGCGAGAGATATCAATGGTTGTATCACCGTTCAATTGTGACCAATGAAACATACCTCATAGCAAAGATTATACAATCCGTCGCCAGATTTACGTGTTAAGCCAGCACCAAATGATGAAGTGGAGCAACTGAATGGCTTTCAATTTGGAGTATCACAACACAATCTATCGACTGCCTCATTTTGTTTGAAGCAAATTCACTATACCATAAACCGCTTTTACCAATGTTATGATATTTACAATGTCTTTCTGAGGCGAAAAGCGCTGATCTTTGATCACCGCTCCTTTCAGTTGATCAAAAAGCCAATAGTATGCTCTAAGTCGCGTTTAACAGCAAACCGGGTCGACAGGGGCTCAAATAATTGATAGTAGAAATACCTGTTGAACAACTTCACGGAAATGGGTGGACAGCGTATTGACGAGCGTTATCGGTGACATGCTAAGACTAAGAACTATACTTGCATCGAAATTGATTACTCGACATAGCCACAGGCTTGAAGAAGCACTCTGTCGCTATAATCAAAAGTTGTTGCTTATGCATCGTCGAAGCAGTCGGCTATAATACCATCCCTGCAAGCGAGGAGTTGCTTGCAGTGTAGTTAGGACCGGTGGTGTTACCATGTTTTGTTCAAGGATCGGGTAGCAGCGTGCCTAGACTGCATCTGTGTGAGGTGACAAGCTGTCTTCCTCAAGGCAGATGCTATCGCATCGTAATCTACTGTACTGTCCACAACAAAAAATGTACCCAAAAAGCTTCTGCGGCTTTCTTTAGACATTATCCGCACAGTTTCTTATACTTCTTGTGTGGCTTGGTCGTGCTTTACACTGCGCTACAGGAACGTGTTGCGCTTGAGGGCTGACGCAAACGCTGTATCAGTCCGGCTACACTTTACGTCATATTTTTGAATGTCCCGATGAGTTCTTGTTTCTCAATTTCTGCGTAGCAGGTTCGTCGTGCGACAGTCAGTTGCCATTTGCAGTTTTTTTATCAAGGTTGCTGCAGCATGTCTGCAATGACGTGTAGTCGTCTGAATTTTTGCGTCGGTCGCGTCTTTAAGTCTCCCACTGACTGATCTGCGTCAACGTCCTCCAGAATTACACACTTCCTGCCACACCAACGATTGCGCAATGAAGCTTCACCATGTTTTTAATCTGGCGAACTCTTAGATGAAAGAGAAAAAGCGCTTGTAACGGGGCGCCCGACGCTTATATTGCTTCAGTATAAGCTACTACATTGATAAGAGTGTAGGCAGATAGGTCCTTGAAGCCTTGCGTGCACTTGTGTGTAGATAAAACGTCTTCTAAACACAAAAACACTTGCCCAGTAAAGGGAAAAGGAAAGCTGTAGCTTTAGTATTATTAGTGTCTATCAACCTAAGTCTTTTTGAACCTACTCTAATTATACCTAACTACGAATATGCATGATGGCTACCTGCTCACCACTCGTTGCGCGCGTCTATCAGCGACTGGTGGTCTTGTTGGCTAATATAACGGCCTATATCAAGCAATGAGTATCGCGCTGCCTAATATAACCAATTTCCAACAGTACTTACCTTAAGGTAGATATTCTCATTTGAATATCATCATTTAAGACATATTCAACGTTGACAGCTAATTTAGTGTCAATGTAATGTGACGGAGTTACCATCTCGATCATCATTGGTTGAAATCGATATCACAAAAAAGACACCGCATTGAACCGATGTAGACGAAGCAAATAAGCTGAAAATGGACAGCAACGATAATACGACGTCTGCATCAAGCGCGTCTAATATTTTTCACCTCTACCAGGAAGGACATGGGCATGATCAAGTCCTACAACTCTGTTTTTTGAGGCGCCGTACTCCACGTCATTTTCGTCTTGATCGCACTCGGATCGAGGATGAGTTTATTCTGCCACGACCAGAGTTAAAGATCGCGAGCCTGTTACCACCAGTTCATATTTCATTGAATCAGCTCATAATGTTTGATTCATCGTCTTCATCATCCATCCATAGCGTAACTGAGCACCGTGAAATTAATTTTGCACTAGATCAAGTACGAGAGAGTGCAAAAAGGCACTTTTTCAACCCACGACAAGTTGCACTTGAAGATGTGGCCCGGTGGGCTGCGTTGACCGAGAGTGACTGGCTTTCTATCTACCAAAGTATACAGCAATCCATGCAGCAACCAGGACAGGACGAAGAGATGACGGATCTCTCTGCTGCACGGGTGCCGGATATTATCGACATTTGCTGGTTGCTGGAGCATTGTCAGAGTGATGCCTTTGCTAGTTTCGTATGGAACCATTTGTTGCTCGTAATCTTGCAAACGTGTATGGCCTCAGACTCTTTGATGCACCAGGTGCTGACCTTGCTAGTCAGTCATCGCTCGCTGGCCTCACTCAGCCCTAAAGACTTTCGTGCCAAGGTGCGATCTCGAAATCTACGACAAGCCGGTGATTTTATCGGGGCAAAGGCGGAGCTTGCTCTTGTAGGAATCTATCGAAGACAGCGCGATCGTGATATAAAGTGAGACACGTTTCCCTGACCATCACTCTTGCTCGGCAAAGTTGAAGTTTCCCTTCCGCCCTCTCTGCTTTCGTTTCCAGTCGATAATTTCCAGCCTATGACACAGAAAAACGTGACGATAGGAAGAAACAATAGTATGGCACGACCTGGTGGCGGGTTGAGGAAAGAAAATGCGCTGCTGCTGCTGCGACAGACAAGCCCAGTTTTGCCCCAGGTAAAGGCAAATTTAAGCTGCGTACTTCCACAAGTCCCTTGCCGCTAGTGACGAGTACGTATGCGGTAGTAAAAGTGTGTTTTCTTGCATTATTAGTGTGTAAAGTGGGTGTTTCTGCATAGAGAAACAATTAAACTGGGAGAAACAGTCAACAGCCAAGTTTCATGCGGTCGCAGGAGCAGGCAAAACATCTACAGAGAAACCAAGTAAGGATGAAGTTATGATCTTATTTTCCAATTTCATTGTTGCAATTTTGACGGCTGTATTGATCTGTATAACACTGTCTATCACTTGCAGGTAATACAAAACCCAGTATCTTTGCAACCAACAGCTTCATCCGTCCATCAAAGAAGGATGAGGTGCCAAAAAAGAGCTCAGGGTTTAGTTTCATGAAATTTCAGTCCAAGTCAAGAGACCTTGGACAATTGAGTGATAAGTCTTCCGCAAAGGCGACGCCATTAACACTTGCAAGCACCAGACCATTACTGAGCAAGATTTCTACCAAGGAACCGGCAACAAAGACCAAGTGCACTACAAATGAAGCTAATAACGCGCCGGTGTTCAAGCTGCCAACGAAAAAGGGATCGCTGTTTTCCTTTCGAGCAGGAACCATGTCCTCCTCCACGAAAAAGCGAAAGACAGCAGAGTCGCTTGCTCACAAGGACGAGAAGGCTGTAGTTTTCTGTAATAATGGACTTGCCAAAAAGCATATCACTAGATAACTTAGCAATTAACAAAGACAAGAAGAGACATTCTGGGGCGCGAGGTGAAAAGGCAGGACCGAAGGATGGCATTCGAAGTACCGTACCTTATAGTATTAAAATTGGTGAGATGGGCATGAAGAAAGACGATGGGGCCGTGTTGAAAAAGCGAGGGTTGCTAGTGGATTCAGTGATAGCGGGCCGAGCGCTGAAACAAATCAAACGCGTACCGGCAGCAGGTGTGCTTCTATGATCAGACTGGGTTGATCTTTTTTTAGGGTGTCTAACATGATGTTTGTGTTGATACAGCACTGCATCCACCTCAGCATACCGGAATGATTAAGTCAGGGTAAATAATTGCTTTGAGCTCTCCGGCTTTTTGTACATGTAATGACTTGCTGGATCCACTTCAATAGGAGTTTATTGGGACGTCCATTTCAAAGCAATCAAGACCCGAATGTGTCTATACAACGTAAATGTATGCTGAATCCAAAAGAAACACCCATAGGGTCTGCCGCTGATCCTGTAAACAACGTGCTGTCGAGTGCTGAGGCTCCTCTGTCTCCTGGCGAGTGGTGCGATCCAATAGATCTCCATATTTTTGTATGCCTTGCTGTCATAACATACTAATTCTGCGCATTAACAAATGTAGTGAGATTGAGGAAGAACTTGCGGTGAAGCTCTTATGCACAGCGGTATGTAATGCACTCATCGGTCAGTCTGCTTTTTGACATTCTAATCCATAGCGAATGTGGCTTGCTAGGACGACGATAAGGAAGAAAAGTTTCTTGTCAGAGCAGCCGCTATCCAGGAATTCGCAGACCGTGTGGGGCTCGAGCAGAAGCAGATTCGCAACCGTCTACTTGACGCCCATGGTAATGTAGCGAGCATTTTGCTTCAATCGTTTGCATATGAGTCTTACCGTTTGTGGAATTCTAGCCGATATCAGTGAAAGCCTGCTTGATGCACTAACTGACCTCATGGCAGAAGAGGGAGGCATTGGGATTGATAAACTCGACTTTAACATGAACGTTGATGTCAACGTTGACGACGCCTTCTTGCAAGACGACGCAATACAGATTTTTCAGTAGAAAGCAATCATGCGTCAAGCGTTCGGCCTGCATTCAATTTAACTTACAAGCTCTTATTTAATGTCAACGGTTTCTTCAGAGCCCGAAGTGCACCACTGCAATCATAGCAAAACAAAATTTTAGCCTCAAAGCACAAGCACATAGTGCAACGTCATCCCACACCCGTACCTTCTTAAACTCTTCAAAGCTGAGCTTGTTGTCTCCATTCAGGTCCGCCTCCTTGAAGCACTGTCCGGCTGTTGCGCAAGCAAGTTCTTCTGGTGATACGCCCATCTTACTCTTCGTACTATCAGTCGTCTCGTACATAACTTTAAAAACTGAGGTCAGGTAGCTGATCATCTCTTCATAAGTGATATACCCGCTACCGTTTACATCGTACAGTTGGAATGCTGCTCGAACCTTGTCGCCCATACTAGATCCAGATAACACTGAGAGACCGCTAGCAAGCTCACCAAAATCGACCGTGTTGCTGTTGTTCGTATCGAACACACGAAAGAGTCGGCGTATCATCACGTCGGCCTTGTGACGTTCTTCCTGTGATCCATGTCCTCCTGCCAGCCGAATAATGTGATCGAAACACTTTTTGAACGCCGCAAAAGTTAGCTTACCAGAAGGTGCAGCCTCCGCAAATATCTCAAGCACGTCATTAACCTCATACGTGCCCAGCTTCAAAAGTTGTCGGACCTCTTCCATGTTGGAGCTGTTCATATTCAGTGCAGACGCTGAGTTTGGTGAGAGCAGGGTGTCGCCATTGGATCCCGTCATGCCATAAATTTTATCGTACGGGAAGCCTACCGGAAATGTGCTAGTGTTGCTCATATTAGGACCTTGATCAGCTTCCAAAATCGTTTTCCTTGGCGACACAGAAGATGATCCATCGCGGTAGTTGCCGTGTATACTGTGCTTATGCGAAAGGGAGCCATCGTCAAGACTATCGCTTGTGTTACCATTTGTACCTTGTTTAACGTCTTGTTGTTGCGCAAGAATGCTACTCACACCACTTGCATACGCCTCAAACCCGGACAATTTGGAGTACCAAGTTACAAAATCATCAAAACTCAGCTTTCCATCCTCATTAAGATTGCCTTCCAAGAAACACTGCTCAGCCGTAATTACAGCCAGCTCCCCCGGTTGTACACCCAGCTTTTCATTTGTTCCCGGACTGGTCTCGTACAGTACCTTAAAAACACTCGCCAGATAGCGTACCATTTCGTCTAACGAGATGAATCCATCTTGGTTGAGATCAAAAAGCGAAAATGCAGCTCGAACTTTTTCTTCCCGAGAACTACCGCAAAGAACTGACAGACCGCTACACAATTCGCAGAAATCAACAGTGCCGTAGTGCTCTTCATCGAAGAGCATAAAGAGCTTGTTTAGGGTAAGTCGCAAGCGTGCCAGATTGGCCTCATCGTTTTTGTACTGTTCATCCACAAGCTGCTCAAAACACTCCTCAAAAGCCTCACGTGATAGCGTCCCATCCTCTGAGCAGCGGTTAGCAAAGATTTCAAACACTTCGTCGGCGGTGTACTTTTCTAGGATGGTCATCTGCTTGACAACATCCAGGCTCACCCAATCAGGTGCTTGCTCCTGCATCGTTCGTACCTGCTGCTGTTCTTGCTCGCCGAAAATGGACATCGGTAGATCCGCCATCGTTTTCTGCTGCATGTACCACTGGCTAAATTCGGAAAATGAAAGTTTACCATCCTTGTCGTCGTCGGCGTCAGCAAAAACCTGCTCTGCTGTGAGTTCGCCCAACTCTTCAGGTGTTACACCCATATGTGTCTCGCTATTGGGATTCACCTCGAAGAGTACCTTAAACATTGCAGTAAGGTAGAGTCGCATTTCTCCTAGCGAAATAGATCCGTCATGGTTGACGTCATACAAATTGAATGCGGCGCGCACTTTATCTGCCTGACTTCCCCTGCAAAGCACTGACAGCCCGCTAGCAAGCTCATTAATGTTCACCAGTCCATTATTACCCTTGTCAAACAGGGCAAAAAGTCGATCCACTAACAATCGCAGCCTGTCCTTCGACTTGTCACTTGCACACTCGACTTGAAAATGCCCAAATGCTTGTCGAAACGTTTCGTTGTCCATGGTGCCATCAGCAGATGCAAATTTGGCAAACGTATTCAGCACCTGCTGGACCGAAAATGAGCTCAAGTTTGTCAGGCGCTGCACCTCACGCAACGATAACCACTCTGGAATATTATTCTGGATAAGGCGCTCCATGTTCGCAGCGTGAGATCTAGCATACCACTTGCAAAACTCAGGAAAACTCAAACGGCCGTCTTGGTCCAGTTCTGCTTCTTCAAATGCCTGCTGTGCAGTACGCATACCTAGCTCCTTCGGGGACTCGCGATTTAAGTGCGAAAGTATGGCGGGTGATGCTTCCTTCAAAACCTTGAAAACACAAGTTAAATATTGCGTCATCTCCTCCATCGAAATGTAACCATCGGCATTGTAATCGTACAAAGCAAATGCAGCACGAATCTTCTCTTCAGAAGTGCCACCACAAAATACTGACAATCCGCTCGAAATCTCGCTAAACTCAACCATACCACTCTTGTCGACGTCAAAAAGCTCAAAAAGGCGATTAAGAATAGGGTAGATCCGCTTGTACTCTTCTGCTTTGATACCTTGATTTGTTGAAATGATTTTTCGGAAGCACTCATCAAACGCCTCTCGCGACACGTATCCGTGATCGTTGGCACAGCCAGCGAGCGTTTCAAAAACTTCCATAGGCGAAAATGCTTGTAATTTTGTTAGCCGCCGAGCTTCAGACAAACTAAATAACTGCTCTCCATTCTTTGCAGCTTCACCAATCCCACCTGGTTGCTGATACCAATCCTGAAATTCCTTCAGTGTTAGTTGTCCGTCATGGTCTTTATCAGCTTCAGCAAAAGCCTGTTGGGCTGTAACTTCTCCCAATTCTTCAGGAGTAACGCCAAGAGATTGAGCATTTGGTGATACCTGGAACAGTACGCGGAACACTGACGTGAGGTACCGCGTCATCTCGTCTAAAGAGATAAATCCATCACCATTGAAGTCAAACAAAGAGAAAGCTGTCTCCACTTTTTGATCCTTTGTACCACCGCATAACACCGACAGCCCACTAGCAACCTCTCCAAAATCCACAGCCCCACTATCATCTCGGTCAAACAAGTCGAAGAGGCTGTCAACAACCTCTTGCAACTTCTTGTTAGCTTCAAAATCAGCCGCCTTTACCGCCTTGGGACCATCCATGACCTTACGAAAGCTTTCATTAAAAGCATCCCGCGAAAGCAAACCGTCTCCGTCCGCTTCGCCTGCAAAAATCTCAAACACTTCATCAGGCTCGTACTGAGCAAGATTAGTAAGCTCCCTGATTTCATTTAGGGGCATCCAGGGCAGTGACGAATCCACAATAGCATTTTTCGCCACGGTACTACTGATTCCTGCATGCGCAGGAGAATTGTACCAAGCCAAAAATTCGTCGTAGCTCAATTTGCCGTTGTTGTTCGAGTCTGCTTCCAAAAACGCCTGTTCTGCGGTAACAGTACCAAGTTCCTCAGCTGATACGCCGGTTTCCTGCCGCATATTGGGCTGCACTTCATATAGCACCTTGAAGATTGACGTCAGATAGCGCTTCATCTCCTCCAGCGAAATGAATCCATCTTCGTTGTAATCATACAAGCAAAATGCAGCCTTAACTTTAGCATCCCCTGCTCCTTTGCAAAGAACAGAAAATCCACTAGCCAGCTCGCTAAAATCAATTTGCCCATTTCCATCGCGATTGAACACGTCATACAGACGATTTGCTACCATCTTTGCGCGCAGCTTTTCGATTTGAGTGCGCGGTTGGGCCATCTCGACGATTTCAAAGAAACACTTGTCAAATGATTCTCGATTGAGCATACCAGCATTATCTGCGTGCTCCGCAAATCGTCCAAAAACCTCAACGACATCCAAGTTTCCTAGGTTAGTCAGCTGCCGCACTTCATTTAGATCAAGAGGAGCCACGATATCCTTGAACGATGTTTGCTCAGGTTTTGAATGCCATTTTTGAAACTCTTCAAAGTCAAGCTTTCCATCGCGATTGAGATCGGCAACCTCAAAAATCTCGCTTACTGTTACCACTGCTAAAGTGTTAGCTGAAACAACAAGCTGCTGCTGACGGGTGGGATCGAGAGCATAAAGTAACTTGAATACCGATACGAGATGGTTGGTCATTTCTTCTTCTGATATTACGCCGTCTCCATTTGTGTCGTACACGGTAAAAGCAGCTAGGATATCTTCATCCCGAGCAGAAGTACCGCAGAGAATCGATAATCCACTCATAAGCTCGTCAAAACCAACACTCCCTCTTTGTTCGATATCAAATGCTGAAAAGATACGATCGATCACTTCAGGGACCCGAGTACTCTCATGTGCGGATAACATTTGCGTAGTTTTACAGAAAATATGTTTGTAAAAACATTCGTCAAATACGCGTCGAGAGATTATCTTACCACCACCGGTTGCCGAGCTAAACACCTTGGATACAATAGCCGGGGACATACCTTCCAGACCGGACAGCTTCTTTGCAACCTCAATTGGAATTATACCTGCCGCTGTAGGTTCACTTGAGCTCGACATAGATAAATGGACAGGTCCACTGCGAGGTGAAGTCATACTGCCGTGCGAAATATGCGCTCGTTGGTTGTGAGCGTACGAATTGTGTTGTTCAAACCAAACACTAAACTCCTCGAAACTCAGTTGCCCGTCACGGTTGTCGTTAAAAGCCAGAAAGCATTCCCTTGTGGTGATTGTAGCAAGCTGCTCCGGCATCATTCCTGTTTTCAATAACAGCTCCGGTGATGCCCTAAACATTATTCTAAACACAGATGTCAAGTACGATGTCATTTCATGAGGAGATATATAGCCGTCGCGGTTGACATCATACAGCGTGAACATCGCTTTGGCTTTGTCTGCTTGACTTCCACCACAAAGAATTGAAAGTCCAGCACCAAGCTCCTGCACATCGACACTTCCATCCTTGTCGGTGTCAAACAGCTCAAAAAGTTCCTTCAAAAGCTGTTGAGTCTGTGTCTGTGTATCTCGGCTGGTTTGCCTATCTTTTGCTAGCAGTTTGTTGAAGCAGCGAAAAAAGACTGACTGAGACACATTGCCGTTTCGATCCGCAGAAGTCTGAAAAAGCTTAAATATGTCGTTCACGTCGTACGCGCCAAGGTTCGTCAGTTCCTTCATTTCATTAAGCACTCCTTTTGAACGCACTAACGAGAGTTGAGGAAACGATACAGTGCTAGTAATGGAGGGCGATGCGGCTACTTCGTGCGGTTGCAAAGGCACCTGAGGAATACTGTGACTGCTATACCAGTTAGTGAACTCTTCAAAGCTCAAACGACCGTCTTCATTGGCATCAGCAAGTGTGAATGCATCTGCTGTAGTGATTTGAGCAAGCTCTTCTGGAGAGATACCATGAAGTTGATGCATCGTCGCAGGAGATGTTATAAAAACTATCCGGTATACTGAGGCCAGATATGTTTCCATCTCATCGCGGGAGATAAATCCGTCCTGATTAATGTCAAACAATGTAAATGCAGACTTAACTTTCTCTTCCTGCGTTCCGCCGCACAATACCGAAATGCCGCTGGATAATTCGCAAAAATCAACAAAACCATCGTGATCAGTATCAAACCCATCGAAAATTGTCTCCATGATTTTCTTCAGTTGGTCCCTATTCTCAGTACTCAACTTGAGCTTCGCAGTTGCCGCATGATCCTTGACAAGGTTGGTGATGATAGCGAGGAAGGCTTTGCGCGACAGGACGCCGTCTTCGTTTACTTTCGCTGCAATAACCTCAAAAACATGACTGGTACTTCGATCACAGAGACCGCTAAGCGAGGCAACAAAACTTGTTGCTTTAACTGCCTGGTCGTCGTGCATCCCATGCTGACACTGAAGATCTGCAGGTTCAAGTACACCTGTTGGTAACTGTTGGTAGTTTTGTCCATGAGCCCAGTACCACGAGCGAAATTCTTCCAGCGACAGCTTTCCATCGCAATTTACATCTGCTTCCTCAAAGGCTTGCTTCGTTGTAAAGTGTGCAAGAGATTTAGCATCAATTCCGATTGACCGCGTTGAGACTGTTGAAGTTTCGTACATGACGTTAAAGACCGATGTCAGAAACGCTTCCATCTCCTGCTCGGTGATGTATCCATCACTGTCGGCGTCAAATTGCGAAAAACCTGCCAACACTTTGTCCTCATTCGACCCGCCGCACATCACCAAAAGTCCGCTACTCAGCTTCACAAAGTCCACGGAGTCGTCTTCATCCTCGTCTAACGCATCAAAGAGTCGATCCAAAAATGTTGTAATTGCACCGGTAGGCTCCCGGTTCAATCTCTCCAAAATGGCATAAAAACGTCTCTTGAATTCGGCACGGGTAAGAACTGCGTTCTTGCCTTCATCACTCGTTGACAGCGCACCGAAGATGGAAATTAGATCGGAGGCACTAAGCGCTGAGAGACCTGTAACCTCGCAAAGCGTGGCTAAGTCAAGTCCCTCCGTTGGCTGGAATTCGTTTATGTGGTTCTTTGTTTTTGCGTCGCTGTTGCCATATTTAGCAGCAGCAAGATGGGTAGGTCCAGGCTTTGAGTACCATTTTAGGAACGCTTCATACGACAGCTTTCCTTCCTGATTCAATGTCGACTCTTCAAAACACTGGCTTGCCGTTATGATGCCCAACTCCGCTGGATTGACGCTAAATACATTCAAACAGGAGCCATAAAAAGCAGTTAATAAGCACATCACAAGAAACATTGTCGCATATTGTAAACGTACTCGTTCTCCTGAAAAAGTTCTGGTGATGTCTTACTAATGACGAGAAACACTGCTGTCAAATATTTTGTCATCTCGTCTTTCGAAATAAATCCATCACCGTCCGTATCATAAAGATCAAAGGTCAATCGAATTTTCTCACCACGTTCACCACACGCAAAGACCGAGACACCTCCTAGGAAGTCCGCCACATCTACAATATTCTTCTGTTGACTTTGCACTTCAAACATATTAAACAACCTCGTAAACATTTTCCTCGCCTGTGGATCATATCGTCCCGATTGCGACAATATCTTCTCCAAGCAGCGAGTAAATGTCATCTCATCCAACGTGCCTATAGGACAGGCTTGCATAAACACATTCACAAGTTGCGGTAACTCAAAATCCGAGAGATCAATTTCCAGTTCATTTTCCGTGGACATTGCAGCTGCTTTTAAGTGTCGATTCTTCTCATCTTCATCGTCTTGTGAGGTGGTTGAAACGTCTTTATTGTGTGCAAGTTTTGTGCCGGTACACCTTGGGACTACCTGGAAGTCAGAAACCATGCGGGTTCGAACCCCACGTTTACGACTGTGAGAAGAAGGTTGATGTCTCAATAGTTTGCTGCTTTCGAAAGATGAGCCTTTTTCAAGTACTAATTCATACACTCCATTGTCAAACAATTCAGGAGAATAACAAAGAAATGAGAATGGATACAATACGTCACTTGAGGCATGCCGCACTGCTATGGGCATGTTTGAATGATCATCACTGCGCAGTGATGGAAAGCCCGCAATGACGCATTGTTGTAGCTCCACTAACGATACATTAGGATATAATAAAACATTTTGCATTTCATTATCAAATAGTAGCGTAATGGCGCTTACACGCGCTGTCATCTTAAGTAGTAAGTGTCTTGTCCAAGCTTTTCTTTTATACAGTCACTATAAAATGGCTTTTATTCAAATTGCAAAAGGAGAGATCCTATTTTTTCATTACTTTTTGAATAGACAAATACGGTACTATAAGATAAAATACGATAAATTCTCGAAGCTAGCTCGAAGCCTTATTTTAGAGCAGTTACATACATTATCTTTGTACCCTATTATAAGTCTGTCGCTTTCGTGCATAGAAATGTTTTTAGTGGAAAGCACATGGCTCGTTTATGTAGAAATTTCCTATTGCCCGCCGTTACTAGTGCTCAGCTATTGGTCAAGCTTCTTGCACACGCCGAAGATAATATGGCGCTTGCAATCTTTTGACATTCACCTCACTGTGGCTTAAGGCACAATGTAGTACGCTAGCCCTGCATACAATAGTCACGGCGTTGTCGAATCCCGCAAACTAGCTGCACATGTCTGTACGAGTAACCAACAGTATCGTCAACAAGTGCTCCCCCCAAGTTCGTCCATGATCTTCTGTATCGCTCGTAGCTGAAGTAGAATGCCAAATCACCAGCTCAACGATAAAGAAGAATATTGCTGTCTACCGCATCGCATGATTCGATCTTTTTTCGCAAATGCTGTCGATAATGAAGGTATATGGAAGGAAAGATGTTGTATGTATTAGTTTATGTAAAAGGCTTTTGTCAAGTGCGTCCGCCGGCTATCTATCTAGCTGGACCATGAATACCAAACGAAGCCGCTAGAGAGAGGCGTCATAGTGCGAAGATGGGTATGACCAACTTTTTGCAGGCATCTTGATGTGCCAGATCTACCAATTTATGAGAGACGGATTTACAATCGGGTAGGATGTCATGAGGTGGTCGTGAGAAATAAAAGGACTTTTGAACTTTTGAACCATGTGCTCCCATGATGCTAACTCAACATTTGTTCAAATTTGAGCATCTATATCAAGCATGATACAGTCAGACTTAGGGTATCTTGACGTCCCTTACATGACTGTATGATAATAAAGTTTCGTGTTCATCTAACCTTAAATCGTGAGATCTGATATGTCAGATTGTGAGATCTTGTACCTTTTTTTCGATCCATTCTTGCCTTACGTTATACTGTTGTCTACTAATAGTATTGATGGTATAATTGCTGGTACAAAATTACCGCATGAGCGAGATTGAGGTTTGATTGTAGAGCAAATTCTAAAAATCTAATCTGCCATAATGCGACAAAACCGCCGCCCATCGAACGAGATAGAGTGGTCTATTGAAGCTTGTAAGCCAAGATGTTATCTTGATTCCGCAGCTGACGCTAAAACCTCATCTAAACGTACATCGTACGCAATGATAGTAGATTAATTAAGAGTATCAAGGACATTAAGCTCTTGTACTAGATCTCGCTCTAGCTTGATCCTGGTTGGGCTATGCCTTTGGCTGGTGGCTGTGAGTGTACATGTCTACCATTGTGTGCACACACTCGTTGCGTTCAGCAAGAAGAATCTACTATGATTGACAGGAGAGGAAGGTACACGCCAGCAGATTCCCCGACTTAAACGTAGACGTTGCTTCTAGTCAATGCAGAGGCGCATGAACAAGGACGCACACGTAAACGGAGAAAAGAAAGACACAATTAGCAAATGTATTGGTGTGGCATTTGTTGGATCAAGAGCAGACATCGGCCACGACCACTCAGTCTTAACATTGTTTGACAATTCTCTTTAGTGAATGTAAATAGTAACCGCTGCTCTTTTCATGGTCAACTGCAGTGATGTTTGCGGTTGAGTAACCATAACTGAACCAGCTTCAAGCCTTCGTAGCACTATAACCAATATGGAGACCTTCTACGACACACTGGGGCTTATAGGCTCCTTCCTCGTGTCAGCAGCTCTTGTGCCACAGATCATCAAGGTGTATCGCTCCAAGAACGCAAAAAGCATTAGCAAGACTTTCCAGTCTGTCTTCGTTATTGGCATCGCGTGCATTACCGCCTACGGTATGGGCAAGGGTCTCTGGCCCATTTGGATCCCATCAAGTCTCGAATTACTTGGCAGTATTGTCCTGCTCATCATGAAGCACTACTATGACCGGTGCGATACGACGTGCGTCAAGAGTGAACGAGATGAGGCGTTTACGGAAGTTGCAACGGAGGATGCCGTGCGTAGCTCTTCATTTACGACATACTAGCCCTATACGCCATCGATCTACGGTTGGTCAAAATATCATAATTAATGGTATTCTATACGCTGAAATTAGTATTGCTGCATTTTTGCCAATCATCTGTCGGTTCTGGTAAGAGCACTTGTCAGCCAGGAAACGTCATTTAATTTACTTGAGCACTAGTAAAAAGGTATTTGCAGTCGACCCCTCGGTTCCACTTTCTATTATTTTGCAAAGATGCCACCGAAGAAAACTGGAGGATCAGGTCCGTCAAAGAAGTCGACTGAGAAACAAAAGGAAAAGACTTTGGAGGATAAGACCTTTGGTCTTAAGAACAAAAAGAAGAGTAAGAATGTGCAAAAGTATATTCAGGAGGTGACCAAGCAGGTAAAAGGCGCCAACACACGCGCTGAACGCATGAAGGATCAAGAAGCAAAGAGGAAAAAGGATGCCAAGGCCGAGCAGGAAAATCTCAAGAGTCTCTTTGCGGCCGCCATCACACAGCCCAAGGTGACTGCCGATTTTTTTGTGTATTGTAGCCGCTACCATCCTTACTTTGTCGTTGACTATGATGCGTAGGTTCCTCCTGGAACAGACCCTAAGTTGATGCTTTGTGCTTTTTTTAAAGCAGGCGTGTGCACAAAGGGAAACCGGTGCAAGTTTTCGCATGACTTGATGGTGGGAAAGAAGGCCGCTAAAATTGACTTGTATACGGACAACCGTGCCGAAAAAGAAGACGGTGCGATGATTAGATTATATACTCGTATTGACACCAATAGTCTTTACTTAACGTGGTTTATTCGTGGAATACTGTATCTACCAGATCAAATGGACACATGGGATCAGGAAAAACTGGAAAAAGTGGTCAATGAAAAGCACCACGAGAAACACACGAAGCAAACGGAAATTGTGTGTAAATACTTTTTGGATGCAATTGAAAAGTCGTTGTATGGTTGGTTCTGGGTGTGTCCCAACGGTGGTACCTCATGCAAGTACGTTCCGTGTCGGTAAACTCGTGCTCGCATCGTAAGTATTTTGACTGACAGTTTTTGTTATGGTGATTTTATTTGTATGACGTAGATACCGCCATGCTCTTCCTCCTGGATACGCATTCAAGTCGAAGAAGGATCGTGAGCTTGAGAAGTCAAAAAAGATGGTGGAGATCTCTATTGAGGAAATCATCGAACAGCAGCGTGCTAGGTTAGGTCCCAATGGAGGCACACCTGTTACGGAGGAGTCACTTGCGAAGTGGAAGGTGGATAAGCAAGCTCGAAAGAAAGCAGATGAGGTGAAGCGACTAAAAGAGCAAGCTAAAAAGACTGGCGGTCGCGGCATCAGTACGTTTACAGGTTGCTTGAACGTCTTTAGCACCGTGGAAAGGTTCTTAATCTTCATTTTTTCTCGTCTCTGTTGCAGTGAGTGGTCGTGCGCTATTTACGTTCGACCCGACCTTATTCCGTGATGATGCGGATGCTGATGATGAGGCATACTCTATTCACAGTGAGGAAGAGAACGACGACGATGTGCAAAACTCCTTCCCGGCCGTTGATGCAGCAGCAGCAGTGATGGACAAGAGCCTCTATCTGCAAGACGTGGATGATCTTGATTTGTTGAAGAAGTGAGCAATGACTTCCACTATCTAACGGCGACAGCAAGGAAAAGACTCGCATGGGGGTTAGGACAACGAGCTGATTGTGGCGCATTTCTAGCGCTGTATTGAAAAGGCAAGTACAAAGCATATGTATATGTTGTATGATACGTCGGCCAAGAAAAAAAGCCTAAAGACTCATGCCGGAAAGCAACAAGACTGACGGGAAATATACGTCTGGTTTCCGAGGACGCACTCCAAGCAATTATACTGTGCTACCTAGTTCATCATCTCGTCTTCGTAATCATCACCCTCGTGTCCAGGATTCTCTTTATGTGCGTCTTCGTTGGCATCGCCAAAGGTAAGGATCGTCGAGCTTGCGTTCTTAAGCCGTCCAACGATTCGCTCCGCCCGCTACAGCAACAATCAAGAGTTAGAGGACGGAGGCCGAACGCGTTTAAATGCCAGCAACGCACATTTTCTTGCATACGATGCAGCTCGTCCATTCCAGCCTGAATCATGGCCGCATCATTTTCCAGCTGACTGTAACAGGAAAGAAGGCGTTGGACGACACTGTGAATTTGTATTAAGGACTGTGTGGACGCACCGGTGTGTCGTCAGGAGATGCTTGAGCGTGCTTGTCAACTGTACAGATATCACATTTACAAATCAAAAATCTGGCCATTGGTCAGTACAATTATAGTATGTGTGCGGCTCGCCTGCTTAGCCATTTCCTTCAAGTTGACCACTTTAGGCGCTTCCACTGCGGTCGGAGACTGCTGCTCCGGTTCATCTTGTGTCTCCTGCATCATCTGTGACGTTTCTATCTCTACGTCTTCCTCCTCATTCTCCATCATACGTGCTCGTCCTCGCGTTACAGGCATCGTTTGTTACCGCTCTTCTCACCTCTTCTTACCTTTTCCTTTTCACCTGGAGTGAAAGGCAAGATGCAATGTTGTGGTGCGGAACAGAGTGCAGGTCACTTCAACCAATTCATCATGTGACACGAAGGTCGTTTGGAGGTACCATACGAGCCTCAAAGTAGCAACAAAAATGACGCCGGCCACGACATGTGTGATGCTGGTGCTCATCTGCGTGTTGAGCTTCTCCATCCGCCTCTTTCCGGTCGTCATATGGGGCAGTGTGCGTTATCATTATATGATCGACTCCATACATCTCCTTACCTTTGTCTTATCCTCTTTCTCCAGGTTATCCATGAATTTGATCCGCAGTTTAATTTCCGAGTGACCAAATTTCTAGCCCAGCACGGCATCTACGAGCTAGTGGACTGGTTTGATGACCGTACGTGGTACCCTTTGGGGCGTACTGTAGGCACTACAGTGTATCCTGGTCTTATGGCCGGGGCTGCAGGGCTGCAATGGTTTCTGACGCGAGCACTGCGCATGCCGATCTCTATCCGAGACGCCTGCGTCTTCCTCGCACCAGCCTTCTCATCTCTTGCTTGTGTGGCTCAGTTCTTGCTAACTTATGAGGTTACAGAGAACGCATTGACGGCGCTTCTATCAGCTGTGCTACTGAGCGTGTCGCCCGCGTACATCTCGCGGTCAACTGCAGGTTCTTTCGACAATGAAGGCATTGCAATTTTCCTGCTTGTATTGACCTTTAATTTATGGGTAAAGGCAGTGAAGACGGGCATGATGATCTGGGCTGCACTTGCTGCGGTTTGTTACTTTGCTATGGCTCTATCGTGGGGAGGATACGTGTTTATCATCAACATTGTCCCGATCCACGTGTTAGTGTTGTTGCTCTCGGGCCATTACTCAGCCAAGGTTTATGTCGCGTACTCTACGTTTTATCCGCTAGCGACGCTAGGTGCGATGCGGGTGCCATTTATCGGATTCAATGCAGTACTTCAGGGCGAGACTGCTGGATCTCACGGAGTCTTTGCGCTTTTGCAGGGTCAGTTTTGTTGGCTTTTGATCATGTTGTCCTGCTTGTTTTCTTAGCGTTTAAGTGGCTGACGCTAAACTTTTTATCTAGTGTATGCTTTCATGCAATGTTTATCTACTCAGATATCACAACGCCACTTTCGGTGGCTTCTTCAAACTTGCTTGAGCGTTGGTGCAGCTATCACCGCTATTGGTTTGCTGTTTGCATTCTTGTTAGGAAAACTTCAATGGAGTGGGCGAAGTTTGACACTACTGGATCCAACGTACGCGTCCAAGTACATTCCAATCATTGCATCAGTGGGAGAACACCAACCGACTGTGTGGTCAGCGTTTTACTTCTCACTTGGACCAGCGATGTTGTTTGTTCCTTTAGGAATGTTTTATTCATTCCAGAAACTGGATGTTAGTTTTTTATTTATGATCGTCTACAGCACATTTGCTTTCTACTTTTCAGGTATCATGGTTCGGTTGTTGCTCACCGTAGCTCCAGCAGCATGTTACCTATCGGCAGTTGGCGCATCGGGATTTATTCAGAAATTTCTGAAACTCGCGCGCAGAGATGCAGCCGAGGGGAGCATTTGTTCAGCAGGAGAAGGGAAAACCAACGAGACAATGAACGCTAACGTTCCAGCAGACGAAGAGAAAGAAGATCCAAGGAAGTCGCACATAGAAGACATCGTGTTGGCGCTTGGCGCTAAATTGCGATTTCAACCTGACAAAGAGGTTGCTGGCAAACAGCATAAGTCTCCAAGGGCGCTTCAGCTGCTTGTTTTCGCTTGCGGGGTACGTAACCTTGTTCTATGCAATGAACAATTTCTGCTCAACTCGCTCTTGCGTTACAGCTTCTCTTTGTTACTCACACCCGCCATTCGTCTAAGCTTGCCAAGAAAGTGTTCTCATCAACGTCACTTGTATTCGAAAAAATGAACATGACAACAATGAAAAAGGACTTGCACGACGACTACCGTGAAGCATTTGCCTGGCTGCGACAAAATACTCCCGAAAACGCCAAAATTTTGAGCTGGTGGGACTACGGATACCAGATCGCCACGCTGGCAAATCGTACAGTATTAGTTGACAACAATACGTGGAATAATACGCACATTGCTACTGTTGGTCGTGTATTTACTTCACGGGAAGACGACGCACTGCCGATTTTACGCAGCCTTGATGTCGACTATGTGTTCTTGATGTTTGGGGGTAAAGTTGGCATGCCTGGTGATGATCTCGATAAGTTGCCGTGGATAGTCAAGATCTCAGAGGGAGTGTTCCCTGACGATATCATTGAGTCCGAGTTTCAAGTGAATGGACAATATATTTTTCATGAGAATGCAACTCGCGCCATGACGGAAAGTGTTCTTTACAAGCTCAGTTATTTTGAGTTTAACCAAGTACAGAGCTTACCGGCAAAAGACAATGAAGATCCCGTTTTTGGATGGGATATGAACCGTCGATTTCGAATACCAGAACGCAACATTGAGCTACAATATTTTGAGCACGCGTTTACTTCGGATGCTTGGATGGTTCGGATTTATCGGGTCAAGTCTCTCAGGTAGGCGCTGCATTCTTTTTGACTTGATTCAATGCTAAAATATGCCTCGCTTTCTGCATAACATTAATGTGAAAAGAGAACAGGTTGTAATGCACAAATCAAAATGAAAAGCAGCGGCTGAAATTAAAACAAGAAACAAGCCGCTATCACAAGAATGCCGAAAAAAGCGCGAGGCAGAAGCTTCTATGCTAATGTGTATCGCGTTGCCGTACCGCTCGTCTCAACTCACAACTCCTCGCTTCCTGACACAAAATTCACATCTACCCTCTCTATTGTATAGCCCAATTTTTACAACACAAGACATTCACCTGGTCTTTCTCCTTCCTCTTCATCTGCTCTCAGACCACGCAAACTATTATTCCTCCCGCGAAGAGCCACTCAAAACTTTCAAGTTGTGTCCTGATCGCACCGCGCTAGTACATACCCGACAAGGTGAAAGGACGATAACAGCTGCCTTTACTACTAAGGAGACACTATTTGCGTGAGGTTATCGGGCTCTGCATGCTACGGTTACGACATCGCCTGGAGCTGCACACGCGCATCATTCAGCATCTGCACAACCGATTCGCTGTCTGGACGAAGTGCCGGGTCGAACTGCAGACATGCACGAGAAATACGCAGAATAACATCGGGACAGTCCGGTGCAAAGCTTGGCCGCAGCTCGCCCTTAGCCACCTTAATCACAATAGCCATATCGGGCGCGCCGCTGGCTCCTGTCTTCGTGCTTTTTTCCTCAAAAGGTATCTCACGCGTATCCAGCTCACTCAGTACCACACCGAATGAGTACACGTCGGCCTGCTCACTGTAATTGTCACCCAACATCACCTCAGGTGCCGTCCAGCGTACCGTGCCCACACCAGCTGTCAGTGTCTCCTCATACGTGCGGTTCCGGCTAAGACCAAAATCGCTTAACTTTGCCACCATGCTCGAGTTCAACAGCACATTACGTGACTTGAGATCACGGTGAATTATTTTCGGTGAGCGCGAGTGCATATAGGCAAGTGCCTCGGCAATGTCAATAGCAATAGAAATCTTTTCTTTCTTCCAGCTGAGCTCAATCTTATGGGTCTCCAGCAACGTACGGACGTCACCGCCATCCATGTACTCGGACACACCTCCCAAATCCTTCTTATTCGTCCATGTGCAGCCAATGAAACGTACAATCTTGGGGTGCGATAGTCTCGACATGGTCTCAATCTCGCGAGAGAAGGAAACGGCCTCATCCTCCCCGTCAATCATGCGCTTTATCGCTACAGGTTGACCATGGTAGTGGCCCAACCAGACAACCCCAAAAGCACCGCTCGAGACCTTACGGGTCAGCAGCACCTCAGTCTCATCCAACCGGAACTTGACAAGCTCTGGGAAGCACGTGTCCGAGGCCGCACGGTTGCCACCAGCATTAGAGGCAACCAATTTTGTGCGCGAATTGCGTAGAGCTGCCTGTGCGGAGGAGCGACGCGGCTGATGGCCTGAAAAGCCGCCATTATCCATATTGCGTGTGAGGTCCGCATAATTTGGCTCGTTGTAACGCCCAGTCTCGGAGGCTTGTGGATACTTCTTCGGTTCTTTGCTGTTCAAGCACCCCATGATAGCAGATTATTACTGTGAAGAAGGACGAGTCGTATCAGATAAAAAAAAGTCTGGCGAGATGGACAATACACAATTAGAATAGCCATTAGCCAAAGAAGCAGCTGCGTCATTAAGTTCTTACGCTGTCGTGGAAATAAATACGGTTAAAGTTGGTAGCGAGCAAGGGCGCTGTGCTGCTGCTATCTCTAAACAGCTGAAAACTATTCCCACGATTTCTGCCTTGAACAAATGGGAGCTACTGCCTCTGGACGAATTGGAACTGCTGCTGAGTCAGTGAGATCGCCTTTTTTGTGGAGTAGAGGGAGTTTAAACTGGCTCCGTCAGTGTACTCAGCGAAAGGTACATTTTATGCGAAATTATACAATTTTGACTTAGGTCTGTGTGTCGTCGATGTCAACCATCTGTAACCTCACTAAAATGATAATGTGTACATTTCGAGCTAAATACTGATAGATAAAATACTGGTTTTGTTTACATCACGTAGTATGCAAATCTCGCCCAACAGATGTCAATTTGGTCGTTTCTTTTTATTAGCAACTCGCGTAGGATTCAATAAATACGGCTTTAGTATGATACATCCAGACCCAACACTTTCATGTGGTATTTCTCTAAGATAAACAGACACTAGAAAAGGGCTATGTTAACGAAACGTCAATAATGCCTAGGATTGGTTCAGTAGATAATGATTTGCCTTGACTGAGTGGTGCTGGCAGTGAGGACCTGCAAGTTCTTCACAAACTTGTGGCCAATGGTAGACCAAACTAGTTGCGCCGTTCTAATGGGAGGAAGGCAATGCACAGCATTGTTAAGAAAATAATTAAAGAGCTTGATAGTAGGAGCTAAAAACTAGTAGTGTTAACATGATTGCCACGACTGAGACTTCAGGAGCAAATGCGGCTGTTTTTTATCTCGTCGCGTCAACGGCTTTCCCATTGTTACATAGCAGCCATAACATCACTTCGCTCTATCAGCGAATATGCACTGACCACATAAGCATATTCATCATGCGCTACCCTATCGATCGCCATGGACGTTTGACTTTGTGAATAGTAAACTTTCAGGCTTGTACGTGATTTGAACTTGAGTTTCAATCATTTGGTTGCAGAAGTAGACTTGATCACGAATCTGTCTCTGCGCATCGTTGCATGGACGCTCGAGTACTCTACAGCGTTGCTTGGTATTATGTATGACATAGATGACTTACCTAAGACGTGACAATAGTTACCGGACGGCACTAGTTTTAATAAACACGTCAGGCGGGGGGTATCTCTGCAATCTATGCTCAAGCAGCACTTAGGTCAGGACGGACGCTAACATTACCTGCAAAAGTAAGTAATAGGGTTTGACTTTCTTCCAAAATGCAAGTTTGACTCGATCTGGAGAACATGGGTCTGCATTCTTCTCTCCACGGCTTAATGGTTTCGACACGTTTCCTCTAGTAAAAGCCGCTACGACAAAATTGTACGTATGCTACAATTTATGGCAAGGAGTACTTTGACTGAAAAAATCAACGAGGCAGACAGCAATAGAGCTGTTATTACATTTGAGCTCATTAGTCATGAAAAATGCTTGCGATAAGTATGAATACGCCAGCGTCGCTTTCGGATTATACTATAGAATTTGCTCTTATATCATCAACTGTTTATGCACACGGATGGCGCGGAGAGCTGCAAAAACAGTGTGTGCACTTTAGTTTGGATGCAAAGAATTATGAAAGTTTATCTTTTAATGTATTCCAAAGCGCATTCTGATGGCAGCAACATAGTATAGTATCATACATCAATCAACAGAGACCAGCAAGTTGACGGTCTGTTTGGGTGCATTGCTCCAAATTAAATCATGATGACGTATTCTTCGTTACTTGTTGCGTAAAGCAAATTCCCGCGCAGTCGTTCGAAACCATTTGCTATATAAGCTATCTGTGACCTGCTTCGAAGACTTAACATATACAACACCATGACGTACTTCTTGTTGGAAATTGCATGGCTGTAGTCAAGAGTACTTGATTGCAGTGTAGCTATCCCAATGCACTCGCATGCATTATGCCTGCTAACTATTATACAAGCCTTGGTAGAACTCAACGTCCGCGAAAAGAATTGATCATGAAAGCAGGGCCATCGATTGTTCATTATCTTTTAAGTCAGTTAGTCGTTTCGTGCTACATGCATCAAGAGGCGTGTTAGTGAGGTTGGAGTGGCGGCTAACGACTTAGGGCCTGTCGTATTATTAGCTTCGGTCAGCTTCGGCTGCAGGAAATAGCTTCGATGAACATGAGCGGTAGAGAAAAAAGACAGATAACACAAGGGCAAGAGATAATGACAGAATCCTTTTATTCAACTCCAGACTTCCTCTCTGACACTAGCACAATTGCTAGCAAACAGGTTATGAGCCCAAGATCAGAGAAGACAGACAACGCCAAAGCGGCAGAGGCACCGCCGACCCAGTCACGTAAGGGCTGCGTCGAAGCCTGCTGTAGTCATACCTCCACATGCTCACAAAATAAGCGGACATCCATGCGCTAGAAATAGTTCTCACAATGCTGAGCGGCATGGACGAGCGCATGAAGATGTAACTGTCTCAGCAGAGGCTTGGTAAAGACGAGCGCTGTTGACAGTAGTATGCTCGGCTCCATGCTAGGCGATGACTTCGCGGGTAGGCTACATCGAGATGCTCTTTAATGCTCGGAGTTGCCAAGTCATCAATCCCGCTACATGCGACAGATCAGGGAGTTGGGCACAGGCCAAACGTTTAGCAACGTGTGCCGCTGAGCGTACAGCCGCTCCCTTACCCGCCTGCTCAGCTACCACCGGATAGGCGGGACCGCTACCGCAGCATAAAATCCCTGCTCAAGCTCTTGCGACGGCTCAGAACAGGACTCCCGCAAGGCAGAGATAGCTTTCTATACGAAAGCTCGACGAGACCGAAGTGTACGTCGGACTGTGATCCGGCTTATTTGATTGGGGCAAGACCCTCTGGCGACAGGTGGACATGGCCCAAGAGTCGTGCGGATTTTCGATAGACAGACAATTTGAAGACTGACGTACTGGGACAGTGCTTGGCGGGCACCGCAGAGTGATACTTCAACAACTAAGTCGAAACATGGTGGGCTAAGCTACCGACTTTGCAGTACGTGATGCAGCGTATGCTTGACAAATTCAAGATCAACATCACTGTGGCTTAAGCAATGCAACTATTCAAAGCAAGTAAGTCATCAGGAGATCGTGGCCAGAACATTATTTCTACTATGTTGCCGTCAGTGATGCAGCTTGAGGGGAAGAGCAACGGGTACTCGACGATATTGTTCACAACTTTCGACAATCATGATGGCGAAGTACTAAACTCATCGCCTCGACTACCTCGTACATGCTGGTGCACACGCACTTTGCGAAGACAGTTGAGATGGAATCTCGATCAGGGCGTGCTTTTGCCAGAGAAGTAGTTGCTAGTCAACGTTTCAAAAAAAAGACACACACCTGCTATGGATGAGGAAGGCCAGGACATGTTAAGGCTGATATTCAAAGCAAGAAGACTGGGAGCACAAAAGGAGCCCTAGAGCCAAGGGCGGTGGGAACATTGTGCTCGCAATTGGCAAAGGCACTAGTGTGAAGAGCTTGCGTCATGCCAAGTTGGGCCAGACACTGCCGATTGGAGAAAACATTGATCGCGATGGCGACGGATAGATTCTAGCTGATTAACGACTCGTCTTTATTGCAAGGCGCAAAAATGTGCGAACATGAGTGACATATGGCGGATGGTGAGTCAGTCAAGCTGTCACGTGTTGGTGACATGGTACTTACTGTGGTAGCAAGAGAGCAACAGCGGGAAGTTTCGTTGAATGGAGTTTATTACGCGCCAGACCTCGCGCCATACTAGTTCGTACGGCAAGCTCGAGCGCGAGGGGTTCGGGATCGTTTATGGTGGCACAAAGCGCGCACTACCAAGGCACCAGATGAAGCGATGGTGAAGTCGTATTCGACATATCGATGGATAACAATGTTTCTAGGCCAAGAAATTGAGCCCAAAACACATTCCAAGTACATTAAGTGACGTACGGATGGCGATAATTACTCACGAGAAATCGAACGAGTTGGTCAAGGACATGCAGACTGGGTCACTATACCACTTCCACCAGCGTCTGGTTCATCTGGGTTACGACGCGGTGAGCGGATGGCAAAGTACCCAGCGTCAGGCGTTAAGATAACGGATCATTCAAGACCTACGTGTGTGTCGTGCGCTGAGAGGCGCACAACAAACCAAGAATGTGCAGTCACACCAGGACACGGGTGCTCACTCGCCGATAGACTGTATTGGCGGTATCCTATGGACCTTAAGGGTCCGATGACATTAAGGGACCGACTTGGGTCCTGTACTAAATTAATTTTGTGGAGCACAAGTCAAAAAAAAATTACTGTCGCGTATTTTTCGCTAGGACCAAGGATCAGACGGCAAAAGAAGGTTGAGCATTTTTGGCCTTTTTCTAGCGTCAATTAAACTGTCGAGTACATCTCCGAAGAGCGGACGGCGGAATGTTCACCTGTTTTGCAAGTCCATCGGTGTATCAAGAAAAGGCAGTGAAGCTAGAAACCAATCATTGAATGAAAAAGCTGATAGAATGCATCGAACGTTGCTTAATATGGCTCGCTCGATGATATTTGCAAGTCGACTAACGTTGTCGTTCTGGCGTGATGCAGCTGAGTATGCCTCATATATCCTCAATCGCAGCCCAACATGCGCAAACGACAAAAGAGCATCGTCTATGAATATACTTACACAGAGGGCTCCTTTTTTCGTGACATTGAGGTTTTTGGATCTGCGTGTTCTGGTTACCGCGACCCGCACAAGAACCCGCTGGAAGAAAGATCTCAAGTCGGCGTTATCATCGTACGCAGCGATGAATCCAAGCTACCAAGGATTTTTGCAAAAGAAAATATGGTCGTGGTTACTCAGCACGTAAATACATTGAAAGTCTGAGCGATGAGAAGAAACATCCAGTTGCAGAAAGCACTTGACTTTAAGGATCAAGCCTATGGTACGGTGTCGACATGCTCAGGTGAAGCAGTCTTGGTCTTGGCTTCAGAAAGTCGAAGAGGAAAGAAGATTTAGAAGTCATGAACACGATAATCACAGAACTTGAGGTGCATAAAAACGCGCGCAGTCTAATGGTGCTTAGGAGGGTAAAGAACGTGAATAGAGTGTCGTGGCTTACGTTTACGAGCGCGATCCCAAGAATATGGAGAAGCGATGCGCAGCGGCGAGATAGAAGGATGGAAGATAGCCATGCGTGAAGATAGAAGCTCTCGAATTTCACAACGTTTGGTGGTTGGTAAAGCAAGACTCCAGCAGTAATGCACTGCACATCAAAGGGGTATTTAAAACGAAGACCGATGCGCTCGGCGATTGTTTTGAGCGGTTCAAGGCTTGCGGAAATGAGTATGTCTTGGTATTGATTACCAAATATTCTTTGCCGCAGTTATGAGCATGTCAACGTTCAAGGTACTACTTGATCTGGTAGCGACATGGACAGTGCTTGCCAAGCATGGGGATAACCCAACGCTTACGTAAAAGTGGATAAAGAGTTTCACGTTGAGATATTTTTGCTGGTACCACAGCATGGATATTGGCGAAGAGACTATGAAAAATTTTGACGTTTCAAGCAGTAACGAGCTTTTGCTGGAGTTATTCAACAGCTTGTACGGCCTCAAGCAGGCTATCCAATTATGAGTCAGCTTCTTCACGCAAATTTGTGCAATGCGATGCGTACCGGACATGTGTCTCTACTGGAAGCGCGATGATAAGGACATTGTTGTGGCGGGTATTTACGTGGATGGCTTTTTGGTCACCGGCACTAATTCGGACGCAGTTGACCGTTTATTCGAAGTACTACCACGTTTGTCCGATCAAGAACCTTGACGAAGTGAGCAAGTTTCCTAGGTGCGAGTGGTATTTAGAGAAGATGGTGGCTATCTGCTGGACAAGGAGGAGACTATAAATGACTTCCTTCGTGAGCGCGGACTCTTGGATGCAATAGACACTTGTACCTATCGGCTTTGACTGCTACGAGGTGCACCCAAGTGATAGAGGATTTCTTGAGGTCAAGGGTAAGAATGGATTATCAACGGTGAAGGCGGTTCAGTCACTGGTTGGGTCGCTGCTTCGGGTTGCGCGATGTAAGCGGCCCGACATGGTGTTTGCAGCTCACAAAGCGACACATCAAACTCATTTATTACCGTTTCAAGATTGGAAGCTTGAAAGGCGGATGGCACGCTACATAAAATCACGACGTTGATAATACATTACATGACACCAAGCGAATGTACAAGTATGTCGATTGAGGTTGAAAATTATAGCGACGCCGATTTCGCCGCAGACAAGAATGACAGGAAGTCTCTGACCAGAGTCATCATACTTCTCAGTGGCATGGCGATAAGCTGTTGTTTTAAGAAACAGGGTGGCGTATCCTATCGATGATGGAAGCTGAATTTGTGGGGCGTCGGAGGTTGCGCGAGAGGTTTGAGGCATACGCGAAATGCTATGCAAAATTGTCGCAGTGCCAAAATGCCCATGGTAACGCATGCGGACATTCAAGCCGCTATTTGACAGCTTGAGGGTGAAGCGTCGTCGTTCAAGGCCAAACAACTCCTGCACCGAAGCCGAGGCAACAGGATGTCCAAGAATCGCCGTGCCATCGGGCACGAGAGACGATGAGGATACGACAGGACGAGCAGAGGAGCCACGACGGCCAGAACAAGGCGGGGAAGACGCCGCACATGCCGCTAGGGTAGGTTGAGGAGAAGATGCCGCTTCCACCGCACGCCGGGCGACAATGGAAGGCGGCACAACTGTGCTAAATGAGCACTTTTTGTGCTACAAGTAGATCGGAGATCGAAGCCGGAGAAGACGATATCCCTTAACGGCTGGCCATTAGGCAGCATAAGCGCCGCAGGTACATCGTGCTGCGGAAACTACTCCGTGCAATCCTGCAACATGTGTGGACCCGCCTGGTGGGTAAGAGCGACGATGGGTAGGAGGTTTATGCCTGCAAATTAGTCATAGATGACGTCATCTTTCAAATCGCGAAGGAATTTGAGTAAGGTCGACAGAGTAGCAGCGCTCGTTGGCGCTGTAGGGCTTAACATCGAGCTTCTGCCCCATTCAGGACACAGTCGTGCCGCCCATCTTGACCCCGGTGGTGCACGTGAAGCAAATGCCGTGACCGCGAACGCAGACAAGTCACAGAGCAAATTGAGTTCCTGGTTCCAGGTAGCTGACTGCGGCTCACGGTTAATGACGTGCAGGATATCCTGAATGCCAAACGCGCCGGCAATACGCGGAGCGGGGATAAACAAGGTGACCTTGTCATTCGTGGCAAAACGAAAGCGTTGAACCTCCCAAAGTGCAAGAAGCCAAAGTTTTTATGCAGGAACCTGGCGGGCGGAAGCTTCCTCGATGTCAGTGAAGAGCTTGTCCGTGAGCACATGGCGCATGGGGCGAACATATTGTTAGTGATAGGCTTGGCGAGGGTCCGGAACGGACTCTAGACGCGAGCAAAACGTAGCAACAATTCAAACTGGTGGTCGTAAGAGGCCGAAAGCTAGTTAATGAAGAAAACGGGCGGTCGGTACAAGGACAAGACGCGGGAGAAGACAGTTGGCTAAGAGATATTTGGAGTGAATGTCACATGAGTGGTACCTAGAAAATTATAAAGTAGAGAGCAAGTCTGGTTTAATAATAGGTATTTACTTTTTAGTAGAAGTAAACGTAAGTAAGAGTAGGGAAAAATACAAGTAGAATTAGGAAGGATGACAGCAATCTCAAGGATTGCATGACATGAGCCAAGCCTACGAGGACACACTGCCGCCTGGATGGAAGAAATATCCCGACGGAATGGCCACTACCTGCAGCCGTGCAGCCACCTGTGCCAAAACGGGGAGATTATCAGGATAAGAGGAGTTACCACGACGCTATGTATTGAAGATTGCGGGTCCTAAAACGATGGAAAATGCTTTTTTGCGTTCGGAACGAGTAAAGAATCCGCCAAAGGCGCATATGTCGACTAAACCGCGGAAGATGTTTGTAAGGCGCAAAAAGCATGCCAAAGACCGGCTAGGACTCTGGAAGCCGTGCCGGGAGAAGTACTGCCCCAAGAAGCCTGAACGCTCCGGGTGCAACGTACACCTAACACCACCACGAACAACACAAACGAAAGATAATGAAACAGAGACGGCGTGGACGACGACGACGCAGGAATTTAATGTAGGCAGTGCAAAGCGAGGATCAAATGAAAGATGTGGCTCACATCGACATGACTGGTAACGGGGGCGAAGAAACGGAGGCAGCACCTGGCTGCCTTTAGTAGAACCTGGAGAACGGAAAATGCACCAACCGATACACTGGCCGGCAGATGTGGAGTATGCAATGATCATGCTTGATCTCACCGGAATAAAAACCGACCCATACGGATGCGTGAGACGGTGTAAAAATCGCGGAATGTCTGAATGTTTGAAAGTACCAAGTGTACGAGGCGGCAACCTGTTTGTTGGCGCCAGAGAGTGCAAAACGATTCCGCCAGAGCCGGCTTCACTCCAGATCTCTCCGTATGGAATTGGCCGATTTGCATCACGTGCGATAGCCTTAGGAATCGTGGTATGTGAGCTCGTGGGAACCTATGTGATAACACCCAACGCCAGCGTTACGTTTACTGTGCGCTTACAGACAAGAAGAATTAGGGACCGAACCATGTGCATCAGCGCGGAAAAAAGGGGGGTTAAGCCCGATTCGCCGAGCAGGCATGTACCCTCCATTCAAATTTGTAGAAGTAGCGAGGAATAAAGGGCAAGTCTGGTGCCAGCAGCCTCGATTATTTTAGCTCCGATATGCGTATATTTGATTCCACTCCAGTATAATAAAGCCAGCCTGCACAGTTGCATATGAAAACAACTAGATGTAAAGGTATTAGAAAGATCGCAAGGTCGGTGGACTCAACAAGATAATTAACAGCATCACGTTTATCGCTCAAACTTACTTGAAAAAAATCTCACTCTGTCTAACAACACGACGGTCGCGCATTACGACGGTCACGCGTTACAGCGGCAACGCATTACACGGATACGCATAACAACGACACCCATACTTTGCGGCGATGAGGAAGCGGTTGGAACAATTTAGCTTGCTACAGCAAGGAATGTTTAATTGCTGCCTCGACGATTAAACAAACAAACCTCTAGTTGTAGGCTGTAAAGCGGATTTCCGTATTTATGCGCGCTGCGTGATTATATGTAAATAAAAGATGATATACATGAGGCGTGGTCCTACATAAATATCATTGTAAAAGACTTTTAATTAAAACAGCAAGATGGAGCGCGCTATGATTAGACGCGAAAAAGCTTCAGCAATATTTTAATATTCAAAGCTGCTGGATAACATGTTCATGACGTCAGCTCTGATGCACCTTGAAGCAGTAACTTCAATGCCATACAATGCGGGTACACTTGGAGGCACGTATGTGGATCACAATACATAGTGTAGGTACACTAATGGTGTATATAGCTCTCAGAGCAGCGATCATAAGACCTTACCGATTTTCCGTTTAGAAAAAGTTACGTGATAACAGGCTTGGTCCCGTAACAGCAAGTGTGCCGAATGAGTTTAGTGCTCCTGGACAAGACAGCACCGTAATTGAACTCAAATTTGTTGGTACGTCTGAAGTCGGACGATTGATTCAAGCACTAAATGATAACATATATATTATAGTTTGTCGCGTTAAGGTGTATTGATCGCTAGAAGATAGCTATGTAATTGTGGTAATGTAACGTTAGTTGTTTGTTTTGATTCAGCAGCGATGACGAACTCTTAGTGAATACCTAATCGACATGAGAGCTGCAAGCCTCTATCAATGATCGCTTCGGTAACAGTACGCGCTTTATTTCGTGCTTTGCAAAAGCCAAACGCAACAAAATTCGGCAAGCAAACATAAGCTCATGGAAGACACGATACAAAGTACTGTAGCAGAGCTAAACGTAGCTAGATTCGCCATAGATATCTAAAATTATCTTTGACCCCATACGAAGTTACGAGCAACCTAAGAACTTAACTAAGTACTATGGCCATGTGGGATACCTGCCACGATGTGACCCATTATGAGTCGACTTTGTCAAGTTCCAAAAAACTACAGACATCCACTAAGGCCGTACGCTATGTCAGTCAGTAATCAAATACAGCACCAAGATACGTCTGCATTTTAAGACCACAATTTTTTACTTAGCGTTTTGTAAAGCGTCGTTCGACTGTTTGGGGAGGGCGTAGTGTTTCATGTACTCTTCTCACCATTCCAGCAAAATTGGGCTGTTTCGAAGGTCGCAAATGTGTTTATAATTATTTTTCAACCGCAACAGCTCAAAACATCGCCTAGTGTTGTGTCATTAATCAGCCACTGCTGATATATGGCGTTTAGCGCTAGAGCAGGCTCCATCTTTTCAATTGCAATGATTATTTCGGGCTTCGAGGATCTTTGCGGATTTCTGCGAAGTGTTCCATAGATCGTGGTTTCATCGGTTGTAGTCCTTAATCGTTGTAGGTAGTCGATCCAACACACAGCAACTGATCAATTACATTTTCATCAAACTTTTCTTATCCAGCTTTGAAAACTCTAAAAACCGCTAAAGGCGATATTCCACCTTTTAATCCTCACTTTGTTCGCTCATTTTGGCCTGATTTTAGGTGGTTTACTTAATGTTTAAAGTTTCCATGATTTCTCAAAATGTTTAGGCCCAAAGTAATGAATGAGGGCATCGCACAGCTTCTTCACTTTAACAAACACTGGTCTTGTAGTATCCTACATACGGTTTCCAATGGTCCAAGTTTGGTTTGAACATAGTTGTCTATCAAATCGTGACGATTTTGAGTTTAGCGATCTCAGCAAGAAAGGAAACTTTCTACTCTTAAGTCTTGTGCTAAAGTGCTTGAAAAATTCGTGGAGAAGAATCTAAGACATTCAAAGAAGTACGGAAACGATTTGATTAGTCGAGATAGTTTTGATCTAGTGAATGACTGGCAGAATTTTTGGAGCTGATTATTGCGTGCACTAACAAGGTGATTCGCTTGATCAGCTCAAGAGACGTAATTTATGCTTGCATTGGGGCCAGATGAATCGCAATCTGGTCGCATGTTGCGATCGCGATATAATGACTTCGGATTGGGTCTACTACCAAATTATGATGGATGCTACAAAGGTGTTAAAGCAATCACACTATTTCTGCGACGATCAACCTGAAGAAGGCCTACTGTGGTGGCAATCTCGATCGGATCGCAATTGATGATCACAATATGGTGGATGGCAATATAGGCGATCGAGATATATATCGTTATGTATGGAGTTATCATAGGCCAAGGTGACAACGGCACGCCGGCACGATTTGATTGTACTTACCGTGGATGCGATCGATATGCCGACCTTGGTCTCCTAATGAGCGATTGCAATCGCAGATCAGGAATGTAGATCGGAACACTCACGGGGAATGGATTGATCACCAAGTGCCGCGTGGAAAGCAAAGCTTTTATGGCATATTTGACGCTTTAATTAGGCATGAGATGGCCGCTGCGGAATGTCGAGTTTGCGAGGATCTGATGAAAGTCGAGAGCAAAAGGTAAAGATTCTTGCTAGGATCACCACTGCATCATTTCCTTGATACTATTCTACTTTTCTAACCTGATCCGATACAACCAAATGAATCAATGCGTTTACGCACAGGCAAGTGAAAATTAATTTGTTTATGTCTTTTACCAACATAGTACAGCCTCTACTTTCTACCCTACGCTCCATTCGTACTTCATCCGCAGTAGATGCAGTTTCTTTGCTGAGATCATCTAGCTTTGTCTCTCTGCTTTTCCCTTCATTCTGACTTCATCGCTTGATTCAATAGTGGATATCGCGGCAATACGAACGATTTGAATGTGGGCCACGTCAAACAAGGTAAAATTAGGTGCAAGCAAGGGTGACGACTACATACTAGTCAGCCACCGTGTTGAAGACTTATGCGTGATTGAAGCTGATCTCTGGCCCAACCGAGATTGTTATCTTTTCAAGTCCTCCGAGAAAAGCGTACCCGCCCATCCGACGGCTGCACAAGGTGAAAAAGAAAATTTACGACACGTATCGGAGGCACCTCCGTTAGTAGGCCCTTGTAAGAGTCGAGTCATCGTTTGGTTCTTCTTTATAGGACATTTTCACCTATTTTATGCCATTTTTACTAATTCGAGGTAACTATACATCAAATTGAGGTAGCCGACTTGACGTTTCTTTACTGCAAAAAATGTCGATATAATCAAACCTTACGTTCATCTGCGGCACTGGAACACGAGCAAACTTAGGTAGGTGTAAGCCCAATGTACCCAAAGCACAGCGACACCAAATTATGTGGATGATCATGACATGCAGCAACATTTTTGCAGATAATGAGAGTAAAGCTGACTTATAAAGTCAAAGACACCGAGTCTCCCTCGAGTCGCGGCACCAAACGCTCACCGAGCGAGGAGCGGAAGCTTGCCCTAAAGAAGGCAACTGCCCTGCGCCAAGCACCACCACATCCCTCTTCTGGGGGTGATGATGAAGAGGTATCTAACCTTCTTGAATCTGTCCAGCATCGTCAGGTTGCTGACCTGGGCAGATCGTTTGGCTTAGTACGCACAGACACAGCTTTCACTTTGTGACAATGGGTTGATGGCGAAGAGGCAATCCAATATCTCGTTAGGATTCCCGAATTTCCCGAGTGCTACTAAAGCTCATGCAAACTAGGTAAAAAGACACGTCTGTAACTATTCTTTAAAGTTTCCGGTCTTGGCCAGATTAAAGGCAGCATTTTGAAAAGCCTTGTTTTGTTCTGGTTGAAGTATGTGAAAATATTCAACCAAGATAAAAAGAACAAGAACATAGTGGAACCGAACGAGAGAACTGGATAACTCGACGGTCATACAGGTTTCTCGATACTGAAGACCTTTTATGATAGAAACATGCTAACAGAAATGTATATCAAGCAGATTCCGCCAAACAAAGAGAAAAGCTGTACACAAAATATGCACCTAATTGACAGATACTTGGTGCAGCGAGACTGCAAGTGGCTAGCACTAGAGGAAGACTTAGACTCAGAGGGTCTCTTAGCTCTAGGAACTAACGATTCTACACCAGAATCAAGAACAGTCAAAGACCCAAGAGACATACACCTTAAAAAGGCTTTACTCTATTTTTTAAATGTAAACTCAACTTTACTATTGCTTGCGGCCATCGCTAATTGGCCAACGTGCAAGCTTACTTATAGCCGAATAAAATAATGTAATAATGTAAATTTATAACGCAACGCCTCCTATATGATGTGTACCTTATGTACATCTTACTTATGTGACCTACACACCATAACGTAACGCGTAACCCCGTTACACGGGCCAATAGTCAACGCAAACTCAGTGAGTTGTCGGGCTTACTCAGATGTCAGCAAACTTACGACCAACTCATTAAAGCTGTCGATGACTTTGACGTTTTTCTTTTATCTTCTAACTTGCAGTTGTGACATCAGCAGGTCATTTATATATTCTTTTGCAATGTAGATTGCTTTGTAAAAGCCCCTGAAGCTACATTGCAAATGTGTCTTTCTCGTACTATCAGTCGGCTAATTGAAAACAATAAGATCACTTAAAAACTTGACTTGTCCTTGTATTTGGAGGTGGCTAATCTATCCAAGCTAGTTCGTGCTAGTCACCTACAACCATCCTCAATGCTCGTGTTACAAGACATTGAAGCGCACCGTCATCCATAGCATCATGCATATTTCAACCAACCCAGCTGCTTTGTGATTGAAGACTCTCGCAATCTGGAGTCTTGGTTCCGCGTTTTTTCTCTCGATCCCAGCCATAATGTCCTGGCTACGATAGTATGCCGCTCATCTGTTTGTTTATCCGCATCATCAGCGTTTTCATCACCACTATCCTCGCAACAATGCATCCAGGCTTGAATTGCCGAGAATCGTCGTCCCAAACGTGGTTATCATCAATCTGAAAGAAAACAAACGACCGAATGTTTGATACGTCCGATCGAAAATGACGTTAAAGACTCCTCTTTTCTCCCAAATGTTATTGCTTGAGATTCGCAACTCTCACCCAACCAATTTGGTTCAAGCAGTTTTGGATAGTCGATTCGTCTGCATTCCACGCAATACAGAAGCAAGTATAGAGAGAAACCCATTGCACGTACGATGGTAGCTTTGCGGCTTTGTCATCGGAGAATGCAATCGTCCCAGCACTTTGTACGCTACATTTCTGCTTTATTCTCGCCTTCTCTATCTGTCGTATCACTTTCAGGCTCTGGATCGCCATCCAAGTCTTCTAATCCTGGTTCATTCGAGTCTCTCGCACGTACATTTTCGGCCATTGAGGTAGATCTTTTGGGTTTTGGAGTGGAAAATAGGATATCTAACGTTCTTTCAACGTGTTTCAGGAGGTGAAGAACTCCCGTGGAACCAGTGTTCGGCTGCTGGCTAGTGAGTATCGCCAACTGCTGTCCTTCCCAACGTCTCAGGAGCTGACGAGCGCCTTGTATCTCACGGCTTCACAGCTCGCACCGTCTTATGAAGGCGTAGAGCTTCAATTTGGGGCTAAGAGTTTTGTTAAACTTTTGAAGCAGTTAGAGGTGCAACGAGAAGGAGATTTAAAGACTCTGGAGAAGCTGCTGACGACGTATCCTGATTACGGACGAGCTACTCAAGCTCTCTTGGACAGTGGACGTATTGTGATCCCAGTTTTGGAACAAAGTGAAACGCAGCTGAGTATTCAGGCGGTGCATGAACAGTTGGTGGCAATTGCAATGGATGAAGGAGCTGGTGGAGTCACTAGAAAGCAGCAGCTGGCACTGAAACTGCTTCAGCAATGCAGGTAAAACAGCTCTTGGAGATTGAATCGGGCTGAGAACAATGTCTTGATGACACAGATCATTTCTGGTGTGGCTTATAGGTGCACTGAGGAACGAGTGTTTGTAGTTCGAATGCTGGCGGTGCGTAAGCTGTTGAAGGTCCATGTGTGCTGGAAATGAATCTAATAAGGACTGTGTGTACATGTCAAAGCATCAAAATCTGCGCATTGGAATGGGTGAAAAGTCGATTCTTTGGGCTCTTGCAATCGCAAGCGATCCGTCAACAGGAGAAGGGGCTCAGAAGCAAGACACTATTGCACCCTCAGCTCAAGAAAAGAGTTGGGTGGAATGCGTGACCGCCGCATACGCACAACATCCCAATTACCATGTCCTGGCCAAGCTACTGCGTGCCAGTCAGCATATAAATGATATTGGAAGAAAGATTGAATGGCTGCACAATGAAGCTCGTCCCTTGACGGGCGTCCCAGTGCTGACAATGTCTGCGTATCCAGTATCCAGCGTCGCGGCAGTGCTGGGCCGTATCAGCAAGTCAACCAGTCACACTGCCACTTGTGAATACAAATACGATGGTGCTCGTGTTCAGGTGCACCTGTCATCGCTAGACGACAGCAGCACATACTCTGTAAGACGCATCTTCAGCCGCAATATGGAGGATGTAACAGAGAAGTTTTCGTCTCTGTTGGATGTGTTGGTGAAGCGCGTGACAGCACACAACTCAAAAGCGCAAGGGTCAGCTTTTGGAAAGTCACTGATTGTAGAGGGAGAGGTCGTTGCGCTGGACCGGCAGACTGGAACGTTTCGTCCATTCCAAGTCCTGCAGACAAGAACTACGACTGAGTTTTGTCTGTTTTTGTTTGATCTGCTTGCTGTCGATGGCATCAACCTTCTTCAGGTACACAAGCGTGTTATGTCCTGCTATTATGACTCCTTGTTAATCTGCCCGATGATTATCTTTTGTTTCAGGAAAATCTTCGTAAGCGACGAGCCTTATTGCACGATTTGCTCGAGGAAGAGTCTGGATACGTCGAGTTTGTGAAGCATCTTGACATCAGCTTGGCATCTGGTGAAAATGTGCTTATTGAGGAGGATGTCGCTGAAAAAATGGATACCGAAACAGCACATGTAGCAAAGCTCGTGCAGAACTGTCTTGAGAAGGCAGTGGCATCTGGGTGTGAGGGATTGATGGTCAAGGCATTAGACGGTATCGATTCTGCGTATAAAGCTGGACGTCGATCGTTTTCCTGGATGAAACTCAAGCATGACTACTTGCTGGACCATTCGACTAGAAGCAAAAGAAAATCTGCTGCTGTGAGGGGTAGTGGAAATGGCACATTTCTCGTCGATACGCTGGATCTGGTTCCCATTGGTGCATTTTATGGCAAAGGTCAGCGCACTGGAGTATTTGGATCGTTCCTCATGGCAGCGTACAACTCAACTAGCGGCAAATTCGAGGTAACTGTGCTAAAAACTGCAAAAATGATCGTGGCCGGCGGTGCTAATTGGTTTTCATGTTCTGCTTTGCTGTGACTTCTGTAGACTATTGGGAAGGTCGGAACGGGCTTTTCTCACTCGCATCTGACGGAAGTGGCAGCACGCCTTTGCAAACAAGTTCTGCCTGCAACAGATGAAGTGCCAGAACAATATCAATCCTACAGCATTCGAAGTCGACATCCTGATGTTTGGCTCTCACCAGCGGAAGTATGGGAGATTAAAGCCACTCAATTGATCAAGTCTCCTTCATACACATGTGGCGCTATCGACTCGGTTGATGTTGCAACTGCTGGAATTCCTCGAAAAGGACTAGCGCTTCGATTTCCTCGATTTGTTCGGTATCGACCCGATAAAAAACCTTTGCAAGCAACAGATAGCGAACAAGTCATGGAGCTCTACCAACAGCAGCGACAACAAGTTCCTCACTAGACGTTAATGAGTGCAGAAGGCAAAGGTTAGTATAATTCAAGCTGTCCGAATGTAGCTAGATGAACCTAAATACCGTGTCTTCTCACTCTGATTAAGCTACCAGAGATATAAGATATACAGAACGGTAAAGACCCTGCAATTCCAAGGTACTATATCATAGAATCAGGTTGTCAAGAAGAGAGGCGGTAATACCCACTTTATGATACGTATGTAAGCCAAGACTTGATAAGATCCAGTCCATACGTTTCTCCTGTGTCTTTAGAATGTTTCAACAGTCTATTGTTTGCTTATTGGAAAAAGAATAGAAAGTAGCATTAGTAACGTTCTCAGCAACCTCTGAAGTAAGATTTTTGTCCAAGTGGCTACTAGTGCTATAAAATGGACTCAAACAGCAAAACTGCAGAAGGTTTTTTCTGTCCTTGAAGAGCTTTCTTCACTTTAGACGAAACTTACATTAACTGTCTTGCCTTCTTCCTACATAAACTCGATTTCGCTACTTCATACGGTTTGAAAATGCTACTTCACCTCTTTTCGGAAAGGTGGTGTGTTTGGCTCTTTGTGATCCCTACTTTAGGTTACTACTATTATAAGACCCACATACTCATTGTAGTAGCAACCGTTACGTTTGCCATGTCAGTTGTTGTCCCTCCTCACTGCCACGTTTTGGGCTTTTGCCATAGTCTTTGTGTCTCTGGCAACTTTAAACAGCTTTCTACACGTGAATTTTAGCGTATCAATCCGTCATTCGAGAGTTTGCGTTGCCGCGAGAAGGTCCAATTATAGCCAACGTCTCCAGTCTCTTGTGCAGACTCAAAAATGCGTTTTCAAACGATTCGCCCGCTGCGCAGCCTTTCGCGGTCAAATTCAGTCGTGTCCAACAGGATCATAAGGCCGTGGAATGCTCGTGGGCTTGCATCATCATTGGAACAAGTCGACAAGCTTTTGGACCGAAATGAACGCATTACCAGAGTGTCGGAGCTCGCCAATGAGCAAGCCGTGTGCGTCACCTTTGACGACGGTGCCACTGCCAAATTCCATAAGGTCTGGCTGCGTGATCACTGCCGCTGTGAACATTGCATGCACCCAGAGACGCTTCAACGCCAACTCAACTCGGCATCCATCCCGATGGACTCGCCGCTTCACCGTCTCGAAGTTACGAACGCCGGTGCAGCTGTGGCCATTAAATGGGATGCACCAGTGCTTGGTTCGCCTTGCACATCCAGTGAGTTCGATGCCACGTGGCTGCGTAACCATGCGTATGCACTGGAAGGAGGCAACGCGAAGGATCTGGTGACGGCGCCGTACTCGAAGTCTTACCGTCAGCCGCGTTTGACAACAAAGCAACTATGGGCCGGCGATGACTTCACGCTGCCGACACACGATTACAAAAGCTGTATGGACAATATCGAGCCACTCATGCGTGATCTGTACGTCTACGGTCTTGTCCATGTTTCATGTACGCCCAGCTCAATGGAGGCAACTGAAAAGTTTGCTCAGAAGATTGGCTTTGTGCAGCGCACAATTTACGGCACTATGTGGACGACAAACCCGACGAACGAGGCGGAGGGCTACAACGACACGGCGCTTACAAACCTGGAGCTACTCCATCACACGGACGGCACGTACATGCGTGATCCACCAGGACTGCAGATCTTCAATTGTGTGGCTCAAGCTGGCACTGGCGGTGAGAGTCGCTATGTGGATTCGTTTCATGTGACTGAAACGCTGAAGAAGGAGGACCCAGAAGCTTTCCGTGTACTGAGTACGACGGCTTTGCCCTACTTTGCTGTGGACAATGACGCTTACCTGGCCACTATGGAGCCGCTAATTCGCGTTGACTACGCTGGCAACATCGTGCAGTTCCGCCATAATGACTACGACCGCGCACCGTTGACACACCTAAGCTTTGCCGAGGTGGGCGAGTTTTACAAGGCGCATCGCACGCTGCTCGATATTATGCGTCGACCAGAGATGGAGTTCTGCACAAAGCTCCAGGTCGGCGATATGGTAGTTGTTGACAACCAGCGCGTGTTGCACGGTCGCCACGCATTCCAAGGTGGTGATCGCGCTCTCGTCGGCTGTTACATTGGCCAAACGGAATACGAGAGCCGCCTACGTGTGCTGGGCATCATATGACTTTAGCGGACATTGGCGCGTGCAAGTTCATAAAGTACTAGAACTTTTTGCTTTCACTGACAAGCCGTTAAGGTTACACATCCTCTACCTTTGTTGTTTTATTGATAGAGGCGAGCACACTTCTCTATCCACACGCTCTTCATCGTCCACTACCGCTATATTACATTCTCTGCGTATAACTGTATCGTCAAAGTTTCTATTGTCAAGAGTGGGTGGTGCGATAACCGAGTCATCGTTCCTGCCATGGACATGCACCCGCTGTCGACGCCGTTCCTCCGTAAGCTCGAACTCCAGCAACTGCACGATTTCCTCGAAGCTTGGACGTCGTAATGGATTATCGTGCCAGCAGCGCTTCATAATTCTAGCAAATACTCGAGGGCATTCTCGCGTAATTGCCGGCCGCACTCCATTTAGCACTGCCTCAGCCACTGCAAGCACACTTCCAGGAATGTCGGCATAGGGCACAGCACACGTATACAGCTGCCAGCAAATAATACCGAAGCTGTAGACATCAATCTTTACAGAATAAGCAGCCGTGGCTTCGTCTTTTAGCACCTCTGGCGCAGCCCAGCACGCACTTCCAATGTTGGTCGTCATTTGAACTGTAACGTCGGCCGACGGGAAAAAGTTAGGCCGCGAAGCCGTGACATCGCGAGTACGCAGTAACCGAGATTCACCAAAATCTGCAACCTTGAGCATTTCCTGTTCTGAGTCAAAAATGCAATTCAGCGGCTTGAGATCACGGTGGATAATAGGCACCGGTAGACCATGCAAAAAGCGCATACCCACAGCAATCATGTGCGCATAACGCAACCCTCGCTCGTACGAAAGTGGCGTATTTTGGTTGGCATCAATCACGTCTTGAAGCGTACCTCCACCAAGATATTCGTACACAATGTAGAGATTAATGCCGCTAGTGTAACAACCATAGGTCATCATTACACATGGGTGCACCAACCTTGACGACAGGTACGCTTCCTCCTTAATATGCTCCAAGCATTCCATCTGTGCCTGCTTGAATGTCTTCACAGCCACCTCAATCGACCGCGAGGCAGCGTCGTCGATGTGTCCTCCTTGTCGCCACCTTGCCTTTAGCACAATGGCAAACGTGCCTTCACCAACAATGTTTACCGGGTCGTCAAACTCGATACTATTCGGATCAATGGCTTTTAGCGATAATCCAAAATCAAACGCCTTCCTACATCGGTGGAAGTTCGTACAGGTAATCGCAGCAGTGCACACACTCGAGATGTCAAAAATCGACTGCATCATGAATGATGCAATGGTAGGAATATTCTCCGAGTCCACAACCTTTAGCACTGTCAGAACAATAAGATTACCCCAGCATACAAAGAAGACGATCAGGTAAGATCGCGCTACCTTATTTAATCTGCCAGTAGCTGATGTCGGATACGATTTGCCAATTGTACGTTTGAAGCGCAAGTAAAAGATGAAGTTGAAGCCGAAAGCCAGCAACGGATAGTAGACGTACAGGATGAGCCGACAAGTCGGGTAGAGGCACGGTGAAAAGATCTCGTCGTCCAGAATTTCCTCTTCGGTTTCTTGTAGCGAAGCCAGTGGCAATTTTTCGTCCTCTTCAAAGTTATTGTACGTGTCCTTAAACCGGTCACCCACTAACGCCAGCGTCACTGCTGCCATTATCGAGAGAGATAACACATTTATTGTGTACCGGTGATATCGGCGTTTGGCACTCTGAGAGTCCATCAATACGTCTGCGTATGACACCACAGATCGATACATGTTGAATGCAATGGCGCACGTGAACGATATTTGTGCGAAATTGAAAAAACACTCGAACATACAGAAGAAAAGATAAGTCATGTTCGACAACGCTACCGTTTCCAGCATCACACGGAGCAGAGATGTGATCCAGTACCCACACTGTACACAATTCAATTCCAACACGAATGGGTGCGAATACGTTCGGAAGCTTTGGAAAGTTACGTGCATGATCACAACGACGAGAGATACCCACAGTGACAGCACCATTAAAATGCAGTGAACATACGTGTACGTGTTGCTAAACAAATTGGTGTCATCGTTTCGTGTAGATAAAGATGCATCATCTCCTGAACCGGCTGGTAATGCAGAACCGTCAAGCACTGTTGCGCCAGAATCGATTGAGCTCACTTCTGAATCCAGCCCTATGCCGCCGGATGACTCCTTTACGCTTCCACTTCCGCTACTGCTCAACGTTGTGTTCGTGCTACTGACAAGCGAGTTGCTCTGAAATTTTACGCCCACACGAGCAATTAGTATTGCTGCCACTACGAAAGCCGTCAGCGTGATGCCAATGCACGCAACAAAGAAGCACATCTTTTTGCGAGCTCTTGCTCGGTCCTGGGTTTTATCAATCGCTGTAGCACGCATGGCCCCAATTTTCATGCGTCTTTGTAGCCCTTTTTTATTTCTGTCCTCTTCGTCACTCACCGAGCTAGGGATAAACGACCCGTCATTCATCTCTTTATTATATATCCCTTGGCTAGAATCGCTGCTAAGTCCTAAACCTGCTGCTGTAAGTTGCGAGTGATTTCGAATGCCAATATCCACATGATATTCATCCTGCGCTGTATCTCCATTCGGTGTAAAATGCGCCATGTACGCGAGTGAACCTGAGTCAACTTCATCCCTGCTCTTCGTACGGTCTGATAATCCCGTTGCTGCTGCTGTTTGACTTGTGCTATGTTGTTGCATCTTGCCCATGTCTTTATCATTTTGACATCTTCTTGATACTCGTTCGATTTTCTTCATGGCGCTACTACTGCTATTCTTGATATCTTGCCAAAGATGCAGATTACTGGTTGAGTGTCTTGTCCTTGAGCTCATGGAAGACGCGTGAGACTCGAGGATGCTACGCACGTACATCTCTTGGTCAAGATTCGATCGCTCGTCGTTTCTTAAGCTACCGGTCCTTGATCTCTTTGGTCTCATAACATGGATGCGTTTCCACCACTTAATACTGTGATTAATACTGCTGGCATTTGTCCTGGTAGAGCTCGTTACCATCTTGGCATTACTGTTGCCTAAAGCCATGTCCAGGTGGTGTGGGGACACCACAAGACGCAGAAAAAGACCAAATTTCAACAAGTAAACACTTGATAACAGAGTTGAGATGTATGGATGTCCGTATACGGCCTCTCGTTCCTAGTAGTGAGGGTAAAGCCGTCTTCCTTCTTTAGTCGAATGGGGCGTCGAGGAAGTGCGCAATTGAGATGGAAAGATTAGAAAAAAGAGAGAGAAAAGTGGAGGGAATGTTGCACGTAGGTTGCATGTATAAGTGAAAGATACTACCATGACTTGGACACATCTGAACAAAAAGAGGGCGGGTATAGTAAAATGAAGTAGTCGACCCAACTGTTGGCTGTATCGTTTTTATTCAGGTTTGATTTGTACGAGAAATAGCGTAATACGTAGAGCTCAATTGTGTACTGCATGTTAGTAATCTTATACGGTATGTCCATTTGCCGAATCAAATTAAGATGCAACGTATAAATATAACAGTAAGAAAGATTTTCCTCATGACAAAAGACATGGAGTGAATATTGTTGTTGTACTACTACTATAAGTAGCTATAAAAGTACTACTGCTTCTACTATAAAGTAGTCTACTAATACTACTCATTACTACTACTGCAATTACTACTACTGCAACTACTACTACTAATTACATACAAGCGACGGTTTGCTTGACAAAAGAGGAAACGTAATCGAATTTCAAAGCGCATAGGAGTAAAGCAAAGCGGGCTACATGCCGCTGTATGATACGATCGTCGTGGTCTACGAGAATGTTACGTGGAGCGGCATGTCTACGCAGCCAGATGACATTCTTTGGATCAACAAGCTGATCGGACAAGAATAGTATGATGTCAAGTCACAGTTGTAATAGAACGTACAACAGAACCTTAGTACTGGTAGTACTACTATTACTATCAATGGACTATCTTAGTTTAACATGTAAAATCATCCCGCCTTCAGTAAAGAAAAACGCTGTCGTTTCTGCTTGTATTATAAAGTATAGTCCAGAATGTTTGATCTTTGAAAAAGTGCTTTTGATGCAACTTCGTGTCAAATTAGTCAAATAAATTGCACCTAACAAGAGACCAAATTATTTCGCCAAAAGCTAAAATTTTTAGACTTAAGCGATGATTTGAAGTCAAATTTTGTGTTTAAATATTGTAGTAAGGTCCAAAAATGGAGACGGGAGCAGCGGCATTTGAGCAACACGTGGAGCTCGATGAGGGCGTGCTAGCAACGTCAGCACCGTTAGAAAATGGTCAATTGGATCGTATTATTCTTCAAGTGAGTTTGTGCCTATTGTTTTCGTGTAATAGATTGATCAAAAAGGGTGTTTCTAGATGATACTGACTAGATACTCGAGTGTATTTATTATTCAACTACAGGTAAGTAAAGGACTTGCTGGTTATCCAGAATTGAGTCAAAAGACGTATGAATTACATACTAAATTCATGGAGGAAAAGTGAGTCATGTTTTGGTGATTTTTGATCTCAAAGGAGACAAGAAAACACAATTGTGACTAATGTATGGTCTTTTATCTGTGTTGGAACTGTGATAGAGCAATTGGAGCTGCAGCTACTATTGAGGGAATGCTGAATCTGCTCAAGACTAATCAGAAAGCGCTTGAATATTTCAAAAGCTGCATTGTTGGAGGTATATGGAGCTATTACTGTTGTTGTTGTTGTTAGTGGAAAAGAGAAGAGGGGGGGGAGACTGACAATTCTGTTGCCAACTGCTCTCTTTACTGCAGTTTTGACTGGTCAATTACTTCCATTGTGTCCTCCTTTGTTTGGTGGAACGATTGCTGAACCTGTAGCAGAAAAAGCTGTGGCGAAGGTGGATGAAATTGTAGTTGAGGTGACGGTGTCTACGACTGAGGCTGATGGGGAGACGTCGACTGGGGAAAAACTAGCTGTAACTTCTAGCAAGCAAGAAAACAGTGCTCGCAAGCGTTCTTGTGAAAAGACAATCGATACAGAATTCAGAACGGAGGGAAAGCGGCCGAAGGCGGGCAACAGCAACACAAACATGAATGACGTTGCTGCTCCGCCACTGAGGACAGCGTTGGCACAGGAAACGAAGTACGACTCAGATGAGGCCAAGGTCTGGGCTACCAATCCAACGTACACGATTCCAACCCAGTGGGAGCATTTATATTTTAAGCAGGTTGAGGTGATTAATGTAAGTAATCGCTTTGCAAAGGAGAAAGTCCAGGCAAAGCGTTTTGCAGGCGAACCGTTCTTGTTGGAGGGACATGCTGGATGGACAAAGTTTGCAGATAGCTGGGCTAAGCCCGACGGCACACTGAATACTGCAGCGTTCCTGCACGGTATTCATGATGTGAAGGTGCCGGTGCTAGAGCGCAATTACGAAGAGCGGAACCCCATCAAGACACATTTGCCGCTGAGCTATTACGTGAAGAACTACTGGGAGCACGGCAAGTCGGATTACTACCTGCACCAATGGCAATTTCCCCTGGACCCGAAAGCTGGTCCATTACTTTGTTACAAGAGCGAAGAGCTGCCTGTGCTCGGAGACAACTTGCTGTTGTATTGGCTTGATGGGGTGCGTGGCGACAACCCACTGCAGTATCTTTTCATGGGTCAGGAGAGCACAAGGAGTCGTATGCACTTGGATCCGGGTGGCTTGGGTATCACTATTGCCCCAATCATTGGCACAAAACGTGTGACAATGTTACACCGCGAAGCAGCCAAGCTGGACTCTGTGCACGAATCCGTAAACTTCCACGACGTGGATTTGGACAAGATTCCTCAACTGGCTTTCCTGCCCGCATGGCGCGTCGATATAAAGCCAGGACAGATTCTATACCTGCCTGAGGGCACATTGCATGCGTGCGAGAACGTTACAGCGTGCCTGTCGTGTCATCGTTTCCATGTTGACACGGTAAATCTTACAGGCTTCCTGCGATCATTTTTGGCGCAAGATTCTCCATCAGTTAATCACGCCGAGATTCTTTGGAACGCAGCACACGATGTAATGTCCGCGATCGAGGAAATCTACCATGCGAACAACCAGGTCCTTGACAAATCGGTCGCCACGCTGCGCAAACTGGATACGTTGCGTGGATTGCGTCATGCTTGTCGTATGCTGTCCTTGGAACAAGTGTTGCCCACTGAAGACTCGTGGGACTGGAAGAAGCTTCTTGACGACATTGATATTTTGCTGGTACGCGTTGATTCTAGTGCCAAGTTGGACAAGAACAAAGACTTGATTCATGGGTCTCCATCAAACGAGGTATTGTCTGATCTGAACGGCGAGGAAGCGGCTGAAGCAAAGCAGATTATAAATGCACCATCTAGCAACAAAAATCAAGCCATGAACAAGACAGAGGCAAGTGCTGCAAGCACTCATTGGGAGTCGCTGAACCTGAAGGTGGGCGACACTATTGGCGTTCAGGTCTTCGAGAAACGCAACCGTGCTGAAGTGTTGAAGGTTGCTCACGACAAGGTGCTAGTGCAGATCCACTATTCCGATTGGGAGTCGATCTATGACGAGTTTCTGCCAGTATCCTCTCTCTACCAGCAGAAGAAGGGTAAAAAGGTGGCCCTGAAAAAGGCACCTCAGGTTTACGAGACGGTGATGGCACGGTGGGGCAGCAAGGGTGATCTCTACAAGGCCATTGTACTAAAGGTTATTCGCACTAATGCCTGCTACGTGCATTACCTCAAGTACGAGAAGGACTGGGACCAGTGGATCCTGCCTGGCCATATCTTCCGCAAGTATCACAACCCGTAGGGAGTCCAACGATAAGCGGCGTTGACCAGGTAAGTCGTAGGGTCGAATGTATTTCGTGTTCGTTTGAGTTGTGTTAGCATGGAAGCATTTTCTTGTGGCACCGGTATCTTTTGCGTGATAAATACTTTCATTGACACAACCTTCCTTCCTGTTCCGCGGCAGCCCTGCTGTTTTTTACCGAGTACATTACCGGTGCGATATATCAACCGTCGTTATTCAAGACATTAACACCACCTAGAGGAATGCGGCAAACAAGACGTGTAGCATGAACAATTGCGCCAAACATGACGTAGCCGCCCACAAAGGCGTAGAAGCCAAACGTCGAGATCACCGTCACGATCAACACAATAGCAGTATACCCCAACGTGCGCTGCAACCAACGTCCCCAAACTGTTGAGGCCCCTAAAAACGGCAGGCTGTAGCACGTATAGTGACTGGCATCCCATGCACTTTCGCAAACCCAGCAGTACTCGAACCGGCAATGTGTGCATGTCATATGATTGCAACCTTCATTCTTCCAGATCCGCATTTGGCAATGGGGACATGCCCGTACTGCTTTTTGCTTGCCCACTGATGCTTCCCACGCAAGATATGACTCATCTTCCTCGCCACGACAGAACCAGAACCGATGTCCATATCCTCGACAGCGAAAGCAGCCCACTGTCATGCATGTCGGGCACGTAAAGTTTCCCGTAGTTTCACAGATAATTAGCTCGTCGCAGCCTGGTCTCGGACACCACCGCGCACTTGGATTTTTCTCATTCTAAAGTTCATTCATGATCAGGAATTTCACTATCCAAGTCAATAGAAAAGTACGACATGATCTCTGTTCGTCCCATGAAATCAATTCTGATAGCAACGTACGCGTTTACGCTTCACAACCGCTTGATAGTTGACCATTTCTTCCAGACTAATAATGTGTCTTATATCCTCCTTCTTCATACTCTGCTTGCAATCAACCACAGGACACACCAATTGATCTACACACAAAACAATAACCGACACAACAATTGGTACTAGGATGTTGAATCTCAACTCGTTTTTTTTCCATCTTAATGATCAATTTCCATTGACTTGACCTTCATCTACTTCTCGTGCTTTAATCTTCATTTCAATATACTTTCGAATACAGTCTATCCAATAAAAAATCCAGATTTCAAATAAAATACATACATATATATATATTGCTACCGTTAGAGACAAAATTGATAAAATCCATTATAAAATAAGCACGATTCAATTCTTACCAACACAAAAATAGTGACGACAATGTAACTTTGCATACGCCTTGTCGACGTTTTTATCCTTTACGTCACGTAACTCTACCACTGGTACACTTTCAAAACAAATTGGACAGCTTGGTGGTGACACTAACGTTGCCACGAGACGTCGATAGCCACGTACGAAACTTCGCAGGACTGTCATTCTTTTGTTACCGCAAGAAGATAAAGCAGATGAAATGTATTATGTGATGTGGATCAAAGCACTCGAGGTTTATCTTGAATAAAGTATACGAATGCAAACTTTTTTTACGAAGTTATAAAAAACGGATAATATATCAATCGATGTTTGGATATTTTTGGTTCAAAAGTTGTTATTAGTCTTTGAACCGTCACAGGATAAACCACGATAGAAAACTGTCTGGAGGTATTTCTCAATCAAGACTTCAAGTGGATGCAGTTTTTCTGCGCCGTCGTAAGTAAACATTACAACTATGGCTTCATTTGAAAGTATCGATTGCAATCGAATGCTTGACAGAACAATCATCGGTAGAAGCTCTTAAGATGACAACAGCGCTTTTCAACAATGGCGTAACCTAAACAAACTTCTCATCATCAACGACAACTAATGCGTAGATGGTATTCATTTAAACTCTTGCATCCAGTTGAATAAACTATTGGTTTACCCCTATGTCAACTAATCTTTCCGGAACAGATCAATATAATCTCGACATTGTCTAACCAGATCCCAGACCTTTCTTCTAAAAACGGATTTTGTCTAGTTGGTTGCAATTTACTCCCGAAATGAAAAAATGTCTCGATGATATTTGAAATATACGACGTTTTTCAACAGGTATATAATAAATAATATCTATATACAATATCTGGATAAAAAGTTAGAGAATTGTCCATCTTCATCACAGTTAGTTTATTCAGTAACAAAAAGCTCACGTTCCAATGACGTCGTGGATTCCTTGGACGTTACTGCTGGCATTCTTACCCTCGAGTGCAACAGAACTACTCAAAGATAAAGTGGAACGCCAACGTATACGCGAGGAACTTACGCGACTGGTCACCGATTACTCCAAGCTACTGCTGCTTTGGGCATTCCGAGCCGCTCAAGTCTTTACTGGAATTTCGTTTCTCGTTGTCATTGCTTCAATGCTCTATGCTTTGCTCTATTACCTCGTTATCCCATCAAGATTCCATGAACAAGATATTTTCTTTAACTACGGCTCGCGCCATGGAGCTATTACTCAGCCACCTTATGGACACTTCATGCCAAGGGCGTCATTGGATCTGCAGGATCCTGTGCACCAATGGCAATCGATGGTTTTAGCATCAAAGCAAGTAACGTCGCCTGTGCTCGTTCCTGGAGTTAAATATGACATTATTGTCGAGTTAACGGTGCCGGAGTCGCGTGCAAATGCAGAGATTGGAGTCTTCATGGTATACACGTCGCTCTGGGAAGATAAGAACAAGAGGGAACTAGCGTCTAGCGCTCGACCGACAACGATACATGACATGCCTCTGCCTGTGCGCTGGATCAGGCTTGGATTCTGGCTCGTGCCGTACGCTTTGGGCTTCACGGAGCCAGTGCAGACACTGCGAGTGACAGCGGTCAATGGATACCTGGAAAACATTGAATACCCGCTGACACGCATTGACATTGAGCTGAACACTCCTCAGTTACAAGTCTATTCAGCAAAGCTCACAGTGATTGCACAGCTGACAGGTCTGCGCTATTTGATGTACCATTGGGCAGTACCGACAGCTATTCTGTTCATTCTGAACATTGTGTTTTTGGAAACGTTGGTACTGGTGATCCTTTACGCGGTGTATGTTCTCCCACGACTGGAAGAGGAAGCGGATGCTGATATAGCAGTGCTGGAAGCTGCTGCTACCGATGCGCGTGAAAAGGCAAAGACGATATTTGACACGGGGTCATCACTGGATGCTGCTGCTACTAACGTGCATGAAAAAGCGCAAACGACGTTTGATGCGGGGTCATCACTGGATGCTGAAACTGCTCCTTATGTAAAGAGTGAGGTGCTGATTGCTAAAGGGTCATGTACGACAACGAGTATGGAGGAGTCATCGGCAGTTTTGGACCAGATCAGTGAATATGCAAAGGAGGAGGTGATGCAAGATGAGGATCTCTAAGGACAAGCAGCTGTTGGTTTCGCACAAAGCAGGAAGATTGTTGTTTACGGCAAGTGTCTACGAAACCATTTTATTATTGAGTACAAACGCGCAGCAGGAACAGGAGATTTATAAGCTTAAGGTGTTGTGCCATGAATTTTTTTTGAACATGTAGTCTGAGATCGCAGCGACGAGGTAATTGACAATGCTCTTGTGTGTGTTACGCTACTTTTACTTATCTTCTTTATACCCAATTTGTTGAAATGGGAAGATATTGCTGCTTAATGTAGACGCAAAAAATGATTATGGGCAACATAAAAGGAGGTTAGCGACAAAATTAAAAAAAAGCGACAAAACCATGTGTTTTCCGAGAAACTTGCTTGACTAGCCAGTAAACGACATAAATGAAGAGCTACGATCTGATTATAATTAACTGCATGCTATTATCATATCAAGTAGCAATACTTTGATAGTTGCTAATGTTATTGTCACACTGATGATAGGTGTTGAAATCTTAGTATTTGCTTCCTCTTCATCGTGCACGTCTTTGTTTCTACTAGCAGCGTGTCTTTCGTGAATGAAGAAACCTGGACAAGAAGAAGACGAGCTGGTTTTCTATCCTGCACTGCGATATCTCGACTGGCCATGGAATACATGACTGCTATAGAATGTAACAAAGAATCTTGGTACCGCTTTTAATCCGTCGGTCGGTCCGTGCCATCATAGGAACGGAATACATTCACAACAGTCGGTGTGCCCATCGCAATATTGTTGCTGCAGATTACGAACGCCAAATACCGCCCCACTGAAGTACGTAGTGCTCGAGCTAGTATCGGCATGTGGTGCGGTGATCGTTGATTACTGTTTTTCTAGTTGAGTTCTGCATTCGACAATCACGTTCGAGAAAATCGACAAGTTACTTACTATTGACTGAAAAAATACGAAAAAATACATTCACTTCAGACCATCATGATTCGGTTCGCCAAGCAGAGCGACAACGCCATGACGAAGATTAGCGACTTGAAGACGGCAGCGTGAAACGCCAGAAACTTTCGCCAACTTCCAACATCCGCCACACCTCATAGACTCCTCTCATCAGATGCTGTTCATTGCTAGCTCCTCTTTGCGTTGCGTAAAACTTCCACGACTTTTGTCGCCGTTGGTCGGCTCATAGGCGCGTACGATAGGCACTGATTAACCAGTTGCCGCACAATTGCTGGCGCTGCGAGGTATCCTTGCCGGTGCTCGTGTGGTAACAGAGGCTCCTGACGCCGGACACGCTGTACAATCTCAATGTCGGCCAGGGTGTTGCCCATTTCCTTGACCAGCGACTGATACGGTGGTACCCGTGTAAAAACCTCGCTGATCAGGACGCCAAACGCGTAAATATTGCTTTTCCGCGCGTCAATCGGAAACGACCGAGTAATCACCTCGGGTGACAGCCATGCAACCTCGCCCATGCCATAAGAGAATTTAGCTGCAGTACTCGGGCCTCCTAATTTTGCGGAGCTTGGGACGCACTCGAAAAGGCTGAGCTTGCAGTCCATATTCTTGTCAACAAGTACCTTTCGACTAGACAATTGTCTTGTGCACAGGTTCTGCTCGGTCGCATGCAAATACGCAAGCGCCATCGCCACATCACTACACATCTGCAGCTTTGTACTAACAGCTAAGTCTACATCCGTGTTTGTTAGCACAGTCCTCAGGTTGCCCTTCTCCATAAACTCAGTCACCACTGCAAAATCCGTGCCAGCCAACCAGGTCACTCCCACCAGACTCGTAATATTTGGGTGCGAGATAGTCGCGAAAATACGAGCCTGGGCCATTAGGGCTTTAGTGACGCGGGAATCGGTCACCTCCGACTCCACACGCTTCACAACCACTTTCCTGTCGTTAAACTCGCCCATCCAAAGACGGCCCGTTCCCGCAGATTTCACGAGTGTCACGTCACATTGGGGCAACCTATAGTTGCGCAAGAGCTCATCGTTCGAAATGAATGAGCCTTTATCGACAGCGTCGACCTTACTCATTAGTGTCACCGTAGCTTCGTTGTTCTGAGAATTCAAGTTGTCATGTTTGCGCTTGGAGTACAGTCTAAAGAGGAGAACAAATACTACAACGACCACGACAACTACAACGATGATCCCAACAAGAGCCCCGGTGGATAAGCCACCGCTGGTATCACCCGACTCCACATAATGAGACCCAGAATCATCGCCAAGGGCGAGATTAGTAGAGCTTTGAGTGGCAGAAGTGCTACCAAATGTTTCGGAGCCGCACGACACTGTCTTTTTGTTGCTTCCAGCAGAAACAGTCATACTAGGGTTGTCCATCAGGCGGCAATTAGTGCTGTACACGTGTGCCCAAGCCTGACTCGAGAGAGTCCCAGCGTTAGTTTCCAAAACAATGAGCTGCTCTGCATTGAGTTCAATATCTCCACTAATTGAAGATAGATCCACCGTTCTGCACACAAAGCAGCAACGAGACAATTAGTGAAATTGTTTGACCCTGCCAGAATCACGTGATGAAAACAACAAGTTATCTTACATGGCTATATTGCTGCCTAAATCTCGTTCGTAGAGAAACTTTGGCAGTTTTGGGACAATTGTGCCATTCAATTCACTGTCATCGAGGCCAAAAAAAACAAATTAGTGTCGGTTGTCGTCTCATCCATCGCACCAAGCAGCAGCACTCACATTTCAATCAACGCCTCGCCGCGAAGCGGTAGGGACAGATCCGTGATGGTTGAATTGATTATATGTCTGCAAGTAGTACCCACGTATCACAAAGAGTCGTCAGCGTCTGCGTTTTTCTTCAGAGAGCATCCAAATAACGCCAATTCTTTTTTTCACCCATACATGTCGGTTGTCACGTTTGGAATCGTTAACTCAACATTGTCCATAGCTATCCTGGCAAATGTCCTACATAGAATAAAAAAACGCCAGCGTCAACGCCCGATAAAAAAACCACATATAGCCGTAAAACAGAATCGATCACTCACAGACTCTTAAGCTGGTTAAACTTTGAGAAATCCAGCTTGGACGGCGTTACGGTAGGCATTGTAGCCCCATTAGAAACAATATTTCTGTGGATAATTGGAGCCATGCATCATAGTTAAAAGCTTGATCCCTGTGCCGAGCGATGAGGATAAAACGAGAGTGACCCACACTATTTCTACACTTGAGTTTTGAAGTTCTATTGTTAGCGTATCAACAAGTACATTCACCAGAACGTAACTGCTATCCATTGGTACTGGTGGCTCAATTATGTTTGAGCATTGATATGATGCAGTACGGTCCGAGATTAGTAGAGTAGCTTCCTGAGCTGATGGACACGATACGTCAATCATTTGCACTGCTTCCACGTTTAGCACCTGGAAGATGACGGTACTTAGTAGTATCGCTACAACCTTCCAGTAAATAAGACGCATGTCTTTCAACTTGTCTGTTGTCGAAGGCTTTAGAATGAAAGTGCTGCTGGAACTGCCTGCTGCTTTGACCGAACACACTTCGACTGACTCTACGCCTGTGTAAAGAATGAACCCGAGGCTTTGCCTCATAGTAAAATCCAGTACAAAAAACTCACCCCACCTGGACAAGCGGTTGGTTGGACAAAACTTTGAGCTTTGCTAATGATGGAGCAAGTATCATAGTGATATGCATTTCGTTTTAGAGTCCCAATTTGTAAGCAATGGTCAGTCTCTTGTTGACTATTGGTTAAGCATTGTACATAACGTCTCAGCATTGCGTTTTCTTTCTTTCTCTCTCTCTTGTCGTTCTAACGTTGCAAACATAATAAGTAGCATCCTTATCATGTCTTTTATATTTGCAAGCTCTCAAACATTTAGTCAGTATTATCACTCAGCTACATATTGGGGTTGTCAGTAGGTGATACATACCAAGCACATTGGTAAACGAGTCAGGAAAAGTAAAGATGCTTTCCATCTGCCAATGAGCGTGACTGCTAAAAGAAGCAGTTATATGGAACAACAAGACCTGGATACACTTTGACTTACAACGTCGACAAGTCAGAAAAATGATCGATTGATCATGTGTGTATCAGTCGAGCCTAGATATATCTAATGCTAGTGCTTCATGAATTTCTACATGGATGTCTTTTGCTCGGGTAGAATTGCTATGGCACGAGTATGTCGCTTCAATGCTTGTCCAAAATTTTCCACATGATTGTGCAGAGACAATTATCATTGCTGCATCCATACTACGAGATGAAATTGTAGCATACCCAACTGTCGCCTAAAATTATCGTGGGTTTTGTGGCTGTTCGAAAGAGAAAAAAGCCAAAATATCACTACAAAACTCGACTTTTTGAATTAATTTATCATAATATATTGCTTGCCTGAATGTAAATGTTGCCATTAAAAAAGAGATTTTCACCGTTGCCACATCTGATTCAGTTGTGTCACGAATTAAAAGACCCAACTATCCGAGCAGAAAAAACACTGAGTTTGTTTCAATCCCTTCTCAAGTCGATATGGCGTAATTTTATCCGTTTCTATGCAAGGTCCGAGCACCATCAAGATGACGTCGAAGGTAAGAAGAAGAATGAAATGGACGATTGCCTACCGCTTCTAAGCTTTTTTGGTGACCTTTTTTGCTCTATGTTTCTTGACAGAGCGGCAGCGAGCAGGACTCTGAAGAGCAATGGGACGACATGGCCATCGTTCGGGTAAAGCAGCTAAGCTAATCCAATCGTGTCATATCGTTGTCTCATGCATCAGTTGTGTGTACACGCAGGCATTTGAGGACGCACTTCGCGAACAGCACTCACACAGCTCCTCATCTGGAAATAAAACTGACAGGTGTGGCACTTACATTCTTGGACGGCAACTAAATGGCTTGTTGGGAATGACTCTAATATGCGCTATCAAGTGTTAGGAAGCAGAGGGCAGTAACTTCGCAGTCCAACGGCAATAACACTACCATACCTGCTGCTATTGACGCGGAAAATAAAGTACTGCCAAAAGGGTATGAACATCCAACAGCACGGGAAGGAACGTACCGACAGCCAAGTGTAGGAGCTCACACAGATCATGCAGCAGGAGCGAATCCATTTGCCTTTCGGCAACAGCAGCAGCAGTATCATCAAAGTGACTTGTACCAGGCTGCATATGCTCAAGCGTATGCCCAGCTCCGAGGTCAGTTTGATGCCGTGTATTCTGCTCCAAGTCTGCAGCAGCCGTATGGGACGAGCATGCAAATGCCAGTCCAGTCACCTTATTGTCCGCCCCCACCACCGATTCCATCCATCCCGACGCCGTTTCCTGGAATGCCTGCAGCTCAGGGTCCAGGAATGTCACCCAATGTAGCAGTGCCAGACGATGGCCTAGCGAACGTGCTCATGGCATGGTATCAGTCTGGATATTACACTGGACGGTTTCAAGCAATGCAAGAGATGAAATTGCGAGGTCATCGGTAGAAGAATTAGCTTTGAAAAAGTTTTGCAGTTGGAGGAGGTGTCGTCAATACCGACTTGTTGACTATCTCTGCTAGCTGCTAAAAACGCCCACACGAATACAAAATGCTGACACTAATACGAAAGCGCCTCATGATTGTGTGCATTATGCTGTATTCCTCATTGATGTTTCTTCCTTGCAACGTGTTTAGCAGTCTTGGAGCTTTCCTGCATGAACTTGAATAGCCAATAGCACTACACAGCCATTTCACCAGACAAACACTAAGAATGAGTAGCAGTAGCGTAATCCATAAACCATAAACTAAAGACAGTATACACTACACACAAAGACAAGTACGTGTAGCCCTACAAGGCTGCTCACGAATGCGTTCATGCCGAAGCCCAGATCCGGCAAAATTCCATCCACCATCGATAATAATATTAAAATTACTTTTTATCTCATGTGAATGCCATCAAGTAGTTATTGTGTGTACCACATAAATGTCTATCAAAACTTCAACTTCAACTTCAACGAGAGCGACCTTCATTCTAAGTGACGTAGAAACAAGAAGTGCAACTTCCTTGCATCGATATGTCAATGTCTAATCCTCTAAGTCACATACTAGAAGGCGTTGACAGTGTAGATAGCACGAAACTTCGCATAGAAACGAACAAGATCGTGGGCTGTGTTGCTACATACTGCGTCGAGGAACTCGATCCTCCACGACAGAATAAAAGACCGCACCAATCGTCTCCAGTCGTGATATTTGGTATTAATGATCGAGCTAATACAGACATAGAGGTGAGCAAGATAAACAAGACACACAACTGCGATACAGACGTGGACAGCACTTTGATACAGGACCTGACTGTTCATGATCAAGTCCAGACAAAGGCGATAGAGTCGGAAACATTGATGCTGTCTCATACAAGGTAAGAGTAAATATATCGCTATTTTGATAACTAGATGCGCAGTCGTTTTGCTAATGGAAAAAGCATGAAGAAACTGGCAAGATGATCAAGACAGTACATGTCAAAGTTGTGTCGCACCACCTACTGGGAAGCCGTCATCACATGGATATGTTGACCATAAAGAGCCGTACTGTCGGTGGAAAACACTGAAAGTAAATTCTGATGTAACAAGTTCAAGTTGGGAGGATACAGGACTATATAAACTTGGAGATGAGTGGTTATGTCGAGCCATCGTGATGTACGATCCGCTATTACTGCAGAAAGAGGAGAAGGTGGTAGATGCCCAGGACTTGTGGAAGTACCGAATAAAACCCTCTGCAATGAAGTTTTACAGCAGTGATAAGAGTCACACTGTCGAACTGCAACAAGTGCCACTCTCGTTGTTTGAGCCACGTCGTATTCAATACGATTGGCATGACGTGTGCAAGTTTGGAAAAGGATATCTATACGACGAATCATGCAAAGTTTTTCAGACGTTGATTCGAGTAAATACTCAAGTAACAATTTTTGTGAAAGATGTTATCGTGCCAAATGTGTTTGACAATGATTGGGGGCGATCACTATACAGCATTCATCCTACAAACGATATAGGGAAGCTACAGCAGCTTTTACTTCCATCTAATCTGGTACAAGACGATGAAACGAAGGTTACAAGTGCGTCGTCAAAAATTATATCAATTGCGGGCAAATATTTGCAGAGTCTTCAGCGCACCGATATTTCGCTGACAATGGCATCCATGAACATTCCGAGTATATGGAACCACGCAGTCACTTTAACTGGTCTAGCAAATCTGGGCGCTGAGGAGCTGAAGACGGTAGTAACACAACCAAAATCACCTGTGTCTTCAACTTGTATTTCAGTGCCGGTTCCGTTGCAGGCTGATGGTATTGGATCCAAACCCGCAACGACGTCACCAGAGATTCCACCAAGTGTGAGCAGAGATTACAGCCGACATAAGCTACTCCCGCCAGCAGATGGTCTGCGGTTATCATCGCCTGCGAAAGCGGCAGCCGCCGCTGATCTAGGCACCGACTATTTTGTGAGTGAAACATTCTTAAGATGTAATTGGAGTAAAGAAGAACCAGACGAAATTGATCCAGAGGATACCAGATCCAAAGAGGCAAACGCAAGTTCAAATGAATGCAAAGACAATTTAAAGTACAACCAACTTCTTCAGCAGATCGCTCGGCCAGCAATGTGGGACTTGATGCGTAAAAAAATGCTTCAGGTGGACGTTGCCTCTTTTCAGCGAGCTCTTGATCGCGTCAGCTTGGAGGCACTAGAAGCGATAATCTATAAGCAATGCCAGGATGTGAGGAAAATGAGCTTGAACCCTTCTGCGTTCTCAAGTATTGAGATAGCCGAGGCTTGCGCCAGTCTTCGCCAAGCCAGTTGGCTTCATACCTTGCGGTAAGACGGCTTTTTTCTCTCTCACACATACGGCGAAGGAAACTAACCTAGGACAACAGCATCGTTTCAATCAGCCAAGTAGCTGCTGCCCGTAATGGTAACATGATGACAGAGATTTTAACTAGAGTTCTTCCTAGTGCCAAGTACAAACTCCTACTGGGTCCTTCCAACTGGAAAGATTTTCTGGCACTTTTGGAAGTGACCGGTACGCGTGGAGTACCCTCAACCGCTGCAATTGAATCCGCGGTGCAAGCAGGCTCGAGCAGCGCAATCGAGGACGATTCAACATCGCAGCCACCTCAGAAAAGGCAAAGGATTTTCCAAGCGGAGAAAGAGGACATACCTGTTCGCGTCTTGTGCTCAGTCCAGTTTCTGCAGCAGGTAAAGCATTTTTTCATCGCGAAGCTGTCATTACAGCTTGACTGATCCGTTTTATTGACAGGCTGAGCTTCTTGATGAACTTTGTACGGAGCACCAAATCTTTTTTATCGAGCGAGATCTTCCGTCACCAATTGACATGATAGTCGACGAGAGAAACTGCATCTGTGTGGTGACTGATGCCCTTTTTCAAGGTAAGCATATACCATTATGTGCTGTTATTGCTCTGACTCCCTTTCATCCTTTGTTGTCGCGAGCAGCTGAAGCAAGAATCAAAAACCTTATTTTCAGCTTAGCTTGTTTACAGCTTCAAGTCCAGAAGTGCTGGTTTGTTATTGGTACCCATGTGCTTTGCTGCAGTTATTCCGAGAAGACCGTTAGCTCATGCTTGTGCTGACGCTTTTAATTTAGTTCTCGATAAATCTTCGGCTCCAGGCATGGAAGGCGCGATGAATTTGTTTTTCGCAGCGCTCGTGCAATTTCGGATCGAGATTCAAGTGCTTACCAGGCATGGCGATCAGCTTGAACTCACGCTATTTGGCATGTCACGTATGTACTTATGCTAACGATGTGATGTAGTTTTTCGTGTGAAGAAGCTGGTCGCTTCGTACGCGCGATTGTCGACCAATGCGCCGAAGTTGCCCTGACCGATTACCGCACTTTGCCCCGTATGTGGTTCGAGCGCCCGTTCTTGCTAGAAGACGAGTCGCAATTCGAGCGTTTTCTCGTGTCGACGAGAATTGTCAATAATTATGCTGCACAGTCTCTTCTTCATAAGATCTGCATGGAAGATCTATTCTGCAAAGAGTAAGTACTTTCAATATTTTTTTGTATCGGCAGAAGTCTACTGACAAACTTGATTGTGCAAAGCATTAACGAGTTAAAGCTTCTCGTCCAAAACGCAGTGACCGAGCAGCAATTAGAGCTACTTTGGAGGTATGACGGAATGCTTTTTCTTGGCGTTTGCGTAGCAACATTGTAATATCGCTATCAGACTGTTGCAGCAGGGACACGGAATTAATGGTGCTTTACAGTAAGATACATTTGAGGTAAACAAATGCTTGTAGTAGCTATATGCTTGCTTCTTGTCACTTCCATAGCTAATGGCAGACTGCATCTAGTAACCTGTAGCTGCGGCACCGAAGGATATCACTCTACTGGAGATTGATTTTGTATTGACTTGGGTCAAGATCCATTTCCAACCCTTGTATAGAACCGACTGATCGAGCTTCAAACCCACGCTGATTTTCATCAACATTATACATGAGGCACTACCTAGCACAACACACGCTTTAAAAAAACAATCACTTCATCACCACGTGACTCGAGGCGGATATCGACCGTACACAAATTTACATTTGCTACAATGGTAAGCAACAGTCATCACGCTCACACGAATACTGAACTGCCTTAGTCTTTGAAGAAAATCCGGGCGCCGTTAAGAGACCAATCAAGCAGGTTAAACTCACGACGGTTCAACTCAATGCGCTTTGCGGTAAGCTGTAAAGTATGGACTTCTTCCTCGTCATCAATCAACTCGGCGGTGGTCTCCTTCTGCTTCTTAGCCGCCTGCTCACGTTTGCGGACCTCACGCTCACTTTGCTTTTCGTTGTAGGCCTCCTCCTCAACCTTGTACTTGCGCTTAACCTCTTCAAACCAGTGCAGCGCGTCAAATTGCTATCAGCACATTAAACAGAATGAACGTTAATACACTATAACCAAGCATCATTGCAAGCATGAATGCAGCTCACGTCTCCTTGGTCCAGAATGGCAAGGATGTAGGCAACCCCGATTGCAAATCCGTCATCCGAAAAGTATGACTCTCGCCGTCGTGTATTCTTGTACATGAGGTCCTTCGCCTGTACAGTTGTCTCGACGTAATTGATGGTAAGCGCCGGAAGAATGGCGTAAAAATTAACTAAATGTTTTTGCTCATCGCTCGCAGTAACGTCCTGAAAAACCTTTACCAGCACCTTGAAGTAGTCATTGTTTTCCGAAAAGTTCTTCGCTAACGTAGAGATAACCGAATCGAGGTTGCGAGCCGCTACCACAGTCTCACGGGACAGCTTTGCACCCATGATTTCAGGTTTGACTACCTCACCTGTCTCTTCATCTTTCTCCTCCGCGACGCCGTCACCAGCATAAGCTTCAAACTTGAAGTGAGTGTGGTTCAGGTCCGGCACAAACTTAATGGCATTGCTGCAATAATTCATGCCGGCCGAGCGCACCATGCGCACGTAGCCTAGTGCATTGCCAATTTCCGTGATCAGCATGCGGAACTGGTCCAAGAACGTCTTACCAGAATCTGAGACGCCAAGTTTTCGGATATCCTTGTTGAACTGGAACGCTCGGTCGAAGGGGTATTTGTTATCCACCTCCTTGTCGTCACGGTGCTTTTTATACCAACGCTTCTCACGCTGCAAGTAGCTTTTGATGTATTCATCGAACAAGAACTGCGAGAAGATGTCAAACTTTTTCGTCAGAAACTGGTATGTGAAGTTCACAGTCGTATTCATGATGCCCATGCCGTGTGTGCGGATCGAGCTCGCGATTGAATGGATATTGATTGAGTTCAGGTGTCGAGAGCCTTTATCACTGCGTCGCTCCAGGAAAAATTGCTGGTTCAGGTTGTAATTGTATCGCGCAACAAATATTTGGATATTGCGCATGATCTGCAAGATATCTAGTCCCTGGTCAAGAGAACCCATGGGAAGATGATTATCGGCAAGACTCAAACCATACTTGTCGTTGGCTAAATTACGCATCTCACCGTACGTTTTCCAGTCATGAAGTGCAACGGTAGTCAAATTGTAGAACGTGCTTTCGAGATAATGCGTAACTTGCTGACGTAGGTCAAGCGTCTTTCCATGCAGGCGAATAGGTCGCAAGTCAAGGTAGTAGTGGAGTACCTTAAAGTCAGCGTTCTTCGGATTGGGTGCATCCAAGTGGTCCAAGTGAACTGAATGCACGTGCAAACGAAGATCGTTTTCCACGTCCTTGCACAAATTTTCCACGATCTCCTCTTCCATGACTAACTCGATAAACTCTGCATACGCATTTACATATACTTCATTGTTCGTCTCGTGCTGCGCACCACGCAACAGTTTTATCGCGTCAAGAAAACCACCGACAATATACTGGATGCGATTGACTTGTTCAGATTGACGGTAAAGATCCGACAGAAAAGGGTGTAGCAGCTCACGACTCCAGTAGAAAAAGGAGCAATCACATGCATTTCGTATCTTGCGCTGAAAATCACTCAGCAAACGTAGCTTCCAGATGAGCTTTACAGGCTCACCGATATCTTTAACACCCATAGGGACCGTAGTGTTCGTCTCGCTGCCCTTCTCACTAGCAGTAGTATCACTTTCTGGTGATATCATTGCAATTTGGGCTGCAAGATCTAGGACAGTTATTCGCGTGTACGAAAACGACTCTCCAGAGTTAAGAATGTCTTCTAGCACGGTAACGGCGGCCAGGACGTCCAACTTCGTGTCATCAAACTTTTTACTCGCTTCCAAATGCGCCTTCAGTGGACGGAAAGACGAAAATAACGAGTGAGCCACTTGGCGCAGCAAGTGTGACGATGACTCGGCCAAAATAGGATTCTTCCGTGCAAACATGAACTCAACTGCCTTCAGGATCTCAATACACATGTACAACGGTCTTACCACACGCTTGGGCATCGGAATTTGAAGCGAAAGGTGCAAGTTAACTAGTGTGTGCATCATCGTCTGTACTCTTTTTGCGAAAATTAAACCCTTGAGAATCAAGTTGCCACGAATGCTCAATGTTCGTGACGCATCGCCCATTCCACGCGTTGTCGGCTGAAAAAATGACTCCATGCGAACAAGCCACGCACTTAACTCCAACTTGGCGGTTGTTACATCAACCGGGAAAGCATCATCCATCGAATATAAGTACTCACGACGGAATTGCACGATGTCAGTGGGGTACAGCTTCTTCGACGTCATAGGCGAATATTTCAACAAGAAGTCTGGCATGTACCACATGATTTTACCGCAAATGGTTACGCAAGGAGCCTTCAGCTGTACTTCCCACAGCCTTTTGTATAACACAGGGTCTGTCGGGACATTAGACGGCTCCAGTCGGCGAAGTAGCACGTACAATCCAGCTGTACCAACAAGATCGTTTCTTTCAAACGTTTCGGTAGCTGAAGCAATTGCACTCTCGGCAATGCTCAAACGAGCACTGATACAGTGAAAAAACTCTTTCAAGAAAACCTGGTTTGTGCGAATGTCAATCCTAGACTCTCCTCCACTACTGCTTGCACGTCTACCACCTCGTTCGCTGCCACTCCCATCAAGATTTTCATCGTCGTCAGCGATGTCACCGCCAGAGAAGACCTCGAAATCCTGCTCAATGCAGCTGTGGAATACCTGCGCGCTCATTATCGTCTGATCCAGACTAACAAGAAGTCGCTCAAATTGCTTTACTTTGTCAACTGTAACGTTGTAACGGGGCGGGTCTGAACGCACATACTGCATCATGCGCTTGTATTTGTCCCACGACATGATGATGTTAGGATTGTCTATAACGATAGCATCGATAGTGATCATGACTTCAAGTAAACTTGCCAGCGCGTCAAACACAGGATGGAGATGTACAAGCTTAAACGTGGACTTCCATAACTTTTGGAAACTTTGATACAGACTCGCGAGCTGGTGGATCATGTTGATCGTGATAGCGTTGCATCGGTCCACAAAGTTGGATATGTCCTGGAAAAACGGAAGCATGCGTCCAATATGGACTTCATCCTCCCCAGCTTTCACGTCACCTTCCTCTCCATGACGTGCCTGACCGAACATGATAAGTGCCGGGTAAAAGTTGTCTTCCACCGTCACTTTAAGCTCGGAGATTTCATCACACAGCACAGAAAACACCGTGAGAACTTTGTTGAATAGTTCATTATCCGTCTTGATTAGATCTTGAACATCGACCCGCTCGGCTGGGTGAAGATAGAGTTGAATAGGATCTGCCTGCACAAATTTACCTCACAACAATCATTTAATATCTTACCCACAACAAGGAAAAAAGAGTCACTACAAAGTCGTACCCAGTATCCCCACACTTCCGACATTGCCGCTGTAATCGCGTCCTCAATCTCCTTAAGTTTCGTCTACAGCACAGTATCCCATTAAGCACATTTTGTTAGCAGCACCATAATCTTGCTGCAATTTCTTTCTTCTCAACCTCACCGTATGATCGTTAATAATAGCTAGTCCACGTTGCAACTCTTCTCGAATAGGTTGCTCTGTCAATAGGTCAATAGTAGATACACCCACGACACAGAGAAAATAGCATTTTAGCTCGACACATGAACATCAATACATCTCGCTCTTTCTCTCTCTCGTTCGTACCTTGTGCATTAAACTCCGAGAAGGGGCTGCCATATTGTTCATCAATTAGATTCCAATTCTCTGTGATTGTTGATAATGCATTGCTATCTCTTCGTTTCTTTCCTTTCGTGACACCAAAATTCGATACAAACGATGATTGTCGTCCTCTGACTGAACCCCCAGTCATACTGGACCGACTACTAGTCCGTGACAGTCGTGATGCTCTAGAATCCAAACGTTGTCGATTTTGACTCATGGATGATCTTCTTCCAAGTCCCGTGAGTCTCAAATCCTTTGCAGATAGATCAGAAGCTCGTGAATCAGCACGCCCCATGTCAAAACGCGTCGAGTCCGCCCACGAAGCCTTTGAATCGAATCTTGGCCGCTGCTGCTGACGCTGGGACGGCGATGAAAGAACGTTTGACTCGTCTGATATACTGCTGCTTATGCTACTGCGTATATCATCGCTTTCAACGTGACGACTGGGAGAAACTTGTGACTTTGTATCGTCCTCGGACATGTTCTTTTTTGTCTTGATTTTCGCCTTGTTCATCCTCAAACGGTATTAAATTAGATACTAAACAATGCACAAGAGATTTCTCTATCTTTTGAGATAGTTAGGGTGACGTGAAGAGCACTAGGGACACCACAAACACAAGATGAAGGTCCAATGAAAAACGCACAGGGTCCGTCGCTACTTTGTGTGCTATGTGATCTTCGCTGCTCAGGAATATATCGAGTTTGACAGGCGGACAACATCTTTCAAGGGGTTGACGACAGAAAGGTTTTAGTTCTTTCTATTCGAATGAAGCTAACGCTCTAATTCGACGACGTTATTACGCACACACCCTATTTCGAAAGTCACTTGACTATCCGGTAGTCATAATCACCCTTGTCGACTTTGATACGTTTTGATATACTGACGCTATGAGGCGAATGCGTACTTGTACCATTTTACGGTAATCAGTTTTATTACTTGACTAAGTCTAGCAGCTCAAAGAGTAGAAGAACTTTTGCGATCAGAAACGTGTGCCACGCCCTTGGCTTGCAGAGGGACAATTGGATCCGGAGTCTAATTTATAGACTAGTGGTGTGGTAGGAGCATAGCCTATTATCACCTATCATGCCCTATAATTTGATCATATACCATCCTAAGGCATATCCAATCGTAATGTAATCATAGCAACACGTAGCACATCCGTCACCCCCCCCATCCATCAGACATGTTACGTGTGTCTGGCGTCGCTAGACGGAAGACCTCGTTTCAGTGAACAAGGCATTTGCGTCACCCATGCTTCTGGTACGCAGTTATGTAATGTGTTAAGGCATTACCATCAATCGAGACAGGACAGCCGCATGCCTTGCAATGTACAAACAGCTTCCCATGTCCCATGCCGCCTTGTGCATCGTCAAGTATACGTGACCAAACCAAGCGTCACTAAAATGCGCCGGTAAGATGTACGTCATTATTCAAGCTGCTTCCCAGAGTAGATGTAAGCCCAACTATACGAGATTTCAGCATTGCAACGGTGTAGAGACCACGACGTTGTCAGACAAGATTGCCTATAGCCACTAAGCGCTTTGAATCGCTCCTTCTATTACGCCTTTTACATGTACTTTGTCGGATGTGAGTTGAATACAAACCAATAGAAGCAATCGTTCTTATGGTCTCACGCTATGGAGGCAGTATAAATCAAGCTTCAATACGCTGCAAATGGGTTCACTTGCTGTGTAATGCTCACATTGATGCTCATCATGTTCCAATTTCACTGTGCGACGTGGACGTTTATCTTCACGAATCGTGCATTTTACCTGCTGTGACTTCGATAATGAACAGTGGTTCATCATGATGGATCGCTGCGCACCTTGTTAGATTCGTGTAAGTCTCATGCAAGTTATGGTGCAGAGCGTGATACCCTTCTATTGGCTGCAGAAGCACGCGAAGCGATTGCAAAACGCATAACAGTTGTGTTGTGATCATCTCGTCTTTCGTTTCTAATGGCAGCACACAACACTTGAAATTTGTATTGGTGAAGTTGAAGTGAGTTCAAATTTGAACATCTTCTTGTCTTCGCACGGGATATCTATCGTCCAGCGGTTCCGATGATTGTCACTCATCGTGCGATTGGCTAAAGCTTCAGTTTTAATTCTTATGATTGGCTGAAAACGAGCATAGGGCGTATCAGCTGTCCTGAAACCTCGAAACTCTCCGCATCAAACCTGATACCACCACCGGATATGTATCCATTACTGTGTTATATCTCACCTTCGTTTCTTGTCTACGTCTCTACCATATGTATTCTTTTCTTCACCACCTCAATTGGTTCAATGTCTTTGCTACTCCATCTCATTTCCACTTTTTCCATTACACTTATGATGATAATGGTATTTCAAGTGGTCACGACCTTCACGACGACGACGATGATGATGATGATATCGGCGTTAGCTACTGGTGCTTACAATGACGATGCATTGATCACGCACTTGCCTGGTTTCGACTCTAAGACACTTTCATTTAAGCATTATGCTGGTCATATTGAACTGGAGGAGAAGGAAAAACTATTCTACTGGTATACCGAGAGTCAGAGCAACCCAAAGAACGATCCAATTGTTTTGTGGCTGAATGGTGGACCAGGCTGCTCGTCATTGGGTGGACTCTTTACTGAGAATGGACCATTTGTTGTACAAGATGACTTGTCCATCAAGCTAAACCGATACTCGTGGAACCGCAAGGTCAATATGGTGTGGCTTGAGTCTCCCGCTGGTGTGGGCTTCAGCGGTGACGTCAAAGGTCCCAATTACTACAATGACGATGTCGTTGCTGCCAAAACCCGTGAATTTCTTACTTTGTTCTTCAGCAAGTTTAGTGAGCTCAAGAACCGTGACTTCTACATCACGGGCGAAAGTTATGCCGGTATGTACATTCCATACCTCGTTGACCTCATGGTGGAGAAACCAGTTGAAGGTGTGAACCTTAGGGGCTTTGCGATTGGTAATCCATTTACGGACAACATCATCGATGGCAATGCTTACATCGACTATTATTACTCGCACGCGATGGTTTCGCTTGAAGCCTATGAGGAGATCAAGGTGCGCTGTGGTGCACACATTGGCTGCCTCTTTGACGAGACGCCCTGTCCTAGTAAATGTGAAGAGCTTCTAGAGCAAGCTGAGGTGGGAGCAAATACCGACGCGCTGGACCCGTACTTCATCTACGGTGATAAATGCCTCTTGGATAATAAACAGGCAAAGGCTCTGCGCAAGAGGGCCAAACCATTTGTACAGATATCACCCACCCATCGCGGTGATATCGGTGCTTGCGCGGATTCACTCACACACGCGTATTTGAACCAGCGAAGTGTGCAAGAATCCATCCATGTAACACAACCTGGTGGCAAATACGTCCTCTGGCAGGGCTGCAGCGACCCAGTTGGGGGGTCTTTTCAAATCGAGCCCCTCATCGTTGCCCAAGTACCACAGTATCCTCAACCATGATCTTGACGTTTTAATCTACAGTGGTGACGCCGATTCTGTCGTCAATTTTATCGGTACCGAGCGCTGGATCGGTGGTCAGGGCCTCAAGTTGCATATTACAGAAAAATGGCACGCTTGGTTTGGTCCGGACAAGCAGCTGGCTGGATATGAGCAGAAATACGACGGACTGACTTTTAAGACTGTAAAGGGCGCTGGTCATATGGTACCTGCCGTTCAGCCGCTTCACGGTCTCAATCTGTTTGAGTGTTTCGTGTACGGTCAGAACGCGTGCAACAAGTTTGTGTATCCCATCGATGATAACGAGATTGAAGCGGGACTGACAGTGGTGCAGAACGTCAATAATGCTGCTAATCCTTCCAACTCTGTTAATGGCAATGTCAGCTCGGAGGACGCGTCCAGTTTGTCATTGAACTGGATTTGGACGGGTGGATTGATTGTAGTGCTAGTGGTCATTGCCATCCGGAATATCCGCAAACGTGGCATGTATCAGCGTCTATGCTCCAATCGTTATCAGGCCGTCGTGTAAGTAGAAGAATAGAGACATTGGCTAATGTGAGAATAAACCAAACATACGTGTACCGTGTGTCCATTCAATTTTTACGCGTATGAAGATTCGATTGCTCAATTCATTGAGTGGTTTGTCTTGCACGTGATGGCCAAGTAAAATTAGTTCTTGATTGGGCATTCTTTGACAAATCATTTCAATCATAATGGCCGACGTGGTTCAATGGATCAAAACGGGTGGCACACGGTTTGTCGAGTCCCCGATTGCACACTTCATATGATTAACTATTCCACGTGCTCAGCCGTTACTTTCACCCCTTCCACCTCAAAAGTACACTCATGTTTCATCATGACAAACAGTATCAACACTCGCTCACTCTTCATTTTACCACCATTGTCATTGATCTGATCCTGTCGTTACTATACAAACCATGAAGCTTCTCATTATTGCAATTACAGCATTAGGCGCAATGCTCTTCCCTATTAGAGCGTATGACGCTCATCGCGTTGGAGATCTCCCTGGTCTCAAGCAAAAGGACGTTCCGTTCAAGCACTATGCTGGACAGCTACATCTTCCTACGAATACCTCGGAAAAGATATTTTACTGGTACGTCGAGTCTCGTCAGGTATCTAAGAGTGACCCTTTTGTGCTCTGGTTAAATGGAGGTCCCGGCTGTGCATCGACGAATGGTTTTTTCACGGAAAACGGACCGTTTGTAGCCAAGCGTGATGGAACTGTTGGCCTGAATCCATACGCTTGGAATGCCCGTGCCAATATGGTCTGGGTGGATTCACCCTCTGGAGTTGGTTTCAGCCAACCGTTGCAAGCACCGAGTGGTTATTACAATGATGATGTTGTGGCAGAGCGGCTTTGGCTATTTTTACATGAGTTTCTGACCAAGTACCCAGAGCTCAAGAGCCGTGATTTTTATATCACGGGTGAGAGTTATGCTGGTATGTACGTTCCTTTCTTGGTGGAACAATTGGTAGATCATCCCGTGAATGGGTTGAATTTGAAGGGGTTTGCCATTGGTAACCCGCTTACGGACATGGCAATTGATGGTAATGCGTACATGGACTATTACTATTGGCACGGGCTGATCTCGCATAGAGACTACCTCACTCTTCTTGACTACTGTGACCATAATGTAGCACAATGCATGTACACGCATGTTAACTGCACCTCACATTGTGAGGAGGCTGTAGTGAAAGCTTTCGAGGCTGCCGACGCGGGCAAGTTTGACCGCTACTACATTTATGGCGACGTCTGTCAAATGAAAAACAACCAGCGGTCCGTGCTACAGTCGCACCTGCTTGGCAACGTTGATCTGAACATTCAGACGCACCGCGGAGTTGTCGGTCCGTGTGCTAATGACTTTACCAAATCTCTTCTGAACAAGCTGGAGGTGCAACAGGCAATACATCTTGAGGGCGAGTTGCCGATCACGTGGGTGGATTGTCATCCTTATGTCTCGCAGTACTACGTCCGCACGTTCTCTTCACTGGACAAGTATCGCAAGCTACTCGGCAATGGATTGAAGGTTCTTATCTATAGCGGTGATGCCGATTCTATTGTGAACTTTATGGGTACGCAGCGATGGATCACGGAAGATAACGGACTTGGATTGAAGCCTACGTCGCCATGGCGAGCATGGATGGGCCCGGACAACCAGATCGCTGGCTACCACCAGCGATTTGAGCTTGGCCTAACTTTCAAGACTGTCAAGGGTGCTGGTCACATGGTGCCTGCTGTGCGCCCGCTTCACGGCCTTCACCTCTTTGATTGCTTTCTCTTTGGTGACGACAACTGTAGCGTCATTACTTATCCAACTGACCCGTTTGAGCGTGAGGCGGCAGGAAATGTGTTGGACACGAACACACCTAACTCGTCTGAGGACGATGCGCACCACGATGTGATCCTCGCCAAGCAGGCCAAAGCAGCAGTCTCGCAGGTAAGCGCACCAAATGATACCGCGTCAAGTGCTATTGTGGCACTCTTCGTCGGCTGCACCGTCCTCTTTCTGGCGGCTGCAATCTACACGCGCCGTCGCCATCGCCGGAACGGACAACACCGTCAACAGTACCAGCCTATTTAGAGAGGTGCAGCATTGCGCAATGTACGCCAAAGACAACCCAGCACCTCCAAGCCTCATGTTCATGCTTCATTCTGTTTAGGATCATCTTCCATCCTAGTTGTACGTACAGCTTTGCTGCAATTTTTGAGAAACTGGTAAATGAAGTTAAAGCAGCTTGCAGTCAAGTGAACCTCCTCATTTTCATGCCTAGTCCCGTCACGCCACTTTCGACAACTGCAGACGAGCGGAGGTATCCTACAAGAAACTCTCTATCGTCACGGTCGCTTTACTAAGCATCATGTTGACAGCTCCAGCCAGGAGTCATGCGGGCAGTGCAACGATGCGTGAGCAGATCAAAGCTGTCAACTATCTGTTTCAAGAACGACGCGCACATTAGTATGCCGTGCCGTTGCTACTTGCAGACGTATATACCCATTTCTTTACCCTGAATCAACGCAACTATTCTGGGCACAAGCATAATCGAGAGGAACCATCGTTTACGGTGCAGACAAGACCGTGCAGAGATTGCCAGAGCAATGTAAGATTGGCGACGTGGAACATAGTCTTGGTGACCATAAGTGTGAAGCATAGATATACTTTCCAGTGGATGCTGGCAACTGCCACTCTGCTGGCGTTGATACACGTTGCTGCAGCGTTAAGGACGATTCTCTGGGAGATTTACGATGAGAACACCAACCATTTTCAACTGCAAATGTGGTTGGATCAAGAACAGCAAAGACTCTTCATCACAATGACTACGAGGCAAAACCAAACTGATCAGCTCATGAAACGGCAACAATAAGACAAACCTTACAATGTATTACCATGAAGCTGTCCGATCATTCCTTTTACCGTCTTTGTCATTCTAAATGAGTCTATGTAAGTTACCGTACCTCTCTATCCAAGTGCAACATCCATTACCATCATAACAACAAAGCCCACTATGGTACCGAAAGTTGCCAGCTTCTGGTTGCCACTCTGCGTTGTTTCAGGCACAAGATCGTCTACCACGACAAATATCATGGCTCCTGCAGCAAACGACAGTGCATACGGCAGAATCGGCTGCACGTACAAGACCGCACTTGCTCCAATCAACTACAATTGCCACAATAAAGCCCATACAGAAATTAGCACGTCACAACATTTCCTTCTTTCCATATCAAGAGCAACTCACTCCCCCAATCGGTTCCACCAATCCACTCGCTTGTCCCCACATGAATGCTTTGAACGCCGATGCTCCTTCTCTTCTCAATGGCATTGACACGGCCAATCCTTCTGGGAAATTCTGCAGTCCAATGCCAATGGCTAGAGTCACGGCATTATTGAAACTGGCATTCGAACTATGACCGACGCTGCCAAATCCGACGCCAACTGCCATTCCCTCGGGTAAATTATGCAGTGTGATTGCAATAACAAGCAATAAAACTCGCCGATAGCTGCTTGTACTGCCCAATGTTGGTTTCTCATAGCTCTCGTCATTCTTGCAGTAGTCATCATCTTTTTTCTTCTTCTTGAGCTCTTGCTCAGATGAAATTACCACATGTTTTTCAATATATGGCAATAGTTTTTCCGTTCCAAAGAGTGTCAATGCTCCTAGCGTAAACCCCACAGCTGCTGGAAGAAAAGACCAACGACCATTTGGTCCATAGAGCTCTGAGTCATGTGCAATTTCAAGAGCGGGTGCTAGTAATGACCAATAAGAGGCCGCCAGCATGACACCACCTGCAAATCCTAACATTCCATCAAGAATCTTTTGACTTGTTTGTTTATTTTCCACGTCCAAGAGAATGACTAGAGCGGAACCCTAGAAACACAAAGTTGAGAGAAGTAAGAGGATAAAACAATACGAATACTAGCAACAATAGAGAGAGAAGAGAGACGTACAAGAGCAGTAAATCCCCATGTAACAAATGTACCAAGTAATGCTTGAAGAATTGGGTGTAAACCTTCAATCATCGTGTATCTCAATAATGTGATTATTAGTATGAATGAAGTGGCGTTATCGTAATATTGCATGCAATATAACATTTGTGTTGAAAAGAGTGATGTGAAATGATCGTATCTATCGTTGTGTACCACGTCATAAAGATGCGCCTCCTTTGAAGGCAAAGATTTGGATCACCGTATGGTGTCGTGTTAGCGTTACTTTCGTAACGACGACCTTGATGTTTGTGACATGGTCAGCTGCTAGTGGCTCTTTTTTTTCAGCCTTGAATGTAAAGATAACAGATCAACGCTATGAAATCAAATGGTGTTACTTTCTTATTTCCTGTATCATACACAAGTATGTGTGTGTGTACGACAGAATATCATGTCTGCATACAAAGCCAATGTGGTCCACTCAATTGCTTTAAATTAACTTCAAGTACTTCAACCTGGATATGTGGGGGTAGACGAACAGGGTAGAATTGTATTTGTCTTGGATGGAAAGGAATTTGAAATGAATACGCAATCGTACCATCCACTAAGCGATGTGGGTCCTCATTTATTACTTCCTGGTTTTATCGACGGTCATGCCAGTATTCATTTAGTGGGATTGGTATGCATTTACCGTTACTTCAGTGGTTACAAACCTATACTTTCTCGTATAATCTTGATTATGCACGTGCTGTATATAATAAAGCAGTACGTTGTCATTTAAAGAATGGCACAACTACTTGCTCTTACTATGCTACATACATTTTGATGCATGTCAGATATTATCGAACTAGTGGATCGAAATACCTCGTCAGAATTGCGTGAAAATACACAAACGTCACTTCAGGAAACAAGAATGTTTGTACAATATGCACAAAAAAAGGAAATTCCGTTATTAACACCAGTGATTACCCCGAGGTTCGTACCTAGTTAGTTGCTCATCAATTCTCATGGAAGGACTGGCAGAAATTTCAAGAGAATACACCCCAAAATTGCCCATTCAATCACATTTAGGTCAAGAATCTACATCTAGAAGGTCAAACGTATACGGACGTCTATGATGATCATGGACTGCTGCATGAACGATCCTACATGACACACTGACTGCATTTGATGCAGCAAGGGTGAGCGTGAGCTTTTGCGCGAGAAGCAGACGGCTGTAATTCACTGCCCCAATTCGAATTTCTCACTCTCTAGTGGTGTGCTTAATGTTCGACGATTGTTACGAGAAAGAGTCAAAGTTGGACTGGGAACTCATGTATCAGGTGGTTATTCTCCGCCCATGTTGGATGCCATACGTCAAGCTGTTATTGCATCCAAGCTCGTCGCTGCTGGTAATGGAAGCGCTAGTGATCAGCTTGATGATGAGCCACCGGAACAACCGCTCTCGTATGCCAAAGCCTTCTATTTTGCAACCGTTGGTAGTGCCGAAGCACTTGGGCTTAGCGACAAGATTGGTAATTTCATGATTGGTAAGGATTTTGATGCGCAAGTGGTAGATCCTTACACCAAGAACAGTCCTATCGATGATCGATCTTTTGATCCCGTCGAAGTTGCAGACGTTTTGCACACGTTTCAAAAGTTTCTGTTTCTCGGTGATGACCGTAACATTGTCTCTATATGTGTGGGTGAGCAGCAGGTCAAGGGTGCCTCTAGCGAATGGTAAGAGCAAAGAAGTCATTGTGAATGGTTGCGACAGCTCAGCTTATGTGCGAGCATTCATAAACATCTCATTGTGCTGGAACTACTTGAAAAAAGCCGCAAGTATGAAATGAGTCCGTTCATTCCTATAATCTAGCTGATGTATGCTAAGAAGCTCATGCGGATGACCTACTTACACCACTAAAGAATGAACACATTTGTCAAGACTAATTTTCATCCCGGTAAATCATTGACCAGTTGAAGTCACATAAGAGTTTTATCGTGAGATAAAAGCGTACATGTGGGCATAATCAACGCCTAGAATGTGCAAGAAATCAATGAAAATTTATGTCATTGGTGACGGCAAACGTTGAAACAATGCAAGTAAGCCGCAGACCTCAAGTCGCTGGAAAGAGTGATGGTCAAAGTCAACAATCTGACCATCACTCTCGTCAACTTCAACATGAAACAGTAGGTGCAATCAAAACAACAGCAAATACGACACGATAGAAACTTTAACAGCTTCTTTCAATGGTGACATCAGTATTTCCTTTTGTGTATTGTCTCCTTTGATTGCACTAACAGTCTTCATGAGTGTTTTTGTTGGTGTGTTCATTGAATGCAGTGACTGTCGTTGAGTGATAAGGGAGGCTTATACATAAGGTCATCTCTTCCAGATATGGCATGGATTCATGGCTGAACGCTTTGCTTGAATCCAGTCATTTACGTAGCACAGCCTTATGATCCAACGCACTTGATTCATAAGACAGAAGGAGACGGGCTTTGACATAACTATGCAGAGCTACTGTTGCATGGTCTTGCTGCTACTACTTCTTCTTCTTTATGTCTGATAATTCTTGCATCAATGGCAGTAAGCTGTTCGATACCTTATTCGTTGCCGACACGTCCTTGATATCTACACGACACCTCTTCCTCTTGTTCTTAAGAATAAAACAATCGAGTTGGGTCATCCATGCTCCGCAACATTTGCCGATTTTTAGTCTATCCGTTGCATTTTCAATTATCGCTTCGGCAATGCGCTAATAATCCTGCCTGCGCACAACAATCTATTACTCTTCACCTCGGGCTGATCCCATGTCAAGTGCAAAACTTGCATCATGCACGCTCCCTCTAGCTTTCGCGCTCGTCTTGAAGGTATAACCATAAAGAAATAACCCACACAGAGGTAGAAGCAAGCTGGTACATCACATGAGACCAACTACTTTACTGGATCGTAAGGAAGCCGCGCAATGTGTTGCGGAACAGGCCGAGCTTTTGCGTAAACTTGTCGCGGTTTGTAGCCTCTAGATTGGGACGTACGTCAGCAAACAGCGCGGCAAAAGCCTCCTCTATCTGTGCACGATTCTCGGGTGGCTGCGAAGAGCTCAACTGTTGTTGATAATTTGTGAGCGCTTCCTCGCTACAAAGCGTTAGGCTCAGGATTGGCCGCGAAAGGGCCCATTGTGAATTCGCCTCACCGTACACCAAGATATCCAGTAACGCTGCTAGCAACGTTGACCACATGTTAGGCGAACCCTGTACATGTGCGTGTAAAGCATGCTTCACTGGTGTATCTCGCTTCTTCTTCATTTCCTGGAAATACAATGACGCTAGATGGTCCACCGCTGTTGCGCACTGGGCAGCAATTGCCAGGTCGTACGAGCTCATTCCTTCGTGTAGGGACTGTACAAGTTGGCGAAAGATACTGTCATCCAATGCCACTACGGACGCCAACTGATTGCGGAATAAAATCTCCAGGAAAAAAAAGTAGGCATTTTTCACCTTCGGATAGTGCATCAAATCCTCGTGAGGAATAGATAGAACTAGCTGCAGTGCGATTTCTAATACGTTCTCCAGAGACTTGTCATTGTAGAGCTGAAACACACCAAAGTTAACATAATTTCCACCTAGCGCACGGTACAGAATACCCAGGCAAAGTGCCACGCCCTTATACTTATCGTCGTATGGATTCTCCCCTGCCGGCACTAGTTGTATCCGCCGTCCGTACGCCACTACAACTCTGCTCAGCTCCCGGAACAGCAAAATACCGCTGGCTGAGCTCTGGTCAAACGTAAGACGCTGTGCTTTGTTGTAAGCCAACTCCTGCAAAAACTTGAGCAAAGCTGTTGTTACAGCCGGGTAATCATACAGCTCATCTGCAGCTCGTACAAACACTGGGAAATACGCCGGATACAGTAAGTCGAAAATGCAGCTGTATGTGTGTCGGTTGTGCGTCTGCTGCACAATTCCCCGCAAATCGCGGCACACGCCAGTCACAGCCTCGCGAACCTCTGGCACACGGTAGTTAAGTGTTTGCAAAAGCTGGCTGAGAACGTTCTCGATAGGCTCCATAAATCGTTCAAACCGCTCGGAAGACTCATCAAAAGCTGTCGTGAATATAAGCCGCGCAATGGTGGAGTGGAACGTCGTTCGATGCCGTGTGTTAGCTGGAATCGCCAGAAATGGAAACTCTTCTGCAGTGTGGTTCCCGATAAGATATTGCACCGTTTCCAGACCAAGCAGGAGCTTGCCAGAGGAGTAGCCAGATGCAACTTCGAAGAAAAGCGCCAGAGTCTTGCTAATAATCACCTCGGTTTCACCCCAAAATTTCAGATTATTGCCCACTTTAGTCACCATCATGTTCACCACAACCGTATGGTCACCCAGTCCTAGTCGCTCGAACATGCGCACATATGCTTTGTGCTTCGATGACATAACACTTTCGGTAGGAGCCATAATAGGCGACGAGACCGACCCACTTGATGCCAGCTGCATGGCTGACGACGGCGTAGGAGCCGATGGCATGCCATGCTGCTCTCCTATGTAGCTTTTGCGAAAACTGCTGAAGTAGTATAGCAACGACAGTTCAAAGTGCACGCTAGGTTTTGCATGTCCACCTGATGCAATGATCCGATGCTCCGTCAACTGCATCGCACGAAAGACTCGCTGCGAGAGATCTGCATCTACAAGTTCATTGCCTTCTGTTGACGTAGACGAGTATGTCTGCCCACCAAGAATGGCGCCGATAGTGTAGACAACCCAGGCTACTCGATTCTCCATGCTTGCGAGTTGCTGTTGCTGTTGTAGCGGGATCGTAGCTCTGCCAGTTTGGTCTAATATGCTGCATGCCTCTGCGTACTGATTCAAAATCGGATCCAACACGGACACAATGTATTCCCCAGTCTGTCGGTAGTTGAAGTGACACAGCGTTGGCAGCTTTTCAAGTTGCTCATACAGACCACCCTCGTCATCGAGCGGGTTGTCCAGCGTGTCATCAAGAGCACATTGTTCAGCAGATTCCAAGCGTGACTGCATATACGCCTGAATAATCTGAGGCACACGCAAGTCCAAAAAGTTGATAGTTCCGGAACATGGCATTGATTCTGCGCGCACATATGGCAGCGCAGCCACAAGCCGCGCCCACAATGCTAGCAAATAGTGGGTTGAATTCGCAGACCACTGCCACTGACGAAAAGACTTGACCGTAAACTCCGGCGTGAGATCCATCCATTCTACAAATAAATCCGTGTTCATAAGCTCAGTGAGCTGGTAATTCGACTTTAGGCGGCCGATCAGACGGCAAAACTCGTGATAGTTTTGATGATCCGATAGCCCTTCTTGTGTGCGTAAGATAGCGCAGATACCTTTTAGTAAATGGGCAAGATATACACTCCGCTCTTTATCTGGTGAAAAGAGATTGCGACGTACAGACGCAAACAACATGAGTGCCTCAAGGCACTTGGACGTATTAGGCGGGTTCGTTATCGAGTAAAAGTCAAAAAGAAGCTGTAAAGTATCAGGATCTTGAATAACCGAGCGCCATAATGTTGGGACTTGAAGTGAACCTGTTTCCTCCGATGACTCGTCTAGATTTGTGCCAATAAAATCAAACGACAGACACTTGATAAGCAGCGTTAGTGCCTGATCCCCCATTTTAGCTTCTTGCTGTGGCGTCGCTCCTCCAATATTGTGCATCTGAAGTTGTTTAATCGAAGTGAGTGCAACTTGAAAAACCCGAAACAACGAATCTTCTCGAAACGAGACGGCAATTTTTCGATGAAATGTAATGTTTCGACCGACAATGGGCAAGTTCATTTCCGTGACTAATTCACTCAATATCTGGAGTCCAATGACACAATGATCCACTGTTGCTTGTAAGAATTTCGTCACTTCTGCCACAATCTCCCGATGTTGTTCATCATCAAACCAGCCATATTTCGTTAACCGACAGACCATTTGAATAAGTGACGTGGTCACAAATTTCTCCAACGTTGGTCCTTTTTGAGCCAAGTATCCCAATACATAATTGCCTATAACAAAAATTATATAGTATGATAATTTTATGGTAAAAAAAATATTAAATTAAAATTAAAATCATAAAAAGAAATAAAGAAATATGTTTTACGTACGAATATCAACACGTTGGGGTGTTGTAAAATTATTCCAATGCGATGTAATGAGTTTAGTTAGACTTGTACTAGCAACAAGAAGCGCATAAGGTGAAGACGAATGATCTAAGACGTATTGACATTGTGGAATATATTCCGCAGAACTTTGGAGAATCAGAACAGCTTGTTGAGCATGAGTACGCTCTGATTCATTCGTACTTTCATATAATACACGACAGAGCGTCTCTAGCTCACATAATTGATTAGTGTCCATGAAAACGAACGACGAGATGTCGACGGATTTGTTTTTTATATTATAATTAATTTGCTGTTTTTTATTAAAGCTTTTTTTTTATTAAAGCCTTTTTTTTCTAAAGGGGGGAAGGAGTGAAGTGTGAGGTTTTAACCTAAAATAGGAAAATGGAATCTCGGAGACTAAATTAGAACACTTTACCTCAAACACACTTGCTTACATTTCGTAATACTCTTTTGTCGGATTATCAACTTTGACAAACATGATTAGGCACTCTGACCATCGACTTTAGCTGTTGATACAATAGCTTTGTACTGGACAATGGTTTGCAATTCCTTTCATTCCATTCGTCAGTCATACGACGAATATTGCCAGTTTATACTAATCATGCAAAGTCTCAGCGTATTTAGACGATATTATTGCAAGATTGAAAACCTGTCGTGTCGATTTGTTTTTTAGCCTGCTAATGCCTTGAAAATGTATGAGCGATGCTCTTTGGAAATCATACTGTATCGCAATTAGTTTCTAAAGTCAAGGATGAGACTACATCTGTACAAACAGACACAGACAACATGGTCGAAGAAATACATTTTATGTAGTGATGAAGTATAAGCATGGTAGGTATGATTATAAAGTCGAGGATAGTAGCAGATTCATGAATGATCGATCAATTTATAGGAAAGCGAGAAAAGTACTACTTTCTCAGATATATTACTTTTTTAAAAGTATTACTTTTTGTATTATATTATAGCTCATTTGACAACTCTCTCCGGTATATCGGTAATACAACACTAGCTACTGCTGCAACAACAAATTATACACCAAGTATACATTCCTCCAAATGAATAGATCAGACTCCACCAATCATTACCATGACAAACTCCACACTATACGCATCCATCGTGCCACAATTTACACAAAAGCTCTTATCTCCAGGACTTCGTATTGGTTATACAGATGAAAATGGTGTATGGCAATTCCTTGCTCCTTCTTTATCCCAACGTCTTCCATTACGTGGTATACTATGGCGTAATCTCATGGGCATTACGAAACAAATTGATCACTTACCTCTTGAATTTGTCGAAATGTCCATGGAAAAGATCAAATCTCACAAAAGTAGGACCAATTTACCTCGAACTTGTCTATATTTGGTCAAATGTGAACATTTCGACAATTATAAGACAAGGGTACGACCTTCCTTACTTGATTGGGTCGAACAAATGATTACAATGAAAGTGGATTGGTTAATATTATATGTACCACTTGGGACACGTCCAAAAACAGCTGGTACCAATCTGCCCAGTCCTATGTACAGAAAAATATTTGATAAATTACGAACCGATTTTGAACAAAAAAAGACCATAACACGAGGAGCTACAATGGGTTCAACAATAGCAAATGGATCGAGTTTTTCAATCCACTTACAGGACAAACGAGTGTGTAAACTTGATACTTTAGAAGGCACAGGTGTTCTAGGACAACAACAACAACATGATGATCAATGGACAGAATTGATTCTACGATTACAACATTCCATCATGGATACATTTCAACTCGAATGTTTTCAATGTGAAGAAGAATTAAGACAATTGGATACGAAACGACGTGCTAGAGGATGGAATGTTGGAGCTTTTCTTCACGTGAAAGAAAAATTAGCGCTCATGTATCAACAAATGTATTTGAAAGATGATGCGATTCGACATGTAAGGAGTTCAAGGTTTTTTTTGATTGTTTTTGCTACGGTGCTTTGTTGTTGCTTTTGTGTGATATGGAGGAGATGCACCTTTTTGTAAACTGGTTGACTTTTTCTTTCATCTTGTTGTTGTTGTTGATGTGTGTCTAGTTGGATGAGCTTGATGCAATTTTCATCAACTTGAATGAGACGGAGAAACAAGTTTTACAAGATAGTAGCAAGATCGCTTTTGAATGCCACGATCCTATTTTTACACAGTCTCCTGTGCGTTGAACTACTTGTTTCACGCTTTTTGATGGAATGTTTTTTTACCTTTGGAAGAAGAACTGACACGTCTGAATGCTGTTTTTTTCTGCTGCTCCAGTTGGCATTAGATCTAGACGAAATCCAGCAATACATTGCGTCGAATCGTGCATCAGCGCGTCTTATCTCGCTCTACTGTTTCTGTCGGCAGATTCGCACGCTATACATTATGGGTAGTTTTCTGCAGCTGCTAAAGCGTGCTAGTTTGTTTATTGAGTCGTTTCTGGCTGAGTTGGACAAGTTAGCAGCAGAAGGCGAGATAAAGTGGCATCAACCTTTTTTATGGGCATTGGGTGCATGTATGGAAATTTCATATGCATGCGAAGTGTCGTGGAGTGGCCGTGATGACGAATGGACTGCTTCTAGTGTGTCTGTACAAGCCGCACAAGCAATTCCTGCCGAAGAGATGTCTCGCGCACTTGGAAATATCTTGTACCTTGCAAGGAGGGTACTAAAGAAATTTGCAAAGTCTAGAAAATGCAGGAACGAACATCACGTATTATCGTCAAGCTTGTCTGATGCAGCGGACGCAGAAACGTCGATGACGTGGTACCAAAAACTTGAACAAGTGTTTGTGTCTCCAGAATGGCAACAATCTGAAACCTGCGACTCCTATGAGCGTTGTCTGTCCGAGATATCCCATCTCGCGTCAATGCACTTTTTACAGTGTGGACGTCATCGTTTTGCTGTGTATCTTGAAGGGGAGTGCGCTCAGTATCATTATGGATGTGGTGAGTTTGAGGTTGCGTCACGACTTCTGCGTTCGCTTGCCCGACAAAGCGAAGAGGATGGTTGGTGGACAATATTTGGTGCCTGTGTCCAGCGCATCTGTAGGGCTGAGCTGGCCTTAGGACAGTCCACACAAAGGATATCAGCGTGCTTTAACATGTTGCAACTTGCGCAGGAAGAGCTATTTGGTGTGAGCAAAGAGGGGATGAAACAGCTACTGATTGCTCTTGTGGCTAGTTTTGAGAGTAATGATGGCGCAGATAAGGTTGTGAATTCGGTGAAAGATATGAAAAAGTCTAGAAACGTGCCAAAGATTAATTTGGGCGATCTGTTTCGGCCTTCAATGGCCGTCGAGACGACACAGACTAGTGCGTATGTACTAAAGCACGGGGATATTTGCGTTACACTGGGTATTGCAAATGAGTTTCCGGCAGGAGTGGAGCTGGAGAAAGTTTGCGTTTGTTTTTCAAGAATGGTAGAATCGTATGAGAGTTTTGCACAAGAAGAGTTATCGCACATTGACGATCTGGAATTGAGCGAAGCCACAAGGACTGATGCTTCCGTCGACTATGACAAGAGTAACGTCTTAGGTACCAATCTGGTATCTACAAACGATTCCAATCGTCCTAGCAAGTCTGATGATGTCATTAAGAATGTCCACATAGAGCATGAGCAGGACACAGAATTACTATTAGAGAAGTGGGATGTTTACCTTGATGAGAAAACGGGTGCTAATCTCGTGTGGCGTCACTCGGGCGTTCCAGTAGGACGTTACATTTGCTCTGGGATTGAGTGTGTCATCGCGGGAAATACTTTTCATTTGCTTCCTTCTAGTGCACTAGTTCTCGCTAGCTTTGAAATTACTGCCAAAGAGAGTACAGTTCAGGTTGACATTGACGGAGCCCCATTACTTGTGCCTCAGCCATTATCCGAGGTGGAAACCATTACAGTCTCCGTCCGAGCTAATGACGATATGGTGGTGAATGGGATTCTGGAATTACGTGTCTGTAGACGAATCAGGAGTGACAACTGCATCACGCGGGGCAATGAGAAAGAGAATCTAGAAAATGACGGAAGTAGTTGCAATGAGGAGTGCAGAGTCCACTTGATTAAGATACAGCAGCTTGGTGAGACAGGGCCGGATACTGCAGCATCTCTAGACAATGTCCAGAGCAACCATGTTGAAAGTCGTGGAGAGTTGAACAGTTTGTTGAGTGTTGCACTGCCGACAGTACTCCGTGGTGACTCATTGCGATATGTCGTAACCGTAATGGTACCTCCACTCAATTCTACTGAAAGCAGCTTTGGGCCCGAGGATGAGAACGAAGATATCACCAACGTTACTATCCGTGCAAGTGTACGATATCAACGGGACCGAATGCATACAAGTGCACGAACAACGGCTACAGAAATGCATTGCACAGAATCAACTTTCCGTGTGTTGCAACCGTTGACTGAAGTCGTGCAGCTTCGGCGCGTTGGCACAAAGATATTCGCGTCCATCACGCTCGTATGCAATCCGTTTCTTTCCGTTGTTCTCCAAGACTATCATTTGCAATGCCCCGGACAAGTCGGTAACGCTTCTGTACATTGTCCGGTAGTAACAGTCGAGCAGGATCCAAATACAAAATTGCGAGGTACGAATCTTCGCCCGAACGACCGTGTGCATCTCGCATTTACATTAGGTTGTTCTCCAGCTTTTGAAACGAAAGCTTGTGACAGCTACTGCTCACTTGCATTGGATCTAAAGTATGGCGCTGATAAATCGTGGTTCAAAACTATGGCCGTACATGTGCCACTGGCAGAAGTTGAGGGGAAACACTACCGGATTGATGTACTCCCGAGAGGTCTGAACAAAGCATACACATTTCTGGGTGAGATTGTTGAGGCTACTGCAAATGAGCCTGTCACGTTCGACATTCATGTACAAGAGGAAGTTTCGCACTTGCACAAGGCCGTTCTAGCAGACGACACAAATACATTGTCTCTATGTCTTAACCAAAGCAGCGAGTACGATTGGATTCTCGTGGGCAAGCAGCGCGAGCGATTTAACTGGAACCTGTACTTGGGAAACCACGGCGATCGTCGGCGCGAGTTCAGGACACAAAAAAGGCTGTTAGCCACTCGGTCAGGCTTGCTTCGCTTTCCCGGTTTTCACCTTCAACTTAATGACCAGACAATACCAGCAGCACGCGTTCACTGTCAACAAAGCAGTCGTCAAGTAATTGTAAGTTAGTTGTAACCTACGAGTCACGATGTGGATTGTTCTAAATGATACGAAAGTTCTAGCATATGATACTTCTAGCTTATGTTACCAGCAAATGGAAGAATCTCAATCCATTCTTCAGCTTTAAGCCACGGCATTCTCTACCAAGACACCAAGCTCACGCAGTTTTCGCTGCTTGTCTTCACAATTGACGTATGAGTCGCCATTGCGAATATGCCACAGGGCGCCACCTAGATTTACGCCCCAGGTCGAACGGGGGTACGGTGCTTCAGCTGGCACGCAGAATTTCGTATTCATCGATGCGCAAGTGCCGCCGTGTAGCTCAGCATACGCTCGGAAGGCTGGCAATAAAATATCATTCCAGCGCTGGTCGTTAAAACGCCACACAAAGCCAACCTTATCCAGCTCTGAACGCAGTTTGGACGAAAGCTTAACTTGACCTGAGCGTACTCGGGCAATCCACTGACCGAGTTTAAAGCCACGCGTGAGCACTGGCCAGTTCGGATCACGATCAGGTACTACAAAGTCCGTTGTCATAGCGGCATTGTTGCCGTGGAGTCTCTTGTACGTTGTCAATGCCGGAATCACTACGCTACGCACAATCTTTTCCAACCGGTGGCGTGCATTCCAAACAAAACCTAGAGCATCAAGGTCTTTGCGAGCCGCTTGTATCTGAGTATCGTAAGCTCCACGTCGGATATTCTTGACTGTGTCTCCCAATTTCAATCCCCACGAGTCCTTCGGCCAAGATTCATCCGAAGGCACCACAAAATCTTGCCACACATCACAGTGACCATATTTCGATGAAAACACTTCAAGTGCAGGAAAGATACTTTCTACCCACGCTTTATCACCAAGTCGAAATGAAAATCCCAATTCTTCTAGCTCTTGTTGACTCTCACGAACTTGGGTCGCATATTTTCCTGATCGTACCATATATACATGTTGTCCTAACCTGTATCTTTGTAGTTTCTTTGGCCATCTGGAATCTACATCATGAGACGGAACTGTAAATGCCAGTGGTACATTGGCATGTCCATGTAATTCTCGATATCGTCGTAAACCTGGCAGAAAAAACTCATACCATTTTGTATCTCGTACGCTCCATACAAATCCCAATTCATTCAATGCTTCCACTTGTTTCATTGGTAATGGTGGTAAAAGTGCACTCAATCTCGTTTTTTTCTTCTTTTCCTTCACGTGTTCAACACGCTGTCTCTCCTGTTGGACTTGTTTACGAATCTTGGCGACTGCCAATCCTAATTTATATCCTTTTGTCGCTCGTGGCCACAGTCCTGTCTCCTCTTTATTCCTCTCGCCATCATCTTCTGGTACAATAAACTTTTGTGGTACAAATAAATCTCCATATAAGTCAAGATATGTCCTTAATGCAGGAAGACAGACCTCTTGAAATTGATATTCTTGCCAACCCAATACTGGAAATCCCATTGCTTGTAATTCCTCTACTTGATGCTGATCTTTCTGCTTCAGTTGCTTCTTCTTTGTCTCTTTAATCTTCATTGTCTTGGATAAAGTCTGCATATATCGATGAACTTGAAGTCCTAATGGTAAATAATGTAATTCCTTGGGCCAGTTAGCACTTGGAGGAACAATGAAACGATATGGAACCGCAAAATGTTGCTCCAAGGTATGGAAAATACGAACAGCAAAGACCAATTGACTTGGAGCCTTTGTTTTATTACGACGATGACTAGAAGAGGAAGAAGCGTGAGCTTCAGTGGATAATACACGATAGAAACGAGCAGTCAATGATTGCAAAGGTAATGATGATAAACATAAGGAATGTCGACCATGATGCAGAAGCGGCAGGAAAGGACGACGATGCATGATGATGACCAGTGAGTGGGTAAAGTGCAGTTTTATGTGGAAAACAAGAATGTGGTGTGGATTACATGAGAATAAGAAGTGCTTTTTTTGTAACACTGTAACGTCACCGACTTATGACATGTCGCACGTGCTTGTTGTTTACGTGATCGATCCGTGGATATCTTGTAAACATTCTAGGCACTCTATTTTGAGTCTGTAGATACACAGAGATTGATGGTGCTTACTAGGCGACATTGTCGTATGTAGAGCTTTGAGATGGGCCGTATACTAGTGCTGCCAAGAGTCAACATTATGGACTGCAGTGTTCTGGAGTCAAGCGTTGCATTTCCATGCAAACCAGAGCTTGTTGCCTTGTAATCTCACGCACTGTATTCTTATCGTAAGTATGAGCTTATGAGAGGAGTGGCAAGCAACGAAGGGTACTTTCGATGGTGACGTGCTAAGACAAATGCTTATGGATAGTACGATAGCGCTTTAGACAGCGACGACAGCCACATTGGCCCATATTATCTCAACAAAGTGCACATACAGTCCTCATTGTGTCCTTGTTCACTGCCACGAGGCGACTGACAAGCAGCATGTCAGCTGGATGTCCTTCGTAGCATCACCTCCAATATTTGTAGCCTAAACATTTCCAACCATCACTAGCTTCTCATCAATATGCAATGTAGCTCATGTAGCTCCATTGCTACACCGAAGAATGTGCTAGCACAATAACTCACGGCGATACTACATACAGCAATTGTAGTCTACCGAGCCCAACTCGTAGACAATATCGCGAGATGCCTGCGGACATGAAAGCGACTGCTTCAACAAGCAGCACTGGAGATGGAAGCTTCAAAACTTGAAGGCGCGACCAATGCCGCAGTCAATTTACTACTGATGGAGAAGGAACATGATATCAGCATGAATCGAGTCCGTATTTAAACAAACATCAGAAAATCCAACCCATTAATGGTTCGGTTAAGGAACCAGTACATGAATCCTTTTACTTGATACATGCACGTTTAATTCAAATGTGCATGTAAGGTGTCAAACAGACCAGGAACTGTCGGATCCTGGGACACCTCGCCACCTGCAAGATGCAGAAGCCACTTGCGAACATCTTTCTCAAGGGCTTGACAACCCTCGCTAGTGCTATCGCGCGGCGGTAGTAGCGATATCTTTTTGCCCTTGTAGCTAAGTCCCACAACAAACGCTACGCAAAACAAATACATAGATTTTCGTCAATACTAACCGCTTGCAATCAAACCGATAATGAAGCCACAGAAGCGTACGAGCTGGTATATTCCCGAATTGCTTCTTCCATAGAGCACGCTTCTCAGCAACTTCCGTCTTTAGATCTAGCCAGCAAAAAGTAAATGCGTCGTGTTGAAACTCAGTTGCAAGGTTTCCAATGACACTGAACTGGTCTGGTATGTACCAAGCATCAATCAACCATTTAGTCCAAATAGACACAGAGATTTCATTCACTCCACAAACCTCGTATACTGCATCCATGTCGAGATTCGTCCGGTAAAAATACCAACGTTCGTCTGCCTCTGGCCGTTAAATAAAGCACATTTAGTTCATAACTCGACGGTGCAAGTGTCTTGGCCACTTGTTCAAATGAACTTTTCTCCTTCTGCATTAACAATCATCAGCACAAAAGATCGACCTCGACTCACAACTTTACAAAACAAAAACACGCCCACCTTTATCTCCGTCACGTCTTGTTTTCCCCCACCTCCTTCTTTTTCTCCTCTTGGTTCAGTCTTCTCCTTGATTTTCAATCGAAATAATCCCGCCATGACCGACAACAAGATTAAAAAGTAGAAGGGTTGTGTCAGATCCCAGTGAATTTGATAGTGATACTGGTGCGAAGAACCAGATGCATATCTCTTTCTCCCATAATATTGATAATACTGTTGGTTTTGCTGTGTTTGGCGTGATTGATCGTGTTGTTTCGTAGCTATTGGACCATTTACTAATGTATCATAGGCAGCATTAATCCGCATAAACTCTTGTTCCGCAGCTGGATTGTCTCGATTTTTATCGGGATGCCATTTCAACGCTAACAGGCGATAGGCTTTTTTAATTTCCGTCTCGGATGCTGAACGCTTGATTCCCAGTACTTTATAAGGATCTTCACCAGCAACAAGCACTAGGAGCAGTACGAAGAGTCCAATTACCTTCATTCTTGTGTAAATGGAGTCAGGATATGAAGTGGACCACGTATTGAGTAACAAACGAAGTGGACCACATTAGTTGTTTGATGTCGTCCACATCGTTTTGACAAACACTCTGAACATCATTTTTACTTGACCAAATAATCATGGAAGATGAAGAAAATGTATCAAATGTGGATGAATTTTTACGAGAGAATGGCTGCAAGATCTCGACTTCTGTCGTTGGTGTCATATCACGAAGTGACGATAAGATGATAGAGGAAGAACTGTTTCTTAGTGACGCAGAAGGATGTCAACCAACGTCCATTTATAGCTGTAATAATCAAAGGAGAAGGACTCATTCTCCACGTTTTGTGCTTTTAGAAGATGATGGACTTGTAATGGCAAAAGAAGAAACAACTGGACGACTTTGTATGGATAAAACAAGTCACAAGACACACGATCAAGGTCAAGACAAGGGTCAAGACAAGGATCAAGACAAGGATCAAGATAATCGAGATTTACTGGATCAATTGATGGTCGTTAAAAGCTCAGAATTCTCTCGATTGAATGACACACCACGTGGAAACAAGAGCGAGCAAGAGATGATGTTGTTGATGTCACCATCTGTCTTCTCTTCATCCTCTTCGTCGTCACTGCGGCTGGAACGCCAGCCTGTGGATGAGCAAGACTTGACGCCTTTATCATTATCAGTGTATCCAACTATGTCGCAGCAAAAGGAGATAGAACGGGTAGAGATGATATCGGCAACATCGTCTGTCTTACGCTCGCCATCATCATTCAGGTCGTTGTCACACTCGCATGCAAGTTCGTCCGTTTCGTCCGAACGAGCGATGGATGATGAGTTGAATGATGCATTGGGAATGCCTGGATCGTCCAATGAGACGGACAAATTGGGCTTATCATCGAAAGTATCAAGAGAGAAGGTTGTTACGCACAAGAGGAAAACAGGGAGTGACCAAGACCGGCAGTCACAACAGTCGACGGCGTTGCTTACGCCAAGAACGCAACGAGCGCTCTTTATTGATGATAAAAAGGCAAAACGCTTGACTGAAAAGGGTGTTGCTGACGAAGATACTGTCAGATTGATGCAGGGATTGCGGTTAGCTCCATCTACTTTATTGTATAAGGATCAAAGGCGTAGATTCAGTCAACCGCGAAGTGAAGAAAGTATGTCAGTGATTAATGAAGCTGATGAAAAGAAAGAGGACATTGGCGTTAAGAGCAACTTTTGTGCTGCTGTCAAGAGCGAGCGGAACCCCACATGCGAAGACGTAGGTGTGATTGATGAGGGTGCTTGGAGCGGACTTAATGATCTGTTGCGTAAAAATGGGCTTTCGGTTGTTCGATTTTGTAATGCTGGATCAGAGGTGCTTCCAGACCGGGAGTCACTCTTCAGCGTTATTCACGACTTTGGCGTGCAGTTGGAACATAAAAACGCGGCAAGGATGCATTTTGTCATTCACAAGCAGGATGCAGGTTCTGATTGATATGTTGTATATTGTGCAGATGATTGAAGATCTAGTTATAACATCTCAACGCAATTTAAGGGCACGAAGTAGGCTAGAGGATGAACTTCGAACTATTGAAAAGAAAAATGTGGAATTGCAAAAGACTTTGGAGAAGGCAAAAGCGGAAACCAAACGCCTGGAGGTAGGGTGCATTATACGACGCGAAATATTGCTTCGTGGTTTGATCTGTGCTAGTGTTCGTCGCTCACTCCCTTCATACACTTTCATATTTTGGTGTTTGCTCTTGGCAGACTTTGCAGGAAAAGGAAAGTAAAAGCACGGAGCTCTTGTCAAAAAAGCTCAAAAGTTCGTGTCGTCGACTGCAGCAACAGCTCAAGGTCAGCGAGCATCGCGTCAAAGCTAAAGAGATTGATGTCGAGAAATTACAGGCCAAGCTTCAGCAGCAGGTAGATAGGAATACCTCGAATAGGATGCGAGACCGACGCGCCTTCCACAACCTTTGGGACCGTGAACCACGACGTGCTAACCCACGTGATATCCATGCGCTTGAGTCGATAAGTGTGTATGAAGCGCAGCGTGAGCAGATGAATGAAGAGATCGCGAATCTCAAGCTACAAGTGGCTGCGCTAAATAGCGAACTTCGTGACAAGGATAACTTTATTGCACGGCAGGCACGTACGTTGTTAAAATCTGATCCTCCAGTTTGGAAGCAATGCTTCGATGAGAGCTACTCAGACCATGAGTTATCTGGAACCCAATACGGACTATCATCTGTCATTTCGGACGAAGTGATGCTAGAGCAACTTGAAGCGGCCCGGCGTGAACAAGAAGTGGCTGCAGCAAAGTTGCGGCATCGTGAGGCTGTTATGGTCAAGAAAGTTGCAATGATTGAAGAGGAACTGCTAGCAGCTCGTGAGGCTATCGGTAAACTAAACGAAGAAAATGCGCACCTATTATCGGAGATGAAGTCACGTCCAAGCATACGTGACTACCGCCAAAGCCAGTGTCGTGTCCGTCAGTTGGAGCAGCAGATAGCGGAGAAAAAGCTTGCATTAGAAGAAGCCAGCGACTTTAATGAATTGTACAAGTCTGTGGGGACGAAAGAACATGTGGAACGTGACCGTTTGAATCACCGATTGAATCTTAACCGGCTCAACACGCTTCCGCGTGAAACAGCAGTGGAGATCGTAAAGCACGTTTGCCGTGTGCTCCACGTTACCGACATTACTCTCATTGCACCGAGCCTTGACAAGATTTGCAGTGTGGTCGCAGCAGTTCCACGCATGGAGAGTTTTATTCAGGAAGTTTACGGATACGTTTTCTTACATTTGAATGACAATGCTCAGACGACAGACATATCTAGCTCTAGCTTTGAGTTGGAAGAGGTGATTCTTACGCTACGACGGTGGGCGATGGAGCGAAAAAAACTGCACGCTTTGGAAGATTTTAAGACATTAATTATCACTGAGCTATCCAGGCGAACTGTTGAGCCAGGTATGCCTAATAACATGGAGGAGAACAGCAGCCATGACGAGAGCGCGCCGTGCTACCCAACGACTTTGTCTCGCGCAATCCACATTGTTTCAGAACTAGTGAAGCTTGAGAAAAGTATCATGCGTCACCGTGAGCTATACACTCAAGCAGCTGCAGGTGACCTCCTTCCAGACTGGTGTGGTAGTGGTGAAGTAGAGGTGAGTGGGATATCGATAAAAGTCGCTCGGATTGCTGAAAAACTTACCATGCAATGTGTTATTGCGCATTCCTCTAGCGATGTCCAAATGTTTTGACTAACCAGATTGTGAGGCACTTTTTACATGTGTTTCAAGTCAAGAATATTGAAGGCGTTCTTCCGAAGATTAATGTGCGTCCGGAATTTCCAACCAGATGATGAATGTAGCTTGTCTGACCATGTGTATGATTGTGTGGACTTGCAGGAAATTTACTTGCAAGTAAATGAGATAAAGAACTTCCTACATGCTAGTCGCGAGATTTTTCACCTGAGTAAGTGTACTGGGCTACTATTGGACTAGCACACTTGAGATTTATCTCTTGGTTAACAATGCTATGTTGTGCAGGAAACGATACCTCGTTAGTACACTGCTTGAATGTCATCAAGGAGAAACTACAGGTAGGCGCTGTTGATGCCACTCACGTTCATGCAGAAAACCTGAGCAGTGACGACACAGAGGGAGAACATGCTTACGTTGGCAATAGCCCTAACTTTGTCGTCGAGAAGCGTTGGTCTCAACCGAGCTCACATGGTGGAAGTTCTCAAGCAGACTTGGTAGGTGTTCGACAAGTTCGGCAAATGAGTATTTTAGTTCGGGAGCTCAAACGTGAACTAGGCGCTGCCACGATGGATGATATCCTTCCGAGGACGAAGCGTTTGATGGAGCTTCTGAGTCTGTCTATTCATGATGCCGGCCCGGAAGATGACGACGGATGAACGATTCTTGCCCATACTTGATGGTGGTTGGTATGGGTGGTGGGTGAATTGGCTAATTGGTGCTGCTGTTATGTGTTGATTCATCTCTTTATTGAGAGCAAGGGACACAGGTGATGGAAGGTGGACACTAATTTGAGGGTTGAGAAAGCGTATAGACGATGACGGCCTCGACTGTGTTCTGATTACCTATTCTCTTCTGGCTGACAGGGCTCCTCTATCATAAGGACACAGACGTCTGTGCCCTGCTTGACGTTGGCTATTGACAAGGGCGTGACTGATCCCATCGCGAGGTAGCTAATCTGTGAGAGTTCGCCGTCCGGAGTTGCAATAGCTCCACCAGCTTTAGAATGGGACGGGTAGTACACGCCGTAGAGAGCCACTTGAACGAGCCCAAGTGCAGCATTGACGCTGGTAGGGACGATCACGAATAGGTCGTATACGAGGACCCCATACCCAACCCACAGGAGATTGTTAATAGTTCCAGCGAGGATCATGCCAAATGGTAGCGAAGCCGACGACCTGGTCTGCAATACAATCTTGACTGCAGCAAGAGGCGACGCGTAGAGTGCGAGACTGGAGACAATAGCAGATACGCCGATAGTTAACGTCATGGTTTGCTGTGAGTGTCGAAATCCTCCGTTCTTGCCCAGGATAACATAGGCAGTCACCACCGCGTTGCAGAATAGAGCAATGGCACACGTTTTGAAGACAGCTTTGCGCTCTGTTGTCCAGCGGATGTATACTGCAAGGAAAATGATGCTAAGTGCGTCGCCAATGGCATACGTAGCGAATACAGGAAACATGTTGCCTGTAACGTATCCGTACAGCATCCTATGAAGGAAACAATCAACCGCAGTTGAAGGTAAGTGATCCTGTCATTGTTCTAGATACTTTTTATTCATAGGACGTACGTACCATATGTGATTACAGACCCAGAGCGTTGCAAATGGCAAAAGTGACGCATTCCCGACATCACGGCGTAGGTGAATCTGGAATACGTTTGACGCTGGACTTGCGCACATGTACAATGCCGATATGGTCGTGATTACGCGCATAATGTTTTCCAATGGAAACCCCATTGATATCTGAAGACGAAAGAAGAGAGAGGTGAATGGTAAACTCTGATAACGAACGATGCACGACAGGTGCGCGCGACTTGAGCTGAAAGTGGTGAATGTCCAAGTGAGCAATTGACAAGTTTATCAACAGATGAAAACTTGACAACAAGGAAAGTGTCGTTTGTCTTGCATGACGGAGGTAAGTGAAGAAGAAGTCTCTCCTGGTCTGATCCTCTTGATTCCGTATATGCAGTCCTTTTCCGTATTCACCAAGTATCTGCCCGCGAGTTTGACCCTCGCGTGCTTGATAGCTTAGTCATATTTTTACACCTCTTGAACTCACCTCTCAGGTAAATCCCAGGTCGACAGTATCGTTTCACTAAACCCCAGGGGTGAGCATGGAATTTACTGCACGACGACATATGATAGAGACAGGCACTGCAAGTTGAGAGGTTCAGGGAGATCGGGAATATACTACATACAACCATGCGTATGAAAAGTTGACGGACGTCATACGTGCTTGGTCTGAATATCTGAATCATTCCACAGTATCACCAGTACGCGAGGGTCATTTCTTTCTTCAGCATGTCACTGATTGTTCTTGTGCTTCCACCATATGACACGTAGACACATTTCCATCATGACAGTTGACTGTATTGACACATGACACTGAACTCGTTGTTTGTGAACCAGTCATTCGACAGTTGCATTCTTGTAACAACACGACAAACAATCGTGTTCTTGGACTGTATCTCCAAAGTTCATAGCTCCATTTGGGTTCAATGAAGGAAAGTCAAGGACGATATTGTCTGTCGTGTAGATTGTTGTCTAATTCTTACTGAAAACAATGGAACGACGTTAGAAAAGTAACTGCATGTGTTTGAACCTTGTGAGTACGTTATATCGATCAAACACTTGCCTAGTGATTATACTGAGGACGTTTATAGTCATAAGTCAGCTTTATTATAGAGTCATGAGTAACAATATGGTACTGAATACCGATAGAGAGAAAGAGAGACGGTTCACTGCATGAGCATCACAGTGTCTTCGTCACGACAAACGACGTACTTTTGTCGTTAAATGCCGACAATTATCCTTGGAATACAAGATGAAGTAGCTTTGTGGAAGAGAGCGTTAGACGCAAGGACGAGAAATAGGAGAGAAGGAATCTACAAGTACAAAACTGATTCTTTGAATCTCTTTATACAAAGCTTTAGTGGTTTTCTACTGATTTATACAAAGCTTTCCAAGGGGCAAAAGTTAAACTAACACCTGCTTGCTCCAATAGGTCTATTAGAAAAAGACACCTACTGGGTTCTGTCTTTTGCTCAATGATGATGATGTTCTCTTCCGTTTTCTACACCCAGAATCAATCAAGTATAGCGGCTGCTGATATGAAAAGGGGTTGGATTACTATAACTTTATCTTTATTCCAGAGAGAAAGAAAGGCGGGATTCCTTCCTTCCTTCCTTCAAGTGGACACAACCTCTGATAATCAAACAGGTGCGACACCAATAATATTTCCTGCCTCCATGTTATCGCAAGCGCATTGAAAAGAATAAAAAAAGACAAGACTGAAACGATCAAAGGCGAGGGAGGATCTTACAACACATTAGCGCTCAAATCACTCTACTTTGACTTCCATCCTACTGTATCTTATGGTACTTTATTTCAATGTGTTTTATAATGATTGGCTCTTTTTGTAATCTATTTTTTCACCAGCTCAAGACAGTGAGTGTCCTTGACATTTACAAAGTAGGTAGTTGATTGTATGAAGTTTCAAGGTTGTAAACCTTTGTTCACTCTCGCAACACTCTGCGACATAAACTCATCATCATTTTCATGCGTTACAAAGCGGTTAAACGCTATCGTAAATTTGTGTGAGGCGGTTGGTTTGCTTCTCGCACGACGTCTCTTCTGGTTCTTTTCCCTTGTTTCTTTGGAAAGGAATATGTTCTATATGATTGTGTGGGAGCTGAAAGCAAATCACTTTTTTTTTTGGTTTGTAACTCACCCAGAACTTGTAAGATTTTCAGATGATAAAAAATAGATACCCAGGACTCTCTTGGCTACTACATAGTACATTCGACGTAGGTCTTACGTCGTGTTGTAGTGCAAGAGATAGAAATTACTTGGTCCCAACTTTTGTTGTTTCTTGATAAAAAATGGAGACGACATCTCCAAACACGAAATGTCAAAGATAGATGTAGTAGAGTAGGCAAAGATGTTGCATATGAACAAACAAACGTCGATGGTGGGTTCTTGCAATCGCATGAAACCTACCATAAAAGTACAAGACCTTTCAATAAATGGTCATTTATTCAGCAGATGATGATTAACTTGATGGTCGTGGAAGTTGTACAGTAGCCTTTGTGATTTGAACCATGTACTTGAGCCAGAGAATTCTTTTTTCAAAGATCCACGCGCCCCCACGTTGGGAAAAACCACCTATCCACGATGTTTCTCCTGAACGTTCAAGCAAAAAGGCATGACAGTTTTATGCAAAATGGCACCGGTTTGCGCCTTTTGCTTGACAACGACGAGTCGACCACATGTAGCTTCAGCAAACGCACGTCTGATAGGTCTGCCATCACAAATGTAACGTGTGTAGCAGTGGCTCAGTCTTGAATTTACCGTACGGAACGAAAGCTCTTTTTTTTTCTCAACTTACCTACCTATCTACTACCTATCTACCTATGAACACCAATGCACTTGTACAAGAGCTAAAAGCAACAGTAGAATGTATGCGGGATATTCAAGTAAAAATGGTCGATATGGAACTGGCACTTGAAGAAGATCAGGAACAGGTCGAGTCGTATACTGATGAAATTGCTGACTGTTGTGATCGCATTGAGGCCATCGATGAGTTTGTGCGTGAGATTGAAGCTGGTAATGTTCCAGCAATGGGGGACGTTGCTTCCGTCATGTCCAACATGGCAGAAGAACGCGAGGAGGAGAAAAATATGCTGCAGCTGTTAGGGGAAGCTCGTACGTGTCACGAAGAGCAGCTTCAGTACCTAAAAATCCAGCTTGGAAGCCTTCAAGAAGAACAATTGATGTTACAAAAGAAGAGTTTTCAGATCATGTGTGCATTTGAATGTGCAGGAATCTTTGACTGGATGGCAAGACTTGCTGAATACAGCACGATCAAGATGCTATAGGACTATTACGAAGCTAAGCGCTTGATATTTAACAGACTAATAAGGCCTTAAAACGTGTATGATGCACCATGGTTGGACTTTCCTCCTTAAGAGTGGTAGTGGGAGTTGTGAGGGATTAATTAGACGAAAATCGTTAATTGTTGTCTCCAAGTTACTTCACACACACATTTGTGATAGAAAGAGGCACTTTCTACGCATACATACTATTCGTCGACATGGTTTTCATACATGTCGTCATTTCATACATCCGACATCACTAATTACTATAGAGATGATGAACTACCTTTTGATCTTAGCTATTAATGTAGTCGAGGAAGGTATTTTACCGTCACGCACTTGACAACACGAGCATTAAATGACTTTAAATTAGAGAACGCTGCAAAAAAAACTTTTTCATTATATAGCGGTAGACTTATCAGTTTTCTAGGACCTCATCATACGTTGAAAAGCTTAGATATCAACACTTGGGTCAAGAAACACATCAGTAGTAGCAATGACTACCATCACAACTTGGTAAAACTTGATCTTGTCCTTGCTGAAACTGTAACTCCTGGACCGGTCGTTAGTCATTTGGACAATGTTTTCTGGCACATTACGTCAATATCCTTGTTTGTGTGCACATGGATGTCATTGATGAAGGTTGTGACGTCGCCTTGTTAGCCTTTACCATTACAAGACTCACCATGCAATTGTTGCAGTCCCTTCAGCGTCACAATACGATTGATGTTCGCATGTGCTACACAAACGATAGAACTTGAATCCATTGATGTTGACGTGGCCATAGCATTGATTTGTTGGACGATCTTGTCGTCAGCGTTCTTGGTGCCGCATGCCAGTACGTAAGTACGTGGGTGAAGCATTTCGTGTTACTACCTTTCTAGCTGAGTGCCTCCTCGTATACTTCCATACATCCCCATCACTCTTTCTCGACGGTGCCGTCATGGTCATCACAGTGTACGCCCTCGCGCTAGTCAGGGCCGCTGATGACATTCTTGGGCACTGGCTTTGGGCTTGAAGACGGCTTCCTGTCAATCACCCTCCGATCGGACTTGCACTTGATGTCTAAATGCTGGTAGATCTTCCTACCACCGTCAAACGTTTCTCCTTGTTTAATGAATGACCTTGGTGCCGTTGTGGTATACACTTCCCATTGACGTGGGCCGAGCGGAGACAATAGCACCGATGAACGAGATGATGTAAGTCATCGTAGACTTTGATAGTGTTGCTCTCTAGTCTAGTTCGTTCGTTAGTTGGATTCTTGATATGAAGGAATCAAGCTGCCGAATGACAAAGTAAGGCACAGAATTCAAAGTGCAAAGACAAAAGCTGACAGCAGAATGGATGGCAAGTTCGAAAAGTTTGAGTGACACTTGAGAGTAATCTAAAGAAAGTGGTGTGACGTACTATTGAGCCTGTTGGTATCCATCCGTTCAGGACACAGACTCGAGAATTGCAAGGTTGATGGATTGACTCTTGGGCAGGTAGCATCATGTGTGTACTATGGCGTCGTACTTCCATTTCAGATACGTCAATTGACTGCAAAAGTATCGACTACCGAATTGTCTCTATTGTCGATGCACATATCAATTCTCTCTTCTTGCCCAACCCGAAACATAGTCACCTTGCATCCTTCATCACGTCGAGATCATATCTGCAGCAACTACAAGATACCAATTGCGACAGTGTGAAGCTATTTCCAAGGTGTCATCAATTGCGTTGGAATTTGGAGTCAACGAATACAGCTCATTCATACTGACTGACGCATGCAAACATGTATCAGTAGCTAGTTGAGTTGAGACTGATCCGCAGATAGTTCGGAAGAAGACAAATCGTACTTCCATGGCCATTTACTCAAAAGTTGTTGTGTAGAATGGTCAGATCAGTCACCACTCGAATAGCAACGTATCATCGTGGTTGTCATCCGCGTAGTGCGAAATCTACTGCAACGTTGCGTTCTGCATCCAAATATGCCGTACGTGAGCAGTCCGCTTGAGATCATCATCGCTTGTGTACATACAGAGTATCGCCAGTGTTCCTATTGTACTCGAACGAGAGGCGATGATGGTCGTATGCCTGAAAATATGCCTACTTACTCTAGTGTTGAGTGCACTTGACGCTGTAGACACAATACTCGTGACGCAGATTACTTGACACCGTTTGCTATTGAGGCCCTTCCCATTGATCATCACTTAATTTACTCACCGCAAAAGCATCATGACGACCCCATTTTCTTTTTTCCATTGATACATCCTCAACACTAAAGGATGCAAATTGTTGCTCTACAGTTCATTGTACGCAACTACTTGTAGTATAGATGTCTGTAGATTCCTTGGACACCAAATCTAAGCTCCTCTCACAATGATTGACAATCTGGATCGCATTGGGCATTTTCACAAGGGTAGATCAATGCAGCAGCAATATGGGAGTGGATGACGTGCAAGCGAAACAAACGCAATTTACTAGTGCAAAGCGATGCTAGTGGAATCCAAACAAGGTTGTCAAACACTCTAGTTCTCTGACACTACATTTCTCTATGGATATTGCAGGGCCTACCTACGTGTCGTCGCTGGTGCTGTCTCTGCCGAGATGTACTTGTTGCGATGACGGCCGTACTTGACTACCCAGTATGTGAACCCAACGGAAGAAGCTAACACCGCGGCTAGTGAGAACATCACGAGAGCCTCAAATTGTTGCGGATCGTGGAAAACCACACCCGACAACAAAATAAGAATGAAGAAGAACTGGCACATGGCCGTCTGCATGGAGTTAATGGCACCGCGTTCGTTTGGTTCGATCCACTCTTGCATAATCTGCGTCACAGCCAGATCCGTACTCCAGAGCCAAGCACGCGATACGACTACACATGTCAGCATGACATAATCGGACACGACGGACTCGCCCGTGAACAGAAAGGCTAGCAATACTGGAGCTAGGCACGACCAAAAGAGCCACACACTCAGCACCGCCACAAACTCCACTTGTTTCATGGATGTCCGCAAACACTGGAAGATTATAGTCCCCACCAGTCCAGCCAATGCTCCAGCACCACGACTCGCACCCAAAAGAGCGTTTGAAACTCCACGCCACTTTAGGTAGGCAATGTTCAACGCGCCACCGCTGAGAATCGTCATGTACAGAGCACAGAACGACAAACTGACGTAAAAGACCGGATGTTTGACATAGCTGATCCACATTTTGCCGTAACGGGTCATCGTGCCCAACTGGGCAGTGGAAGTTGAGTGTGGCATTTCCTCATCCTCGTCATCGATTACATGTTCATCATCAACCGGTGAACGGACAGCCAGATCAGGCACGAGGCGATAAACGTCATACGTCATTGCGTACTCTAGAGGTGCCGAGATCAGATTCCAGATACCCACAACTGCAGCTCCTACGATAGCGCGAGTTGTGGCATCACTCCCCGCAAAATCTACAATAAAACCAAACGCTATGGGACCGAGAATGTTGCAACTAAGATCGATGCGGCGCATGGTCGTATTGAGGTTAGCTAATATCGTCGAGTTGTCGGATCCAGCAATAACCACGACCCAGTCACGTTCGATGCCCAAAGTCTGCGCGTCGTTGAGCACTTGTCCCACGCCGCCACATACCAATGTGCATGCAAACAGCAATACCAGTAGCCATGTCCACTCAGGCTTGTGGATGCCATCAGCTTGCGTCACCAGTAGAATCAGTACTAAGATAATGGAGCTCAACACGATCATCAAGTTTTCCAGAATGATAGCGTACTTCATAGCCGTCCAGCGATTCCATCGGTCGAGATAATGACCCACTGTCGGAATCATAGCGATGCACACAACGTACATGGCCAGTGAGAAGGCTGCGCTCGGAAGAAACGTATCGACGAATATGTCCATGAACAAGATGGGTACTGCAAAGCCCCACATCCGATCACCCCAAGCCGAGAGCAGGTGACCAGCATACAAGTACGTGACGATACGTCTCGGTTGTCTTGTACGATCACTTGATGTTGCTGCATGACCTCTAGTGTTCCTATATGGATCAAATGAATCAAACAAGTGGCATTGGTAAGAGAGAGACCTATGAAAAGAAGCAGTGGACAAGTGACCGTCCTCTTACAGCAAAAACTGCTGCTCTTCATTCATATCGTCATGGGCGTCCAACCAAGCTGTAACTAGACACGCACTTACAGGCACGAGTGTCACTATACTTAAAATGAACGTCACCATATTGGCAAGTGGTGGGATGAAGCACACTTGTTGGAACATTGAGATGCAAACTGCACAAAGGACACCAAAGGACAATGAACTCTCTTGAGCCATTCGTTTTCATATTTGAAACCTTAAGAATCAATCACTAACAACTGTACCTGCACTTTCAATAGCGAGTAATGTGCTTAGAAAGCCCATAAGAAGACATACTACTACTGTAACTTCCATACGTAGACTCCAAGGGTGAATAATGAACACGAAGAGGACCTTTGAGCCGGACAGACTTGACTATAAATGTGTCGTGTCTGGCATAACTCCATGAATCCGGTGGCACTAGCTGCAGTAATATATATGACCGGAAGACGAGATTACAATGTTGTAGTGGTCATGGCATCTGGTTGTCTTGAATTACTGACCATGGTGACCTGCTGATGGAGAAAACATTGCCATCGTATTTCAGAACCAATCGTAGCCAAACGGCATGAACTGCGCGTGACGTAGTGCAATTTCCTGCAATATCCAAAGCGATTCTTTCCAAATCGGCATTGTTGTCAATGATCATGATCATGTTAGACAAGTATTGTAAAGTGTACATGTCTACACCGGGATGCACGTCATTGGCATGTCGAGAGACTCAGAGGTATCGTGTAGTTCATGTCAAACCCAGTTGACGTCCTTGCTCATGGTTCGTCACCGACTGCACCAAATCTTGTACAACAATGGCTACATTTGCATTTACCATCTCTCACTATGCGGCGTTCCGTTCGTCTTCTAAGTACCGCTTCGCACGACGTCAAGCTGAAGAATTTCAATTCCAATTCTCGTAACATTTCTTTGTCTGTGCTTTCCACGTCTTCTCCTGCAATTTCAACCTTCGAATGTCAAGTAAAGGTGGAAAAACTTCATCAGAACGATTGGACGCCATTGTGCAGTACTCGGGAGCTCTCGTGTGCTCTCACATTGGAATCGGGACAGGTTTTCACTTGGCGAAAACATCCAAAACAATTGGCAACGTGGTTGGGAGTTATAGGACGACGTGTTTTTGCTCTACACGAACGTGAGGATATTGTACATTTCCAGTGTCTCCATCCATTGGACTGTACGTGAGTGAATGGCATTCAACTGGTGACCATATTTAGGACACTTGATTCAATTGAAGATTCTGATGCTACTTGTGTATGTCTTTTAGTATCAACAATTGAGGGGGCTAAGGTGCTATCACATTACTTTCGGTTAGAAGTAAGTTTTGCTGACAGTCCATGAAACGGAATGAACCCGACATGGTTTAACGACTTCTTGCTATGGTTCTTTGTTAGGTAAATGCCGATCCATTGTATGAGTGCTGGACAATGACAAGTGATCGAATGACAGAAAGTATCTTAAAACTACGAGGACTGAGGATCGTCCGACAGGATCCTGTGGAGTGTTTGTTCTCTTTTATCTGCTCGTCGAATAACAACATTGCTCGAATTCAAGGAATGGTGGACAGACTCAAAGCCACATATGGAGATTTAATCTATAAAGAAGAGGATGAGCAAGGTTGTGATTTTTACGCTTTCCCTTCGGTTGATACATTGGCTACCAAGTGTGAAGAAGCGACGCTACGGACTCTGGGGTTTGGCTATCGAGCAGCTTTTATTGTAAAGACTGCGAAACAGCTGCAAGCACTTGGAGGAGCTGCTTATCTCAACAACATTCGAGACGGTAAAACTATCGTGTCGTCAAAAATGATGAAGAAGCTGAAATCGAGCAAAGTACCAAGTGATGAGCAAGAAGAAAAGATGACATCCTATCATGCGTATCAGGACGATCTGATGGTGTTTGCAGGCGTGGGAAGAAAAGTAGCGGATTGTGTCGCGCTTTTTTCGCTGGAAAAAATGGAAGCGATTCCTGTTGATACGCACGTGTGGCAGATCGCATGTCGTGAACTGGATGCGACACTCAGCAAACGAAAAAGTATCACTCCAACCGTTTACCGCATGGTAGGCGATCTATTCCGGACACGTTTCATACGTCAAGCTGGCTGGGCTCATAGTATATTGTTTGCAGCAGATCTCACTACATTCAAGTCTGAAGTAGTCAGTATCGAGAACAAGTCAGAACTCAAATGTATGGCTGTCAAGACATTACAAAATTCATGTACGAAGCGGAAGACCGGTACGACGCGGTAGTACCGGCCAAATATATCTTGTCATTATCCAGCATGTCAAACGTGTGACACGTGGGACTCTTCAGTCCGTCCAGATGATGGAGTGAAGTAGATTACGAAAACAAACAAATCTGCACATAAATAGACACCCATCACTAAGGTGTGTTAATGGATTTTGTATGCAGTATATGAGAAACCACACTTATTGTGGTCGATCTCTTCTTTCTTTCGTTATCATGTATCATTGTTGAATCATCCTTCTTGCAAGCGTCTCCATTAGAACTATTATCATTACTACTACTTATAATGATGCCATTCGTGACCATATCAGTGTTTTCGCTCCTTGTAACTTCGACATTTGGATCACAGCGTCGTCTACAGACGTACACACAAACGTCTGATTATGAAGCTATCATGCTTGAGCGTGTCAACTTGGAACGAGGTGCTCAAGGTCTTGCTCCTCTTTGTACAAACAGCAAATTGCGCTTGGCAGCACAACTTCACTCTGACGATCAAGCTGCGAATGATTTTATGGATCATACAGGTTCCGACGGACGTACAGTTGTAGATCGAGTATCTGCTGCTGGGTATGACTGGCGTGGCGTCGCTGAGAACGTTGCTGCAGGTCAAATTGATGTAACAGAAGTGATGGATGCTTGGATGAATTCCGAAGGTCATCGTGAGAATATATTGGGAGACTATACCATGTTAGGTAGTGCCTATGCCTACACTCCAGATGGGAATTACAACCACTTTTGGACTCAAAACTTTGGATGGAGCGACACGGACGTATGCGATGGTATGACACCTACGTCCAATGGTCCAAATACTACATCACTCATTTCTGATCCAGTTGCTAACTCAAGTAACCCACGTGATAATCGAATGTCTGCACCGAGTGGACGTGACTCACGTGACAGATCTTTCATCTCTAGTTGCAGTATCCTACTACCGAGTCTACATGTCGCAATCACAATGATGACGATCCTCGTCTTCACTTCAACTTGATGCTAGTTCTAACTCTCTAAATCTAGACATCTAAAGTTAGACATCTAAATCTCGACAACATGTAAACCTCTGGTTTCTAATATATTTGAAAACACTACCACTTCCTTGTCCAAGTCAAATCGTCTCCTACTCGAATGGCTTCTCCTGCTGGCACGTGTACTGCCATTACTCATACAGGAGCTCGATGTTCTTCTCTTGCAACAGATTCCACTGGTCAATGTTCTCATCATGCTCGTATGTCTCGTGTTATGGCATTAGTACCAAAATCTCTTTCTCCATTACCTTCTTCTTCTTCTAATACTATTCTTCCATCACTTTTACCCTTATCTTCTTGTCCATCTTCTACACGAGACAACCGATCTTCTTTCACTATAACCTCCTTATCCAATGATACTACACGTACGACGACTACAAAATGTCTTGATTTCTTACCAGGAGAGACAATTCTCTCGACTCTTTCGTGCTCTTTTGTCTTTCCTGGAGCATTAACCCTTCCTGAAATTCCAGGGGTGCTCTATATTACGTTATTCCGTTTACGTTTTGAACCAGAGTGTACTTCCTTACGAACGATGGGTGGATTCCATCGTCTATTGGATATGGCAATGTATGGAATGCCACGTGCTGCCGTTGCGAAATTATTATACCCACAAGCGACCGGAACAGCATCAAGATCCTTAAATGTCTATACTAGTACTAGTAGTAGTAACAGTAGGAGTAGTAGTAGTAGTAGTTTGAGTACAACGAATGGAAATCATCTTACACCTACACGACTTGTGATTAAATTCAAGGACTTGAGATCATGGATTCTAGGAGGAAATGTCTCCAAGCTCTTGGTCACATTGAATCGATATGTCTATATGGATTCACCATTGAGTTTATTTGCTTTCAAGTCAATGGAATTTCTAACACTAGAAGATTTACAAGGACATGCACTATACAATCTGTATGCAGATTTTGAAAGAATGGGCGTTGCATTGAAAGATGGAACAAGTGCCTACCGAGTCACGGAACTCAATGCTACATTTGTCATGTGTCCAACCTATCCTCGACAACTTGTTGTACCGGCAGCTGCTAGTGACGTGGAAGTTGGTGCTGTCGCTTCATTTCGATCCAAGGGAAGATTACCAATATGTAGTTATGTCCATGCGCATAATGGTGCGGCGCTATGGCGATGTGCACAGCCGAAACGTGGTATTCTGCATGCTCAGAATGATGCAGATGAAAATTATTTACTTCATATTGCTCGTGCCTCATCGAGCTCAACATCGTCATATTCAGGGACACGAACTCGCAAGATTTGGATCGCGGATTGTCGTCCAGAATTGAATGCACGTGTAAACAACTTGACAGGAGGTGGCACGGAAAGTGGTAATTTAGCTCATGCACGTGTGAGTTTCCTTAACATTGGAAATATTCACGCCATGCGTGAAAGCATCGAAGCTGTTCGTGGTCTTGGAGGATTCATGGCTTCAACCAACAATACCGAGTCAACTGATCTTTTATGGGGGGCTCGCGTTGAGGATACGAAATGGCTTTTACATGTGCGCCGCATTTTGAGCGGGGCACTGCAAGTTGCACACGCACTCGAGGCCCAAGCGACTACCGTGGTTGTGCATTGTAGCGATGGTTGGGACCGCACGGCTCAACTATGTGGTCTTGCACAATTATTAGTCGACGGTCATTATCGTTCTCGTCGAGGCTTTCTTGAGGTGATTGAGAAGGAATGGGTTCGTGCTGGCCACAAATTTCAGGATCGTGTTGCGCCTGGTAAGACTGAAGACGACGATCAACAAGCACCAATTTTCCTGCAGTTCCTGGACTGCGTGTGGCAGCTCATTCGCATCTTTCCAACCCACTTTGAGTTCAATGAACGTATGCTTGAGACAATGGCGGACGCAGTATTTTCCGGAAGATATGGTACGTTTTTAGGAAACTGTGAGTGTGAGCGTGGCACCTGGAGTGTGCGTGAACGAACCCCTTCGCTTTATGCGTCGATTCTAAGGGACGATCGTTACGTGAATCCGTTTTACCGTGGTAGTAGCACAGCAGCGTTGCTGCCGGAGCCGTCATCCGTGTTGCGTCAAGTAACGTTGTGGAGTTCTTACTACTTTCGTGGGGCACCGTTTCTAGCATCGTCGGCCGGTAATCCTGCTCCACCAATGTATGCAGTGACCGTTGAAGGAGAGGGCAATGCAGTGTCTAGTGGAGCGCAGGAAGATATGGAAATTGCCATGATGGCTGCATTGCGTAGGATCCGCGTTTTAGAGGACAAACTGAGCACTGCTGCGGCAATGTCTGCTCCTCCTCCAGGGCCATCACCTGTTTCGTATCCGCCACTGTATTCAGCAGCATCAGAATTGGGCATGTGTGCGCGCGTCCACCAAAACTCCCAGCCAGAGATGCCCATCCACCAAAACTCCCAGCCAGAGATGCCCATCCACCAAAACTCCCAGCCAGAGATGCCCATCCACCAACAGAGCTTTAAAGATGATTTCCACCATTCTAGCAGCAATTGCAGTTCCACTAGCAGCGATCGAGGTGTCTATGCTGCTCCCGCTCTTCCAGTTTTACCACAAGTATCAACATTATCATTTTCTACGCCAGCACCGGTATCAGTACAACCATCAGTACCAACAGCAACGTGGACATGCAGGCTCTGCACGAAAAGTAACGCAGCTGGCGTTCTTCAATGCGTCGTGTGTGGCCGTACACCAAGGTGATGACAACCTGAACAGATAAGCTGCTGAAGTGCTCGCGAAAATATATGTTAATCGTCATGCATGTAGTCTGTCCTAGTGTAAACATGACACTGCCCATAAATATGATCCATTACTACAGAACTTGAGTCTCGTTTTCATGCTGATTCATTCGCAAGCGCTCCACGCAGTCCTGAAGCACGTGATGTACTTTGTCGGGAAAGTGGTCATCTAGCATAGTTCGCCCGATGCGGATCTGCTTAAACTGGTCTTCCACAGCCCAAGCAAAGCGGTAGTTCGTGCGCGCAGTGCAGCACATACCACCACCTCCAGGGCGACAACAAACCCAGCACCCAGCCACCCCTTTGGCACGGACAACGCGCTTGAGATGCACCACACGTCCAGGAATGGTTAATTCATGGATCGGTTCCGATTCCTGGATACGCTGCAGCATCGTGCGATAGTTGGTCAAATGCGCTATGAATGGCAAGCGCTTTTTTGCACATACGCTTCCATCATCGTCAATAGCAGAACGTTCATCTAAGCTTCTATGAAGCAGCTCATCTGGATTCCGCCACGATATGACTTGCCGCAAAATAACAGCCTTATTCACCTTGCTCCTCCCAATCAAATCTAGCACATTATCACGCAAAACCTCAGCTGAAGTAATTGATGACCGAGCAATGATGTCGTCACCCACAACGACCGAGGTCGTAAAGGCTGCGCAATGAGCAGCAAGTCCAGGAGACACAGTGCAACCCGAAGGGCTGAATGCAAAGCAACGAAGTTGCGGGTACTTGGGACGGAGCATTATCGATAACAGTACTGCTGTACTAGCTCCAAGTGAGTGACCAGTTATCACAAGACCATAGTCGCGATACGCGCCACGTTCGCACAGATTGACCCCGCTCGTTGCAACGGCCACAGTAGAGTCATCATCAAAGAGCATTTCGAGAACACCAAGACGATTGAGCTCTAGATACAGCGACTCAGCACACGTAAGAAAGCCCTGATGTGCATACTCGTTCTTGCCATCACACCCCCACCGATCAACCACATCGTTCATGGACATACCGTATGCAATGGCATCAGTGAGACAGTCTTCCAAAGACAACGTGCCACGGATTGCAACAACAACATCTTTGCGTTCATGATCCAGCATCACTGCAAAAGCTGGACGGTACACCGAATTACGAAAGCTCGCGTACACGATATCGGCACTGCGAATCTTCGTTTCAAGCTGCAATGCGGTCTGACCGAGGTGAAACCAGTTGTCGCCATGCACCCATCGCAAGTTGCGACGCAGGCAAGAGAACGCAAGCCCAAACGTACCGCTCCATGGATGAGACCACACAAAAAGCATCCAGCCATAGATGCCAATCGCATATTTCGAAAAGTGTGCCAATTCCTCCAACTTTTTCGTCAGCTCCACGTCATTAAGGTGTGAACCTGACGGATTGTAGTAAAAGGGTTTGGCTGGCTTGTCAAAGCTTGCGCTTTCTTGCTTCTCGCACTCAATCGAGGGAGGAATACTAACCGAGACAAGCCCGTCCGTATCGTCGCCATCCACCGAAGAAGCCTGTGATGCAGTCGATCCAAGGGATGCACTACTCGCTGAAGCCGTGGTTGCCGTGACTACAGCTCGGTCACCAAGCAGTTTTAGCTTGCTTGCACGAATCCTAGCGCGAATTTTTCCAAGCGTTTCCTCCGCTTCTTCGTCGTCTTCTCGATAAGGTGACGTTGCAACGACCTCATGATGATCTTCATACGCCTGAACAGCTGCGAGAAGCACGAAACCTGCTACAATGTCGGATATCACGAGATCTGGACTACCATAGAACAACCTTGAAAACACCTTTGCAACTACCGACATACTGTCATGGCGAGTACCAGCTCCACCAAACAAGTTGCATGTAAAGCACCGGAGGCACAGACAGCAACGTGTACACCGTTGTTTCCACAATTTTTGACTAGGTGGCACATGGACATCCGAGCTTGGTACTGCCCATTCCACTTCTATATTCAATCAAATCACAAACAGACATAACAAATGACATCAATATCTCATTCCAGGGGCCGGCCTTACTAAGTGCCGACGTACCGTCTAATAATGATTGACGTTCAGAATCAAGAGCGTTACCATAAGGATCTAAAGTACTAGATACTGGAGGTTTCAACTGATCAATGGATTCTTCTGGTTGAATGTCACTCATAATACAAACTCCAAGTGAAAAAGTAAAGGTTACTTCTGCCACTAAGAATCCACCTACAATCTAGTGGTAATCAGACATTAAATGTAATCAATTCTCAATGTAAACAATTATGATATATATGATAGAGAAATGTCGCATATATAAAACGTACTAGTACATAACGTGCATCAGTGTGACACATATATTGATAATACCAGCAGCCGAGACCGGTAATACCGTATATTGCAAGTAAAACGGACCAAAGTGTATGGACATGAAGCATTCTAGGCATAAGAACACGGCGCTCGTGGTCTACAATTGTCCCTCTTGACGATACTTGCATAACCATAAGATATATACATCCACGAAAGAATACAAGCGGTATAGCACCAAGTATATACCAGAATGGAAGACCACTCTTGTCTAATGTTGTAGACGAACAACGTCTCCATATACTCACGTACAGTAGACATAATAATATTAGTGGCATCTGGTATAAGAATAGAAAGAGTGAAGGGCAGTACAGATCATCGCTGCCGACGACGCGGCTGCGGCGTCCAAACACCTCTAGGGCCGGCATAATAACTTGGTTACTCGATGAGAATTGCGTCACGAGAAGGTCTTTGTTATCATGACTACCATGAAGTTATGATAATAAGTGATAGGTTTTTGACTAATTTATATTAGAATATGCAGGTTATTTGTTACATTGGGTTCTAAAATAAAACAGCCCAAAATTGTATTTTTGAATGATAAAGAAAGTACACAAATTAATCAGTGTGTTCGACGACTGCGATGGGCTGAATGACAATAGAATTGTTGTCACATATTTGAGGCTGAGGCGATTAATATAAACCTAGAATTTAAGTCTTTCAGGAGCCTTTCACGTCACGTTCGCTCTATGTTATATGTTACTTTCGTTACGCCATGAATCATTTGTAAAAAAATCACAAATAAAATGGTGGTACAATGTGTTTGAGACTGACATACCTCGATAGTACGGTGGCGACTAGGCCAAAAGGGAGTGTGACGTACGGCTTGACGTCACTATGAGGTGACTTCAGAAACGTCTAGCTGCGGCATTCATGTTATGGATAATGGTCGTACTGTTGATTGTTAATGCAGACGATAGGCTATAGATCACACCAATAATGATAACTTGAGCGTTCATGTGTCACCTAATGCAATTTTGCTGGTCATCATTTCCTTTTGATGGCGTGAGAGGTATCTCATTCCATAGACAAACGATACACAATCATGATGCTGTAGGTGGCGTAAACCTGCGACTTTCTACCTTTTGCAGTAGTAGCTGCCAATGACGTGGGACTTTTACGATGTGATTAAAAATCGTTACTATATCTATTGCCGATCTTTGAAGCCATTTCCTTAGACATGACTTATGATATCATGATGACTTTCATAGTCTTATCCTAATATAGTAGCACCTAGCACGGGTTTTAACACGACGGCATGACCACGTATATACAAGTTATGACTGTCAAGTGATGCAGTACTTTTTGAAATGACGGAAAAGATGATTCATCGTATACTGCTTTTTAGAACAAGTGACCAACTTCAACATCACGCTTGTTCGCCAATACAATGTCCGGCTTTGCTGCTAGGAGCTGTAGTGACCATGCCATGGTAATGTCAAGCTCGTCATATTGCCACTGAATGTCACACGACCATATACATTCATGCTGTGCTTACTATGTCTTTTGTCAAGGATGGTCATGTCCACAACGCAATTCCAACCCATTGTTTCAAACCACGTCGTTGACGTGATATTTCGCCGTTATGGGAGAACACGCCCATCTCTACCGCGGTGCTGTCGTGATGGTGGCCAAGTTAGACACATGACTCAGATTATAGACTCCAGTACATGTATAATATATACCACTACAAGGTGCCACACTTTACACGATTTTCTCAGCTGCCTCCACCTGCTGCCTCTCGGTGTTGTTAAACCAAGCTTTGATACAGTTTTACTGCTAAAGGATGGATACCTCACTCCAAGCCTTTTTGATGGGTTTCGTATTCAAGTTGTAACAAATGGATATGTGAGAAAGAGGAACAGATTGCTTATCAATCGACTCATCACCCGATACTACTTACTACACGTGACACGGATATCTGTTACTGTTACTCGTGTTTGCTTAACTCGTAAAGCAAAGTAAGTTCTTTACAAATTAATAGTCAGTTGGAAATGAACAAGGAAAGCATACAATCTACCTTTGCTCCATGTGGCTTGATACTAATTGCATACTAAGAAGACCGCTTGTGTGCGTCACATTGTCACACATCTTCTCGACAGTCTTCATCACTGTGCAACTCATGCTATGCTAGATGTCGGTTTCTAGTTAACTCCAGTGAAAGAACGAGTTGTAGTGTCAATAAATGGGGTCTAAGAGGCCGATGCTTGCAGCATTGGAGCTGCTAGGAGAACACAAGCAGCTCCTGGTTGTTTTCTTCTACAGAAGAAAACAATGGTCACCACACTGGCAAGCGACTGGATGTGCTTGTGGACCAGATCAAGGCTGAACTGTTGAATGGTGAAGAAAACCGTGAAGGATGTTCTGACCACACCAACTGGTTCTGGTAGGATAGGGTCTATTAATTTAACCTTGTGCAAAGTCTAGCAATATCTCGTTGACATCGTCCATGTACGAAACAAATCCGCGCACACAAGTGGCTTGCAAATCAATATTACCGTTTTGGGTTGTGATTCATAGAACGTATTGAGGATAGATACGCACGCAGAGAGCATCAACAATGTTAATTACATGACTAAAAACTAAATAACTGCGGCTATTAATAGTCCAAAGACGCGAGAGATGAAGGGCCTTGTTCATTGAGAAGCGAAAGATACAACGCTTCTTTGCTGACCATGTGTGTGAGTGGGACTTGTGACTGAAGGTGTGGCTTAGTCACTGGTGACGTCTGTGCAGCTGACACTAGTGTCGTACGCCCTCAGCTTCACGACCATGACTGTGACGTTGTCAGTGGTGCCTTTTTGTAGTGCAAGCGCAAGAAGTGCGTCCGCAGCTCGTTGAGGGTCCCTGAAATGAGCCACAAGCTTTGCCGCTGCCTTACTGGTAACCACGTCCCAAAGACCGTCCGTCGCCAAGACGAGAAACCGATCGTTTTTGGATATCTTGCGAGTCTGGACCTCGGGGTCGCACGAGATGTACGGTTTTAGTGACACGTCACCGATGGAGCGCGAGACGGCTAATCGGCCGTTTACACGGGGTACGTCGAGCATCTTGTTTAGAGGCCACACCTTGTGCATGCAGGAGGGCGTGCCTGTGATAAACGCACCCTTGGCTTCCAGGCGCTTGCGCTCATCTCTGAGGTCGGGTTTCTGGTCGAAAGACATGGGAATGGCATCTCCATGGCGAGTGACAACGACAGCACGCGAGTCACCGACGTTGCCTACATGCAGGAGTCCATCACGGACTATGGCGACAAGAAGTGTAGATCCGTCGTCGGTGGCAAAAGGGTGGACGTGACTTAGCTGTGAGGTGGTGTAGCTTGCGGACTCTGACGTGCGACGAGCAAGGGTGCAGAATTCGGCATCTACGGAGAAGATTAGACAAAAAAAGGAGACAAAATTAGACACCAATACAGGTATTGCCAGATGACGAAGGGTTGTGACGTACCAAGGTCTCGAACTGCATTTGTGATGGCGTCCTTCATGGTGGACTTCTGAGCAAGCTGCTTAAGGATACGTGGAAAAATGCCCTCAGCACAGAAGCGTGAGGCACGGTCGCCAGCGTGGCCATCAAAGATGCCGAAGCAACCGCGAGCGGAGCTAGAGTAGCCGTTCAGTGTGAGTCTCTCGGCTACTTTGCCACCAATGAAGTACACGTCCTGTTTTGTCATGAAGGTCATTTGAATAAACAGTGAGTTCAATGGATAGGAGGGGGGATGACAAGCTCTTGATCTTCAGGACGCACCTCTTGGTTGAGTTTGGCGCCGCGGTCGGTAGCGATACCGACGGGCAGGTCATACATATCCTCCATTTCAATCTGTTTCAAGATTGGATTCACAGACTTGCTATTGCTGGCCTTTGTGGAGAGGGAGCTTTTGCGTTTGTGGTGAAGAACGTCTGCAGTCATTCTTGTGTCTGTTCTGTTTCTTGCTAATTGAGGAGCTAGCAACTAAAATTTGTTGATGTGCACTCTTGGGCTCGATTTGAGTAATGATCGTCCCCCTCCATGAAAACTTGCACATCTTTTACTGGTTATTCGGCTCGTCCCTGTCTGCATGATCACGACTACATTTATGGCCTTCTGCGTGCCGTTTTCGGTCCAGACTTTGAACCATATTGAGTACCATAGAACTTTTCCGGGTTATAAAAGCAGAAACGTTGCTAGAGTTTACCATCCTAGCTGCAAAAACATTGAGATCTCCACTGACGCGCAACCCAAAACTGTAACGTTTTCAAGAGTCTGCATACAAATGGGCGTGAAGAAATTGATAGCATTTGTTACCTGACGATAAAATATGATCCTTCTCAGGTGTGACGGGCGCAGTTATGCTCAGTCTTTGGCCTCCAAGAACCTGCGTGACTGCACGGTGTAATCTCGAGACATGCCGCTACCCACCATAATACGCAGTATCCTCCGGCTCGACGAGTTGGGATGTCTTACACACGCCAACCAGACAGCGTAAGGACTGATGGTGACAGGCATTGGGTGCAAACGAGCCATTCGGTGCCTATCTCTCCCCTCGTCCAGATTTTACAACAATTTTAATCTCATTCTAAGGTCAACTCTATAACAAAATGCAAGCTGCGCTTTACGAAAAGGGGATGATGAGAAGCTTGTTGCATTGAGACTGTACCATATACATTTTCATGATTCTGGTGCTCCGGTGGGAATAAATTCTTGTGAGCTACCCATTTTTTCCTTTTTCTACTCATAAATGAATACAGTCGCAGATCTGTCAGTCTTGCCCGCTACTACTTCATGCAAGTACAATTTCATGGCCGGGCTCTACGATTTCTCCTGTCACATCATTACGTGTGACACAAGTCAGCTCGAGAATGTAGCGTGGAATCAAGTACAGTGGTTTTTGCATTGCGAGAACAAGTCTTGTGTTAAGCTCTACTGACTATATGAAACTAGTGAACCAAGCTCCGATACCGCTTGATTGTGTGATGCTAGTCAAGAGTTGTAGTGATGGTATTTGCTGGTTGGTGGCAGTTGACTTGACTTTTTGTAACACACACAGTCTTCAACAAATGCCTCATCTCTTATCACCATCGAAATAATTGATCATATCAATATGGGTATATACGATCCATTTGGACGGGTAAATTACGCTACAGACTCACGTGGCGAGCAGCATGGCTTCGTTTGATGACTTGGCGTTTGTGGGTCCATCTGCTTCAGCTGTACGTGGTTATAATTGTTTGGAAATAGTAGAAACATGATGAAATGAGCTATTCATTGTATGATCTAATGGTGTATGTACTGTGTTCTAGACTACAGCAACTACAGCTTCCGAGCTTTTCTGCCGAGACTGCAACGAAGCACCACAAGCGACGACAACAGGTAGGAAGAGGGTGTGGATCGACATTGTGGACTGTGTTGTGACATTGAGCTAATAGCAGAGTGTGCTGAATGTCTGTGCAATCTAGATGGTAAGCGTTGCTTGATATGCGGCTGTGAGCTAGAACGCCAGCAGCTGACATCGGCTGAGCAGGTACGCAGTGTGTCCAGGCTCACTCAATGGATTCATAATATTGATGATTATGTGTTGTTCTTGATTATGTAAATGATGTGCTTTGATCGTGTAGAACGCTTCTGGCTCGATGCTTCATGGCTCTGAGGTGAGCGTCCAGGAGCTGCAGGCCATGGTGATGCGTTTGCTGAATCACATCGGAGATGATTGGAATGAAGGGAACACGGGAGCACGTCGACCCGCGTCTGATGAAGCTGGTAAATTGGCTGTGCTGCTACTTTGTTTTTCATAGCAATTGGTTTGATATCACAAGCTTGGTGTTGTGCTGGTGGAACATCGTAGTGAAAAAGCTCGAGTCTTTCGTTGCCGATCAGGCATCGACTATCGAAGTGGCAGTCATTGTGAAGGGCATCAAGGGGGAGGTATGCGTCGTAAATAAACAAAGGAAATGATGATGATGATGTACAAGTGATGACTTGTATGGTCCTTACCTCGTATGCCTTTGTGCTTGTTCAGGTGATCGCAATTCCAGGAAACTTTGGCCCGTGCAAGTCACTTGAAGAGCGCAATGTAATCATCGCTGACCCGTTTGACGGTGCCAAACCATTTCAAAATGCCAGTGAGTGGAAAGATAAGGTACCGATGTCAAGCCGTAACGAGCGCAGTTTACATGTTTGTGTCTTTGACAGTCGTTTGCCTTTTCATGTACTGTGTGCAGATCGTCGTGATGGCACGTGGCGGCTGCACCTTTGCGCGCAAGGTTCTTAATGCGCAAGCCGAGGGCGCTGTAGGCGTGATCATCATCCAAACTGTTGATGTATGGCCATACACAATGACAGATTCCACTGGTGAAAGCAAGGACGTAAAGATTCCTGCGTTCATGATGAGCTTAAAGCATGGCAAAGGGTGCGTGTGCCTGTGATATAGTTGTTCCAGGGCAAGAAAGTTGACCAAATTCCATGTTGTTGCCTTCCGTTGCAGCTTTATCGAGTATCTGCGTAGCAAATGCAACGAGATCACGTCAGCTAACATTGTTGTACGTAAAGATGCACGCGAGTGTGTTATCTGTCAGGTGGAAATGTCAATTGGTATGAAGGTCACGCGGATGCCGTGCCAGGTATGAATGACCGTCTCCTTGAAAACTGGTATGGATTTTGACTTCATCTGACTTCTTCGTCTGTGTCTTTCCAAACAGCACATGTTTCACACAGCATGTCTGCATGAGTGGCTTCAAGTTGGTAATTCATGTCCAATTTGTCGCGTAGAAATCGCTGCCAAACGCTCTACTCACAACAGTTCATCGAGCTCTCAAACTGCTCAACAACGTGGTGATTTTGCTTGGAGCGAGTGGTTTTCTTGAATATGACAATTAATTGCTGATATTATTTCATTATTGCAATATTGTCGTTTGGTGAGAGACTACCGTCCCACGTTTGTCACGATTTGTACATAAATAGCAACCATTCGATATAATTGGCTCAAAGGCAATCGTTGATACATTAAAAGTAGCCATATGTCGACGGACTTCTTCGCCTCGAGTGCCAAGGCCACGGGCCCGGCCTTTTGCCCACACTGTGGCACTATCCTGGACCACCCAGATACTAATAGTATTGTGTGCTCTGCCTGTGAATACCGTTGTCGCTATCAAGGTACGTCTGTGTCTCTCTGTCCTCAGTCTGTCACGCATTATTATTGACACATTTCAAACCACTGCTACCAATTAAATTGTCTGCAGATCTACCATCACTGACTGTAGTGACCCAGAGTGAATGCAAGCCAAAGCCCAAGTGGTTAGACGCTAAGAAAGTCATGAGTGAGGTCACGGGTCCGGCTCGCGCCACGGTCGAGGAGACGTGTCCCAAATGTGGCAATCCGGAGATGGACTACTACACATTGCAACTTCGATCGGCTGATGAAGGACAGACGGTGTTTTATGAATGCAAGAAGTGTGGACACAAGTCATCGGTTAATAATTAAGTAGCACAGTTAGTGATGGCTGCCTGCCTATAGATATGTTGATACATGTACGTTCACATCGACTCGACAACTAGTGGCTATGATCCTTTTTTCTTGTTGCTATGTATGGAGAACTAGTGATCTCCATGTCGATAATGAATGTAGGTACGAGGCGGTAATGCAAGTATGAGCTCACAGGTAGAGGCCGATTAGTGGCGCATTGATAGACAACATCTCGAGAGCATGCGACCGTCGTTGTCGACATTGCTCGGAGACATTTAGCTTGGACGTGAGATGTACATGTGACAAACTGAAGCAATCGACTGCACACTGTTTGACAAGACACGCGAACATTGTGCTAAAACGAGTTTACATCCTAACACTCGTGAACATCTAGCTGGTTTGTTGCAATATTGCCACGCACAAGATAGCCGACGGTGTGAGATTCTCAACCAGTGACATCGATCGTTTTGCCTACCACAAATAACCAGATTGATCATTAGGTACTTAGAAACGACCAAATGTGTAAAGAATGAAAACATTGTGAAGTTAGTGAAGAAGGACTTTGAGCTGATCAATCACGACACAAGGAAAAAAACATGACGTTTCGTGCCACTCGCTGATGATTGTAGCTTCTTAGCAATTGGCACGTATTGTGATACAGAAAAAGTCATCAGGGAATGCTACAAGGACAAGGATGAAGTGTACAAGCTCCATGTGATTGCTATCACTTGCCACTCGTTCGCTAACCTTGTATTTTACAACCATTCTGCTTCTGTCTTCAACCTCGTGACCATCACTCTATCCGCAACCTAAACTCCTCCTATGTTGCCATCAACGCTCATCTTTACTTATGTTGCTCCAAGACGCAATAACGTAAGATTAAAGCGCAACGCCATGGACAACGCGCCACCGGCGCCTTCGTCACCTCCTCTCACTCATCCAGGAATGGAAGAGGCTATTGAAAATGAAGAGAGCAAGTCAATGAGATCGTGTAGAAGCGCTCTGAAAACGCAGCGAGCAACGCGGACTCATCCCGTCCTCAGTGTCGAGACTGTAGACGCCATTACGACGGGCAAAAGCGCCCCGAGCTCTAACTTTTCATCACCTCTTCCTCCATGTCCTGAAGATCCTCCAGCACCACCTCCACCTTCATTTACACCGCCCAAATACCGTCCGTTGGATGAGGACAATGAGGATGATATGCGTAGTGTGGAAAGCGCAGATGAGCCCGTGGGACCGCAGAGCTTTCCTACACCTCCTCCTCCACCTTCTCCTCCCATAGCATCTCCAATGGGTACACCACCTCCTCCTCCACCTCCTCCATTCTCTCCTCCTAGTACCAAGATTACTATGGACTTGTCAGGAGCTTTGGAAAGTGCAGTGGAGACTATTGGAAGAACAAAGACGCCCCCTCCGCCACCTGAAGAAAAAGAAGGAAGTGATGGAGAGGATGGAGATGATGAACGAGAAGATGCATTACAAGGGACGGAATTGGCGACGCCAGATGATGCTTCATCGTCGTCAGTCATTGCGTCCATGAGAAGCGCAGTGGGGGAGAAGGAGATTATGGCTATGGACTTTGTAAGAGACGTGCCTGTTAAGAGACCAAGGTTTTACATCGGAGATATCGACAACTATAGCATTATTGACAAGGTCGGATCCGGAACTTATGGGTACGTTTGTGTGATTGAGTTGGAGTGTGATGTGAAAACTGACGAAAAATGTAGTGAGGTGTTCAAGTGCCAGCACAAGCTGACCAAGGATATTGTGGCATTAAAAAAGCTACGACCAGATGTGGAGAAGAACGGGGTACGATGCGGTTCCATATTGATAGTTGTTTGCTGAGAATATTGATCGTGCAAGTATGTGCACTTATGCTACGATGCAGTTTCCGGTTACTTCTATTCGTGAGATGAAGATTCTTAAGTACCTTAAGCACCCAAATATCGTCGAACTGAAAGAGATTGTGTCGTCAAGTGGTACGTTGATTGTCATCATGTACATAGGAACGAGCGCATTTACTCACAACAGAGTGCTTGATTCGGGTTTTGTGCTGTATTTTTGCAACAGCTCCACCTAAAGAAGGCAAAAGGCCGCCCCTGTACTTTGCGTTCGAGTACATGGAGCATGACCTCTCAGGGCTTCTTAACCACCCGCGTGTAAAGTTTACACGCACGCAGATTCAATGTTATATGCGTCAGCTGCTCACAGGCATTGCATTTATGCACCGCAACAAGATTATTCATAGAGACATTAAAGCATCGAATTTGCTGCTAAATAATCAGGGAATGCTCAAGGTGGGGGATTTTGGCCTCTCTAGATTCTGGAACGAAGTAAACGCCAAGGCTGGAAGATACACGAACAAGGTCGTCACACTTTGGTATCGACCACCGGAGTTGCTGATGGGCTCAACGTCGTACGATTTTTCAGTGGATGTCTGGTCAATTGGCTGCATCTTTGGCGAGCTGTTACTAGGCAAACCTATTTTACAGGGCAAGACCGAGATTGAGCAGGTTTGTTGCTTTGATGCTAACTTTAATGCAAGGAACGACACTCAATCTAGTTTTTTGATCATGGCGTTATGCAGCTTCAATTAACATTTGGGTTTTGCGGGATGCCGACGGAAGAAACGTGGCCTGGTTTCTTTAAGCTACCTGGAGCTGAGAACTTTCAGATAGACGACAAATACGTATGTCCACTGCGTGACAGGTTTACAAAGTAAGTGTCAAGTTATTTGGTGAGGATCATGCTGTCTCATGAAAGTTGACTGACTGTTGCTGAATGAATGTGCATGTTACAGTTTTCCACCGCACGCAGTTGATTTGTTGGAAAAGCTATTACAGCTCGATCCTACTAAGCGAATCACAGCCGCAGACGCTATGGATCACGACTACTTTTGGCGTGTCCAAACATGTAAGCCACGAGAGTAAGTTGACTGTTCTTGAACAATTGTAATTTCTTTATGCTTGGTTTGGTTTATGCCAATTGACATGGCTTGGTTGTTTGCAGTCTGCCGAAATTCTGCGTATCGTCTACACATGAATATCAGTCTAAGAAGCGTCACCACGAAGAGATGGCGGCAGCTGCCGCGGTGAACGGTGGTAACACGAAGAATAGTGATCAGCCTCGCAATGTGCGGCAGCGTGGCGAGCGCAGCGGATATCGCGAACGCAACGACCACTACCGCAGCGAAGCTTATCACCACGGTCGCTCCGACCGCGGCCGACCGTACCGTTCAAACCGGCCGAACAACAACAACAGCGACTATTACGGACGTGACCGTGATCGCAGCCGTAGTCGGAGCCACGAGCGCCAACGGGACCGTGAGCATGAGCGCTAAGTCGGGTAAGGTAAATAACGACCATATTATGATTTGCAGTCCATGTAAACGATATCTTGTCTTTGATGTTTCTATTTGAGACTACAATAAAGGGCCCGTCGTTTCTAAATCTTCAGGTGAGTTAATCAAACTTACCAATTGATTGAAGGCTATATTTATAAGAGCTCCATTTGCTACTGACAAACAATAACGTTAATGGAATTGGTCGCAATGAGCGACTTGAGATTGACACAAGACAGCGAGAGAGCGACAAAACTGGTAGCAAAAGAAGGGCCAGCAGCAAGAACTAGCAGGATCGCATGAGCCAGACATCAATCAGTTTCTCTCTAACGTTACAGATCAGCAATTGGTGAGATGTGGGTGTGTATTGCAGGAAGACAGCGTCTAGATCTTTGAGCCGTGCTAGAACGTCAGCTGCGAGTGGCACGAAAGCTGGAAAGGGCTGACCTGGTGACAAATATACTGGTATACACTAACTTTTGTCGCACAAGGTGATCGTTTATGGAACATTCGGAAGACAATATTACTATGCACGTTTTTTTTGAGTTTGGAAAAGGACCCAAACCTTCACCCACACAAAGATTTGGTTCCATTTGTCCTACTTGATTTATTTTTGAAGGTACCATGTCCATTTCATTGACCCAGCTGATTACGCTTGCTCCGACGACTGTAGTAGGTGTCGTAATCAACGATATCTGAGTTGCAAAAAGTGCAGGACGTGAAATCAATACATGCCGGAAAAGCAACTCACATGTTTGCAAACAACAAAGTTGCGCTACTGATTACGTTTCGTAAACCCAAAAATCCATTATCAGTCTGCGACAAAGCCTCATCCATTTATCACTAAACATTTTTATTTAAACAGGTATTTGCGCACATCATGTTATCCGATATACAAGGATAATCGAATCTCGCAGTATAAAAAAGCATCCACATTTTCCTCCATTTAAACTCTTTCGTTCGTGTCCATCCAATGGAATTCCTACGTACCATTTTCACTCGTGAACTTCTTTCCGCATGTTTCCTCGTAATGCTCTTATCCTATGGTCTTGGTCAATATCCAACTGAGATAGACCCTCAACCATTTGATTTTGCTTATAATTTACGTACTATTCAACAGCAAAGTCGGTACGATGAGGCCAAAGCCTTAGTGGCCAATACCGAGCTATTTGATGATTCCGTCATGGAACATCTTTTTCGTAATCAAGCATTAAGCGCTGAGGACTTGGCTGTGAGTCAAGACAATGTCGCATACGTTGGATTGTCTGATGGTCGTCTTGCATGCTTTCGAGTTGAGGCAGATGAGCTCCGTAACTTTTCTCGAACTGGACGTGATATTTTAGAGTGTGGTGCACTTGACATGGAACCGACGTGTGGACGGCCATTGGGACTCGTATTTACAGCTGCTGAACCTTTTGCAAAGTATGTAAACAGAATTCCAAATGCTGAGCTGTTTCCAGGTGACCAAGTACTTCTCGTAGCAGATGCTTACAAAGGTGTGCTACTATTTGATGCCAATGGAAAACGTACATTGCTCTTCAATCGAGTTGGTGATGAACATGTTAATTTCTTGAATGGAATTGCTGTTGTAAAGGAGACGGGAGATATTTATGTGACCGAGTCTTCGCGTCGTTTTCAGCGCAATCGAGTCGTGATGGAGTTTTTGGAACGCCTGCCAACGGGTTATTTGTTGCATTTTGACCCTAGCAACGGGAGAGTAAATATAGAGGCTAGCGGCTTAGGGTTCCCGAATGGTTTGACCCTAGATAAAGATGCGTCGGGTCTGTTGATTGCACTCATGTTCCAAAACAAGATTGTGCGTTTTGACTTTGGGACGAAGAAGATTGAGGATTTTGCCTTCTTACCTGGTGAGCCAGACAATATATCGATTGAAAAGGTTGGTTCTGGAGCAAATGAAACCAAGGTGTTGATGGTTGGAATGGTATCCCGCAACGATGGAGGTGTCTTCAGTTATATCAAGCAGGACGTTAAAATGCGCAAACTTCTATCGCTACAACCAACATGGGTGACAGTGATGTTCGTGCAACGTCTTGGAGTGTTTGCTTCAGTAGACTTGGACACGGGCAATATCCGTCATGTCTACGAAGCCTCACAAGGACAGACACCAATCATATCTGGTGCTGTGCGTTTTGGAGATCACATTTACCTAACAAGCTGGTCTCGTGCTTCGATTACGCGAATCCCAGCAGCACTCGTGCAGTAATGGACTAGTCAAAGAAAAGCAAGAATGGGGTCATATTTTGAGCTGAATGACGCAAAAACTTGCACTTTGACATGAAGCTTCTTCAAGTGCATGGTGTCTAGTACATGAGCTCAGCCAATTCGTTGGCATCCTATCACGCAGCCTACAACTCCATCGCTTTAGACTCGCTCGAAAACGTCTGTCAAATTTATTTCGTTGGCTCTGTTTATTCAAGATACGTCATGTTTATTGGAGCAAACACACACACGACTCTACTTTAATTCTACAGTTCTGTAGCTTCATCTAACAAGGCGAACATTAGATCATTTCCCGCTGCTGCACTAGTAGGCCAGCATCCTTTTCGTGCTTTTCTCCTTGCGTGTTCATCGATCGTATCTTGAAGAGTTTTTGCCACTTGGTAACGACCTGCAACCATTGCACGTAGTTTTCGGTTTTCTGCCAAAGCGGCATCTAGCATTTGATTGCAGCAGTCATTGTGACCTCTATCGGTGGTACCCATCCGAGACTCTTCTCGTAAATTTGATTTCGTGCATGGATTGCTCAATGCATTCTTCACGTGCTCTAGCTCAACAACATAGCCTCGTAGATACTTGATCTCGTCATGAGGTCGCTTCCGCCATCGAGTCTCGAACCAAGTGTATGGAAATGGACGACTTTTTACTTTCTCAGATCGGACCTTTATCGTTGGATGACGGAGTTCAGGCTGGTCAGCAGCAAAAGATCACAGTCAGTCTCATTAAATCCATCCGGGTCGATAGTCGAAAACGATGCTGATGAGCAAACGGTCACATGAAAATTGTTCTTGACCGGTTCTCCGTTGTACTGGATCGAAGATTGATGCAGGTCGCAGTCATCTTGACGTGATGCATTCCAGAATGAGCTGGTCTTTGGCTACTATTTCATTGCATGCAATGCTGAACAGTAAAGCTTTTTTGCCGACATAGCAGGCGACACCATCAGGACTGCAAAGGTCTTCAACAATAACAAAAGTTTGCACCATGTGTCATCTACCGCATGAACGAACCCCACGTCTTCGTTTTGAATTCAAAAATAGTCAGACAAACAGCACTGCCGTAAGCACATGTGGCGATGGCTAATACACAAAGTCGAGTGCGTTTCATTGATTCTATGCATCAACTATTCAAGAACTCACAGGTGTTGCAAGTTTCTTTAAAGTACATTCATTCCAACACAATACAAGATTTTGAAGTACACGTATCGTCGTGGAAGGGTCCGATAGATTCGTCGAGGTCTTCGCTCGAGCTAGTGTTTAACCAGGGGCTTCTAGCTTGATGCTTATAATAGCCATCAAGCGAGAAAAGCTTTGCTGTGATACTGCAATTGAGCTAGCTTTGTTGACATCCCACAGCAGAAATCTAGCATTTCATACGGCATATAGAACTCCGATAGCTCGGTATTGTTCGCACTAACGGCAGACACGTTATTGTGCTTTTAAATCTGTCCAGTACATGGACTGACCGTACTCAATAGTGTAGGGCCAAACCTACCAATGGGTCATACCTCAACACTTGAATACGTCTAGCACGCTTTTGCGTTTAATTCTCGCTGAATACACGTCGTTTCTTTCATACTATTTTTCAATGCTTTGAAGCTTTCAGTCTATTTGCTATCATCTAAAGTAACTGTGGCAAACAGTCTAGCAGCTTAGCTGCTTTCGAGGGGTTCAACTTGCACCAAGTTCGTAGACACTCGTCTGGCTACACCGAGTCTTAAAACAGGTGACAGTAATGACCGTTCCTTCGTTCATGACTTCTGTTTGGGAAAGCTTCGCTCTGAAAGCTTCAAGAGACGAGAAAAGAGGGATTCCCAGTGGTCGGACCACCTTTATCTCTGACTTTTGTTAACCAAAGACGTGTACATCTGCTGTCACGAGATGTTGTTGCTTCAAAGGCCAGTCATGTACTTAACAGAGGAGCAGGAGGCATGGTACTATCGGTTACAGACGAAAAATTCGTGAGTCAGCATCATTGTGTGTTTGTGGTAAGAAGACCAAGTGACCTTATCGGCCACCGACACCACGAGTCTATGCTATCTCTTTGCTTGGCATATGGTATGACGTGGTGAGGATCTTATCAGGCCAGCTGCCACATACTATCTTACATACATATTTCTGTGAGTCAGCGTCAAACGTAGAGATGAATTGACTAGCTGTCATATCTTAAGTTCTACTAACAGCATAACACCTTGAAGCGTTTGAAATGCCAAGGTTACAATGACCTTTGCCTCTAAAACGTGCCCCAATACGTATTGATTTGGTATCAATAGATAGATGTGTACGCTATGATCAACGACATCTTTAGCCATCATGGAATGCTACTAGTGTCAGGCTGCATAGGTCCACTGACTGCGTGATTCCGTCAGGTGGCTCCAATCAAGCTGACAGAAGCACGCAGTGAAAGGACTTATACGACGTGTGGCTGTTAGTTCTAAAGTAACATGCATAACATGGAGCACGTCAATACCGCTACGTCTTTGTTAGAAAAAGGTTTTGTGTTTGAGACTACGATGATTGATTGAGTCTATAGAGTCATCGACTGCTTTCTCTTCTTGTAGACAATTGTCATGCAACATGTACAATCCTTTCTATTGTTGTCCTCTGCAGTTTGATCGACTGAGTCTGCAACATTTGCAATGAATGATCTTTACCAATGCAATGTGCTTTGAATGTCAAGTGAGGATGGCATCTTTGTTATGCCGGACATTCGCTAGTTACCCACAAGTTCGTGAATCATCTAGCAAGCGTTGTTTTTCAGAATCTTAGAAGGTGATAGCCAAACTTTGACGAGCGTGCTGCAAGCCATTCGTTCTCATGTCCACTTGTAGACCAGTGCTTGCGTGATGTCGGCGGGTCAATTTTTGCACTTGGCTGTGAGACGACAGCAGTGAGCCATGATGACACCAACAAACACCACCAAGTTGATGTTTTAGCAAGTACAACAAGGCTAAGCGATTGACTTATTGCCACCTAATTGCTCGTCAATTGGTCTCAAGTAACAAACACGACGCAACGTCTCTCTTTGTCTTTCGGTCTCAGTTCAGATTCCAAGTCGTTGAAGCTCGATCGACCAGAAGACTATCCTAGATTCCCTCATGCCTAATGGAGATTCAATCCAAAAGCAGCAAACACTAAACACTATTAAACCGTGAGCTATGAATGCAAGTGTGACCGACAGACATTGGCAACCAATGCCACAACAGTCATGACGTATTTACACTGGACAACGACCATTGCAAACACTTTCCCGTTGACTGGTTCGTGGATGAATACTTTTACAAGCCCCAAGCCACAGCGGTGAATCTGCAGATGTGCATTACGCCAGTTACAAAACATGCACTTGGTTCTGATGCTCATCTTTGTGCGGCACTGGACTCTAGTCGACCGTTGCTATAACAAACCTATGGTCTTGCTACACAAATCTCGACGTAGAACATTATCAAACTATTCTAATATACTGTAAGCAACTAGAAGAATAGACTCGTAGCAGACGAAAAATTGTTTAGCTGCCGTTGTGGTGCATGGTGGAAATGCTGGTAATTCGTTCACATAGCACCGATGAGGACTTGACTGCTTAAACCTTTTCAATTAACTGAGCTCTATGTCCGTACTTTTAAACAGCTCGTCATCAGCATCGACAATTGTAAAATTCATATGCTGTAGATCGACTAATCGCAAGACGTTTTTCTTTTTCACGATCGACACCTAGACTTCATCTATTTTTATGCATGGCTTGCTAACTGGCGCCATGCACATGCTCCGTATCAAAAATTTCAAGTTTAAACGACAAACAATGGTTGACTAGATCATACCGTTGAATCAGCAGATCAGCAGCCGGTTGAGACCTATGTCTAAGATTTAAGAAACGCTACTTGAAAAAGGCTGAGTATTTATTCATTTATAATTTGAAACTGGACAAGTGAGAGCGAGGGTCTTTACTTGATAAGGTCACTTTGCAAATCGGTACGAAAGTATCGGTACACTTATAGTGCATTCATTATAACTCATTGGATTACTAACGCTCTGACGACTGACTATCCATCTGTCCATCTCTCTGTCTCACTATCTGTCTGTGTGTCTGTCTGTCTGTCTGAAGGTACTGAACCCTTCTCTTTCTCCTCAGCTGCTACAGTTCATTCGAGAGTTAACTCGCGAGTTAATGCAAACGAAATTTCATTGCAGTTTTGAATCGACCTGCTTTAACATGCCAACGACTGCCTTCTTTCCACCATTGACCATCAGAAACCAATCACTATGTGATGATTTGGAAACTATGTGCTTGCCCGTAAACACTTCAGCACCAGTGATGCTGGACGGAACAAGTGCGTTCGACGGTGCGTTTGACGGTGAGCTTATGCTGAGTCTTTTTCGGCCGTCTGACGGATCAAATGAGAGCGACAGTGAACATTTAATGAGTCTCATTGAATCTTTTAAATCAAATTATGCAATGCATGACGAGTCTGATCGAGAAGATCGTCCGTATCCATACACTCGGTCCAAAACGCGCTGGCGCAAGCGACCAAATGACGAACTCAAGCATTTACGGTCTCAAATTGTCAAGCTTGAAGGACTGGTTACAAACTTGACTTATTCCGGTTCACGCTCAAAAGTGCCGACAAACCGAAAGAAAGCTCGAGACGATCAATCAAACGTGCTTCATAGACTTAGTAAAGAAAGTCGTCGAAAGAAAATGGAGGCGGCGATGGCAGAGAATCGGAAGCTCAAACTAATGGTCGTTAGCCAATTTCGAGTGGCAAAGGCACTTCAAACGGCGGTTGACGAAAGCATGCGACTGCGAGCTCGTAAAGTGTGCTGGCCAACGAGTTCGGCAGCCTCTGATGAGCTTGTGTTTGCCTTGTTGGACGAGGAAAAAGAGCTGCAGTACGCTGCTACCGACAAAGTTATGGATGAAAGCGGGGTTTCTCGCATGTACCACCCGTATATTTCAGAAATGGTGTTCCAGAACGACAAAAATGGAGTCTCCTTTCAGCATAACGACGTGCGTGTGATCCCGTTCCCTGTGGCAAATGTCGTATCTGCACTCCGTCACAGTCTTAGGCATCGATCAAGAGTTGGACCGTCAGAGCACTGTCGTAAATTCCTCATGTACGATAACTACTCTCAAGCTGTCACGTTGGACAGCGTGGATATTCCAGGTTCACTACCTGCGACAGTCACGGGTCGACACTTGCTATGGTCTGTCACCGAACCTGACCGAACTGTCATCGCTTGGTCAAGTTTCAATGAATACCAAGGACGCAGTCACGTGCGCTTGCTGAAGAGGTTGTGGTTCTCGGTTGAACCGACACAAGTCCAGACCAGCTCAGGAACCGTGCAAGGCTCTATTCTCCGTACGATCGTTCGTTTTACACCTGTTGATCCTGAAGTTGACCTCAAGCATATTAAGGAGATGTCGGACGTGATAATCTGCGCCTATAAACGCGATTCTGTGCGTGTTGTTTTAGCAGTGAGAGATCAGTTGGCAGCTTTAGCTGCAAGAGGTTGAGGTTGAATCACATGCATGTTACTGTTTACTGAATGCTAAGGATGATGTCTTCACATGTTGCGTTTTGTTCAAGTTGCTAGCACGAGCACAATACCCAAGACCAGCAAAGATAAACTCATCTATGAGAAGACGTCTCATACTGTCAGGACAAATGCCATTCCACCCTTACTTTCATGTCCGTCGACAAGATAGCTTCAAAACTAGCTTCTGCACGCTTTCTATTCCAACTCAACTCTTGTTTTACATTTCAAGTATGATTTAAAGTGCCATTGAAGAACATACCGTAGCTATTCTGCTGCATCTGGTACTCTGGTGCGCTACACCTCGATCAAGTTGTCACGTGACACCAAAAGCACTTGCTCTAATTGACTATACGAGACTTGTGCATTTTTTCACTGCATTAAGAACGTAGATATCAATTTTTGACACGAGAAAGTGTTGAATACCACAGATCACTACGTTGATGGATCCATAAGGTCTTGAAGTAAGAGATTTTCCATCGCTTGGCTGAAATTTTCAAGCGTGCAGCGGTACGCTTCGATCACGAGATCAATCATTAATTCGAAATTTCCTATCGTGTTTGCTTCAGTGCTGAATTCCACAGCCTCTGGCTTAATATCGGCCACGATACGCGCAATGGAGCCGCCAGGTCTTAAGCTCGATGACTCACTCCCAGTAAAATCAAATGGCGATATCGTCACGAATCCTTGCTCACGAAGACGGACGAACACTGAGCCAGCAATCTCTACGAATCCACTCCAGACAATTACGACGCGACTGCCTTCAGAATATCGACGCACTGCAATCCGCGAGGTCACTTTCGTATGCTGAGACTTGGGTAATTGAATCTCGTTGACGATCGTGGCGTTCAGATGGTCATTGTTGATGACTCGAGTCTGGACGCCACAGGTCTTACCACTTTCGTACATCACGAAGGACCACATGACGCGCGCTGATGTCTGCATTGTGAACGGCATTATACGAACTTCTTTCATTCCAAACGCAATACCGTTCATGTCGTGCTTCAATTGGATCTTGCCCAACTGTTCGCGGTTTAGATCGGCAATCCCACTTGCTTCAAACCGCGCGTCAACTTGAGCGTACTGCACCGCAAGGCCTCGATTTAATTCCGCAAAAATCGTCTCGTCCGATACGCTTGGGGCGCGCGGACGTCTAGCGTCGTTATTGTTTCCAATATCAAAATCAAACTCCGTCTTGATGAAACTCAACGGCAAAGCTTGAGACGCCACATGTTGGTGATGGTCAGTAATTATCCTCATGATCCTCTCTCGACGCTTAGCAATCTCAATTTGACTCTTCAGTATGGCTCGAAGCTTCCGGTTCTCAACAATAGTTTTACTCGCTTCTTCCTTTTGTCTTTCAGCAATTAGTTTCCAACGTGGAAACATCTCCCTACCGTCACGACTTGATCGACTCAGGGTTGCAAGTTCCCTTTCCATATCTGCCACCATTGCACGAAGGTAGTCGATTTCCTCTTTAGTACGTGTACGGCGTGGTGGCTTCGCTTTCGGATACGGCATCGTACGAGCATCTTTCCCTCGTTGAGCAATCTGCTGCTGCTCTTTTTGTTGTAGCAAAGGTTGTTCGATGACAATAGACGAGAGATCAGTAGTCTGTTGCACCTTCTTCATCTCTAGCACTACAGGCTGTAGGTCATCTACTGACTCGTGCTCATACAAGTTGGGTACTTTTGCAAATTCAAACGCATCGGCAATGTAGGAGGAATCCGGTGAGACTGAGTCCATCGATACAGCTGCGTCCGGCGTCAAGCCAGGAATCTCATCCAGCACAGTGAGCAGGTCGTCGCTTGAGCCGGTACCGAGTGGAGACAGCGGTTTGTCCGTCATTCCTACACTCTTGTCTGCCACGTTCGTGGTAAATATGCAGCTGAGGATTGAGCTCTTCCAGATGCTTCTTGTGCCCGTCAGCTTCGATTACTCGTTCTTCGCACAAGCAAAAAACAAACAGTAGACAATCCCGAAGCTAAACAACGATTTGCGCACAGAGCAGCGAGCTAAGCCATTGAGTGACACTACTATTGTCTACATGTACTCGACGCACTTTTTATCTAGCCACACGATAGTGTTCCAAGTTGGTTCACTGTCTTCTACAAGCTACATCAGATCATACGATACAGTCTGTGGCTAAGCAACCTCCTCGCTTCATACATGAGCTGCATAGAAGCATGTATATTTAACACATATTGCTTCCCTTGCACACTTGTCCATAGCTGGCGCTAATCTGGCTAGATACGCTCAATCGCGTCGCAAATCTCTGCACCCTCTACGAAAGTGGCCATGCCGCCTTTAATGTCTCGCACGCGGTACTTGCCGTGGAAAGTACCGACAAGTTAGCTGCTCTTCAACGCCAGTACTTGGATGCAGTTCACAAATCGTCAACTTGCTTGTCAAGAACTCGTTCGTCAACAGTTTATCTGTCGTCCTAATCAGTGTTGATGCATTAGCGCACGCTTGGTTCATGCGTCTGATGTACAGCGTGATTTTCTCTGTGGTTAGCTAGCAATGAACTAGCCTCAAGAAATAACAATCAACCTTCTTCCAGCTGCGTGAAACTGTGCAAGAGTATCATGTTTGCATCGCAGACGCATCATCATTTGCTCCATGCGTACACAATACGCCGCATCTGACGTTGGTTGTCGCGTAGGACACATCGCTATCTACACGGTAATAATGCCTTGCTTCTCGCCTGTATATTGAAAGTTTGGCACAAGAAAAATCCACCGGAGGAGTCCCTGGCTACGATCACTTGCTTATCCAGTATCCTGTGCCATAATGTGCATAACAAGGGGCACAGCATCGTCAAACACAGCTCATATATAGTACGGCAATCTCTTGCTCGTCTTTTTGTCAATACACTGACTATACGTCCAACGCAACAAACAGCTAGACCCTCTTCCATTTAACATCATCCATTGCAACTTCATGCTAACACTTCCATTGATCCCTGACGGCATCAAGACATAACTTTCCTAGTTAAAGGGCTCTTCAAATTTGCATCGTCCTATCAAAATCTGCAAACGTTTGTGGCCTTGTCTTCATTGCAAACCAAAGTCCGACGTAGCGATGATTTTGGTTGTGGTATTTCATGCATCTTTTGTGCAAAAGTGCGACGTGCATATGTCCTTGCTGTTTGCAATTTCCTGCGCATGTCTTGCTGCACCAAGTGGGTCAAACACGACCTCCTGTTCATTATTTTCCGAGCTTCGTTTAGACAGAACACTATAATTTTTTTCTCATAAAAGAACACCAACACGCTGTTATCTAATGAATGTGAGGTTGTAGACGACGAATGAGATTGCTTGGAATTAAGACGTAGAGACGACCAACGACCGATGACGGATGCGGTAATGCTGACAAGTTGCTGCAACAACAATAACATGTTGAACATAAAGAAGCCATCTGACAAATGTGGTGCCGTATGTACCTGTAGAATATAATAAGAAGTCGTTGGATAAGCAGTAAAGTTGCATGAAAGGTGGATCAGCTAAGAATGAAGTCCGTTTTTTTTGTCTTAACGGTTTTAGTAGCTGCGGTATTGTTGATTTGGACAGTGTCAACGTCGCATGAGCAAGTTGATGGCAATCAAAAGCTTTTGTACCGCTGAACTTGATGGGAGCACAATGGTGTATATGAAAAGGCTGATGCTGAATCATGAACGGTTTAACTTTTCGTCCCGGTTATTGTATGATTGGAAGCAGGCAAAAGGATCAAGGCTGAAAACATTAGGATAAAAGGCTTTATTATGTCGCGCGCTTCAAAACTTTAAATACTAACGAATGCCAATGATCGCATCGACTATGTCTAGCTGCAAGGATAAAAACAAAGATGTGTTTATAATGGAAGGAGAAACGCAAACACGGACGAGTATGTAGTTATATTACGTAATACTTTACAACATTGTAGTCAGCTTCACATTACCAACGGATGTGGCTGTCTTTTGCCATCAAGACACTCAGTTTGATGCAATAGACAGTGCACAAAGCAAAAGTGCGGCATTTGTCCAGTGCATTATCCCCGAACTGACCTGACTGTTGCTTCAGTGTCTCGCGCCACCAACGGCGCAAATATCAATTCCGAAGTTTATCGAACAAGCCCGTCTCGTGTAGTCGCTCAAAGACAGACGTGTACATACTAAGATACGAGCTCAAAATGATCATGGAGCAGTTCTTTGCATACACAGCAAAGAGAGAGACACTCAACCTGTCTAGCTCAGGATTCTTGACCATGGTAGTTTTTGTCACAAAATCGAGTTTGTGAAGCATGTTGGATTGAGAAGCTAGCGCAAACATGAGCTCGTTGGATATGGCAGAACATTGTGATATGTCTCCATTCCTGTCACCTCTTCCGGAGAGAAAATGCTTCTCGTTGGTGCTGATTAATAACATCTTTTGCAACTTTCACGTAGCCGTTCAGCAATGCGCGCAGTCTCAAGTTCTCGACAAGCGAGTGGTCAGCCTTCTTCTTCTGTTGCTCAGCATTTTTTCTTCCAATTCAGTGCATCCTGTGAACAGCCAGACTCACCGGCACTTCTGGTCCAAGGCACTTCTGGTTGAACAGTAGATCCAATGTATGCAGTTGTCTGCAAGGACTGCAGCTTCTCTTCCATATCAGCCACCTTTGCACGCAGATAACTCAGTTCGTCTTTTGGACGAATGCGTCGACATGACTTGTTTGGTTTCGAGTATGGAGCACTACGTACGTCTTTGCCCTTGACCGACGACTTCATGATCGGTCTCATTTTTCCACTACTACATCGATTCATCGTGAGCGGCTTTACTGCAATGTCTGTCATTATATTCTCGTCCAGTAGCGATGGAATATCAAACGTCAGCATCATATGCAACTCGTTTAGTGAATCTTTTTCAAACGACAGCATATCATCAAGCTCTGCTAACAACGTTTCATCCAGAGCTTTGATACTGTCGTACTGCATTGAAAAAAATAAATAGTGATACGACGGTCTGCAAATGAACGACCGGACATTTGACAGGTCGGACAACAACAATCACACAATTGGCAGCGTGATGTAGATTACTAATCGTAGTCGCTTGTGATGTGGCTGTTCTTTGCATCGACACGTGGTTCTGTCATGTAAATGTCGTGAATGAAGGTAAAAGCGTGATATAGCGTTACTTCAGACGTAAAATTATCAGCCGTCACGTTACTTTCTTTCGACATTAAAAAACTGAATACATAAACATGTAGACAAAAATATGATTAGAGCACGTACTTCATTGAAGCTTCTAAAGCTCTATATAAATACGAGTCACGGTAGGAATGACGTAGGAGCATGACACATGAGTATGGCACGCTTGATTACCGTGTCAAAATTGGCTGTTCGAATAATAATAGTTAGTATTGGTGGTGCTAATGTTGATTGTTGTAGAATTTGCATGAAGAATTGAAGCTTACTACGAGTGAAAATATTGCACCTTTCATTCTAGTATCCATCTAGTAAATAGCAAGCAAACTATCAGCATTGTCAAGCCTTTATGTTGCAGTGACGGCTTAGTTCTTTTTGCTATAATGTCATCAAGGATTGCAATGTCCTACGCATGTCTTGGAGGCTTGATATGAAGATATGTACTCGAGTACCTCATCATGCGAAGGTATAACAAACAAGTCATGGAGATTGAAACGTCTTTGCAAAAATAACCAACCAAGCTCTGCACAGTAGTTCTCTTGCAGTGAAAAGGTGCTTGATAGACGTTAATCTTATCCTAAATACACGCACAACAGACAAGTCATGATTAAACAACATAAAATACCATCTTTACATGCACACAACACTGGTTAGCGGAGAGCCCTTGTTGTTGTCTGTGGTGTCAGCATCTTTTAGGAAAAGCGTCTCTGCAACTTCATGCACTAGACCAAAATCGTGGTGATACGTGTCAACAATAAGATCTGTTATCTCCTCAGCCTCTTGCTCGGATTTAAACTTGGACACTTCAGGAACTAATTGAACAGTCATGCGAGTAATGCAACCTCGTTCAAAGTTGCTTGAGCTGCTACTGCCCTGTGTCACACCACGATGTAGCTCAAACGTTGATGCACAGCTCCATCCTTTCTCTCGAAGACGTATTGACACAGACCCGTCGATCTGAACGAAGCTGCTCCAGACAAACACGACACGATCTTGCTCCAAGTGTCGACGGAAAGCAGCTCTTTTTGTTATACAGACCCGATGCGACGTCGACAGCTCTATTGTACCGCGCATAATGAGATTCGAACGGTCATTGTCAAGGACTTTCGCTTTTGTGTCTTTCCCCGCCAAACCATTGTGAAAAGTACTCCAAATCGCATTATGTAGTGACTGCAACGGAAATGGTAGCAATCGTGCTTCCTCATGGCGAAACGATGTTCCATTTTCTTCTCGTTTGAAGTCAAAGCCACCCTGAAAGTGGCGCAGCACAGAAGACAATCCATGGGTTGTGAAAACCCCGTCAACGCCATCAACTTGGTCAAACTGTTGCTCAAGCTGGCTATTCAATAGTGCAAAGATTTGCTCGTCTGTCTTATTCATGAGAGGTCGTCTCACTCTGCAGATGCCTGTACTTGTTAACAAATCATATGTACCTGCTTCAACCTGGTGCTGACGAATGGCAGCTTCAAGAACACGTGCGACGTAAAGCTGACGCAGCAGTCGGTCACGTAGCTTGCGATTCTCGTTAATGGAGATAGCAACCTCGTGTTTTTGGCGTTCAGCATGTTCCTTCCAGCTCAAACAACCTATCGTAGTGTCAATTGCAGCAAGAGCGACGCTCTTATTAATGGCATTCACATGTGCTTTCGTTACTGTCTCGAGTTTTTCCTCCAGTTCCCGCACTTTTGCTCGCAGGTACTCAAGTTCATGTTTTGGACGTCGACGATGATGTCGCTTTGAGGTCGAATTTGGTCTCTGTCGTCTATCAACTTTTTTCAATCCCGATTGCAACCCCTTCTCAGGTCGTTGCTGTTGTTCTTGTTGTTGTTGTTGTTGGCCCAAAGACATGTTGAACAACGTCCCATCTTCTTTCCTCCTACCATTTTTCTTATCAATTGTTTCCTGTGGAGTCGAAGACACGAATTCTTGATGTTCCAACGAGAACAACATGGCGTCCATCTTATTTCCATCCTGGAATTTCGTCGACTTGATCATTGGCGTCTCCATGTCTTCGACAAAGTATCCAAGAGCTTCAATTAGATCTTTATCTAGAATCTCTCCAGTCTCTTGACAAGACGAAACAATAGGGACTTTCATTCTTCACAATTATTAACGTTAAATGAACCAGATGGCCATGGAATTCCTGCAGTTTGAGATTGTGCAATCACTGTAGTTTAGTACATTTGGACAAAAAAACTCATGAACAGAATGTTCAGTTTGCAAATCTCTGAGCAGAATCAGAGATATTTGGAGCGTATGACCGACTACACTTAGTATAAAATTTGGAGTCTTTATTTGATTGAGATACCTTAGTAGGTAGAATACGATATTTAGGGTGGTACCATTGAATTGAAGCCATTTAGCACTTTAGAATAGGCACAAAAAGAAACAAAACGTAGTCCAAAAAATAAAAAAAAGATGTTGCTGACTCAGAAACACATGGTCAACCAGCTTGATTCTTGTATGTTTACAGTCCTTAATCAATCGTAATCAATTTTCAGTGAACCTTATCAATAGAGAGTCGTTAGTTGCATGTTTATACTTTTGTTATTATTATCATCATCATCATCATCCAGCTATTAATTGACTTAAGTAAACCACACTCTCATGTTGCAACGACCAGTTGAGTCTCACTCCTGGTTACGTCAACGACGACCACGTGCCATTCTCTTGTTACCTGAATTAGGAATCTATGACTCTCTAGTCTTACGTTTTGAACAAATTGCAGTGGCAGGGGCAGCAATCAATTGTTTTCAAGTAGTTGAAGTAGAGGAAGTAGCTCATAACGATACAAATGCGCCAATCCCGGTATTATTTATACCAGCAATTATGCATAAGATCCCACAAGCTTTAATGGTTATTATCGTCCTTAGTCTATCAATTGTATGGAGTTCTCAAGTCATTCAATGGATCCTCCACGTTCTTCACTTGGATTGTAACAATGTAACGAAATTTGTTGTAAGAAGAAGAAATCTTCCACCGGTCATTGCAATGCTGAAACTATTCTTTCTTGTCTATGTCACACTGCAATTGCATCATTCAGTAGGATTGCAATGGAAACAACAGCCAAGTGTCTTGATTGCAGCTCTAATTCTTGTGCTTTGTGAGGTTGTATTTGCTGTTGCCCATACGTGGATTCAAAATCGTTTTAAATGTATTTTGATTCAACATTGGCGTGAACAAAAAGGTGGTGGGAGTGCTAATAGAAGTAAAAAACAACTTCTTCTCACGTTTTTTGACAGGTGAAAAGATTGTGGGATGGTCACCTCGTTCTTAAATCAGAGCGAGATGACATTACTGATTGCTGAAATTCCATCGATGATCTGGGCTAGTTGGACGTGCTGTCAATGTGGAGTCACGCCAGAACATCTTTCCTATCAATTGCATCGATGGCTTACAATCCTTACGATCGTTATGGGCATGAATGTTGTCCTCGTATCTGTAGATCTTCAAAGTGATATTGTCGGTGCAACGATCTTCCTCGTAGCTGACGTTGTGCTGACGATGCTACGGCTGTTTGGAGGACGCCATCGACGGCGAGCTCGTCGAGAAGATGTGCGAATGCAGCGTCTTACCATGGTAATTGCGACTCCTGGTACTGACAATGAATCGAGTTTGCCGCTTGAAAGTACAGATTCGGATAAATACTCGTAGAAACGCTGACAATGAGGAGAAAATCGAAAGCACCGAAGTCTCTAGTTCTTATGATCAGGATGAAGTATACAGACATGTCAATGTGGTCTCACCATACAGTGCACCAAAGCGCTCTGATAGTGTATCAAAGCAGTGCTGGGTTTTTACGCGCACCGGGGTCTGGAAATCACCTGTGCCACATAACATTTCTCTGAAAGAATGGGCGTTTGCATTTCTTGACTGTGCCTACTCGCTCTTGGTGGTTCTCATCTTCTACGAGACTGTTGACGGATCCGAACGTCAGATCATACCCGGACTACTGACCACCGATAACAGTATCAACTCAGTCGATGACAACGAGAACAGACTGATGAGTGAAGTCAATCGCGTCAGCATGATCATGTCGTCAGCCTTCGGGACAGTCTTTTCTCTATCTCTTGCTGGCCGGCATTACTTTTTGTACTCCTCGAGGCGCCAAAAGATTCCTGGTGTTGCTCATTACTTTACCATGAATGGAACAACGACACTTGACACTCGAGAACCCAATTACTTTGCTATTAGCATTCAGGTCGTAAAGTCGATTCTACTGCCATGTTCCATTTGCTTTTGCGCCAACATTCTCGCGGAAAAAGACTTGTTTGTCTTGAAACAGGGTGTCAATGTTTTTGTGGCTGGAGCGATTGGATCCATTGCAGCAGCTAGATCAGTTGATGCTGCTAGTCGAGCTTTGTACGGCTTTGGACGTTTTGACGGAGATCCACCTGGTCTTGAAATGTTTGGTGGTTCACCGTTCGTGAAGGCTAGTACAGCGCTTGAGGTGTTTTGGGATTGTTTCAATGATTTTTTGGGTCCACTCAGTCTGGATCACCTGCTGATCAGTTCAACCACCGCGTCCAAGAATTTTATCGTCGTCTATTTTCTCCTGTGCGTATGTGTACTTCACGCTGTGATCGCGTACGTAGACGCAATCAATATCAAGAGTGCAGCCTATCAAGCAGAACGGCTTGGTAATTTCGTGATTGTCACATTTCTCGTACGCAACTCGGAAAAATACGTCGAGCGTCAGGGTGTGGATCTTTGTGCACCTGTGTTACTCATTGCTATTGACTTTTCGTCCAAGTATCAGCAATTGTGACACAATGTAAAGCGTGGTACTCCAACCAAAAGGATCAATCCATGGAACATCGGGCATCTCCACGTATTCCAATGCTTTCATCGATTTCAGAGTCGGCTGAAATGGCTGTGCTCAGCTGAAGTAAGCGCAAAAACAAGAATATATCGTACGAATCAAATCGTTTCAGCAGTATACTTGCCAAGTACAATGTAAAGCAATCCAACCAAAACGTGGTTGTTTATTTTGGGTCTTTATTTGTTACTTTTGACAGCACGTATTTGTTCGAGCAACATTCGCGCGACCATGTCACAACTGTCCGTATTAAATCGCTGCAAAATGGAGTCAACGGACATTGTCTTGTCACCGTCCGTGGTGATGCGTGTAGGTCCTGAAAATATCCGTTCAATTATTCTATCAAAAGAGAAGGAATTGCATGATATTAATGCGTATCGTATATGTACATTAGAGACTCTACTACGTGATAAAGTGCGTGTGGAATTGAATGGGTTTTATGGTGCATTCGGTTGGGTTTTTCTCTCATGTGTCGCTTAATGCATAGGAAAGAGCTGCTAAGACAGCAGAAGAAAGGCTTTGGAAGCTACAAGAGGATTCTGACTACAATTTGAAGCTCTTGGAAGGACGAGACGAGGAGTTGGCACGGATTCATGCTCAGTGTGACTTGCTCAAGAACAGTCTGAAGGATAGAAAGACTGAAGTAAGTGAGAGTAGAGAGAGAGAAGTAAAGAGTCAAGCAGAGCTGCAAATTGCCGAAGAACGAGGACAGGAGCTCCAGTTGCTGTACCAAGAGAAGCTACGGGATGCTCATATTCAAGTCACAACGTGCAAATTGGACGGCGACGACGACGACGACTTGAGAAGCCAACACGAGGACGTTTTAGAGACTCAAAGACGCAATTTTGAGCAAAAATTGAGAGAAAAAGACGACGAGATGGAGAGACAACGGAGAGAGCTGACAGTGACGTTTGACAACGTCATGAGACAACGGGAGACGGAGTTGAAACGAGAAAGTGAGGAGCTACGGACAAAGGTGCGAGAAGTAGAGCTGAAGAACAAGGCATTGATCGAAAACACCGATGCACAATGTGCAAGAGTGGAAGAAGTGATGACGAAGAATGAAAAGATGCAGCAGGTGATGGACGAGAATGACAAGAAAATGAAGGTCTTGGAGTGGACGGTGGCGGATGTAAAAGCTGCGAAAGAGACCAAAGTGGAAGAGCTGGAAAACAAAGTGGCGAAGTTGGTTGAGGTGAAGCAGCAACTACTGGTTGATCATGAAAGCAAGACGGCGGACGTGTCACAACTGCTGAACTCAGTACAGAATGCGTTCGTGCAGCAGAAGACACAGCATGATGAAATACTACAATGTCTTTTGGAGCGGAAGAAAAGCGGCATGCAGGAAGCAGACACTAGGAGCGAAGCGAAGCTAATAATGCTTGATGAACACTTACGTGAAAAGGTGGAGGTTTTGCAAACTGAGCTGAAGCATGTTAAGCGGGATGCGGATGACAAATTGAAGGACATGGAATGCGAGGTGAAACGTGTACAGAGTGCACTGCAGGAACTGGAAGGCGAAAAATTTCGGAACTGTACTGGCGACCATGAGGCTCAACCGCTTCATAAAAGATTGCAAGAGTCAGCAAGACAGATAGCCTTGTTGCGAGAGAGAAACGATTGTTTGTTCCGTGAGAAGGAAGCAGTAGAAGAGCGGATGTTTTGCGCTGAAAATGAAGTGCAACGGCTGCGCTCTGAGTTGCTTTTATCACGGAAGGCAAGTGCGCTTGTGACGACCTCTTTCGACTCTCAGCATGTAGCGGCTGCGGCCAGTTCGGCTACCCGCATATCTTTGGAGTCTGTAGCAGCCGCTCCCTCACGTCTTTGTAGTGATGCTTCGGGTACACTTTGTCCATTACCTCATGTGTCACCGCATCGAACGAAAGTGTCACTACTACGGCCCAAAGCAATTGCAGCGAGAAGCGCCAATGCGATCGAGACGAAGAACGCAAAGTTGCGAGAATTGATTCAGCACATGAAGCAATCACTGATTCAGCAAGCAGAAGAGCTGGAAGCACTTCCGCGACGAGCTGGTGGCAGTCAAAGTACCTTTACACCGAATGTGGATCTACTTGAAGCGGAAGAAGGTTGTGTTGCAGTCGCGACACAAGACAAAAGCTCTGGTCCTGACAGCAGTATCTCTCTGCAGCATGAGAGCTGTAAGAGGGAGCTTGCTGAAGCAAAGCAATCCGTCAAGAGAAAAAGCAAGCAGATTGTCGAGCTGGAATCTTACATCAGAGAGATAGAGAGGGTACGGGAGACAGAGTCGCAATGGCAAAGCAGGCATGCTGCTGTGGAAGCTCAACTAACCGATCTAAATCGGAAGCTTAGCGACGCAAATTGTGATATTGATCGTCTTGTTAGGGATCGCAGTCAGCTAATGGAGCTGAGCAACCAGTTACGTGCTGATTTACAACGGAATACTAATGACGCAGGAGCAAGATGGCCAACTGTTTGCGTCGACTTTGCAGGCAAGAAAGATTACGACAACTTGATTGCAGTGCTGACGCAGTCATTAGAGGAGTCGCAGAGCTACAACAAGACATTGAGGAAGGAGCTTCATCGGATGATAACATTGCAAGTCCAGCTTCACCGAGAGCGAGAGTCTTCAAGCATAGGTTTGCAGACGAATCCGACACAGCGGAACCGCAGAAGACGAGGTCACACGAAAGACGCACTGGCAGAAAAGTTCTAGTCGAAGCATACATTCAAAGCCTGCATGACACAGCGTACCGATGTGAACGTGTGGCAGAGACTGACGATTGCAATGCGACGAGGATGTCGAAGCTCGAACATTATTCACGGATGGCAAGTAGAGAAAATATCGATAATGTAAGCTAACTGTATTTCTACCTTGTGTGTTTTGTAATTCGCTTCACGGGGTAATATGGTGTCGTGTTTGCTGAAAAAAAACAGAGCCGTTGAAACGATGGAATCTTCATATGAGCGCAGCTTTAACGGAACCAATGAAGACAACATGTATGTATGTATGAATCTCAGATCGCGTCAAGTTCAAATCTCGCTGCAGTCCGTGGCGTGATTACAAAAAGTAATCGGGCGTCCGACGTGACACATGAGGTTCTCCACGACGAGGCGCAGGGTCAAACTGTAAGCTAAAGGAGATGACAAGTTACACAAGACAACAAATCAACAAGACAACAGTCAACAGTCAACAAGTCAACAAGAAATCCAGAATCCATACACCGTCAAGCCACAAGAATTGGACAAGAGGTGTTTGAACTAAAACTAGGTACGTACAATGTATACTGCATTTGTTCATCAACTTCCATAATAGCAGCCTCATTACCACATCGATAGCAATAATTTGGTGCACTAAAGATTGTCACGACATTACATTTGTGTGACCAATTGTATCCTTCCATGACTAATTGATGTGCTCTTGCAATCAGTGTCAATCCATTTGCATGATTAAATTGATCCGAGATATCTTGCCCAAAAGTATATCCAGCTCCACGAGGTGAGATTCCCCATCCCGATCGATCATCTGGATCAGACCAGAGTAAATCACACATTGCACCTTCATGAGGTACTTCCTGTAATCGATCAAATCCACGGATATAATCCAATGTATCAATGGATGGCGATAATCCACCATGTAAACAAAAAATCTGATTTTCCACAACAGCTGTTAATGGTAAATAATCAAAAACATCGGTAAAATAACGCCAGACATTTGGACTTCCATATTTACGTAAACATTCATCATAAAATCCATAAACTTGTGTAATTTGACGACTTTCATGATTTCCACGTAAGATAAAAATACGATCTTTATATCGAACTTTTAGACATACAAGTAAAGTTACGGTTTCAACGGAATAATACCCTCGATCGACATAATCCCCCATAAATAGATAATTTGTATCAGGGGCATGACCACCAATACGAAATAATTCCATTAAATCATGAAATTGACCATGAACATCACCACAAACAGTCACAGGACAATGAACTGGTTGCACATTTGATTCTTGGACAAGCACTTCTTTTGCTTTACTACATAATTGCATTACTTGAGATTCACTTAAGGGATTACACGTTAACAATTGATTACACCATGTATCAAGTGTCGCAATGGATAGATCAAATGGTACGCCACTCATTGTCTGTCTCTATCTTTCTCTATCTCTCTCTATCTTTCTCCCCTTGTTGAAAATAATGAAAAAGTTCAATGGAATCAAGTTGGTTTTTTTTAGTGTGGTGGACGTTGTTTTAGTTGAAAGTTAGGTGTGAAAGCGTTTATTTGCTCGTCAAGTGTCAGATGTGGCAATGATTTCGGTGGATCTGATGATTGATTACGTAGGACTGACTGACCGATTGATTGATCCATCGACCAATCATCATTGGATGGATAATATAGTGTGACACACACTACATCTAGTCATCCATCCGTTTCGCAAGAGCTAATAGTGCGTGTTCTATTCGCAGTGTAATGGCCGAGTATAATGCCTTCTCGCGCTCTTGAGTCTCCCATGGTGAACCACCTGTTATATGATCATCTGCGTACTGCTCAAATAAGTCATCAAAGGACAGTGGCTCACCAATGATTACGCGCAGATTGAGATTACTCTGCGGAAAGACACTGATTAAACAGTTATTCTCGTCCTGTGGCATGAGTTTCTCCATGTTGTAATGATACATGGGCACCACAATTGGCCGCTTTGTTGCACGTGCAATGAGCTTCCCCACACCCCATTTCAACCGTCCAATCTCTTCTCGACGCGGACTTGGTCTACCACCAAGTGCTATCCGCACAAAATGTGTGTTATCGTAATACGTACAACGATTAGTTACCGATCAAAATAGCTTGTAGAAAGATACAAACACTGGCTGTCTCCACCTGACGCACCTTCGTGTTGCACGATCTTTCCTTCGGGAAAAATATGAACCCACGAGCCTTCCTCCACCTTATCAAAAATAGCTTGGATCATCTGCTTGTGCAAAACGACATAGTCCAGAAACATGGCAAAGTTTGCAACTAAGAGACATTCTCGTTCAACCATAAAGCAGCAACAAGTGCATGCACACCTGATGATCAATACCAGCGCCACGTTTCACTGGCAATGTCTTGGCACCAAAAAACAACGCTGATACCAGCTTTCCCTTTGTATAACAGTATTCCTGACTAGACAGAAACAATATCCACAGTAATAGGTTTCAGACCATCAGTTGAAAGTCGACAGGCTGTATACAATACACTCGGTAGAACCTCATCTCACCTGGCCAAGCTCCATCGTCCTTTCCATGGCCATGCAAACCTCCATGGCATCATACTGCAATCATCGATACACCAAGTCAGTATAACTACTCTGTATATAATTACAATACAACCATTTCGTACTTGGCAAACAAAGCAGGATCATCCACAGTTGCAGAGTGATTGGAGACTGTAATAACTGCTACTCCCTTGGGCCGCTGATCAAGCTGCTGAGTCAGAATCTCGACTCCTTCTACTTTTGTCGTGTTCATTCTTTGAAGGCAAAACTTGGACACGAGCGTCACGACATTAAAGAGAGGGACACGCGCCACATTATGCAACCACTCGGGAAAGATTTCAGCGCGTCGTCCACCGTCGTACTTGCCATCTCCCATATCCGCTACTGGTGCATCAATATACAGTGCTACTGTTCCCATACCTACAGATACTGTACTAATGGATAATGCACCTAGAGACAGTGAGCGCATGAAGCGCGAGTTCCTGGTCAGACACTTGGTGGTCCGTCGCAACATGATCGACGGAGCAAATTGATGTAAGGTTATTTGCGAATATGATGGCTGGACATACTGCGATAAATAAAAATAGATGATTGGTTGAAATGAATGCTTTTAAGGTGTATAGATTTTAGAAATGAAGTGTACGTCGTTCTACATAAGTATCCGCTGGCTATAGAACTAGAATGCTTTTTTTGTATGAGAAAACGCTTTTTATTATAGACAGTTATGACAAACTGTTTGACTGTTCAGTATTGTAAGCAAAAGCTTCTTTTGTGGAACGGAATACAACAATCATTTGCGTCACTATGCAAAACTTAGATCGTGTTTAATTTATTTGATACAAGCAGAAAGAATGGGTTTATACGTATACCATCCGGATGTTATGATACGCTCCATACTGAACGATCTGCGTCAAAAATCAAACAAGACCTTGATATTTTCTCAGTTCATTTGCAGTTTGTCAGCATGATACAATTCATTCCTGTGATGTCCGACGCGATAAAGCTGTTGCTATAAGCGACACAGCGGCAAAGTCAGTCACGAGAACGGCCTTAACAACTAATTGAGTTTGTCCAGACCTGCCACAAATTGAGACTTTTGCGTCACATTAGCGTCACGTGCAGATGTCCGTCCTACTTACTGGTCACCGTATTTGGTCGAGAACGACAGAATGAAGAAAGTGGTCGAGCTCTGCAAACAGCGCCAATTGTTGCGGTTATGAAGCACACTTAGAACTATCAGCGGTGTCATTGTACAATCTGGGGCGACATGTAAATTGATAGCGCCGCACGTTCACAAAAGGTCGTTTGCACCTTCCGACAGCAGCTGGAGGATGTCACAAACATCTCATAGTCCACACCGCCGCTAGCAAGCTTGCAGAAAATGCTCCGGTAAACCGTATGCATATGGACCAGTTCAGCGGACTGACCAGACCGCATCGTCATCGCGTTTACGCCCTGATCCGATCTCTGATCCGGCAACTGTATCAGCAACAAGAGAGTTAAAAGAGATAATCTGCTTGTCGTGTTACACACATTTAGTTGTTGCACAAACTACTGCTTACTTCAATCTGCCTGCCTTCCTTTCGGCAATAAATCAAAGTAAGTTGCTACAATCGGTACAGGAAAAATGTTTAGTTGTGCATGGTCTCCAGGTACTCCTTGCATTCCACCATCTCCTGCTCCCGACGAGCCTTTGACCAATGAAGCAGCTCGCCCATCATGTGCACTACACGCGGCATCAGCTCCATGGCCACACCGCTGTCAATGAAGGCCAGACGCATACGACGACCAAGGATGTCGGTTGTCTTCTGCGCGTATTCCTGGCGAACAGCAAACACGACCTCAGCCTCCAGGTATGGGTATTTCGGGTGCAAACGTCGCGGGTGGTCGCTACGCTTGCGGTCAAGAAAGCCAGCCTGCTCAATCTCGGCGACCTGTAGAGCGCGTGTGCCGTAGTTGCGCATCAAGTGCTCTGCAATTTCCTTGTCCAAGTTGTAGTGCTCACGCAGGGTAACGGTGATCTTGTCAAACTTCTTGTTGCACACTACACCAATGCGGTCGGCACCAATCATGCCCACGTCTTTTGTCATGCAAGGCATAGCCTTGGCCTTGATCTCCGGGACGGTCTCCACCAGCTTGTCAATCGCGTCCTGAGCCATACGACGGTATGTAGTCCACTTACCGCCTGCAATCGTCACCAAGTTCGACTCTGACACCTCTACAACATGCTCGCGCGAGATCTTAGCTGTCGAGCCACCGGCGTGACGCGGGTCCTTAACGAGCGGGCGGATACCAGACCACGCCGACTTGATGTCGCTGCGCGAGACGTCCTTAGAAAGGTAGCGGTTTGCTTCATTAATGATGAAATCCGTCTCTTCGTTCGTAGGCGACGGCAGCATCGTGATCTCTGACTGTGAGTCAGTCGTACCAGCAAGCGTTCCATTCTCCCACGGCAAGAAGAATAGCACACGACCGTCGCTCGTCTTAGGCACAATCAATCCCATACGGTTCGGGCTAAAGTGGTCCGGAAGCACAGTATGCACTCCAGCAGCTGGTACGCATATATTCTCCTTCTTAGGATCGTCCATCTGACGAATCGAGTCCGTGAATGGACCCGTAGCGTTCACAACAGCGTGGGCCACGATGTCCCACTCCTCACCAGTCAGGGTGTCTTTCACGTGAGCACCACGCACTTTACCCTCGTCATCCTTGAGCAGATGCACCACCTTGACGTAATTAGCCACCGTCGCTCCATTCTGTGTGGCCGTAAGAGCAATAGATACGTTCATACGTGTATCGTTCATCTGTCCATCATAGTAAACAACCGCACCCTTCAGTCCCTCTTTGCGGAGCATAGGAAACTGGAACATTGCCTCCTCCGCGTTGATGTAGTAGCTCCCAGGTACAAAACGCTTATTACCGGCTACAATGTCATAGGCCTTTGCACCTACCCACATGTATGGCACCTCCCACCACTTGTAAAGGGGAATCATAATCGGCAATGGACGGTTCATATACGGCGCAGCTGAGAGGAAGAAAGCACGTTCCTCAAGTGCTTCATTCACCAGTTTAAAAGCTGCATAATCTAGTTTCAAAAATGATGTCTCCAAGTACCGAATACCACCGTGGATAAGTTTCGTGGAGCGGCCCGATGTACCGGCTGCAAAGTCACTAGCTTCTACCACGGCCGTGTTAAGTCCGCGAGTGGCTGCGTCCAGTGCACAGCCAGAGCCCGTAGCACCACCACCAATGATTAACACGTCAAAATGCTCCTTCTGGAGACGATCCAACTGCACGGCACGTGACGGTGTCTCGTACGGAATGATGGTCGATCCGTCATCACACTTAATGGGTGCTACAAGTCGATGTGGTTCTTTAGCTGAGACAATAGCGGAACCTGCAAGGCCACCAACGCCAATGACACCAGCGCCCAGGCCAAACATCACACGCTTTGAAGCACGACGGAATGCAAAAGACGCCATGCTACCACTGAATATGTTTAGGTCGACTGAACCAAATACCTGGTATATAATCGGAGTGACAATTTGTGTGTAGATCGTAAATTACAAAGTGAGCCAGCGCATGGGGAAAACAGATTTGAGAATCTAATCAGATTGATAGGATTGGTCGATTCGTTTCAATGTCTTGAAATGTTATAGGTGTCTTTGCCACAGCATACAACTTTCAAGATAAGTGACTACTTGAGTGGTTTTGACGTCCCCAACTGCTATCACATAACTGTTTGATGCGAATATTACAAACAGTTGCTGCATGTATAATCGAGACAAGTTCTTATTACCTTCTGCAGCACAAGTGCTGATTCGATCAATGACTGGACTTTATTTGTGTCGATCTTGTTTTACCGGTGATGGTGTTTCTGTTTACTCAAAGCACCATGGACATTGAGATATTTGGAGCTAGTGACAGTAATGATGCTGTGTCCTAACGATTAAGTTGCAGGCAGAGATAGTAGATGTGATGGATACAGCGAACGACACGTCACTGGTTTTCCTGATTCTATGGGTAAGGTTTGCCAATACTATCTCGCTTCTGCTCTCATTGTCAAGTTGTCAACCGGGGATGCAAACAAAAAGATCTCCCATTCATTTCACAAGCTCTTCTTTCCTGTTGCAACATGAATGACATCACGTGGAGCGATGCTGCCGAGTATGAACGCACCATGGAATGCTACGCGGCATCACACGAGACAAAAGTCACCGAGACTAAAGTGATTGAAATACTTTCTCATGTACTCAGATAGCTCTTACTTGTACAAGTTGATTGTTTCTTCACATATAATGACTAGTCTCTCTTACATAAATGTAACTAGAAAAACAAGTTAGCTCTTACAGCATAACGACATGCAATGTCGTTGATATCAAGCTTCACGTGCTTTAGAATACCAACACGTTGATGCAAATAACAGCATACGTATATATGTATTTTGTATAGAACTATCTATGATACGAAGGTATTATTTGTATCCACTTTCTATGCAGTAAAGTTTGAGGATGTCTTGTTAAACACGGCAAAGACTGCATGTTGAAGTGGTAACGACGCTCTAAGGTAACCGTTCTGTCCCTTACACTTTGCAAAAGGTTTTATCCGGAGTAAAGATAGAAGTTTTTTGTATCATCTTGTCATCAATTGGTAAATACGTCCAAAACCTCAGTCTAGAATCGTAATATGTTAAAACGTTTCTACACCATCCATTCACCTTCCAAGCCTCCCCCTTCCGTCGCGATCATTATCCATTCTGCGGAGAAGAAGGTACGAACGCTAGCTAGTACTTGAAAAAGTAGAGAAGCGGGTAAAGAATAGACTGGTTGTAACTCTTGGTGGTTCTTGTTTTTGTATATTTTTGTACTTCAGGTAATTTAATAATGGGCAAGGAAAAAGTTCACATTTCATTGGTCGTGATTGGCCACGTCGATGCTGGCAAGTCGACGACTACGGGTCATTTGATCTACAAATGCGGTGGTATTGACAAGCGTACGATTGAAAAGTTTGAGAAGGAAGCTGCTGAGCTTGGTAAGACCTCGTTCAAGTACGCATGGGTGCTGGACAACCTGAAGGCCGAGCGTGAACGTGGTATTACGATCGACATTGCTCTGTGGAAGTTCGAGTCCCCCAAGTATTTCTTCACGGTTATTGACGCCCCTGGCCACCGTGATTTTATCAAGAACATGATTACGGGCACATCTCAGGCCGATTGCGCTATCCTTGTGGTAGCTTCGGGGGTGGGTGAATTTGAGGCTGGTATCTCGAAGGAGGGCCAGACGCGCGAGCACGCTCTGTTGGCCTTTACACTTGGTGTAAAGCAGATGGTTGTGGCTATTAACAAGATGGACGACTCGTCTGTCATGTACGGCCAGGCTCGTTACGAGGAAATTAAGGCGGAGGTGACGACTTACCTGAAGAAGGTTGGCTACAAACCCGCTAAGATTCCGTTTGTGCCTATTTCGGGCTGGGAGGGTGACAACATGATTGACCGCTCGCCTAACATGGCGTGGTACAAGGGACCTTACCTTTTGGAGGCTCTTGACAACCTAAACGCGCCGAAGCGTCCATCGGACAAGCCTCTACGTCTTCCTCTCCAGGACGTTTACAAGATTGGCGGTATTGGTACGGTCCCAGTTGGCCGTGTAGAGACCGGTGTTATCAAGCCTGGTATGGTCGCTACATTTGGCCCCGTGGGTCTGTCGACGGAAGTCAAGTCTGTCGAGATGCACCACGAGTCTTTACCTGAGGCTCTTCCTGGTGACAACGTTGGCTTCAATGTCAAGAACGTGTCGGTGAAGGAGCTTCGTCGTGGTTTTGTTGCTTCGGACTCGAAGAACGACCCTGCGAAGGGCACGCAGGACTTTACGGCTCAGGTCATTGTGCTGAACCACCCTGGCCAAATTGGCAACGGTTACTCACCAGTGCTTGACTGCCACACGGCCCATGTTGCGTGCAAGTTCAAAGAGATTACGGAGAAGATGGACCGTCGTTCGGGTAAAATTCTTGAGACTGCCCCTAAGTTCGTAAAGTCGGGTGATGCCTGCATGGTCATCCTCGAGCCTTCGAAGCCGATGACCGTTGAGTCGTTCCAGGAGTACCCACCTCTTGGCCGTTTCGCCGTGCGTGATATGCGTCAGACGGTTGCTGTCGGTGTCATCAAATCGGTGAACAAGAAGGAACCGACCACGAAGGGCGGTGCCAAGAAGAAATAAGCTACTGGCGAGCTGTGTCGGCTATAATGTCAACAACTCGCTTGTTGTCCGCGCTGATTCTTTTTTTCCTACCTCTCCGTGATTATGCCATTTATTTGACGCACTTTTGAGTTGATTGACGGCAGGTCTGCAGTTTGAATAACAACAGAAAAATAGAAAGGCTTTGATGCTCTGTGTAATATCAGGGTAATAGAAGCTTTTAATTCATTTCCATTGATTAATCATATTTCATATCCATCATTGCATTAGGTTTTTATTGTGAATGGTGGGCTTGTTTTGAAGTAACAAAATGAAGTAGTTGGTGTACGATACATCATGTACCCGTCAATTACTTTTGCTACAATCATAAGAAAGATGGCTACTGTATGTATCACTCAAGTCGTAGGTAATGATGATGCGATGGTGACGGTAAAAGATGAGCGATGTATCCTCTATACTTCTATAGTAATATCTAGTCATCAATATGTGCAGGTTTCCAGTGCATTTTGCATTGCATTTGCTCAATTAAGACGTCAAGAAGAGGGATCAGCTCTATCATTTGGTCTTCTGGAAGCGCTGGAAGAGTTTGAGGGACGAGAAATGACGCTGCAAGTGACATCTGCGGATGAAAAAGACATGGAGAATAGTGGAATCAAGTGTAATTGTACTTGTGGTATTGTTGCAAGTATACGTGTGGCTTTTTTTGGACCGAACGAGACCTCCTAGCGCTGTGCTTCGAGGGCTGCAACGGATTGGAGCTAAGCTACTGGACGGTGTAGTGGTGTGGAACGACCGAAGATCCTCTGTAACTTGGTTGAACCAAAGAGATCGCGTCATGTTTGTGGACATTGAGTGGCATTTGAAAGGGTCTGGATGCTGCAAGCAGCTTGGGACGATTTCTAGCATCACGAACGTCACGTTGAGTTTTGTCGGGGAAAACCGACCACAAGAGACGCATGATTCTGCGTCAAAGTATGAATCAGTTGACACGTATGTGGAAAGAATTGCAAGCGAGCTAGGAGGTGTTGAAAAGTATGCAAGAAGCTTGTTGCAAGCGATTTTACAGTGTCTTGAACCGCAAAAGGGTGAGATAAGCGTAATGCCGTCTGTCGGAGCAATGGTTAGTGGACTTCCTGGTATTGGCAAAACTGCATTGGCTAAAGAAATATGTAAATGTCTGGGCGTGACGACGATTTTCCTGAATGCAGCGGACATCTATCAGACATATGTTGGGCAGTCGGAGAAACAGTTGGTCAAGATATTTGAACGTGCCGTGCTACAGTCTCCAAGCATTTTGCTGATCGATGGGATTGAGGCGATTGCAGGCTCTCGACGCGCTCTGGCTGATTCTCAAAGTACGCTCGAGATTGGCGTCTTGGGCGCGTTGCTTGCGTCTCTAGAAACGATTAAATCTTCGTCACATCGGGTGTTTGTTCTAAGTACTACATCGCGTCCAGGAGATGTGGACGCAGCGGTATTCTCAAACGGAAGGCTTGACCATGCTGTAAGTATCGAGCCTCCAACGCAAAGTGAGCGGCTTGCAATCCTTCGAATCATCACAAGGACATGGCAATGCGACAAACTTGGCGATACGTTTTTGAACCAAGTGAGCGAAAGCACTGGTGGTTTTGTTGGTGCTGACCTGTTGAGTCTCTGTCAAAAGGCACTTCAATTGTGTCTGAACGAGGCAGCAATGAAGAAAATAGAAGGTCGTGCGGTGGTTTGCATCCGCCATTTTGAGCAAGCACTTGCGGTGACCTATCCGTCTGTACTTCAAATGCATCATGTCTTGCAAAAACAGCAAGAATCAGTGTCTACGGTTATTTATAGAGACAGCAAGAACAGGTCATTTGGTGCTTTCTCTGGTGTATTTGGTATGACCGATGCTATTCAAACACTTCGCGTCTCTCTGATCGAACCACTTGAAGATTGCACACGATTTTTGAGATTTGGGACCACTCCACCTAAAGGTATCCTGCTTACCGGTCCTCCAGGATCTGGGAAGACATATCTCGCCAATGCAGTTGCTGAACAAGTCCGACGCTGTGGGCTTGCATCTTTTGTGTCTGTGCAGTGCAGCGACCTACTAACAAAGATTGTCGGTGACACTGAAAAAGCGCTTCGAGAGCTTTTTGCCACGGCAAGAAATGCCGCACCTTGTGTGCTGTATTTCGACCAGATCGAGAGTATTGCGCCTCAACGAGGTTTTGACACGAGTACAGAACAGACGCTTGACCGAATGCTGAGCATACTGCTTGTTGAGATGGACGGTTTCAGCACAAGTCGTATCAAGCTTCAGAAAAGTCTAGTAAGTGATGAAGCACGCATGGCATTTCTCAAGCAGCATGTTGTTGTCCTAGCTTCAACAACAAATAAAGAGCTGCTAGATCCAGCTATCCTTCGACCAGGGTAAGTACCTTGAGTTTCTTGTTTACCCTGGTATGTCTAGCTCGCTAATTTCTTGATGTTGGGCTAACCACAGACGTTTCGACATTCACATTCATGTCGGCTACCCAGACAAAGATGCAAGGTATGCAATTATTCTTCAAGCGTTGGAGAAGATTCCTGTCGATTACTCTTCCGACGGAGTACTCGATTCTCGCGAGGCACTTGCCAGATACATGGCCAAGCAGACCAGTGGTTTGTCAGCAGGAGACTTGAGTGCTATCCTTCGTGAAGCTGCCATGGCATCAATGCGTGATGATTTAGACTCTACAAGTCTCAGTATTAAGTATGTGATGGAGGCTCTGGATGAAGCAATATCGTCGTCAACAGCTGCATCATCATCCACGATGATGCCGTTTTTTGTACGCCGTCACAATGAGAAAGATAGCAGCAAGCGTTTCAATGCACGTCAACCCTACAAGTCCTAAGTATGTGATGGAGTCTCTCGATGAAGCAATATCGTCGTCAACAGCTGCATCATCATCTACGATGATGCCGTTGTTTGTACGCCGTCACAATGAGAAAGATAGCAGCAAGCGTTCCAATGCACGTCAACCCTACAAGTGCTAGCAATCCTTCAAAGCAAAAGGCAACTACTGTGTCTAAAGGACTTGCTTATGTGAAGAGAGAAAGCAACATCCAATATGCTTGTATACTGCTTATTCAAGGATCCTGGTTGGTCGTAGCCGAGGCAAGAAGCCGGCGCCGAAGTGTGCGATATTATAACAGTGCACACTCCTATAGTCCACGGAGCCCATAAGGCTTCGTCAACTGTTGCGGTGAGTAGGTGAGAGTCTCGATGCACGCGTGTAATGTGGTGCCGCGGATGACAGCGTCCGCCTTGCGATAGTCGCGTCTGACGACACCGTCAAGTTGTCTAACTGTCTCGATCCAGTAGGCCATTGCCCCTTTCTGTGCCGTCTTTCATTCGTTGCGAAAGACACATTTACACCTGATCCAGAGACTCGCGGCTGTGACCTGCTGAGGATCATTTAACATCAAGCTCAATCGACAACAAAGCCATCGGATTCGTCAGGGTACCCTAGAGCTGCCATCCGTCGGATATAGGACGAGGAGGGCGGCTTGGCTCGCCCGCATATGCGCGTTTCCAAACTTGCAAGCGTCCAGGGCTGCACCCTCTTTGGCTGATGAGCTAGATCAAGTCACTTGAGCAAACGGACAGGTGCTCAAACGTTTCCCCCTTGGCCGGCGCATCGGGTCCCGGTAGGATACGATTTTTTATCGGGAGGCCTTTCCGTAGAAAAGGTTCAATTGGTGCACTCGCCACTGAAAAGCTTGCATAAACGGCGGAGACTGTCGAAGCATGAAGGCATCAACTTTGTTGGGAGAAAAATCCCCTAGCATCCAGAAGCGGCGAGGCTAGAAGGACAGCAATCGACCGTAGCGGTGCAATTTTGTTTACGCAGTCAATTCTTGTACTCATTGATTACTCAACCGCTCTGTCTCATACTTTTGCAACGCAATCAACCATGTTGGTCGTTTTTATTTGCTAACGTCGCCATCGTTTTTTGCGTTGCATAAAGTAATCAAGTGAAAATACTATTGCCCAATTACATTGCATTTCATTTCAGTGTTAACCAATCATAAGAATGCAGAACTGCCATCTCACAATTACGACATGTTGGCACGGATGATGCAGGTACTTCAAACCCAGAAGCTCCTTCTGCGGCGCGCTACAGTGTGTCCGTGTACATCCCCACACCGTACTTATGCATTCAACGCCAACGCTACTGGCCGTCAACTGATGCCATTAAGGTATTTTTCGACGTCTAAATCGCATGACAAGGTCACAAACAGCTCTCGCCATTAATTTTATTCAATTAATTGCTTATCATTTTGTTATTTATGGTGCAAGCTTTAGCAGTCACTCGTGACAAGCAGTGCATACTTTCGCTCAATATCTCGTGACATTGAAGCACTTGAGGTACGAAAAACTAGGCGTCAAAACTGTAGAAAGAGACAGAGAGAAACTTGTATTGTCTTCTGACTGTTGTTAATGTATTTGCACGGCTAGAATCTTTTCCAGCTGATGGCAAGCGACACTAACGTTGCAAACAATTTTGAGCAGTGTGTGACGAGTCTATTGAAGTGTCATGAAAAGGAAAAGCGAGTGTTTGTCACGGGAATAGGGAAGTCGGGTGTAGTCGCAAAACGTCTGGCGTCCACGCTGTCTTCCATCTCTATCAGGAGCCAGGTATATGTTCTTATCTTATGTATGATGATACTAGACCATATGTTTAGCTGCTGATGTGATGATTACAGTGTATTTATGGAGGAGAGTGGGTTCATGGTGAACTTGGAGGTTTGAAGCACGGTGACGTTGTACGCATGTGTTTCGAGTCTCTCGTTCGAAAGTTGAAGGGAAATTATATTTACTTGTTGGAAAATGGTTTTTGATAGATTATTATCATATCACATAGCGGCCGGACGGCAGAACTGCTTCCATTGCCTGACATGTTTCGGAAAGCTGGATGCTCCGTGATGGCTGTTGTTGGAGATGGTTGCTCACCGCTGAGCCGGTGCTGTGACTTGGTATGTTGGAAACGTGGATTTGCTTTGCTCGACCATTTGTGTGTCTTTTCTGGCGTGGTCTTGCACCTCACTAACATTCTTACGTTGTTGGTATTTTGGGTGATAGTTCATGATTGCGCCAGCAGAAGATGAGGCTGGCTGCCCCGTTCCATCAAGAAGTATCATTGTTCAGGTAATGGATGCGCTGTTATTGATGTGACTGTCACTTTCGCTGTTGCTAACTTTTCTTATTTGCTATCACTAGGAGGCTATTTGCAACGCAATTGTCCAGCAGTTGATTGCGAATATGGTCGACGGCGCCAGACACTTGAAATCAAGTCATCCAGGTGGTGCTATTGGTGCTAGATTTGCGACTTGAACATTGCTGCAAAGTGTTTGCCTGGGTCTGTGTACGTCTCGAGTGGTTGTTGACATGTGCAGCTGTATATATGGAGGTTTCAGGTCAGCTACCGAGGAACAAGGTGGTGGCCTTTTCTTATTGAAGCACTTCGGCAACGTCACTGCGTTTACCGATAGCTCACCAGCTTGTGTTCCAAGACAAGCAACTTGTGGGTGAAGGATCATTAAGTAGCTTCTGATCGGATATTTCTAGATATGAAAAGACCATGGTCCGGTATTGTGCAAGCATACTTGCACCAACACAAGCTATATCTATCTAGTCAATCAACTCGCACACGAATTGGTCAAAGAGTGTGAAAAAGAAAAGAATTGCGCTTTTAGCACGGCCTGTAGGATTGACGCTAACTTTCTGCTGCTCCTAGTCGTCTTAACCTGCTGGCAGAAGATGTCGGGTGGAGCCGAATGCTCAAGAATCATCACAAGAGGCGTAGATGACGATTCTTTGAAGAACTATGCAGGTTCCATATTCGATTTCTAGTATGTGAGCAAAATGAAGAACAGAAGAACAAAAGATGAACAACTGTTATTGCTGATCTTATAAGAACGCTACGTCCACTAAACCCTTCTGCTTGTCGGTGTAGTATGCTTAAGTGCCGATGTTGATCAGGTCAAATGACGCCACAATATTGCGTGTGCAGCCTACTCGCGCGAAACAAACAGCGGACCAAACACCAGCACTGTTGTAGACAGCAGCTTGATGACCACATGTAGCGCCGGACCGGCCGTGTCCTTAAACGGGTCACCCACAGTATCTCCAGTGACAGCAGCCTTGTGGGCCTCACTGCCCTTGCCTCCAAAGTTTCCAAGCTCAACATACCTGTCGTTTGGCAACGCAGTACGTCAATAAACAGTGTACCTCAATGCAAAACACAGCAGCACAACTTACTTCTTTGCGTTGTCCCAAGCACCGCCAACGTTGTCTAGGAACAAGGCCATCATAATGCCAGTCACCGTACCAAACATAAGGTAGCCAGCAAGGACCTCAGCACCGAGAAGCGGCTTGCCCTGGTACTCGCCAATCTACATGTAAACATGTCATAACCGAAAACAACACTTAACAACTCGGAAACCGTGGACTAATAAAACCAAAGCAACATACCACACGGAAGACAAGTCCAACAGAGATTGGCATGAGCACAGCCAGTAGACCAGGAAAGCGCATCTGCTTCAAAGCAGCCTTCGTGACGAGTGCAACACACCTGCGGTAGTCTGGCTTTGCCTTGTACTCCATAATACCCGGATACAGCTCAAACTGGCGGCGCACCTCATTTACTACCTCTCCAGCAGTCTCGCCTACAGCCGCAACAGCTAGGCCGGTAAAGAAAAACACCATCATTGTACCCAGTAGACCACCGACCAGAACCTCAACTGTAGCAATATCCACCGTCTTGAACTCACGCCCCGCAAACTCCGAGAACTCATCCATGAAAGCGCCAAACAGCACGAAACAAGCTAAGGCGGCGGATCCAATCGAGTATCCCTTAGTAATCGCCTTAGTAACATTACCAGCAGCGTCTAGCTTGTCGGTAGCATCGCGCACGTAGTCCGGCTGACGGCTCATCTCGGCAATGCCTCCCGCGTTATCGGCAATGGGGCCGTAGTTGTTCATAGCCAGCACGAACACTGCCGAGGAAAGCATGCCCATGGTTGCCACCGCGGTCCCAAACAGACCAGCATGACGGCTACCTTGGCCACCAATACCAGAGCTGGAACCCAAGTGGTAGGCTGCAATTACAGCGAAACTCACCATGAGAGTGGGTACGACGGTAGACTTCATGCCGACAGCTACGCCGGTAATGATATTAGTGCCATGGCCCGTGGTGCTGGCCTTAGCAATGCTACGTACGGGAGGGTGGGCGTAGTCAGTAAAATATTGTGTTGACTTCACGAACACGTACGCTGTAAGCATACCGACAACTCCACAAAGGAAAAAGTTCATCCATGCCATTGGATGTTCAGCCGTATAAAGGAGCCAACGCGTTGTAAAGCCAAACCCGATTAATGCTAGGACAAGGGATACATTGTAGCCAGCTTGCAACGTAGCCATCGGGTTGTGATCGGGACGCGAAGCTTCAACATCCGAGGGAGCTCTCACCATCAATATGCCAGCACTACTGACGACAATGTCGAAAGCGTGTACAACCACGGGGAAGAAGACAAACGCGACAGGGTGTGGTAGCTGTGCTTCACGTGCCAGCGTGCCTCCTAGAATCATGGCACCAATGATCTCAGCAGCAACGGACTCAAACACATCAGCACTACTACCGACACAATCGCCCACCATATCTCCTACGAGATCGGCAATCACCGCTGGATTACGTGGATCATCCTCTGGAATTCCCACTTCCACTTTTCCCACTAGGTCAGCTCCTACATCAGCTGCCTTTGTGTAAATACCGCCACCAAGCTGCATAAAGAGCGCCACAAACGATGCACCAAATCCGTACCCCACCATCAGCAATGGGATTTCTGTTGGACGTAAGACCGATCCAAATAACATATAAAGCGTCACGTAGAGTGAGGTTACTCCACCAACACAAAGTGTAATGTCTAACACGGCTGAGAAAGCGCCACCTCGAAAACACACGAGCAACGCGTCTCCATAAGAGCCACGTGCAGCACTTGTTACACGAATATTAGATCTTGCTGATACCCACATACTCACATATCCAGCAGAAGCAGAACACACAGCACCAACTAGAAAAGCCAAAGACGAGACGATTCCAAGTGTCAAATTGCCAAGTTTTTCCACACCTGAGGTTAATAGACTAGTCGGTCGTAGTGCATAACTAAAGAAGATTAAACCTGCAATAACAATTGCAATACGACCAATGGCTGTATACTGAATCTTTAGAAACCCTTCTGCTCCTTCACGAATAGGAGTCGCAACTTGTTTCATTTCAGCCGTTCCTGAATCCTTTGATAGTACCCAGTGTGATAAATAGATAGAAAAGACAGTACCATAGCCACAAATAGTAAAAACTAGGAAAATAGGCCGAAAAGTACCACCAAACAATAGCAAAAGCGTCCCAAGGACAGAAATCACGACAAGTGGAGGCTGCAAGTCTAAACTTTGAGTGTAAGCTAGAACGATAGAAGCCTTTGACCCTATTTCATCAATATCTGGATCACTAGTAAGAGGAATTGAGTCTGATATACCAAATTCAATGTCTACTTGCGTTGTCTCGTGCATTGCCATTGGAATCTTAAGAAATGACTGAAGTAACAACAATGGGGGATGTCCATGTCAAAGATGTCAGTAAAACAAGGGAAATCAAACAGTCTTTACTTCATCAGTTTTTTTTAACCTGTATATATCTTTGCATCCAATCAAAATCGTTTGACGAACTTGAAGTTGATGTCTTCAGTTTCACTCTTGAATTTGCCGCATTAAGTGCAAGTGATCATCATTCTTATTTGCCATGTTGCCTTTTGCTCGACGCATTGTGCATGCACTTTATCGCAATTCTACCACGTGTTTCTTAGGCCGTCGCTTTGAATCATCGTTCGGTCCCCTTACACAACTGTCGGAAGATGAGACTCTGTTCAAAGAGACCGTGGCCAAGTTTGCAGCAGACGTCGTGGCGCCTAAAGTCCGGGAAATGGACACGTCTGGAGAGATGAATCATATTATAACACGTGGATTGTTTGAAAATGGACTGATGTCAGTGGAGATTCCGGCGGAATTCGGGGGCACTGAGGCCTCTTTTATGAGCCTCTGTTTGACTATTGAAGAGTTATCAAAGGTGGATCCGGTCGTAGGTCTGCTCGTTGATTTGCAGAATACTGTAGTAAATAATGTGATTATGGTACAGAAATGTATAATACTTGATGCTATGTCGTAGTAGTACTAGTGACTGACTGTTGTGTTATGTAGATGCATGGCTCGGAGAAGCAGAAGGAAAAGTACTTGCCAAGGTTGAGTACGGACATGGTAACGTGGAAATAAAAGACTGTGCGTCTTGTAACGATTTATATCGCACTAACGCATGACGTTTTTTGATGGCTTATAGATTGGAAGCTTTTGTCTGAGTGAGGCGGGATCTGGGAGTGACGCCTTTGCGTTGAAAACGAAGGCGACCGTGTCAGCTGATGGGAGCTACTACTTGATCACAGGACAAAAGATGTGGATTTCAAATGCAGAGTATGCGGGCGTCTACTTGGTGTTTGCCAATGTAGACCCGTCTAAGGGATACAAGGGTATCACGTGCTTTATTGTGGACCGAGAGATGGAAGGACTGGAGATTGGGAAGCCAGAGGAGAAACTTGGTATCCGTGCGTCGTCAACGTGTCCTGTTACGTTAATGGACGTCAAGGTACCGCAGGAGAACATCTTGGGGGAGGTTGGCAAAGGTTATAAGATTGCAATTAGCACGTTGAATGAAGGGCGCATCGGCATTGCGTCGCAGATGCTGGGACTGGCACAGGGAGTATACGACCAAACACTTCCGTATTTGTTTGAGCGTCATCAGTTTGGATCGGCGATTGGAGAGTTTCAGGCGATGCAGCACCAGTACGCGGAGTCTGCATTAGAAATTGAAACGGTGCGTTTGTTGGTGTACAACGCTGCTCGGCTCAAGGATGCTGGCCTTCCGTTTGTAAAGCAGGCTGCCATGGCCAAACTACATGCCTCAAGGGTGGCAGAGAAGACCGCATCAAAGTGCATTGAAATGCTTGGCGGAATTGGGTTCACCAAGTACCTGCTTGCGGAAAAATTTTATCGCGATGCAAAGATTGGGGCTATTTACGAGGGCACGAGCAACATGCAGCTCACCACGATTGCGAAGATAGTTGCAGAACAATGGCATAAGTGAATGGAACTGTAGATCTGGTGCCCAATGTAGGGAGATGCTACTGCAAGACCACGACGCGACATGAGATTGCTGTTGGTAGAGTAGGTGTTTACTTTGTGCTCTTTAATAACCTAACACAAAGCTTCATCACCCATCTAAAGACTGTTATTGCAGATGACAGATGAGATGAATGCTACTCATCGAAGTAAGGAAAGTCTGTAACCATACATTCCATTTGTTGTTTGCTACTATTCACTTCAAAGGACAATCATTGTCTTACATCTTACATAATGAAGCAGCAACATTGACTTTATTGCCGAAATGGTTGCACACTGCGACATCGCTGCACCATTTGTCGTCCATTTCTAGATGATACACTGACCAATTTCGTAAAACCAGCGCATTGTCTTCGTCAGCAGGTAAAGATACACATAGCTTCAAGACGCAAAATTCAAAGCTTTTTCGTTGCAAATTTCTCCATAGGCTACGTCAAAAATTGGGTGGCATTACAATCAGGAACCACCGTGGCATTCGACCACATTCTTCTGCATCAATCAGAGTCAAAATCCGAGTCGGAATCATCATATCTCTGTATAGGAGGTGGTGGTAATCCGCCAGCTGGTCGTGCTGGAGGCGGGGGTGGCAATCCTGGAGGAAGTGGAGGTAGAGTGGGATCCGTCGTTGAAGCACTTGGAGCTGCAACAGTCGCGTTTGGAGATGGACCGTCTGGATCCATGCTACAATCCAAACAACACAAAGCATGATTACAGGCAAAACGTCTCAAAAGATGAATTGCAATCCACGTACTTGAGAATATCAAAAGTGACGCCGTCCATCATGAGTTTGTGCTGAATCATGCCATCTGGCATACCCATCTTTCGCATTTTAAAGTATCTGGAGCACGTATAAGTCATCATATCATGATAAGACAATGCATTCACATCCACACCACACTTTCACTTACTTTTCAAACAAAGGATCATCCTTGAGTCGCATTACACCAGGTTCAGCAGTAGCCAGTATTGGATCATCCACATCAAATTCTTCAATGTCGTCACCGCTAGAGCTCTCTATCTCGCTTTCAGGTAGAGCTGGACGACCAGCTGAAGATGGTGGAGGCGGTGGTGGAGGTCCATTGTCAAACAGCAAGGCCGAATCACCGGCAGAAAACTGCAGACACCATACAGTATAAACATCAAGCGCCAAATAAAGAGCTCGACACAGCATTAAAACAAACCGTGGGGGAGAATGGTGGTGCCGGAGCGGGAAATGGCATTCCAATATTTCTCGATGGAGGATATTCCGCATTTCTCAGCTCCGATAATGACGAAGGCGGGGGTGGCAGTGGGGGTGCTATGCTTTCATTCTCCGAGTCACTCCCTTCTCCTGACATCGGCGGTAGTGCCATAATTGGCAATATTGGTCCTGATGGTGCCATATCAATTGTCGGTGCCAACCCACCACTAGGTGATGGTCCTTCCGGGTCCATATTCAATATATTAGCATCCATTCCATCCATTAATAGCTTGTGTTGAATCACTTGTTCTGGAATACCAAGTCTCCGCATGGTAAAGTATTTGGCATAAGCTGGATCATCCTTCAACTTCAACATTGGAGGACTGTTACTCTTCATTTCAACTTCATTATCATCATCATCAAAGTCTTCCATAAGCGATGGCGGTGGTGGCATCAAACTCGTCGAAGACGACGGACCAGGTGGAGGAGAAGGTGGCACCGTTAAAGCCATATCCATGCCATCGATAGCGGGTGGTGGAGGTGGAGGTGGTGGCAATGGTGTTCCATTGGCAGTATTGACCTCCATGGAAGGTAAATCTTGATCTGAAATGCCTAAATTGATCTGGTTCGTATTCAAACTTGGATTGCCTTCTGCAGCTGCCGCCACTTCTGCATCTGTTACGTTTAAATCTGGAATACTATTTAGTTTTGCTTCCAATATTGCCAATAGAATTTCAACTCGCGTGACATTGTCAGAAACGCGTGTGATTCGCTCTTCACATTCGTGTGCAAAATGGTTGAGAAATCGTGTTGTATTTGCTATAAAATTGTTGATAAGCAAGAGCGACTTGGTCGCAGGGATAGCAGGAAGTTGTGATAGATCCATTGGAAGTTCCACTTCTTCTTCCGTTGGTGCAGGTATAGCCGAAGAGGATGCCACCAAGGCCGACGAGGTCGACATGGGCGCCATGCTCTGCGACGTACGTGGAGGCTTGTAGAATATGAAATGAAACCAGCCAATCAAAGACGATACTGTTTTCTATAAGTATTAACGTCAGACATGCAGATCTTAAGAGAAAGGTCTGAAAGTCCATGACGGTCTTGTCCTGCTATCGTAATCATGCTTCTTCTAACCATTATAAACAATTTACAAGTCAATCAATCAATTGCGCACAATTGTCGTTAATCACATGCAATATTGACATAAGCTTCTAGACTAATGGTGTGTGTATGCAAGTGATGCATTGCAGTACAGTAGTGGATAGTCAAGGACAATAGAGTGATACTAATTGTAAGGACGCCACTATCTAACAAGGCTATTGAAATTAATACGGCATACAAGTATTCATATTATTGTAGAATGTCACTTTTCAGTCTAAAAGTGACATAACATGAGTATGATATGGACACTTTACTTTAACCAAAGGGTCCTTCAGTAGAATGTACATAAAACGCTTGGAACAATGATGGCGACTATAGGGTCGGTCCGTTACGTAAATTGACCCGGCTTTACCTCATCCAAATGTCTGGTCCGACACAGATGAATATAAACTCAATCGTTTCATAAACCCGACCACGGACCAGTTACAACGTGCTATGTTCTGAGACTTTTTGATTGGGTTTTAATCTGCTTTCTGTGAATATCGAGATAATTCATTGGCAGAAATATCATTAAAAAACTTACTTAGGCTTGTTTACCAGTAAACGAATACATACCATAGTATTTATGACATGCGCGTCTTAATGCATTGTTCACATAAGTTGTTGGTCCTGTTAAATTGCTAAGCTTTGCATAAGATGAATTATCTTCGTAATGACTACATTTACTACATACTTTAACAATGCAAGTACATGTTTATAATTTAATGTATCATCCTTATTCCTCTCTCTCTACCAACCACAATCTCACTTTCACACTGTCGGTGGGTTTTGCACCGACGTAAAGACACTTAGCCCCAATGGAGGCAACGAGAATGCCACGGCCTTTTCTCTCATCTTCTGACTTACTTTATTGCCCACTGTCTTCACTGCCTGTGCTCTCCCAAACAAAGCTTTCGGCACAGCTATGGCTGCTGCTGCAGCAGTCGCTGCTCTCGGTCTCTTCGATCTCCCTTTATCCTGCTTTGTCAAATCGGGCATCACTGTCTCCAACACCATTTGTAGTGCTTTATACTGCGTCTCAAAAAATACTTCCAGCTCATCAGGTGCTAGACCCAAGTCCCTGTGCTGTGGCTCACCCCAATAGTTACGTTGCCAAGCATGAATAGCATTACCCCATGCTTTACGCTCCCCCCACGTAGGTGCACTCATTACCAAATGCACTGGTGTCCCATATACTAACACTCTACCATCTCTTATCCTAGAACGCTGTAGTCGTACTGAAAAACTGTAAGGACAGCCACGACCATCAGCGTCTGAGATACCACGGACTTTAAGTCTCGAACGAGAGAGAATAATCTCTCGTACCATTACTCCACGATCACGTTTCGTATAAAATTGTAATTTACCCTCACCTAAGACACCATAGTAAATATGACTACAAAGGCCTTCATCATGTAGTAATAGAAAGCCCTCCTTGGACATTAAATCAGTGAAGTAGATCGATAGGTAGATAGGTGGTAATTATAGTCGTCTAACTCCAGTCAAGGAAAGTCTGGAATATAACGTACATAGTGAAATCAAGTGCAGATTTATTCACGTTCTCTATTTAAACTGTCGCAATAGGTCACATCTCACTCATCGTTTCCATCCAATCAGCTTTGAAGAAGAGTAAAGGATGACGCAAAGCACGCTATTGCTATTATTCCTATGTGTTTTTAGCGCGACGAATGCGCTGTATTTTAAAGTAGAAATAGAGGTAGATTGTATTAATATACTTGTAAAATGTATGCGAAGTATATTGTTGGTCTTATATGAAATGGAATGTGGGTGTTATGATACGGTTTTATATAGGGCCATCGCTGCTTTTTAGTGGATGTACCAGCTCAGACGTCGATCCGAGCTGAGTACGAGTCTCCCGATACAACCGACGTTATGGCAAGTAAATTGTCACATGAATAGAATACACAAATTAATACTCATGAAGGTTCTGTGGGAGTCTAGAAGACAATGCTTACACTCTATGCTCCAAAATTGGACGAGGAAGAGGATATCTCGCTCGTGAAGGAGGAAAGGACGAACCAAAAGGTCCGTTTCGTTGTTGCTGTTGTTGTTGTTCCTATATTTTTATCATCTTGTTGCGTATCCTTCATTGTGGCAATTGATTTGTAGGGCTCAATGTCGTTTACAGCGCAACAGAACGGGATTCATTCGATCTGCGTCAGTCTTGATTCGTCAAACTATGCGCTGCCTGAGAATGCATCAATGGTACAGTAATGGAAACAATTGTACTCTCTCTCTATGTATGATGTTTCACTCAAATGCCGGTATGCTTGCTAGCGATTTGCGCTGAAACTGGCAATGGGCTGGAGCCACGAGGAATACCAGAACCTTGCCAAGAAAAACCAGATGGATGATCTTCACTTGAAAATCATGAAACTGCGCGATCGCGTGACGGCTATTCAGCGCAATCAGGACTATGCCAAGGTCAGATTAGAGATAGCATTGCTTGGAAATGCTGACAAGTCTAATGTGACTTTGTTTGTCATGTTGTCTTGCTGCTGGCTGAACAGGAAAAAAGCTTGACGCTACAATCTTCTATCGAAAGCAGCAACCAGCGCACCACGTGGGTATCATTGGTGCAGGTGAGTTTTCACTTGTCGTTTGCTATGTAGTCGATTGATGGTTTCTGTTCACCCACTGATATTGTTGTGTGCAGATTGCAATCTTGCTTGTCACCAGCTTTTATCAGGCAAGACACCTCAAAGGATACTTTCACAAGAAAAAGCTTGTGTAACTCAAAGTGTTGAAGAAATTACTCGTGCTTTGTCTCAAAGACAAGCGCGGGTATAGCATTCCGAAGTATGTAGTCTTGATTACATAAACTCGAAGAACAGAAGATGATTCGAACCAAATGTGTTGTCTCGTTGCTGCAAACAAACATCCGTGTGAGGAGATGCTATTGTTGAGCTGTGACAGTAGGCTGGCGGTGCTTTAGCTTTAGGCCGCTATAGAGGGGAACCAGGATGTAAGTATATAGCTCTTTCGATCACTGTATGGCTTTCGCATGCCCCAAACACTCTATGTAAGTAATGGTTGTATGTTCGTTTAGTGCTTGCGTTCTATCTTCTGATCTCTTTTGTTACTAACAATATACTCATTCTTGTCTTGTTCTTAGCCTACAAGCGTCTGCTTATTGGGAAGAAGACATAGGAAATTGCGAGTACGATAGCTGCTGCTAGCATCGTTTCTTCTACTTATCTTGCTCCACAGGCTCAGTATTTAATGCATCCGCTTCTTCTGTTTTGAAAGGAGACAAGTTTGTCACTTGTCGTCATTCTGTCCCGATGTTATCGTTCCAATTGGCAGCTCTATTAGGACCTGATGGTAAGCGTATAAAGGTAGACAACATGTGTGTGTCGCCTATAAAATGCGCAGCTCTCACCTACTGGACTCCTTTTAATCGCTGTTAAACTCATTTTAATCGCTGGCTGACGTTGACGAAGCGGCCACAAATAATTAACGCAATATGCTTCCTGATAATGGAGAACTTGACTTGGCAGTAATTCAGAGCGTCTAATGGGTCCAAGATGGAAGGGAACGTTTGCACCTGTCACAGAACGATGAACTGATTTTACTGACTTTGACTAAAAATTGTATGGTGGTCATGGCTTTATAGTGTGGTTAACGCAGCACTTGCCTAATTGCTTGGGTCTCTATACCTGCTTCCTGTGGGTCGGTTTCTGATGAATTGATGACAGATGCTGACAATGTTGGGAAGTGGGAGCAAGCTCTTCTCGCTTGTTCGTCGCCATGTACAAATGCTAAGATCCTACTTCATCTTCGTCGGTAGCACCTGAGATTAGCAATGACGCAGATGAGGATCGAAGCAAGCTGCGCTTCCTATCGTTGCTCCGTCGCACTAACGAACTTCGCTCCAAGTCCATGTCCGTTATCAAATCTTTCTATTGTTAAGCATGCTTTGTGAACTGCTACTTACAAAGTTTTTCTATTGATGGTGAGGGATGCAGAATGAAAGCTGGGATGGCGTCCCATACTCGCAAATTGTTGCACTTTCAGCGTTCACCAGATACGTGATAAACTTGATGCCGATAACAAAACGGAAGAAGACAGCGACGGGTGCAACACGATTTGTATAGTATGCTGTGATGAGTTTGAAACGGCACAAGAAGTGCGCTTTACCGTGTTTGCACTATTATCACCGCGAAATGCATTGACAAAGGCTCATGTGCCACCGCAGTGTCCGACCTGCAAGCATGTTGTTGCCGTTTATTAAGCGCTCGACCACAACACATCAAGGTCAGTTTTTTAGGAGTTTTTGCTCGGCGTGTGTATATCGTCGTGCATTGTAAAAAGGTAGCGATGCATGTATGCATGTACTTTTTGGGATCTCCATAGTTTCAGCTAAATCAAGTAACTAAGTCGAACTCCATTATGCATTACTTTTTGGGATCTCCATAGTTTCAGCTAAATCAAGTAACTAAGTCGAACTCGTTACTTTAACAACGCTTAGTGATCAAAGATACGCTGTTCTCAAAGCAGTCTCGTCAGGCAGATCAATCGAGCTTCTAAATTGGCAACAAGAATCACCGTTCGCTGTTTACAATACAAGGCAGAATGGGTCAGTCTTTTAGCAAAACCTGACGTCGCTTGCGACCGTAAGGTGGTCTAGCTCCGTTATCTTGGGAATGCTATTCTCGAAGCGTGCGTGATACTGCTTTGCACTTTGGAAATCTAGTCCAAGCTTTACAATCGGAATTGTAGGTTCGTGGTTCGCGCCGGGTTCATGATCAACCATGCAAATTGTTATTGAATAAAGGGATTGCCTCACCGCCACGATTTCTAACTAGACAACCTTATGAGTGATAGTTGGTATCTGGATAATTTTCGTGTTGTAAAAGCTTGAATGTCGGTGTGAGCAACAGGATCTACAGCTACAGTATTGTTACCCATCACGGCTATTGTGATACTTAGTTTGGGAAACAAGGACGATGAAATTTACTTGTAAGAAAGAAAGCATTGTCAAACGAAGCCTGCCATAGTCAAACTATGAAGTTTTTGTCAGAACACAAAGACATTTTACCCAGTGCCAAACTGGACACGGAGATGCCTGACCAGACACCTCATGTCACGTATCACGTGCGAACAACACGCCGATATCCAACGCTGGCACGAAAGGCTTGGCCATCTCAATCCACAGTATATCAAAATCATGGCTGATCGAGAGTTAGTGGAAGGCATGTAACTCAGTAAGCGTATGTTTGAGGATTGTAAAGCGTGTCATCTGGGGAAACCATCACTATTATAGAATTGGGAAAAGGGATCAACGACAAGAATCAAGTCATGTTGGTCGATCGACTGTTTCCCAAGTATAGCAAGGACCCTAAAGCCTATAGGGCAGTACTAGTCGTTGTGGATGGGTATTTCAGATACACAACGGCGTATCATCTACACTTGAAGAATGCCTTCGAAGTCAATGTGGCCGTGAAGCGGTACATTACCTGGGCGGAGCGGAAGTTCCCCGGGCACAATGTACAACAAGCGATTTATGATGGCGGAGGGGAATTTGTGAACGATGTCATGAGTGAGTGGTATACAAGAAACAAGGGATTGAATTCTTACCGAACCCGCCTCATGACTCTCACCTTAATTTGTGTGAAAGAGCGCACCAGATACTGATCCATATGCTAATGTCGATGATGGCAACAGCTCGCGTACCGACATCCTTTTGGAAGGATGCGCTAGACATGGCTACCTATGTCAGAAATAGGACATACTGTCGAGCAATCACCGTATCATATGATGATGAACAAGAAGCCTGATTTACACCGAATCAGCAAATTTGGCTCTCTTGCGTACGTGTACTAAGCAAAAGTTCCCGCAAAACAGAAGTTGGCTAACAATTGCAGAATCGGATTCCTAGTTGGTTATTTGGAGGGTGAAGCAGGATATAAAATCTATTTTCCCACGATGCGTGTCGTGCAGCACGTTATGCATGCATTTCTCAAAGAAGATATCGTCTATGGTGATCCGTATAGTGACGGATACGACACGTTGCTCTCAGAATGGTTGTCCAAACAAAGTGATTCATGTAGTGATGACGACAACGAGAAAGAATCAATTCACATGGAAGACGAAGAAGACGAATCAATAATCAGTCAAGAAGAATCAATGCACAGTCAAGACGAAGTAATGCTCAGTGGAAACGAATTGGAAGACGAATCGATTCCAAAGTGAAGACAAGTCATATATTATCAATCCGTTTTCAGACTTTGAGATATTTGACATTGACGCCGACGTCAAATCGTCAACGAACGAAACTAATGACGTCGATGACCTTGCTTTGATGGATATCCCTATGTCAACAACATCCACCTTAGAAGATGAGATCTCTTAACAAGAAGAAAGTGAAGTACATGGTGACGACTCGTCAAGCCGCGCAGAAGATGAAGCATTAATCGAAGTAACGGATGATGCTAGCAGCAATCAATTTATAAATTCTCGACTCCAGAGTCAGATTGCGATGCTGATGATACTTTCGTCCACGAAGAAACAGGAGTGGTCGAAGATGACCACAGCTTTGCACAAGCTCAAGAACTGGTAACTGTTCCGGAAGACATACTCGAGTCTCACGTGAGGACTATTGTACCGAGGGAGAACGACATACACACAGACACATTTATGGTTCCAGAAATCATTGCTGGATAGCGCAGACATCCGCTTGCAGCGAAACTGGAAGACGTTCAGGACAGCAAACGGCGACGATACAATGAGTGGAAGCCACAACGCAGGTCATTGCGTCAGCCAGATTCATGCCGGCCTCCGTTATGGCTTGAAGACTATCACGTAAACGCCACGATCGGAGGGGTGTCGTCGAAGACACGCAATGCAATTTGCAATAGCACATAACGAACGTAAAACTGCCCCGCAGTTTTGGAGAAGCTATGAAGACTCCGCAACACGATGAATGGTATACGGGCATGGAAAAGGAAGTGAGAGCAATGTTCAAAAAGGGCGTACTAGTTCCGATTGATGAGACTGAGGCACCTCAAAACGCAACAAAGTTGGGCTTAATGTGAAGCTTTTAAGTTAAAACCGATGATGACGGCTATATCACGAGATTTAGACCTCGCATCGTGTGCTTAGGGAACAATCAAGATCCAGGAATCGATTTTGTGACCGCATTCTCCCCATGTAGCACGGATGGTAACGTTTCGAGTGCTGATAGCACTACGAAATACGGACTGACGTTGTATCAAGGTGATGTGGATACTGCCTATTTGAATGCGACATTAAAAATACAGCAGTACGTGCAAGCCATTCCCGGATTCCCACAGCCCAAGAAAAAGATTTACAGTGTGGGGATTGAGCATTATATGGTCTACATCGTCTGGAGCGGAATGGAGCGAAGAAATTAACGCATGGTTGAGATCACAAGGATTTGGCAGCAGTGAGACGAAGCCGTGCTTGTACATATTGTACAGAGATGGAGTAGTGGCATTCCTGATGCTATACGTCGGCGATGTAGTGCTCGCGACGAATTCCGTGGAATACAAGGCGACACTATTTGCGGCGATTGATCGCACATATGGGTTCAGGGATGGTTGATCGGCATATTGAGCCGATTTGTAAGGAATCCCACTCGGAAGCATCCGTGGTGCCGTCAAAAGGGTGCTGCAATATCTGGCTGGTATTCGCAATATGGGGATTCCATTCACACCAGGCACAGAACACACTCGAGAGCTTTTCATAAATTAACATTGTGATGCGGATTGGGGCAATGATCTTGACTCGCGGAAGAGCGTTACAGGATTCGTTTTGATGATGTCTGGCGGTGCAGTAGGCATGGGCCGCGCGACGGCAGACCATTATTGCACAATCAACGGCAGAGGCGTGCGAAGCCGCAATGGAGGGAAGAAGTATAGCAAATATGCTGGACGAGATTTACCGTTATGGACGCGCAAGTGATGCTACAACTGAGCGTTGACAATTCTGTAGCCATTACATTGGCTTGCACGCCGACGTACAGCAGCAAGACGCGCCATATCGAACTACGTTGGCACTACGTGCGGGACCAGATCAAGAAAGGATTGCTTACCATTGTGAAAGTGCACGGCACGAAGAACCCAGCTGACATGTTTACCAAAGCTTTGCCGAAGACAAGTTCAACGCTATGTCGATCGCTAATCGGGATGCAAGAACAATCACGCGGTTGTTCCGGCGCAAGCGTCGGAGGAGGCGTGTTGTCTTACGCCACCGAGTTGTGGCGGTTGGCAGTTAGGTTGGTAGTTGGGATAACGAGGGACAAGACATTGAAGAACAGAGGCGTAGAATGGTAGCTCGAAGCGCGGCTAGGTTAGAGGTACTCAGAGTGGAATTGGCAGCAACAGAGCAAGTCGTTGTAGTGAAAGCAGCGTAGCTAAGTAAATATATTAATTGTGTGCCAGAAGTACACATCCGATGTTTTCTTGGTAGAGGCAAGAAGAACACGGTACTAGCTACACAAATCTGACGCATAGGAGAGCAACAGCAGCTAGTTGTTCCTTTATCATGAACATTTTTTCAATATGCTGCACCACGTCCCAATTTTGGTTTGCAGACCATTGCGTTTAACTTGTTATACAAGATGATCTCCGCATAATCGTTACTTGCGCTTCTCAAGCGCTTTTACTTCGTTTGTGCTCGCGTTAGTTGCGAGAACTTTGTCTCCCGTAGCATAATCCAACACATCTTTCTCCTCGAAAGTTGACTGCATCATTCCTTTATAGTACGCCCAGGACTGGCCATGCCATACTTCAGCGCGTCCATATTTATTCAGCTCCACCTTGTTGGACATTTTGTACACCACTCAGGTAAAGTTTCGCCACTTGGACACTTGCTCAAGTCTCGGCCGAATGTTTAAGGTTTGAGTTTCCTTCCAAACGGAGTCGCTCTTTGCTCGTAGTGTTGCACAAGATACTTGGTTACGCTTAAGCCTCGTTCAGGCTTGGGCTCAAAACCATGTTGCAATCTCTTATGCGTCAGCTTTGTGTAGCTAGTACCGTGTTCTAATCGCCTTTCCAAGAGAACACTCGATGTGTACTTCTGGCACACAATTAATATATTTACTTAGCTACGCTGTTTTCACTAGACGACTTGCTGTTTGCAGTCAATTCCACGCTGAGTACCTCTGACCTAGCCGCGCTTCGAGCTACCATTCTACGCCTCTGTTCTTCACTGTCTTGTCCCTCGTTATTCCATCTGCCAACCTCCACGAGCATATATAACAACAACTGCCACGGTTGGCATATGACAACAGTGTTACCCATCATGGCTATTGCAATACTTAGTTCGGGAAACAGGGACGATGAAATTTACTTGTATGAAAGAAAGCATTGTTAAACAAAGTTTCAAAGTATGAAGTTTAATGATTTGGGTGCTTCAAACAACGTAAAATCTCCGTGCTTAACTTGATTGAAAGATCCTGACTTGAAACAATCTTCACGATATCTGCATCGCTCCAAACTTTCCTTTCCTCTGACCAAAACAGACAACGTCCAGATGGAAAGTACATACAACAGACTGCCACAGGTATACATATCTCCCGTGCTCATGTATGCTGCTACTTAACCAATTGCCCTTTCATATTGTTAATGTTGTGCTGTATGCAGGACCAGCTGGATTGTCTCGAGGAGATTGCCACATTTGTGAACACCCGTGTCTTTGAACTTGTAACAAAGAAGATGCAGGATGACAAAAAGGTTGCGAAACAGATAGATCTATTGACTGCAGATTGTATGACGCATTGGTTTAACGCTATCACGAAGACAGTGATTGAGGATCAACTGATTGTATATCTTGCGGCAGTTATCAACTGTGCGTACAAGGTACATTTTAAAGTCGCGTCCGCCGTCGCGGAGGCGACAATCGCAGATGCCATTAAACAGTATGAGCATAAATTGCTCTCTGTTCCGAAGTTGACGCCAGAAGAAATCAGGCAGCTTGCAAAGGCTTTCACGCAGACTGAATACATTGGCAGTGCCAGCTATGACTTTAAAAATTACGTGCAAAGGTGTTGGAAAATGTATTGTAGGCTTGATTTTATGTTCAAGGCGCCATATGTGACGGTTCTTCAAAGCTCTGGCTTTGGCAAGAGTCGGATGGTATTCGAGCTTGCTCGCATGGCACTGGAGCCACTCTCAACATACAAAGTTATCTACGTGTGCGCACGCAGACATAGCTCGTATGGGTATCCACTAGAGACGAGAGAGCTTCGAAAGTGGCTGTTTCCTACTTCATGCGATTCGACATTGATTGGTACTCGACTTAAAGTGATTTCTCAGTACGCAAAAGAAAATTGGGAGACCGTTCAAGAAGAATGGTTGAGACTTTTTACAAACCCTGATGCTGATGCTGACGTGTGCACAAAGCTGAACGCTTTTAAGCCGAAAATGTCTCCAGACAAAAAAAACAGCACATTAAATAGTCCAAGTGAAAAAATGGTGATTTTGGTGATCGATGAAGCAAGATCGCTGCTTGTTGGGACAAACAACAGATTGAACCACTTTCGCTTATTGCGACACGCTCTCTATCGCGCCTTCACCGCGAATGGAGGTGTTTTTGGGCTGCTAATTGACACAAACTCAAAAATCTCTGACTTTACGCGGCCGGTGGTGTTGGACCCAACCGGTCGACGTGGCAGAAGAAATAATTTGGTAATATTTCCGCCTTTTGTACTAACGCACACGATGGATTTGTTTTGGCAAAATCATTGTGATGCGCAAGACCTGAAAAAAAGGATGAGGGGGGATGCGGCAGGGAATTTAAGCAATAAGGAAGGAATGGGTACTGATGTAACTGCATACAGAGGCGCTGTGACCGGGAGCGAGCAGGATGCTTGGGATGCGTTGACTCGAATGGGGCGGCCAATATGGTACACCTACGCCAAGAATACAGAAAGCCAAGCTGTCGTGGTCATGCTTGCTGCAAAAAAACTTTTGCTTGGGCAGAACCCCAGATCAGGCGGCTACAAGGAAGGAAACATGTTTGGCGTCGCATCCTTGCTTTGTCGAGTGGGTTTGCGTCCGTACTCAACATCACCATTTGCGTCTCGAGCCGTCGCCGACTTAATGGCAGTTCTTGCGTATGTAAATTTCGAGAAAGAAGGCTATGTGAGCAGTTACGCCTCGGACCCGGTGCTCGCCTTGGGTGCGATCAAAGTATGGTATGGACTAGACGATGCGTTATCACAATTTATCCTGCCTCAGCTATCGAAATTAATCCTGAACGAAGCTCTTGACACTGGTGGGATTGGTGAGGTGGTTGCACGTATTGTGCTCCTTCTCGCTATGGATAAGTGCGCGATAGGACGGGAATGTTATACCGGCCAATTTCTAGCTGTGCATTCATTCTTGAAAGCTTTTGGTGCAGAAGAGATGCCAGTATTTACGCGGCAAATGCGTGAAGCACCTAGCAATACAAAAAAAGCTTTTTGGACTTGGCTATCAAAGTGGGACGGGTGGCAAATGAGTTTTACTCACTTTGTGCAATTGAAGCTGGAGCCGACAGTGGAAACACTTTGGTATTTGCTTGGGCGTCGGGCTGCAGGTATATTTCCTCGAAACCAAAAAGGAGCTGATCTCTTGATTCCAATCTTCTGGAAAAAGAACGACAGCGATGCAGCGTCTAAGTCAGAAACAAAATCAGACGACGAAGCAGACGCGAAGGTTTCGCTGATTTTGATTCAAGTGAATAATCACGCTCCACACGATAGGGAATTCTCGAAGTCAGTGACGACGAAACTGTGCCCTTCATTTGTTTTTGGACAAACAATTAGGAAGACTAGAAAATCTGTCAAAGATTCCGACAATTCGCTGAGCAAGATAAGTGTCCGTGACGTGATTTGCATTCATATGTGCGTGCAAGACGAAGACAACACGCATCACCGATTTATTTACGCGGAAAAGCCTAAAGATATAAACAAGAAAAATGATCGAAGTGGAGCTAAGTCGGCGAGCACATGTAGCAGAACCAAGCAGAGTACTAGCAAGGAAGAAGCTGAGGAGCTTAGGTTTACGCTCTGTTATCGCTCGGTGCGTTGCGATACATACAAGTTTCTCGATGTGGAAGTGGCCAGGAGATTAAAAAGTCTTGTGAAGCCTCTGGGGAACCCTTTAACACTTGTGAATGGTGATTTGCAGCATCGCCAAGAGGTGGAGCAATCTTTTAAGAAGGACCGGCGAAATGCAGTTATGTCACAAGCGATGGGAGAGAAAGAGCTAAAAAAGATTGCTTGTAAAGGGCTTACGAATCTACCAGGACGACAAAAAGCTAGCGAGAAAAAGGACAAGATGCTATAGGCTGCAGGCTCTTATCAAGAAACGATCAAGGCGGCCAAAGAAGTGATACGCGCGGAAGACAACGCCGAGTGTAACGCTGAAGAAGGCAAATAGAGTTTGCCCTCCCTTTGATAACAATGCATGTGCTTTTATTTCTTATGCGTTTGCTATGCTGTCATGTTGGGGAGATGCAAATATTAGTAGAAACATGAAAAGTAAGAACTGACACAAACTTTGATCGTGGAACAAAACTGCGTGACGATGTTTACCTAATTTTGTGTCATTGAGGTGACATATGTAATATTTTGGAAACTTCACCACGTCACACATGAAGCAGCCATCTCATCTCATTCATCGAGTATTTCTTATTAAATGAACAAGTTCATTCCATCGGATTAGATTGATAGGCAGTGTATTCACTCACACTACCACTTTGAGCAACCTCCAATGTCGTTGATTCTTGTTTTCTCTTTGAGTCCATGCGGCTGTAGCCTTTGACCAGCACATGAAAAGCTTTACCCAAGGACTCAGCAATTTACTGCGTCCGCCATCCTTATTGTTGGTCGGCGAGAACGAATGAAGCAGATCACGATACTTTTGCAGGTGCTATTTTAGCCGCTGTATCCCGTATCGTTATTTGCTAATGATTGTAGCAGAGAATCAACTCGAATTTCGTCAGCATTGATAGCCGAGTCCACTGCGTCTCGAAGACTTTCGAGCTGTGTCTCTGTTCGGCCGTCAGCTCTGTGGCTGTACGTCTTGAAACGACGACAACACTATGAGTGGGGTCCAAGTTAAAATGCCGCCTCTCCTGAGAATGGACATAGATGAGATGTCAGCGGTTGTGCTTAATCTAGCCAAACTCAGTGCGTCTCGCATGCAGCGAGTCGACGGTACTACTGCGTAATGACCGCAATAAAATTGGCAAACTTGTCTTAATGCCCTGTAGTGGAATACTGTCGCTGAGCGCAAAGGCCCAAGTCCTTTTGTCTTGATAAGGCCATGCAATACTTCATCAGGTGCTGGAACAGCGAAAACCATTAGCGGCACACAACAACCGGGTACGAATGCATTTTCTCCCCACTCGACAAAGCCAACGAGACTTTCTGGTGGCCACTATCACGCTTTAAGCGGAACTATCAAGCTTTGAATGCTTCGATTGTGTTGGAACAAGGGTCATCTTCTCCAAGGTTCATCTGCTTGTTACAACTGGTGTACAAGAGTCCTTGGATCTTGAGCTTCTCGTGCTGAATAGTACCTACCTCAAGGCGCATTCGTTGTGTCTCACTCAGCGTTTCGTCCTCTTTTTTAGTATTATAAAATCACTCATTATTTGTCGTTGACCCAGCAGCCTATGTTTTCTGGCACTGTTTGATTGTATCGTTAGTGGATGCCAATGGAGCAGATAGATACACCTTGCCACATCGTCATACTAGAAATGGACGCTAGCAGGTAATCTGACGTCGTTTTCAATAGTAGCGCTTTGCATCAAAACATCTTAAAATAGACATCGACCGATGAGGTGGTTAGCAAAGGTAAAAGCATGCGACGAAGACGAAAAATTCGTACTGAGAAGTTCCACGATGGCTACTTTCTTGTTCTGTGGCAATTGCAGCAGCAAAATATCCACACGACCAAGTTATGGAGGATAGTTTACTTTGACTATAGTCAAAGAAACCATAGTCAAACCCTTGTCGGTTTATAGCGTGTTACAGTTGTTTTATTTAAAATACATAGTAACGATATTATTATGATAAGCACTATGCCTGCTAGTTACAAAACTATCAGTCCTCTTCGTCAATAGAAAAACAAACAGGTGCAATAGATAAGTGATATACTAAGCGATTGTGTAGATGAAGTCAGTCGTCTGAGATATCTCATAGTACTGACTGTCTCTGATAGTCGTCCAAGGAAACTACGGGTTTAGTACAGTACGTTTTGACAAGGTGCACACGTTATTTGTAAAAAAGCGCGTCAAAAACGGCGTTGCTGACTGCAGCGAATAGCTTACCTGCTGCTTTTTGCTCTTTTAAAAGCGTCGTCAGCATCTGACAAACACCTAAATTATACCAGGTCCACTTGCCCCACAATGACATCGTACGCATCGTTACACAAACCTTGATCGGCTTGTCCGCTTGCACACTAGTGCCCTACGCCAGCTTTACAACAACATTTGCGACTGTCACGCGCATACCACCACGGTCAAGTATACCGCAAAGAACTGCTACCTCTTTCTTCACAACCTATAGACTTCCATTCTACCACACATGTCAGCAAACACAATGTTTTTTCAACCTTGCGTATCAAATTCACATACTCACGAGTAAGTGCCGTCACGATTTCAGTAAGTTTTGCCTACGCAATGCTAGCCATGATTCTTTTTTGTAGAAAACTTGTTGCTGCTGTTGAAGTTCATATTGGCTGTTCCATATTCTTTGCTTAACGGTCTTAATTGAAGCTGTGGTGGCTTCCATTTGCTGCTTGATGTTCAAGTTATAAAAAAGTAACTATGTACTGATTCAAATAGCTATCAAACCAACTGAGTTGCTAAAAAATACCACAAAAATTAAAGATCTTTTCCTAACTTGAAGAAGTTAATTCTATAGTAATATTTAAAACCATTTCAAAAATTTGCTGAAAACGTGTAAGCAAAATTTAATTTTATACACAAAAAACATATAAATGAACTTAACCTCAAGTGTCTTATACTTTTGTGTAAAATGTGATAGAATTTGTAGGTCGACCTTTTGTGTTCAAAATGATGTGCTACCATATCCACCTTAAAAGGCCCAAAATATGACACTATTTATGTCATATCGATTCAAATTAATTGGTACAAACCAAAACTACTTTGTGGCCAACATTAAAAAGTGCACTGCCATGTTCATTAAGCGCAAAGAAGATGAGAATTTACAGCCTAAGGGGAATGAAGATTCAGTTCAATTGCAGCAAATGCTTACTTCTTGTATGGTGAATCGTCAGATCCTGGTAAAACTATTATACTAGCTTTATTATGTATTGTATTTACGTGGAGTACGATGTTGACTTTTTTGTGTGTTTTTGTGTCAATATAAAAAAAGTGTTGTATCGCTGGTGTCTTGATTGGCATTCCCATTAGTATTCAGCAAAAATCAAACAAACCTTTTGCAATTCTGGGTGTATTAGGTATGTTGTTTTTTGGTCATGCTGTAGGATAAACATTAGGTGATTTGACTTTTGTCATGATATTGTTGATAGGTTCATTCGTGGATTACTCAATCCCGTACACGGCGGACTGTCGGATGATTCATAATGCCATGAAATTGTCTTTACAGAAGGAATTACTGAAAAAAGAATTGAAGCCATGATCAGAAAACCCTTCAGTCTAAAGCAAAAGACATTGGGTCACGGAATTATTGATTCAAGTGGTGGTTCTTGGCTTCATTGCAGTTTTAAGAACATGCTTGCATGAATAGGACTGTCTTGCACAAAACGAACCAGTATATTCATATGACCAATACACGGTCATACCCCATAAAGTTCTATATCATTTGTTAAAAGATGCGAGTTTTCGATAGCCCGACGAACGGACTGCTCTCTCTTTTCGTCTCTCCATGTAACACAGAGTCTGAGCCTAGACGACACTGCCACAGCTTCCAAGAGACTAGAATATCCTGTTGAGCAATAGGTTCTAGCGTATCTATAATACGTGTATTTGGCTACAAAACTACTTTGGAAGGTTGAAGTATAAAATTAAATTTGCTTACACGTTTTCAGCAAATTTTTGAAATGACTATAGAATTAACTTCTTCAAGTTAGGAAAAGAGGGTAAAAAAATGCTTCTTTAATTTTTGTGGTATTTTTTTAGCAACTCAGTTGGTTTGATAGATATTTGAATCAGTACATAGTTACTTTTTTATAACTTGAACATTAAGCAGCAAATGGAAGCCACCAGAGCTTCAATCAAGACCGTTAAGCAAAGAATATGGAACAGCCAATATGAACTTCAACAGCAGCAACAAGTTTTCTACAAAAAAGAATCATGGCTAGCATTGCGTAGGCAAAACTTACTGAAATCGTGACGGCACTTACTCGTGAGTATGTGAATTTGATACGCAAGGTTGAAAAAACATTGTGTTTGCTGACATGTGTGGTAGAATGGAAGTCTATAGGTTGTGAAGAAAGAGGTAGCAGTTCTTTGCGGTATACTTGACCGTGGTGGTATGCGCGTGACAGTCGCAAATGTTGTTGTAAAGCTGGCGTAGGGCAGCGGACAAGCCGATCAAGGTTTGTGAAACGATGCGTACGATGTCATCGTGGGGCAAGTGGACCTGGTATAATTTAGGTGTTTGTCAGATGCTGACGACGCTTTTAAAAGAGCAAAAAGCAGCAGGTAAGCTATTCGCTGCAGTCAGCAACGCCGTTTTTGACGCGCTTTTTTACAAATAACGTGTGCACCTTGTCAAAACGTACTGTACCAAACCCGTAGTTTCCTTGGACGACTATCAGAGACAGTCAGTACTATGAGATATCTCAGACAACTGACTTCATCTACACAATCGCTTAGTATATCACTTATCCATTGCACCTGTTTGTTTTTCTATTGACGAAGAGGACTGATAGTTTTGTAACTAGCAGGCATAGTGCTTATCATAATAATATCGTTACTATGTATTTTAAATAAAACAACTGTAACACGCTATAAACCGACAAGGGTTTGACTATGGTTTCTTTGACTATAGTCAAAGTAAACTATCCTCCATAACTTGGTCGTGTGGATATTTTGCTGCTGCAATTGCCACAGAACAAGAAAGTAGCCATCGTGGAACTTCTCAGTACGAATTTTTCGTCTTCGTCGCATGCTTTTACCTTTGCTAACCACCTCATCGGTCGATGTCTATTTTAAGATGTTTTGATGCAAAGCGCTACTATTGAAAACGACGTCAGATTACCTGCTAGCGTCCATTTCTAGTATGACGATGTGGCAAGGTGTATCTATCTGCTCGGTGTGGTTTGACCCGAAAGTTTTTGCTTCTGTTCATTAGCATCCACTAAAGATACAATCAAACAGTGCCAGAAAACATAGGCTGCTGGGTCAACGACAAATAATGAGTGACTGTATAATACTAAAAAAGAAGACGAAACGCTGAGTGAGACACAATGAATGCGCCTTGAGGTAGGTACTATTCAGCACGAGAAGCTCAAGATCCAAGGACTCTTGTACACCAGTTGTAACAAGCAGATGAACCTTGGAGAAGATGACCCTTGTTCCAACATAATCGAAGCATTCAAAGCTTGATAGTTCCGCTTAAAGCGTGATAGTGGCCACCAGAAAGTCTCGTTGGCTTTGTCGAGTGGGGAGAAAATGCATTCGTACCCGGTTGTTGTGTGCCGCTAATGGTTTTCGCTGTTCCAGCACCTGATGAAGTATTGCATGGCCTTATCAAGACAAAAGGACTTGGGCCTTTGCGCTCAGCGACAGTATTCTACTACAGGGCATTAAGACAAGTTTGCCAATTTTATTGCGGTCATTACGCAGTAGTACCGTCGACTCGCTGCATGCGAGACGCACTGAGTTTGGCTAGATTAAGCACAACCGCTGACATCTCATCTATGTCCATTCTCAGGAGAGGCGGCATTTTAACTTGGACCCCACTCATAGTGTTGTCGTCGTTTCAAGACGTACAGCCACAGAGCTGACGGCCGAACAGAGACACAGCTCGAAAGTCTTCGAGACGCAGTGGACTCGGCTATCAATGCTGACGAAATTCGAGTTGATTCTCTGCTACAATCATTAGCAAATAACGATACGGGATACAGCGGCTAAAATAGCACCTGCAAAAGTATCGTGATCTGCTTCATTCGTTCTCGCCGACCAACAATAAGGATGGCGGACGCAGTAAATTGCTGAGTCCTTGGGTAAAGCTTTTCATGTGCTGGTCAAAGGCTACAGCCGCATGGACTCAAAGAGAAAACAAGAATCAACGACATTGGAGGTTGCTCAAAGTGGTAGTGTGAGTGAATACACTGCCTATCAATCTAATCCGATGGAATGAACTTGTTCATTTAATAAGAAATACTCGATGAATGAGATGAGATGGCTGCTTCATGTGTGACGTGGTGAAGTTTCCAAAATATTACATATGTCACCTCAATGACACAAAATTAGGTAAACATCGTCACGCAGTTTTGTTCCACGATCAAAGTTTGTGTCAGTTCTTACTTTTCATGTTTCTACTAATATTTGCATCTCCCCAACATGACAGCATAGCAAACGCATAAGAAATAAAAGCACATGCATTGTTATCAAAGGGAGGGCAAACTCTATTTGCCTTCTTCAGCGTTACACTCGGCGTTGTCTTCCGCGCGTATCACTTCTTTGGCCGCCTTGATCGTTTCTTGATAAGAGCCTGCAGCCTATAGCATCTTGTCCTTTTTCTCGCTAGCTTTTTGTCGTCCTGGTAGATTCGTAAGCCCTTTACAAGCAATCTTTTTTAGCTCTTTCTCTCCCATCGCTTGTGACATAACTGCATTTCGCCGGTCCTTCTTAAAAGATTGCTCCACCTCTTGGCGATGCTGCAAATCACCATTCACAAGTGTTAAAGGGTTCCCCAGAGGCTTCACAAGACTTTTTAATCTCCTAGCCACTTCCACATCGAGAAACTTGTATGTATCGCAACGCACCGAGCGATAACAGAGCGTAAACCTAAGCTCCTCAGCTTCTTCCTTGCTAGTACTCTGCTTGGTTCTGCTAAATGTGCTCGCCGACTTAGCTCCACTTCGATCATTTTTCTTGTTTATATCTTTAGGCTTTTCCGCGTAAATAAATCGGTGATGCGTGTTGTCTTCGTCTTGCACGCACATATGAATGCAAATCACGTCACGGACACTTATCTTGCTCAGCGAATTGTCGGAATCTTTGACAGATTTTCTAGTCTTCCTAATTGTTTGTCCAAAAACAAATGAAGGGCACAGTTTCGTCGTCACTGACTTCGAGAATTCCCTATCGTGTGGAGCGTGATTATTCACTTGAATCAAAATCAGCGAAACCTTCGCGTCTGCTTCGTCGTCTGATTTTGTTTCTGACTTAGACGCTGCATCGCTGTCGTTCTTTTTCCAGAAGATTGGAATCAAGAGATCAGCTCCTTTTTGGTTTCGAGGAAATATACCTGCAGCCCGACGCCCAAGCAAATACCAAAGTGTTTCCACTGTCGGCTCCAGCTTCAATTGCACAAAGTGAGTAAAACTCATTTGCCACCCGTCCCACTTTGATAGCCAAGTCCAAAAAGCTTTTTTTGTATTGCTAGGTGCTTCACGCATTTGCCGCGTAAATACTGGCATCTCTTCTGCACCAAAAGCTTTCAAGAATGAATGCACAGCTAGAAATTGGCCGGTATAACATTCCCGTCCTATCGCGCACTTATCCATAGCGAGAAGGAGCACAATACGTGCAACCACCTCACCAATCCCACCAGTGTCAAGAGCTTCGTTCAGGATTAATTTCGATAGCTGAGGCAGGATAAATTGTGATAACGCATCGTCTAGTCCATACCATACTTTGATCGCACCCAAGGCGAGCACCGGGTCCGAGGCGTAACTGCTCACATAGCCTTCTTTCTCGAAATTTACATACGCAAGAACTGCCATTAAGTCGGCGACGGCTCGAGACGCAAATGGTGATGTTGAGTACGGACGCAAACCCACTCGACAAAGCAAGGATGCGACGCCAAACATGTTTCCTTCCTTGTAGCCGCCTGATCTGGGGTTCTGCCCAAGCAAAAGTTTTTTTGCAGCAAGCATGACCACGACAGCTTGGCTTTCTGTATTCTTGGCGTAGGTGTACCATATTGGCCGCCCCATTCGAGTCAACGCATCCCAAGCATCCTGCTCGCTCCCGGTCACAGCGCCTCTGTATGCAGTTACATCAGTACCCATTCCTTCCTTATTGCTTAAATTCCCTGCCGCATCCCCCCTCATCCTTTTTTTAGGTCTTGCGCATCACAATGATTTTGCCAAAACAAATCCATCGTGTGCGTTAGTACAAAAGGCGGAAATATTACCAAATCATCCATTCTGCTACGTCGACCGGTTGGGTCCAACACCACCGGCCGCGTAAAGTCAAAGATTTTTGAGTTTGTGTCAATTAGCAGCCCAAAAACACCTCCATTCGCGGTGAAGGCGCGATAGAGAGCGTGTCGCAATAAGCGAAAGTGGTTCAATCTGTTGTCTGTCCCAACAAGCAGCGATCTTGCTTCATCGATCACCAAAATCACCATTTTTTCACTTGGACTATTTAATGTGCTGTTTTTTTTGTCTGGAGACATTTTCGGCTTAAAAGCGTTCAGCTTTGTGCACACGTCAGCATCAGCATCAGGGTTTGTAAAAAGTCTCAACCATTCTTCTTGAACGGTCTCCCAATTTTCTTTTGCGTACTGAGAAATCACTTTAAGTCGAGTACCAATCAATGTCGAATCGCATGAAGTAGGAAACAGCCACTTTCGAAGCTCTCTCGTCTCTAGTGGATACCCATACGAGCTATGTCTGCGTGCGCACACGTAGATAACTTTGTATGTTGAGAGTGGCTCCAGTGCCATGCGAGCAAGCTCGAATACCATCCGACTCTTGCCAAAGCCAGAGCTTTGAAGAACCGTCACATATGGCGCCTTGAACATAAAATCAAGCCTACAATACATTTTCCAACACCTTTGCACGTAATTTTTAAAGTCATAGCTGGCACTGCCAATGTATTCAGTCTGCGTGAAAGCCTTTGCAAGCTGCCTGATTTCTTCTGGCGTCAACTTCGGAACAGAGAGCAATTTATGCTCATACTGTTTAATGGCATCTGCGATTGTCGCCTCCGCGACGGCGGACGCGACTTTAAAATGTACCTTGTACGCACAGTTGATAACTGCCGCAAGATATACAATCAGTTGATCCTCAATCACTGTCTTCGTGATAGCGTTAAACCAATGCGTCATACAATCTGCAGTCAATAGATCTATCTGTTTCGCAACCTTTTTGTCATCCTGCATCTTCTTTGTTACAAGTTCAAAGACACGGGTGTTCACAAATGTGGCAATCTCCTCGAGACAATCCAGCTGGTCCTGCATACAGCACAACATTAACAATATGAAAGGGCAATTGGTTAAGTAGCAGCATACATGAGCACGGGAGATATGTATACCTGTGGCAGTCTGTTGTATGTACTTTCCATCTGGACGTTGTCTGTTTTGGTCAGAGGAAAGGAAAGTTTGGAGCGATGCAGATATCGTGAAGATTGTTTCAAGTCAGGATCTTTCAATCAAGTTAAGCACGGAGATTTTACGTTGTTTGAAGCACCCAAATCATTAAACTTCATACTTTGAAACTTTGTTTAACAATGCTTTCTTTCATACAAGTAAATTTCATCGTCCCTGTTTCCCGAACTAAGTATTGCAATAGCCATGATGGGTAACAAACACTGTTGTCATATGCCAACCGTGGCAGTTGTTGTTATATATGCTCGTGGAGGTTGGCAGATGGAATAACGAGGGACAAGACAGTGAAGAACAGAGGCGTAGAATGGTAGCTCGAAGCGCGGCTAGGTCAGAGGTACTCAGCGTGGAATTGACTGCAAACAGCAAGTCGTCTAGTGAAAACAGCGTAGCTAAGTAAATATATTAATTGTGTGCCAGAAGTACACATCGAGTGTTCTCTTGGAAAGGCGATTAGAACACGGTACTAGCTACACAAAGCTGACGCATAAGAGATTGCAACATGGTTTTGAGCCCAAGCCTGAACGAGGCTTAAGCGTAACCAAGTATCTTGTGCAACACTACGAGCAAAGAGCGACTCCGTTTGGAAGGAAACTCAAACCTTAAACATTCGGCCGAGACTTGAGCAAGTGTCCAAGTGGCGAAACTTTACCTGAGTGGTGTACAAAATGTCCAACAAGGTGGAGCTGAATAAATATGGACGCGCTGAAGTATGGCATGGCCAGTCCTGGGCGTACTATAAAGGAATGATGCAGTCAACTTTCGAGGAGAAAGATGTGTTGGATTATGCTACGGGAGACAAAGTTCTCGCAACTAACGCGAGCACAAACGAAGTAAAAGCGCTTGAGAAGCGCAAGTAACGATTATGCGGAGATCATCTTGTATAACAAGTTAAACGCAATGGTCTGCAAACCAAAATTGGGACGTGGTGCAGCATATTGAAAAAATGTTCATGATAAAGGAACAACTAGCTGCTGTTGCTCTCCTATGCGTCAGATTTGTGTAGCTAGTACCGTGTTCTTCTTGCCTCTACCAAGAAAACATCGGATGTGTACTTCTGGCACACAATTAATATATTTACTTAGCTACGCTGCTTTCACTACAACGACTTGCTCTGTTGCTGCCAATTCCACTCTGAGTACCTCTAACCTAGCCGCGCTTCGAGCTACCATTCTACGCCTCTGTTCTTCAATGTCTTGTCCCTCGTTATCCCAACTACCAACCTAACTGCCAACCGCCACAACTCGGTGGCGTAAGACAACACGCCTCCTCCGACGCTTGCGCCGGAACAACCGCGTGATTGTTCTTGCATCCCGATTAGCGATCGACATAGCGTTGAACTTGTCTTCGGCAAAGCTTTGGTAAACATGTCAGCTGGGTTCTTCGTGCCGTGCACTTTCACAATGGTAAGCAATCCTTTCTTGATCTGGTCCCGCACGTAGTGCCAACGTAGTTCGATATGGCGCGTCTTGCTGCTGTACGTCGGCGTGCAAGCCAATGTAATGGCTACAGAATTGTCAACGCTCAGTTGTAGCATCACTTGCGCGTCCATAACGGTAAATCTCGTCCAGCATATTTGCTATACTTCTTCCCTCCATTGCAGCTTCGCACGCCTCTGCCGTTGATTGTGCAATAATGGTCTGCCGTCGCGCGGCCCATGCCTACTGCACCGCCAGACATCATCAAAACGAATCCTGTAACGCTCTTCCGCGAGTCAAGATCATTGCCCCAATCCGCATCACAATGTTAATTTATGAAAAGCTCTCGAGTGTGTTCTGTGCCTGGTGTGAATGGAATCCCCATATTGCGAGTACCAGCCAGATATTGCAGCACCCTTTTGACGGCACCACGGATGCTTCCGAGTGGGATTCCTTACAAATCGGCTCAATATGCCGATCAACCATCCCTGAACCCATATGTGCGATCAATCGCCGCAAATAGTGTCGCCTTGTATTCCACGGAATTCGTCGCGAGCACTACATCGCCGACGTATAGCATCAGGAATGCCACTACTCCATCTCTGTACAATATGTACAAGCACGGCTTCGTCTCACTGCTGCCAAATCCTTGTGATCTCAACCATGCGTTATTTTCTTCGCTCCATTCCGCTCCAGACGATGTAGACCATATAATGCTCAATCCCCACACTGTAAATCTTTTTCTTGGGCTGTGGGAATCCGGGAATGGCTTGCACGTACTGCTGTATTTTTAATGTCGCATTCAAATAGGCAGTATCCACATCACCTTGATACAACGTCAGTCCGTATTTCGTAGTGCTATCAGCACTCGAAACGTTACCATCCGTGCTACATGGGGAGAATGCGGTCACAAAATCGATTCCTGGATCTTGATTGTTCCCTAAGCACACGATGCGAGGTCTAAATCTCGTGATATAGCCGTCATCATCGGTTTTAACTTAAAAGCTTCACATTAAGCCCAACTTTGTTGCGTTTTGAGGTGCCTCAGTCTCATCAATCGGAACTAGTACGCCCTTTTTGAACATTGCTCTCACTTCCTTTTCCATGCCCGTATACCATTCATCGTGTTGCGGAGTCTTCATAGCTTCTCCAAAACTGCGGGGCAGTTTTACGTTCGTTATGTGCTATTGCAAATTGCATTGCGTGTCTTCGACGACACCCCTCCGATCGTGGCGTTTACGTGATAGTCTTCAAGCCATAACGGAGGCCGGCATGAATCTGGCTGACGCAATGACCTGCGTTGTGGCTTCCACTCATTGTATCGTCGCCGTTTGCTGTCCTGAACGTCTTCCAGTTTCGCTGCAAGCGGATGTCTGCGCTATCCAGCAATGATTTCTGGAACCATAAATGTGTCTGTGTGTATGTCGTTCTCCCTCGGTACAATAGTCCTCGCGTGAGACTCGAGTATGTCTTCCGGAACAGTTACCAGTTCTTGAGCTTGTGCAAAGCTGTGGTCATCTTCGACCACTCCTGTTTCTTCGTGGACGAAAGTATCATCAGCATCGCAATCTGACTCTGGAGTCGAGAATTTATAAATTGATTGCTGCTAGCATCATCCGTTACTTCGATTAATGCTTCATCTTCTGCGCGGCTTGACGAGTCGTCACCATGTACTTCACTTTCTTCTTGTTAAGAGATCTCATCTTCTAAGGTGGATGTTGTTGACATAGGGATATCCATCAAAGCAAGGTCATCGACGTCATTAGTTTCGTTCGTTGACGATTTGACGTCGGCGTCAATGTCAAATATCTCAAAGTCTGAAAACGGATTGATAATATATGACTTGTCTTCACTTTGGAATCGATTCGTCTTCCGATTCGTCTTCCAATTCGTTTCCACTGAGCATTACTTCGTCTTGACTGTGCATTGATTCTTCTTGACTGATTATTGATTCGTCTTCTTCGTCTTCCATGTGAATTGATTCTTTCTCGTTGTCGTCATCACTACATGAATCACTTTGTTTGGACAACCATTCTGAGAGCAACGTGTCGTATCCGTCACTATACGGATCACCATAGACGATATCTTCTTTGAGAAATGCATGCATAACGTGCTGCACGACACGCATCGTGGGAAAATAGATTTTATATCCTGCTTCACCCTCCAAATAACCAACTAGGAATCCGATTCTGCAATTGTTAGCCAACTTCTGTTTTGCGGGAACTTTTGCTTAGTACACGTACGCAAGAGAGCCAAATTTGCTGATTCGGTGTAAATCAGGCTTCTTGTTCATCATCATATGATACGGTGATTGCTCGACAGTATGTCCTATTTCTGACATAGGTAGCCATGTCTAGCGCATCCTTCCAAAAGGATGTCGGTACGCGAGCTGTTGCCATCATCGACATTAGCATATGGATCAGTATCTGGTGCGCTCTTTCACACAAATTAAGGTGAGAGTCATGAGGCGGGTTCGGTAAGAATTCAATCCCTTGTTTCTTGTATACCACTCACTCATGACATCGTTCACAAATTCCCCTCCGCCATCATAAATCGCTTGTTGTACATTGTGCCCGGGGAACTTCCGCTCCGCCCAGGTAATGTACCGCTTCACGGCCACATTGACTTCGAAGGCATTCTTCAAGTGTAGATGATACACCGTTGTGTATCTGAAATACCCATCCACAACGACTAGTACTGCCCTATAGGCTTTAGGGTCCTTGCTATACTTGGGAAACAGTCGATCGACCAACATGACTTGATTCTTGTCGTTGATCCCTTTTCCCAATTCTATAATAGTGATGGTTTCCCCAGATGACACGCTTTACAATCCTCAAACATACGCTTACTGAGTTACATGCCTTCCACTAACTCTCGATCAGCCATGATTTTGATATACTGTGGATTGAGATGGCCAAGCCTTTCGTGCCAGCGTTGGATATCGGCGTGTTGTTCGCACGTGATACGTGACATGAGGTGTCTGGTCAGGCATCTCCGTGTCCAGTTTGGCACTGGGTAAAATGTCTTTGTGTTCTGACAAGAACTTCATAGTTTGACTATGGCAGGCTTCGTTTGACAATGCTTTCTTTCCTACAAGTAAATTTCATCAAGCACCATGGCGCTCTCGACAAAGTACAAAAACACTTAAGCTGAAGTTGAAAAACCGACGTGCATGGAGAAGCTAAATTAGCGCAACCGTAAACTTTTTACTTGCGTATTGGGGCATTCATTGCACACGTGAGAATTCGTGTACAGCATTCTCGGTCCAAGACACCTGAATACTTATGTTGTGCTTTCAACTTACTGCTTCTTGGCATTGTAAGCCAAGCTCTCTTGGTTTAGCGGGTTATCAGGTGAACGGCGCCACTGCAAACAGTCACAGACAAAGCACTAGTCAGCACAATCAAGTCCCGTAATGGAAGCAACCGCCACTGTCTCACCAATTCGCTAAGTTTTTGCTTATACTGCGATAACTTCAAACCCGGGTAATCTTCCTTAATCTGTGGCAACATGGCCTCCTCAAACGCCTTGTAAGCCGCCTTTGCTCGACGCTCCGGGTGCTTTTCTGCCTCCTTGACACCTACACTCAGTAGATCTAGCGCCGAATCTAAACTGCGCGCTTCCACCGGCTCGTCCTGATTCCTATTCTTGTTGGCCTGGAAATTGTTGTCAAACTTGATCGCTTTTTTGCCTGGCTTGCCTGCCATGCGAGCTTCTTCAGCTTCTCTCATAGCCGTCATCTCAGCCTGCGTAAGCTTCTCACTGCTCTCTCCATTGAACCCAAAGCTTGATGGTTTCTTAACACCGCGGTTATTCTTCTTCGCCACAGGCTTTAATGCCTCCTCCCAGGGCTTCACCATTGGCTTTACCGCCTTTTTTTTGCTTGCGAATTGCATGTCGATCTTCTTCCAATGCATGCTCTTCCATTGCCAACAGCTTTTGTTTCTCCGCCTTCTTCGCCTCTTGCTCTGCACGCTTCCGCTCTTCTTCCTGACGCTTCCGCTCTGCGCGCAAGTCTGCACCTTTGGCCCAGTCTGCAGACTCTGCAGAAGCTTCTTCTGCAAGCTTTACAGCATCCTTGGTAGCCTTAGCAAACGCTTTCTTGGCTTTTGCTGCCTCTACCTTCGTGTTAGTACCTCCCTGTTTCTTACCCATACTAATTAATGGTGATGAAAAGGATTAAAAATGTGGATAAAAAGAAGGATAAAATTGACATTATATGCATTATGTTAGGCTAATCAAAGTTGAGAGGTGTCATACTCTTGAAGTTTCAGATGCAAAAGAAGCAACTATTAGTTGTAAAATATCCGTTAATTCTATCTAAAAATAAAAACTATATATCCATTCGTTTCACCTTTAACGACTCTTGATCATTAGTAGCAAGTATGATCACAGCAAAGAGGGTTCTGAATGAAGTTGTGACAGGTGATGTGACGTTGTTACGTAAGTTTCTAGAAGCTGGTCATGGCAAGACAATGGTGTTAACTGGAGCAGGAATTTCCACGGATTCTGGTATTCCGGATTATCGAGGACCTAACGGTGTTTACAATCGGAATAAAGACTTTCGTCCACTTCAGTTTCATGAGGTTTGCATATTGTAAACTTTAGGATAAAAAGTACTGATTTTATCCTACTTACCAGATTTTTTATCCTACTTACCAAATTTTTTATCGAATTGTGTTTATACTTTGACATGGCTTAGTTTATTGGAGCTCATACGTATCGTCAGCGCTATTGGGCACGCAGTTTTTTTGGGTGGCCAAAAATTTTTCATGCAGAGCCAAATCGCTCACACGACGCACTTACGCAACTCCAACGTGCAGGCGCTGTATCGAGTATTTTGACTCAGAATGTCGATCGGTTGCATATTAAGAGTGGTTCACACAGTGTTGTAGAGATGCATGGATCACTGTACGAGGTACAGTGCCAGGGTTGCGGTGATGTGACGTCCCGTCAAAGTTACCAAGATATGCTAAAAATATTGAATCCAAAAGTTGTTCAATGGACAAATGATAACCGAGGTCAGGGTACAGGTGACGTTGCGTCTAGCGACAATGGAAATCCGGATGGGGACGTGGACATTTTGTGGAATTATGACGAATTTGTCTACCCAGCATGCAACAAGTGCAATGGCATTATGAAACCTAGGTATATTATGCTTGTTTTGGTATCTTGCCCTGTTGTGCATTGTGAGACTTTTAACACACACGTGTGTGTCATTTAGAGTCGTTTTCTTTGGTGAAAATATGCCGGCAGTTACTCGGATGGCTGCGCTCGAGCGCGTGAGAGATGCGAATGCGTTACTCGTCGTTGGCTCATCGTTAAAAGTTTTTTCTGCAATGCGTCTGGTTAATCACGCACACGCTCGCAAGGTTCCTATCGCCATTATCAACCTGGGACCAACGCGAGCTGACGAGCTGTGCGAACTACGCATTGATAAACCGTGCACGAGTCTGCTTACCGGAGTGGCAGATTTGTATTCGTAAAAAAATCATGACACCACATTATGAACACATCAATGATGCAGCAATAGCTTTTGTAGCAAAGCAAGTCAATTAACGAAAGAATTCAAACCTCTGTCGTCGAATATCTTACACATCTACCAGAGCCCAACCAACAAAGTCAATTCCGCAAGTCATCAGCTTTCATATAGCAGCTTAGCTCCACACAGTACGGGTCGGAAGTGCTGTAGTCGAGCCCCCGATAGGTAGGTGCGACTTTGCAGCGCTTCCGCTGCTTGCCGCATTGAGGAATGCAACTCGCTGCGCTAGCCGGCTTGGCCCCTGCAGCTTTTCTGGTTCTTCCTTCTCATTCTCCGTCTCAGCCACAGGCGTAACCTCTAATTCCGTATTCTCTACTTCAGGAGCCGGCATGGCGTCAGCTTGAATGTTCGCAGGCTGAGGTTGAACAAACGTTGCCGACTGAGCGTCATGCTCAACCGTATCAGGCTTTTCCGGCGTCGCCAGTGTCTTTTCAGTGCTTAGCTTGTCAGCAGCAGCGATAGCGGCGGCAGCTGCGTCGTACCGGAATGTAATCGATGCGGAATGATCAAATGGACGTCGCTCCATAACAGACTGACTGCCATGTGCCAGCACTGGCACAGCTGCAGCAGCCTCACGTCGTTGAGCATCAGTGAACTGACGCAAATTCACGGTAGACTCCTTGACACCAAGAGTAGGGCCATTGTACTCAGGCATGGTCTTTTGAATTGTACGGCCCAGTGCGTGGATACACTGCACAACTTGTCCAATATTTTTTTGGTTATATATGTCCACCGTCTCAAACAGATCAAACTCTGCAACGCCAATGCTACGGCATGCACGAACAAAGTTACTAACATTCTCCATCTGCTTAAACGGCATTGACGACGTTTGAATGTGCGGGATGAATCCTGGCTTAATCTTGTTCATTAATGTACATAACATCACGCCGTCCTTCAAGCTGTCGGCAAAGCTTGCTAGAAATTTTTCTCCAAGTACTGCCTCAATCCATTGTTGCGCCTCCTCCTCAGCTGTAGGACCAAAATTAGTAGCTACGCTCTTCAACCCAAAAAGTGACGACACGACTTTCTTGTCACTCAACGACGTCTTGTCCACCTCATCCGAAAGCTCTGCCACCGTCGTCGCAATTTCCTCCTTCGTTGGTACAAGCCTAAAAGGCGATGCTCTTTCCTCAGGCTTAGATCCTAGCAGCACTAAGTGATCTGCCTTGCGAAACTGAGTCAACTGCTCAATTTTCTCAGCCGAAGGGGGTGGTGGAGGAGGAGGCGCTCGGTATGCGCTCTGAGCCGCGTCAGCTCCGAGCATGACATTGTTCGTATACGAAGACGTCTGTCGCTTCATCGTGCGAAAACTACCGAGTGTCTGCTGTGCGGGGATATTCTTACCATCAGCAAGCTGATCTGACGTGAAAGAACGTCGATTTTTGCAGCTTTCCTTAACGCCCAAAGTAGGTCCTTTAAACTCTGGATAGTTGCGTTGTACAGCACGACCCAGTGCAAAGATACAACGTACCACGTTGCCCAAGTCCTTCAGCTCGAATAGATCGACAGTCTCAAACAGGTCAAATTCATTAACACCCATGACGCGACAGGCTTTAATAAAAGCTGATACGTTCTCCATGAGCTTAAACGGCATCTTTGATTTAGTCTCTATACGCTTAATGATATTCAATTGAATCTTATTTGCAACTGTACAAAGAATAATACCGTCACGTAGACCTTCACCAAAGTCATCACCTATTTGCATCTCGGAAATCGTCTCAAGCCACGCACGCGCTTCATTTTCCATATTGTGATTATAACGTTCAGCAGCTTTACGTGCAAGTTCAGCATCTAGACCAAATCCATCACCACGAACTTGTACAGGAGGAGCACGAATGGACATAAGGACGTGACTTGGGTTCTTTTCTAAGTCAAGTACTAGTACGTACGTATGTATGTATGTATCAAAAAGGAATGTTTGTAATCTTGAGGTTAAATTAAGAAATGACGGCGCGTGAAGAGAGTCAGGGTGGACGGTACAGAAAAAGAATGAATATCAGCTGGATGTGTATTGTGTACGGTGCTTATGGTACCAAAAACTGAATAGTCAAAAATCAATTACAACAAAAAGTACTTGTAAGAATAGTAGAAAAACTTGTGATAGTATAGTAGTACCTTGTAATAGTATGGTATAGTGATAATAGCTGAACGTTTCTTATAATTAGAGCTATATAGACAATCAAACCAGTTGTGACCGTCTCAATAAAAACAAAAAACCCTGTCATATTAGCTAATCAACACAAACAAGTTACAAAATCGTGTGAACACAATAACAACAAAGTCAGAAACAGCAAGACCTTTCTTCTATCATTTCATCATCAAAGAACATAATAATATTCAAACTACGCATGTGCTGAAGTATCACTGTGCCAGTCGTTTCGTTGACAGAAGTGGCTCATTCTCGTCCTTTGACCCAGTTAAAGCATTTTCATTCTGTGAGACTCCGACCGATATTATTGGATTGTTCATTACTGTGTGTGTTTCATAGGTGGTATGAAACGAGCCGTTGCCACGTGTTGGCACTGCGGTTGAAGTTGATAACGATGCAGTAGTATTCGTACTTGCTTTTTTCATCACACGTTCATATAGGAGTGACTTGAAAGCATATTCCTGACGCAGCATATCAAGCTGAAGCTTTGGAGGAATGCTACGAATGATCTTCCAGAAGGACCAAATTAATACGAGACACACGTGCTCACTAATAAGAATCATGACCATGCGTGTCGTAAGCGAAACACAGGCAAAATCTGGGCCAAAGTGAAAATGGGAGAAATTACCACCCATTGCGTAAGTGATTTGCTTTGTACAGGACGGCGAGAAAAACTCCATGGTACCAGTGGAAATGAAAATAAGACCAATGTTGACAAGAACACCCGCAAGAGCAATTGCGTAAAGCATATTGTTCCACTCCCCAATGCCACTGGCTTTGCGTGGAAATGGGCGTCGGTTCGTTCGGCACAATCGAAACCCATCACCACGGGTCTTGAGTGCATTCACAAGCATGCAAGCAGCAGGCATGAGTGGCCATAACATCGAAAACATGACCACGAATCCAAACTGGACCGTCATGTGATGGTAGTCATCATATGGATCGTAATTCTCCTGCTCGCTCTCAAATAAGACCGCGCGCGCCTTTGCATTAAGCAGCTTTACCTCACCTTCGCTGTTTTCTAGATACCGAACAGAGGATTGATTCAATAAATGTGCGAGGTTATCGCTATTGCGAGCAGCAATACTACTGCACACCATTGAACGATTGCGCACATTGTCTGTGTCCTCATTTCTGTACGTCATGTTGGCTAGTAGACACCGCTCACCTTGAGCCTTGACCATGGCCATCACTTTCTGGTCTGTTCCATGTAGACGCTGCTCGTAGTGCTTACGGTGAATCCAGGGGACGACTACAGCAATGAGCAAGTTCAGCAATTGAGTAATAATGATGGGTGTAAGGAAAAGAGTCTCCAAGTCAAGATGGTTAATGTCAAAGGTTACCCATCCACGACATGGAATGCAGCGCGTTTCACGAAGTCCCATTTCATTCCATGCTGGCGGACAGGAGTTACAATAAGTACTCGAACGATCCATGTACGGTCCGAAGCAGCAGTTTGCTGGGTCCTCCCAGATCAATGTGTTGAGAAAGTTGGTGATTGTATCTCCAGCTCCAGGAATCACGTAGACGAAGGCCAATAGGAAAAACCACGTGTAGTAATTGAGGAAATCCATGAGAAACAGCTTGCGTATCATGGACTTTTCAAACTGTTCAATCGTTTTCCAGTTTTCCCACTCAGTGAACATACGCGCGGCCTTCGTCACAAGCACACTCCACTGGATAATGTCGACAAACAACCCATATAACACACCCCCGCCTAGAATGTAGAACCATTGCGCAGAGAAAATTCCTCTGTCTGGATAACGCACCTTTAGCACTTCAAATGCAGTGATCCAAGTAGCAATGATTAACATCATGATTGAAATTTGCACCACCATGAAGAAGACTACGGCCAAATACTTTGGATATCTCTTCCAGCTCGGATAGTATTGATCAGGTAAACCTGTAACGGGGTTCACAATCGCTATACCGCGGAAATTTGGGTTACGATACATGATTGTGTTCGTTTCAATATTATTTGCCCATAGGTAATTGAGTTCATTGTTACGACGAGACCAGGCCTTGAGCAGCCCGAAGCTCCAGACTACCGAAATAAGCACAGCCCACGCTACAAGTACGCGCATGTACATTGGTGTGCCCATGACACCTCGCAGGCATGTTAGAAGCACGCCTAGCAGTGCGATCGGCACAAGTGCTTTGTTGTAAAAGTCCATAAATGCAAAATAGTATCCAACTTTTTCACCAAAATGATCTCTCACCTTTTGTAAGAAATTTTCCGATAGAAACTCCAGCTTTTGCGTTCCAATGAATGTCTTCAATAAGTATCTATTAGTCGCAGGGTCGTGAACTGGAAATATTGATCGCACGTTTGGGTGGTCTTCTGTAATCTTGGCTTTTTCACGAATAATATGGTCAATCACTTGAATCCTCTCAGCAGGGGTATCAATGGGGCTGCTTTTCACAACCGAGTCTACTTCACGAGAGTTACCACTGCGCAGCCACGTCTGGAACCTCAATCTCCTCCCATAAGTAGCCAACGTCTCATCATTTCCACGAATGAGCAGCACAAAGTACTTACTGGCCTTTTTACCGTCCGCCTCCACTCTACTAAAGTCTCCTTCCAGTACATCTACGTCCAGACCACTAGCTACAAGCTTTTCAATCAACCTGCCTTCTACTCCAGCGGTAATGTCCACGGCCACGTCGATATCAACTGTAGTCGACTTATTCTCCTTTTTAAATGAATCTCTTCGTGTCACGATTGCAAATTCATGAGCCGTACCCTCGAGCTCTGCTCCCTTTAGATATCGATAAGTACCAGGTTGCACCGCCAGCGGCTGTCCTGGATGAGGTGACTTGGGCGACGCAAAGATCCACTGATCGTCTTGAAGCGCTCGATTCATCGCACCTACAGATACATATCGTTCACTACAACCTTTCATTTTTTTATTAAGTGGTACGGGAGTTATCTCGGGCGTGACGTCATTATCTTCCATCCTAGAAACAGTAGGAAGGAATTTACCCAACGTTGTGATCTGATTTACTCACTGATGGATTCGACTTGAGCACTGTTTTGTTATTTAATTACATTTTAGGTAGCAGTCATTTCAATGCAATTCGATGAAATGTTTCGTACAAGTTAAGGAAAATGAAAAGCTTAGTCTACCCAGCACCAAACTATTGTCCTATCATCAGACGATTTATCTTCTTGTGATTCTTTCGTGCTATTTGTGCTTCTCTCATTTCCTGCATGCAGATAGTAAAAAAACAGCAATTCAGAAAGCAAGTACAACTAGTTAGCTTCAACGTAAGCGATGAATGGATAAGGATTGTGTGTGTAACCAAAATAAAGTCATGCTGGGAGACACGCACGTTGATAGTTACAACCAGCGCCAATCTGATGCCAAGATGAATGATCTTAAACCATGGACGCTAAGGTTGTTGTATCCTGTAGCACAGTTACATGCTTAAGTCTTAAAGCCACTTTAATAAGTTGAACAGTGCTCGTCTTTAAAAACGCCTTCACGAAATGTGTGTTGTCTTGTCAGCTTATTAATGTTGCGTTTGGAGAATTTTGACCGGCAATGTTTTCCCGACTATCAAGTCCGATCTGTTTTCATACGCAATTAGAAGGTGCTGGTCTGCATGCAAGTGTGGTTGTGAGTGGGATCACAAACATTGGTAATGCTGACAATCGTGAAAACCAGGACACATTCTTGTCGTTCTACGATTCCAATAACGCCGCCTTGGTGATAGGCCTCTTTAACGGCCATGGGCGAGGTACTGGGCGAGATGTAGCCCAAGCAGCCATGCGATACTTCGAGGCGCAGTTCCAGGGATACACGTACAACGACTACGTTACCTAAAGCGGGTTTTCATAAGAAATTGAGAGTATCATATACGTCTTTTCTTTGCGCTACCGGTATTCACGTTGTGATTCTTGGTTTTTATTGCTGTCAATTCTATGTTTAATGTTCAAAATGGCTCTCCTCAAATTTAGTAAAATGTGTCATCACTCAAGTGTTATCCGGAAATGGTCTAACTATCCGAAATAATCGATCTGTCTCGTAGAATGATTGTATGTAATTACAAAGGTCTCAATTGTTTAATAACTTGTCACTCACACACACACGATGAGGCTTTTTAGCGGTCTATTTGGTTCAACTGCTCGTCATGAAGCTGTCACACGCAGGTTGTATATAGTTTATCTACCAGCACCCTCTCTCTGTTATTTTGATTTTGATCAGCAGCGGGTGGACGGTGTCTTTTATGGTTGTCTGTAGCTTTGCATTAGTTCGACGAGACATGAATACGCTAGCGTACCGAGTGTTTGAAGACCTTACAAGCGGCAAGAAACCGACAAAGACGGCATTGGTGATGCACGGCATTTTAGGTCAAGGAACATCTGGTATTTGGAATCTAATTAAGATACTTATGGAGTTTGTTTAACAGGGAACAAGCTTAACTGGCGCACGTTCTCGCAGAAGTAGGGGTATAGTGTTAGGAGGTGTAAAAAAAACTTCTGATAACAAATTGTGAGTTTGTCTTTACTATAGTATGACCAAGACCAACCCGGAATGGCGTTTTGTCTGCTTGGACTTGCGCGGTAAGTAACGTCAGTGGTCAGTGGGGACACGAAGTTCGACTAAAAGAGGTAGTGAGAATGTGATGGGTGTAGGGCATGGAGACTCACCATCATTTTCACGTCCACATACTTTGGAAGCATGTGTCGATGATATTTTGTACGTCCAAAATTTTTTATGAGGGAAATGACAGTATTGGAAAAAGTAGTGTCATTTCCTCCTTAGTTGTAGTACTTGGTAAGCAATTTGACGTATTTGTCATTTTTTCTGCCTGGAAAATGAAGTAAATTGACCGCTGACTTAAAGCTGGAGCTCGCGGCCGTACTGGGACACTCATTTGGTGGAAAGGTAGCGCTGACTTATGTGCAGCAGTGCATGAAGCTTGACCGCTCTCTACCTAGTCAAGTATGGCTCTTGGACTCGCTTCCAGGAACAGGTGCAGCAGTACATTCTGTGAGCTACACTACACTCACCTTAACAACAACTAACGCTATTGGCCATCGATTCTTCTCGCAGGTGAAACGGATTATGCCAGTCGTGACCTCACCAGCTCTATTGAAACGATACTACCGGTTGTAAAGAAAATTCCGCTCCCCATTGCGTCCAAGGCGCAGCTAGTGAAGGATCTGCAGAGCTATGGCGTTGCATTGGGAGAGGCGCAATGGCTCACCACTAACTTGCGCATGTCCAGCAGGAGTCCAGAACTTTACGAGTGGAAAATGGATGTGGACGTCGTTGAGCAGCTCTTCCGTTCATTCCTAGCCACGGATCTCTGGCCTGTTGTGGAGACCCCACCTAGGACAAAAGGCAAAGACGTGGAGCTCCATTTTGTGCATGCTTCAAAGAACAACATGTGGACACCTGAGCTGCTTGACCGACTGGATGCTCAGCAAGAAAACAAGGTGTACCACCATGTGCTGGAGAAATCTGGTCACTGGGTGCATATTGACAACCCTGTTGGTCTAATGAAGATCATTCAGACCTACATGGTTTTGTAGAAAATAAAGCAAATAAAGAATGCATCCCCTGGCAACAGTTTTGCTAACGAAATCAGGCATCGCTGCTCTTGTACTTGGTTTTATATTGGTGCGATGAAGTGTCCCTGCAGCAAAGCTACCGTAGCAATGCTACTATGCACTAAGTGCAAAGGAAGACAAGCTCTTCAAGCTTTATGCCTTAGGGTTAACAACCCTTTCAAGGCCAGTTTTATAAGCTTGTGCCCTCTGGCTGTAAACAACTACGTCTAGTATCAACAACTGAACCCCACTGTACCCAAAAGCTACACCAAAATGGTGTGGCAGGTGTATATGTATACAACACACCTTTGTGTAACGCCGTTACAGTCCCTGAGTGGCATGTCCAACGACTAGGCTACACTCACTGCATTACTTTGGAGCCTCTCACACTACTATTATCGCTTTGCCACTGCCTACAAACGCCTACTTCCTATACCAGCGTCGACCACTACAGACCACAACGTCAACTATCACTTTTTACAAACTACACATCTAGCTAGCTCTCATTCACTTTTCACACACTACACATCCAGCAAGCTCTCAATCTCTTCAGCGACAGCTCATAATAGCACCTGTCCACCCCATCAACCAACCAACCAACAAACCAATAAACCAACAAACAGACAAACCGACAAATATACATCAACACAAGAGACAACACCGTCATAACTCTAGCAACACGACGTAGCAGCTCACGCACGAAACATCCAGCAGCCAATAAGTCGAGCGGCATAAGAGAATGCGCCGTCCGGGAATCGAACCCGGGGCATCTCGTTGGCAACGAGATATTTTACCACTAAACCAACGGCGCTCGTGCACACGTTATATCAACCACACCAAAACCAGCCGAAATTGAGACCAACGTCTTCTATACTTAGATGGCTAAGTTCAAACAATCTTTTTAAATCGGGACATCGCGACAACAATACTATCATTAAATAAAAAGACATAAGGCGGTTACGCATCATGCATAGGTGGAACTGTTGCGAGATTCAGAGTAACATAAATAAATAATAACTGGGAAACTCGGCTTGTGCTTGACATAGTAATCGTAAGATTGACTATCTTAGTTATACCACGACAAGTTTTTCTTACTTTTGTTCTTCCTACACATCTATGCGCATGGTTCTTACCTCCATCAGTTCGACCACTCCAGATGTACGGAACAAACATGCATCTAAAAGATTTATTGCTAGTTTCGTCCATTGTCGTGCTGTAACGGGGTTACACGAAGGTGTGTATTCACATACACACCTGCCACACCAATGTGGTGTGGCTGTACCTTGGGTACAAAAGTAGGTGATGTGACCGTACCTGAAGTACGAAAGGTCGCATCGTGGCAGAGAGCCAGGTGGTCACTATACTTATTTAAAGTACAGTGACTATGCATGTTTGCATAATAATACCAAGCTAAAGAGCCAGTAAATAGTGACTAGCACTAAATATAGAAGCACCTACTTTATAGTAAATTAAGAGGCCCCTACTCTATAGTGCTAGTCACTATTTACTGGCTCTATAGCCTGTCATTATTATACATGCATAGTCACTATACTTTAAATAAGTATAGTGACCACGTGGCTCTCTCCCACGATGCAACCTTTCGTACTTCAGGTACGGTCACATCACCTACTTTTGTACCCAAGGTACAGCCAAACCACATTGGTGTGGCAGGTGTGTATGTAAACTACACACCTTCGTAGAACCCCGTTACACCCTCCCATACCAATCCGTGGGACCCGACGTACCGACAAATTTTCGCACTTGATTGGAGGCACCGATTTTATTCTCTTCTCATTTTGCTTGCCTCGCAATAAGTGCTTGCACTTGCGTCTAAAGCTTCTGTGTTTTTAACACTTACTCTTTGAGCACCCGTGCATTGCACACACGCTTTGTCAGCATCCTTGTGTTACGACACTTGCTCCTTGAGCATACAGTGCATTGCACTCACGCTAAAGCATCTCAGTGTTACGACACATGCTTATAAGCGCTAAGTGCCAAGCACTTGGTATTATCAATACCCCTTGTGTGTTTACGAACACTTAATTTCACAGCACAAAGTGCCTAGCACTTGCTTTTAAGCATTACAGTGCTCACAACTTGCTTGCTTTTAAGCATTATAGTGCTCACAACACTTGCTTTTAAGCATTACAGTGCTTACAACACTTTTTTAAGCATCACAGAGTTCACGAACACTTGCTTTTATAAAGCACTTGTCTCGATAGCGCTTGCTCCAGCATGGATGAAGCAATGCGTTACGACATATTTGGGGACGATGACAGTGTCGTTGTCTCTACGGGCGGCGCAGCCGAGTCACCTTCGGGCCAAAGTAACCCAAGATCATCACGCTCACCGAGCGAGGGACGTCGATCCTATTTTGTGTCTTCCCTTTCAAGGGGTACAACCCCTTTGCGCCAAGCGCCTCCTCTTCCCTCGCGAGAGGGTAATGACGAAGAGTTAACCAACACTTTTGACGTTGCCCAGCGTCGTCAACTTGATGACGAAGCCCGAGCGGCCGCTTTGGCACGGCCCAAACAAACATTTTCACGACGTGATTTTAAGTTCGTGCCCCGGGGCCCCAATGAGGAAGCTCGACGAGCTGCATCGCAATCTTTGCGAACCTATATCATTGGGTCCCATGCCCGTGCGGCTTGCGAGAATGCAGATAGTGTTGCTCTTCGTAAACGGCTCCTTACTCCCCAGGAGTTTACGATGAAATCGTATCAGGAGTGACTGTCACGACAGTCACGTGGGGTGCCCGTGAACCCACTAAACGGCATACCAGTGGTGCTTGCACCAGGTGAAACATCTGCCCAAGATAATCACCAGTTCACCCGTTGGGTAGAACGAGCATGTAAGCTCTCAATTTTGCCAAACTTGCGTTTAAGCGCTAAAGCGCAAGACGTTTGGTTAGAACGTCGTCTACGTTTTAACTTCGCTAAGCTCAAAGCGAAACGTCAAATACCCTCCACATACAGGTCAAAGACTTGTGGGGGACAAGCTTCTGAAGCTGTTTCCCGTACCTCTCACTCGAGCGATGTACCGACATTGGCTTCTTCTGAAGGTCAGAGGCAAAGCCAGCCTACTGACCCTACTTCCAGAGCACCTAGTGCTAGGTAGCGTCCGACGACAGCTGTCGTCGCTTCTGACCGTCCTGGTCAAAAGCGTCAACGGACTTAGGGCAATCCTACCTCATACTCTCACAAGTCATACGACTGGGGGTAACCCGTCCACTTCACCAAGTATTGGGTATGACCCAGGTGACGACGCCGAGCCAAGAGGAGTTCCACGTGGAACTGTTGATGACCCTGGTCATCAATTAACGTTGGAAAAGGTCGATGACCCATTGACCTCTCATCTCTCTGAGATCGACCGTCTCCTGACGCTCCGCTCCTGAAGCGTGATGCCCTTGCATCGGTGAGATCTCACCTGTCATCGCTCGATGACCGTGTCGATTGACACCGTCGGTTTTTTGAGCGTTATCGCTTCGAGACCTCGGATTGCTTAACGGCGATTGAGCGCTCTCAAGCCGAAATTCGATGTCAGATCGACCTCCTGGTACGCCTCCAGCGTCCATATGCACCTCCGGTGCAGTACTTCCCGCCTCCTTCGGCCGGGGATGTGGGGGCAACCCCTCGAAGTCCACCGAGGCAGGGTTGCGTTATGGATTGAGTAAGCCCACGTAGAATGCAGGATGTGTTCTCATCTTCTTCGGAAGGTTCAGCTTATAGGCTAAACCTTTCTTGCCTATGACCTTGAAAGTTCCAATAAAACGTGGTCATAATTTAGTTTTATATACCGCCGAAACGGCACGGGTAGGCAAGTTCCTAGCGTTTAATAGAACTAAATCACCCACTTTTATCTCATGTTCATTCTTTCTCCCTTTGGCATCCGCGTGTTCCTTCTGAACATCCTGGCTTATAGCCATAGCGTCTTTGACGCGACGTAATACGTCAAAACGTGTTGACAGAAACGCTTCCACCTTTTTGTGCATAGCAATAGGGCTGATATCAGCCAAGCCTTCGGCTATCTCTCCCCCATTAAATCCTGATGTGGCAGGGGGTAGCGTTAAAGGAACGCGAGGGTTGACCAAACCATTCACATAGAATGGGGTGAAAGCCTGTCGAAGCATGCACCGCGTTGTTCAACGCAAACTCTATGAGAGGGAGCATCGTGCTCCATTGCTTGGGTGTTTCAGCACAAACACGGCGAATCATATCACCAATAACGCGGTTGACGCGTTCAGTCTGACCATCGGTCTGCGGATGATCCGCCGTGGACATGCCCAGTCGAGTGCCGACAACGTCCAAACTCAATCGTGAAACGCGGTCTCTATCCGAGACGATTGCCACAGGCAATCCGTGTTGTCGAAACACACGATCCATGAACAGCTTAGCTGTTCCTTCTTCGTCGATGAAGTCCTGCACAGCCGCTAAATGAGCCATCTTGCTCAATCGGTCTACAAAGACTACAATCCCAGTGATGCCTGCCGCATCACGCGGTAGGCCAAACACAAAGTCCATACTAATGGACTGCCACAACCCCGATGGTACAGACAAACTCGTTAAAGGCACAGCCATAGTAGGCGAGGGTTTCACCCTTTGACACGTTTCACACGTGCGTACGTAGGTACCAAATCATTTGTACAACTTGGGCCACCAATAATGGGTGCTCACCGAGCTGTAGGTCTTCTCACGACCTAAATGACTACCAACTGGTGTATCATGAGCCTCATAAAGTATCTGATACTTGAGATCCTCATCCTGAGGCACCACAAGTCGAGGCTGGTCATCCGACCCTGTGCTATAGTACAACAGACCATCGGTCAGTGCATAACGATGTAAGCTCGCATGATTACGTGGTGAAAGCTTCGCCTTAGAGTTTTCAAACTCTGCGCTGCCTAGCGCCTGCTGAATGGCAACACATGCCTCATCGCGTGCATACGTCACACGGATACGATCCGTTACTGACGAACTCACAACGTG